CAGAAAAGGATGGAAAATCAAGCTGTCAGTTCGAAACATCTGTGATTTTTGCACGCCTTATTCACCCATCTTCTTTAAAGGGTTCTTCTACGAACGAATTGATTTGAATATAACTGAAAAATATTTTGAAAAAAAAAATTGTATCTTCTATCCGCTGCTTCTAATTTGGCGACGAGTCACCAGAAATTGATAAAAAATGACAAATGTTGGTTGCGAATTCCCTGTATTTTGATTTCTTCCTTTTTTATATCGTAAGGGTAACTATATTAAGAAGGCAAATAATTCGTGACAAATTCTCTGTGTTATAACATGTAACACTGATGTCTCTTAATTAAAAATACATTTCATTTGCGCGCTTCCTTTTTTCCTACCATGACTGACTGAAATCAATTTAATAGGACATAGACGTATTTTGATACATGTATTCACCAGACTACATGTAAATAAAATGAAAAATCTTTTTAAGTGTTTATTTATATACATGAGAAGAATTACAATAGAATAACTCATTTAAGTTAATCGAATCTTGTGTGTTCTTTTAAAAAATCAATGTGATTTACATGAATCCGGGATTGGACAAAAAAAATTGACTTTTCAGTGCTGTATACACCAATTACACCACGACAAATTAAAGAACAGGCTTTATGACATCATAGACAACTGCTTTTCAATCATAATGGAATTCTTAAATTTTTATACCCCCCCCCCCCGCTTGAAAAGCAGGGGGTATATAGTGATGGGTGTGTCTGTCTGTACGTCCGTTCGTTACGCTTTGGGTACCCATCTCTTATCCGCCACTCCTCTTATACCACTGAATGAAATTTAACGAGACTTTCACAAAATCTTTGTTACATAGTGCCATTGTGCACTTCTATTTTACTTTTTGATCGGACACATATTTCCTATAGCAAAACATGGACACTGGCATTCTTTCTATGATATTGAAGGATACCAATCTCTTATCCGCAACTCCTCGTATATCACTGAATAATATTTAATGATACTTTCGAATTTTTTTATTACATAGTGCCATTGTGCACCTCCTATTTTACTTTTTTGATCTGACACTCATTGAAAAACATGTACTTTGCCATTATAATCATATGAGAGGCGGGTGGTATCATTTTGTGAGCTCAGTGCTCACAGTACCTCAAGTTATTATAATATCTTGCGATTGGTTTATTTACACCTTTGTAATCAATCTTTCTGATTCTACAAAACATACTCTGAAGGTGATATTAAAAGGACGTTGGATTTCCTCATTGACAATTTCTACATGTTATGTAGTTTTGGAGACTAGGTCTTCCAACAATCAGTTGGAATTACGATTTGAACTAATTGTGATCCTTTAATTCCGACCTGTTTTATATTCTTAAGAAGCTAAATTTATTCAAAAACTACTACATAAAAAAAGAATACTCTTTTTGTCAAATCAATACATCCCAGAGTGAACTCAGAAATAAAGACACAATAATTAGAGTCAGTCACATCTGCTTCATACTTGGACATTTTACTGATTATATTATATAAATTAACAACTAAACAAACTTGATGACCTCAGCTTTTCCATCATCAACTTTTCTTTTTTATGCAGTAGTATTCCACATGCAATCTTCATATGTTGTTTATGTCACCCATACTCAAGAAATGTTTTAGGTACGATCAATTTATTAAACGAAGGAAGACTACTGATAAAAAAAATGATATCACAGTTGTATCAGCTATCACGTTTAAATTCTGGCATTTTACAAATGCAATGGTCGCTAAAATGACCATTTTTTGCAAATACAAAATGTACAACCTATGTTTGGGTTGTATTGTAACTGACTTGTTTCCCAGCCATTGTTAAGACGTTGTTTTTATACCACTGTGGATTACTCCGTTTACCTAATCAATATGGAGGGTTTGACCAGTCAACAGGGGATGCTTCTCCTAGGCCCCTGATACCACCTCTGATGTTTCCATGGGTCCATGTTTATGTCCTGTTTACGATTCGCATTCCTTCCTGGATGTTTTAGTTTGATCTTTGTTAGTTATCTTCACCTTTTATACAAATGTATCCAAAACACACGCAAAAAATAATCTACATTTTCTTTGTTAGATATATTTATGACACATGGAGGAGGACACTTTGTTTTCAGAAAAAGCTACACCTGATTGTTTTTATTAATGTTGCCATTATTGCAGTTCGAATAAAATATTCATTTTGCTTAATACATACATAGGTATCATTATGCCATTATTTATCGGCAGGGATGCTCACTCCTCCAAGGCACCTGATTCCACCTCTGATGTTTTTGGAAGTCCGTGTTTGCTCTTCTCCCGATTTGTATTGCTTAAATGGACTTAGAGCTTGAATACTGGTCGTTATCTCCATATTTCATTTATAAATGGCGCTATTTTACAAATAATTGAATATATCGTGAAACACACGTAAACAGTTCTATCTAATCCCTCTATATTATTAGCAGACTTCTCTCAGTTAGATCTGTGTATAATTTTATAATTTAATGACTTTTAGCGAAAAGAACTAACCTTTCGTCATTTTTTATATACTGTAATAGCAAGTTTTGTACCCTTCTACAACCAGGCTGTAAGTTTAAATCAGGAAATCAAATAGAAATTTAAATCTACATATATATAGATGTATAAGTATCCATAATGTATCCATATCCATATGTATAAGTATCCATAAAAGCTAGATGCATGATTTGTCAGCAAGATCAAGGAACATCCTGCATTATATGTAATATTTCACGAATAGCCTCAATCCTGTGACTCTAATTAAATCTACATTTAATGAGATGATTACTTTTAATGAAGTCCGGATTGTTGGGATTATTTCGCATTAAGTAGAACAGACTGACACAGCTCACATACTTCCCTGCTTAAATTTTTTTTAAGACAATTTGCTAATGTTTTGCATGATTTGATGCAATTAGGCTGAATGCATTTGATAGATTGTGATTACAACAAATTGTTAAAAATAAATAAATATCAATGTACCGACCAAATCTGTTTGTTACCAATTTTATTCATCAAATATTCAGTCTGAATGTACGTGTCACTCGTCATCTTTTGAAAAAAATTTGGTCAGAACCTCTAAAATCCAAATTATTTAAAATTACAATAATTTAATAATTGGCAACTTTTTAAAAAAATAATACGGTTTATTTAAACTAATTTACATGAAATATGATTATATTTATTTATAATTAGATCTGTTAAAATATTATTGAAGTTAAAGTGATAAAAGATAATTTAAGGTCAAATTTATTGTACTGTTTCTCGGTAATATGCACTTTAATTCCCAACTTTCTTTCCAATTTTGATTTATGCTGTTTGAGTAGTTATCTAAAATATACTTCTCAAAATATCCTTGATGTCACCAGTGTAAGATCGAGCGACATACCTTAAAGAAGGTTTTTAATTATACCTTTATAAATTCAATCACATGTATATGTCAAACAAAACAGATGCAAAATGTATGCAGTCTAAGGTAAATCTTTGCTCCCGTTTTATAAATCCACAGACTAAGGTATTTCTTTAACACATGTCTGAGCGAATTAAGGACATACGCAACGTAGTTTGAACTTTATTGTCTTTTTCCCTGGAGTTGAAGAGTTCCAATACTCTAAGGAAATGGGTGCTACATTTTATGTCTATATATTCTGTTGCACACTTCTTCAAGTTTGGACATACAAAACATCTAGAATATATATTTAGTAATTTTCGTAAGTTTTTCTTTGAATTATGCAAGAATTTTCATCAATTGATATCTTTTAAAACCCCTGGTAATGCATGCTGATCTTTTTTGTCTATGAACATACTATGAACAGCACTATAATCTGAAATTAAGAATATCTTGAAAATTTATCAGTAGATAAGGTACATTGCGTATGTCCTTAAAACGGGGTCACATCCTTTGTTAATGTAAGAGGGTGAAAATAAAACACGGGACGAAATTAACCCTTTATACATAATACATGTATGTACTTTCTTCAGTCTTCAGAGACTTATGTTCCGTAACGTTTATATTATTAAAAAGTAGGCCAAACGTCAAGGTCACATGGTCAAAAATCATAGTATATTTGGAAATCTTGTCACAGGTCATGTACACGTGAAATATGAAAGCCCTATCTCTTCTCATTCAAAAGTTATGACAAAGGTTAAAGTTTTTTGTGATAGCCTGATAGACAAACAGACTGACAGACGAATCATCAGTGAAGGGCAAAATACTACAAATCAGACAATATGGAGTTCTTATTCATTAATAACTACTACAATCTAAAATTAATTTTTAAAAAATCATTAGAGATCTTAGCATTTATTTGATTCCACTGTCGATCCCAGAAACTGAACAAATGAGGCTAGTGACAATGTAGGATTTACGAGTCAGAGTGAACTATCTACAAACAGTACTGGTAAAGACATTGTAAACAATACTTGGCTTTTTTTTTTGCAAAGGTCGGTATAGTTCAAATCGTATATACATTTTTGTACTATTTTCCTCAGACTTCTGCACAAAAATTAAGCAATCGTAAATCATGTTTTATTTTATTGGTACTTTGCTTTTTATACACTGATTTTTGGAACTCTTTTTTGGAAAAAGTTTCATATTCGTGTCAGATCATTTCAATGTTTTGCTAATAAGTAGCAAGCACTCTTGCCATAAAAACATCACCCAAATTAAGACAACCCCACAATAAAATACCATTGCAGTGTTTTGAGAAACGAAGTTTGCGATTTCATAGCAGAAATATAAAATATTTACCGGTTCATACAGTCGTACAGTGCAAAAGTAAAATTACAAATAGATCTAGATTGAGTTTGCTTCCAGTAATATCACCTTGAGTAGGTTTTTTGTAAAAACAAAATTAAACCATCAATTTATAGAAGGCATTTATCTTGCTCACTTTTAACTGTTCTAAACTGAACTTTCTTCCAAACTGTACATCTCTACCATATTACGCATAAAGCAGAGTCTTACAACATTGCAATCAACGAAGAGCATGTTGTAGATTGTTTTTGTAAGAAATAATCTGAAATATTTTCACTTTTCCCTTCCGATGGTCTGTTACCCACAGTCTGCTTTGACTGTCAATACACAAACTGCCTGTGTGCCGAAAGCTATTAGTCTTTGCATAAATGTAGCAAAAGAAATCCCCATTTGATAATAGAAGGTGGAGAGTCTCATCCAACATATTTGCTATCACAAGGTTTCCATCTTGATCATGACACAAAGCCACTGGCTTAAACGTACTAGTATTCACACTCAATACCACTGAACCTGAAAGACATATAGCGCTAGTGCTTCCTCTGGTCCGTCCTCTGTATTTTCTTATAACATAACCCTCGTCAGTCATAATTAGAACTTGTTGCAAACCAATGTCAGCAACACAAACTGTATTATTCTGTGAATTCACGGAAACACAAACAGGCAACTTAAATAAGAAATCATTCCTGTCTTTGATTATTTCTTTTAACAATTTACCGTTTTGGCTAAATATCTGCAAAGCTCCATGATCGACGGTTCTTTTTCTGCGAGGCCCAGCATTGGTATAAGCGTCTCCGGCGGACGCTACTCTTCCATCTTTAAATACGGACAATGATGTCGGTTTGTATGAATCGCATTTCGCAAAAACGGATATTCGGGACTCGTCGGCTACTTCAAAAATGGCTGCTTCAAAAACATTGGAAAAGAGAATTTTATTTTCTAATGTTTTAGTTATTCCACAAATCCCTTTATTGTAAACTTTTCTACCTATGCGTCTTCCTTTTAGTGTATATTCTAAAATTTCGGGTCCTAAGCCCATTGATAACAAGCAGGTATCTCTGGCATTCGGAAAAATGCATGACGGATTTTCATCATTGAAAGGCACTGTAAAACTGGAAACAAATTCTGCAATTAATTTAGTCCTTGAAGAACGGTGTGATAATTGCAGAAAATGTTGAGGAGAGGTGGGTCGATCATCATCAGATGAGCCACTTCCTTGCGAATCTGATTCACATCCAGCTCTTTCGCCAGATATCTTCAGAGCCATGTTATGATCCAAGTTACACGAATGGCAAAGCTTCAGTGAACAATGAAGGCATTGTGAGAGTTCTGCCCTCTTAGAACAAATTTCACAACATACTTGTAGATTTGGTGGTGGTTCTGGGGTCCTTAAAGGCACAAAGTAATTGTCCAATAAACCATGTAAACCTCTACTTCCCAACATCTGCTTCTGTCGACATAATGGACAGATTATTTCACCCACGTCCTCTTTCTTTGTGTAATCGACAAGGCATGGTTTGCAGAATGTATGACGACATAAGAGAAGTTTGGGCTGTTGAAAATCATCGAAACAGATACTGCATGTGCTTGGTTCCTCTTCGGAGTCCATAGTGTAGTATATTAAACATATTCAAAATCATTGCTGTATAAATACTTTTTACGGGGAAGGAAATGCGTGTGTAAATTCTTTATCATAGAGGCATTCAGTACAGAACGTTTTTATTCTCATGTGAAAAACATTTTCAATATGTTACAAAATATATTTTTTCAACTGAAAAAAGTGCCTTTTATGTCTTGAATTTTTTTTTACTTTCTTTCCGTTAACTTAAGTATGCTATTATTATAACATACTAAGAGAAAATGCTTAGTCTGCATGAAAAAGAATAACCATGTCGATTTTTTTCTTCCTTGAGGACATAAAATAAAAATGCAAAACTGATAACGGAATAAAAATGCTCGTCACGTTCGATTCCTGCCTTGTTTTTATGATTTGTTTTAAATGATATTTTTACTCTTTATTAACACCAATAATGAGTAGACCTAGGCCCTACATTTACAAAAACGTTGATGACGGGAAATGAGAGACTTGGCGCTTGTATTAAAAATTTTATACATTTTTATGGTAATTCTTTTTATGATCTCATAATCACTTTACTTAGTGACTTAAAAATTCAACCTGATCCTTATTTTAAGATTTTGATATACTGTTGATTCGGGTAATAATATAAATATAGTCATATTAAAACTCAAAACAAAAGTATGAACCGCTGTAAGGACGAATATTGACCCCCGTAGAAAAATGACCGGGAGGTCATTGAAAAATGACCCCCTAGCCGTAGAAAAATGAGATTTTTTGTAAAAAAAAAAAAAAAGAACCCTGGGGATCAGTTTTCTACATGTGCAACCTATAAGAAATTGGCCCCCGTTGAAAAATGACCCCCATCCCAACAAAGTGAAACAAAGTTGAAAAGAGATGATTGATGCCAAGGTTTGTGTCCCAACGAGTAATACTCTTGCGTTTTTATGATTAAAACTAAATGAACACTCAAACACTCTTAATTTTTTTTAAACAACATTACATGTGTTTCTTTTCATTAGACTGGAAAAGGCGAAGGAAACATACAGTGATCGCCGCGATATCAAAAAATCTATAATCAATACAATTTTGTGAAGAGGGCATAAACCACGGACCCCTGGAAATTCCAGAAATGGGATGAGTTCCTAGGAGGAGTAAGCATCCCCTGTTGACCGATCACACCCGCCGTGAGCCCTATCTATTGATCAGGTAGACGAACAATCCGTAGTCAAATTCAGTATAAAAACAAAGGCCTAACAATTTGTATGAAACAAGTCAGCCAAAATACGGCCCAATGATAGGTTATATTTGCTAAAAAGGTCATTATAACGACTATCAAACTTATTTTTTCCAAGCTCAAAATTAAAATTGCACAATAAATACGCCCCAGTGGCTATTGGTTAAAGCTGTTATTCTGTCGTCCAGAACGCAAGTCAGGACGATAAACTGTTATCGCTAGACCTATTATTTTGTCCGAACATTTTCTTGGACATGACTTGGATAAACCTAATGAGACGTTTTAGAAATGCGATCAGCAACTCCAGATATTCATTAAATATTTTGATTTTTAAAACTGACCACAGTTGTCATGGGAAAAAATTGTCAACGAATATTCTCACGGTTGGCTAAGTAAACTAACGTGCAAAGGTACGAAACTGCCGTTCGAATAGTGGATATGGTGAATAGGAGACGAACATGACCAATTGAATAGGTGATATCTCCTATTCAAATGCGTAATATCACTTAATGGCGGTAAATACCAAAATGTCCCTTCATACTATTGCTTGCAATAGCAAACATTCAAGTCTTAATCTTTTTAGGTCATCTGAGTCACTCATGTAGCCTTTTGCTGTCTGTTTTCGTGCATTGTGCGATCTGTGTCGTCCGTTAACATTTGAATATTTCTAGCTTCTTCTCTAGATCCGCTGAACCAATTCCCATCAATTTTGGCATTCAGCATTTATGAGTAAAGGGGAACAAAATTGTGAATTTCATGGTCCTTCCCCCAATGGGGCCTGAGGGGTAGGGCTAAAACCATCAAAATTAGTGCTATCTATAAAAATCTTTTTTACTCCTGGACATATCAAACAGTTGAACTGTTGACATGATTGCAATAAGTAAAGTCCTCTAGTAAAATTGTGAAATTCCTAACCACATGGCCAGGGTTTTAGTACAAGGGTGGGGCTATAGAGATCATATGGTGAACGTGCATTATTTCTTTAAAAATCTTCTTTTCTTCTCCTGGATATTAAACAGATTAACTAAGTACATAGTTATGGTGAGTTAGGGTGTCTATTCCAAAATTGTGAAATCCATGGCTCCTGGGTCAGGGGTTCTTGTGTTAGGGAGATGCTTTGTTGATTATATAGTGGAAATGCATTAATTCTTTGAAATTCTTCTTCCCTGCTCCTGGGTGTTATTTAAACAAACTAAGTGTATGGTTATGATAAGCAAGGATGCCTCTTCCTAAGTTTAGAAATTCATGACCTCAGGGTCGGGGGTTCTGGTGAAAAGGTAGGAATCTATTGATTATACAGTAAAAAAGCATAGTTTCTTTGGAAAAAATCTTTTCTTTTCCTGGTTATAAAGCTAAGAAACTAAGACTAGTGTAATAATGATGAGCAAGAGTGCTTTTTTTTTTCAGAACTGTGCATTTCATGGCCCCTGGGTAAGATGTTCTGATGTATGGGTGGGGCTCTATTGATTATACATGTATAGTTTAAATATTCCTGTCTGCTCCTTGATGTTGAGCAGATACACAAAGTGCCTAGCTATGATGAGCAAGGGTGCTTCTTACATTTTTTTTAACTTGTGGTCCTAGATCAGGAGTTCTGGAGTTTTTCGGGGTGAAGAAGGGTGTCTACGTCAAGTGTATGTGTTTGGCGGCTGTATTAATAATATAATGAAAATGCTTTAATTCTTTGAAAATCTTCAACTTTTTTCTTTACGTAGGGTATGCAGATTTTAAGGGTGATGCCACTTTTTCTAGGCAAAAGGGTCATTTTTCGACGTCGAATAATGACCGGGGGTCATCGAAAAATGTCTCCTCCAAAAATGACCAGTTCATTATTCTCCGGGGTCATTATTCGTCTTAAAACCGCCATTGCTGAGATACTGATATTCGAGTCGAAAATAACTCTGAACTTGAATATTTTAAACGGTACATGGAAACGTACCTTTCTCTCAAAAGCAGTCACAGTATTAGAAGTTTCTGTTAATAAAAGAAATATTTAATTCAAATTCTTGAATGCAATATACAGACAAAATTTGAACAGAATGTAACTGACCATATTGAACGTTATGCAGTGAAGCTACTTTGTTCATACAAAGAAAAGGATCAATTGCACAATGCTATGGCATCAACATTTGTGAGAAACGGTAATAAAATAAACCGTACCATTTTATTACTGATTCTAACTGTTTATTAATATATAAAGATGAGTACCAAAAACTTCAAAGACGAGAGAGCTCCCTTGTCAGGCAAATAAGACTGTTTTATTATATAGCTAATAAATAGTCTATAATAAAAACCTACTAAAAGTCTAGAGAATTTCAGTTTCAATATCTTGGCGTTTTATTGAACGCCGAGTTTGTATTACGTAGATGAGTATGTCCGAAACATTCCGAATACGAGCGTTCAATATCGAACGCCCCGTTGTAAACAAAAAATGTCGTCTGGTCAACCTCTCAAAGGCAAATTTATGATAGGAAGTGGCAGCTGGGTAAGATGTGTTTATTTTCACGCAAAATTGAGATTAATATGTTGACGGTGCGACCATTGGGGCGAGCGCATTGTTCACTTAATTTTAAGATCCGCCTCTTCAAACCGCACGAGACATTTGGAACGTCTAGACTGTGACGTCACATGACGTCGTAAGTTAGCTGCATTTCCATAAACGAAGTTTGAAAAGTGCAAAAAAAAATTAACAAAGAACGTTTAATCAACTGTCTCTATGTAGTATCCAATAAATTAAGGTGAGTTTATTTTTTTGTGAGTTTTTAGTTGTTGTTACCGCGCGAACGAAGTTAGCAGCGAGAACAAGAAGAGATGCATTGTGGGTCCAAAATTACTGCGGAAAAAAATTCTATTGAATGAATGTGCAGTAGTCCGAATTTTCTCTTCGCCCAGGCGTTGTCGTTAGAGCTCGCAGTGACGAGCGGCGCTTCGCGCCGCTCGCTGCGCTCGCTATTAAGTAATAATTTAGTACGTATTAGCCTCAATAAAACCTCACTAAGCAAATAATAACGCTTGGTAGGGTCATTGGAATGATGCGTTATTGAACACTTACCAGACAGACGTTACATGTAATTTAAATACCAATACTGAAAATTCATATTGATTTGAATTATTTAATTGAAATTATTAAATATAAATCAATGTGAGATGTTTTAGCAATATACATGTAATAAAGGAGTTATTGAACTTATATTGGTAAATATTGGCACTCGCACGGTTGGTTGTACAAATGCACTCGCAATCTCGTGCATTTGTACGGCCAACTCGTCCCAATATTCACCAATATAAGTTCAATAACCCTATAATTTTCCACATCCACAAGCAACTAGGGCAAAAACTGTGATATTTTTCAGGAAGTGGTGATATCTGTAAATACATGCAGCGAATACTAACGTATAAATGTTATATTAATATTTGCAATTTTTGTGTTTAGGTCAAATAATAAAAAAAACACAATGATGACATCACAGGTACATTTATGATTTAAGAGTTGAGAGTAATACTGCCCATAATTGGCATGCAGTGAACATGACGTAATTTTTTATAATATGGGGAATTTTAGTAAATTAGGTCGAAATCATCCCTGAAAATAATTAGTAATAATGTTTATTTTTTAAGGAGTTCAGAAACACTCTATCTATCAAAAACTAATCTATCATTAAAAGGATTATACGTGTTCTGTTGATTAAACGAGTTTTTATAGCTAGAAATTTCGTAGATCCTTATTTTTCCATCAAGGCGATCGCCGAGCCAAATTCTATTTTTAGTAGGATCCATCATTATTCCTGCAGGAAGTCCAAATCCTTCTTTATCTTTTGTTAAAATATATCCTAAAAAGTCCCCATCTGGATTTAGAACATGGACAAGGCCATCAGCAGTATTGGGAACTATGATATTTCCATCGGGATCGTGGCATAAACAGAAAGGAACAAACTCCCTGTGATTAAAGAATAGTCCGAATCGCCTAATGCCCTGACCCGCGTCATACCGGCTAAACAAATCTCCCGTGTCACTAAAAATCTTCACGCATCTTAAGTCCTGGTCAGCAACACATACCCTGTTGTTAAAATGACTTACAGCTATACACATGGGGAATCGTAAAACGGGTCCGTCAGTACTTTCTTTTACTTCTTTCAATAAGTTTCCGTTTTTATCATACAAAAGTAACATTCCCCTTCTTTCTCTTTCTCTTTGTTCGTCTGGTTCTTCGTTCTCCGTAGATGGAATAGCAAAACCAGTCACGACTATTCGTCCGTCCTTAAAGGGAGGTAAACAAATTGGTCTACAACCTTTACAGGCGGCAAAAATAGATATTCGATTTTTCATTTCCAGAACTAAAGGGTCACCTGGATTGACAAACAATGTGCGCCCAGTAGGCGTCCTTATAATATCAGCTATATTGCACGAAAACATGGTCCGGTTTGTTTCGGTACCATCTTCTCTATATTCTATAATTTCAGGTCCAGTGTCTAACACAACAAGAATTTTATCGTTTTCAGTTGGAAACATTGTGAATATTGGCGGATGTCTGTCTTCTTCTGAGCTATTGGCCATTTAATTTGTCCTAAAAGCAGATACAAGTTTTGCATTAAACTGCGTCCTAATTGCTTGACCGGAAAATAGGAGATGAAAGGGAACACTCGCTTCGTCTGTTAGATCTCTATCGTCCAAATCTATTGTGTCATCTTTATCTGATTCGGAATCGGTACAGTGTTTGAACTTTCTCCGGCTAACTTTAGTGCTAGGGTATGGGATTTCCTACAAGATGGACAATGTTTTTCTGAGCAATGGGAGCATGTCTTTAGAATAGCCTCTTCATAGCATACACTACAGCACAGCATTTCTGGTTGGTCGGGTGGACGAAGGTGAACGAAATAATTGTCAAGTAAACCATCCAAACCCTTCTCCTCAAGCGTATGTGTCTGGCGGCAGACAGGGCATTTTATTTCATCAAAATCGTTCGTTTTCTTCTGGTATCCCTTTAGGCAGGCTTTGCAGAAGGTGTGGCGACATGGCAAAATTTTAGGTTGGGAAAAGTCGTCCCAGCATATGGCACATACATTTTCTTCTTCAGACGTCTCAGACATCTTTCCATTACTTGTTCACCTGTTAAAATAAAGCTAAAGAAATGTCATCAATGAAATGAATTCGATATATTTATTTCCTTGTATCTAATACGTAAAAGCATATATTCAAAGTTGTCAATTTCATCCACTTAATACAAAACGAAAGTAGAAAACTATGTTGACGAATGTTGCGTTCTTGTTCAAGTATCAACAAATAAAAATGAAATGTTTTAATTTACCTTGATGTAGTAATTAACGACCTAATTAGCTAGTTCCTAGCTAGCCGGTGGCTACCGAAAAGTTCTTGTGAGTAGTCAGGGATTTTCATAATATAAATAAGTAAGTAAATAAGCTATTTAAACCTCGTTGATCCTCAATTACGATACTTTTATCAATTAAAAGGAAATCCCCAATGTCAAACCGAAAGTCAGTAGTACTGTATTCATGATATTCATGATATTTATAAATTTATAACTTGCCAAAATCTTCTAATAATTTTCATTTATGTCGTGAACAGGACAATGGAGATATCGATAGACGATGCTCGAAAATGTTCTATTTGTCTGGACAGTTTTAGATGTCCAAAGATGCTGCCATGTAAACACACATTTTGTAAGCGGTGCATCTCAGGTTACCAAAGAAAGTATAAGTCAGATGACGAATTCCAGTGCCCACTTTGTAGAACCGTATTGGTGTTACCGGAAAACGGTGTTGCGGGATTCTGGGATAATTATTTTATCCGGGACATATTCCCTGAACGTGTCTGTGAAGTCTGCAATGCAGAGGAAGATGACGTAGATGATTGTGACTATTGTGACAAGTATCTATGCTCCTTCTGTGCACCTGAACATGTATGCAAAAGACCACGAAAAGAAATTAAGAGACAAAGGGAGGACCCATCATTCCGTTCTTACTTGGATTCTAATTCTGACTGGGATTCTTCCAGTGTTTCTGAGAGTAATTCTTTATCTAGTGATAGTAACGATGAACCAATTCCCTTTGAATTGCGTAAACATGGACCAACAACTATCGTGAAGACTGTTTCCATGGAGATTTGTATCCAGATATCTGAAGAAGAATGTATATCCTCTATATTTCAAGTATCAGAAGACGTATCGGCATTTCTAACATTTGGCGGTTTTATTTGTCGCTTTTTTGACACGCGTGATGGTTTAACCTTGAGTGAAATTTCGATTGTTGATGGGGCTACAGATGTTTGTGGTTCAGGGGATGGCACAATTTTTTCATTACTTCGAAATTGTTCCTTGGTTATGAAAACGACGGGTAATGGTGCCGATGTGTCCGTGATTTCTATTAAGGATTGCGATCCTCTGAAAATGTGTTCAATTCAGCAGGATCGAATTCTTGTTTTGGGGATGGGAAACCGATCAACTATTGTTGGGCAAATTTTAGACAATGGAGGCAAAGAACTCGACAAGTTTAACTTAAATGTGGAATTCTATCCTCACTCTCTTGCTGTTAACGATAGCTGTTCTGTTATGTGTATACTGTACGCAGAAATAAATTTTGTAGATATCAGGGGCATGGATGGACATTTAATCAAGAGATATTCTGGATGCACTTTAGAGCAAATTGAAGAAGAATTCAAGCCACTTTCAGTTACATCTTTCGCAGATGACAGTTTTCTTGTGTTGAACGGGTCGACTAAATCTTTACACATTATTTCACCAACAGGTGATTTCATGGGACTGGTCATTTGTGAAAACTGTGATAAACCGTGCAGTATTTATCGAGACAATGCCAATAAGATATGGATAGGGGACAGTGAAGATGGTACCCTGAAAGCCTTTGCCGTGGATACTTACTGTAATGTGTTTCCTGGCCCGGAAAATAATATAGAAAGATTGAAACTAAGAAAAGATAGGTATCAGAGGCCATCTTACTTACATCGAACCCCCTCTTTATTACGCTTTAGGCGTCGACACGAACCATTCCTGGGATTTTCTCGGAGATCAGGAGATTCGTCTGAGGGAGAGGAATTTCCTTTTATATAAGATTGTCTTACTAGTATATGACATTCTTTTCTCTTTCGTAAAACTCTTGGAAGTCATTTATAGCGTTTGTGTGTAAAGACATGAACCAAAATTTGAAGTGTTAAATTGCGCCATTATTTCATCTTCTTAACAGTATAGTTTTTTAAGTACAAGTATTCCTAGACTGCATTTATGTACGTTCTCTGACAGATGCATATTGTACGTAATTGCTTAAAAGCAATAAAATACATTATAACATACTAAGAACTCGAGAGCTTCTCGGAATTCAGAGCTGGCATTCAACATAATTACCCGGTATAATGTTTTACAATGTAGAAATAATTTCTGAAATAACATACATGGTAACATACTTTATTGCTAAGTAAAAATGATTTTATTACACAATAGATATCATGACTTTATATAGCTAATAAATACTGTTCACATCGTTTTATGCCATCTCTCGTAGTATAATCTTGGAAAGTTCTTTTTTTTCGAACAGCAAGTACCATTGACGGAAACCATGGATTTTGCGTCCATCCTGTTTGGACACAAAATTCCGTGGCTTGCGCCGATGAGTAGGTAGAAGAAGCATCTCTTTGGGTATATCATCAATAGTTGTGTCGCCACCAGGAATTGTAACAAGCAGCAAAAGAAAGAGGAATCGAAAACGTACACAAAAAATAATGTTTACTGAATAGAAATGTGGTAGTATACGATGCACGGCATCCTACTAGCTTGGACTAGTGGGTTAACCCTTTAGCTCAATTGGTATAGCACTGGACTGGCAAGCTAGATCCCCGGGTTCAATCCCAAGCGAAGGTACTTATATGTCTCTGTTACATTTGGCGCCCACGTTGAAAACCGGATATTCTCTGGCGGGTGAAAGTGATTGCCCACAGAACTTCGCCCCACAGGCGTCGGCACTCCAAAAGAGATGAGGACATCTCTTTCTCTGGAGGGGGATAATGTGGTAGTGTAAGATGCACGGTATCCTACTAGCTTGGGCTAGTGGGTTAACCCTTTAGCTCAATTGGTATAGCACTGGACTGGCAAGCTAGATCCCCGGGTTCAATCCCAAGCGAAGGTACTTATATGTCCCTGTTACATTTGGCGCCCACGTTGAAAACCGGATATTCTCTGGCGGGTGAAAGTGATTGCCCACAGAACTTCGCCCCACAGGCGTCGGCACTCCAAAAGAGATGAGGACATCTCTTTCTCTGGAGGGGGATAATGTGGTAGTGTAAGATGCACGGTATCCTACTAGCTTGGGCTAGTGGGTTAACCCTTTAGTCAATTGGTACAGCACTGGACTGGCAAGCCAGAGGCCCCGGGTTCATTGCCAAGCGGAGGCACTTATATGTGTCTCTGTTACAGAAATAGGTACACTACCATAAATAACCGTGTCCTATTTCATATTTTTAAATAAATATCAGTAAACGACTCAGTAGTACAACTCCCAAAGCTCAAGCTGGCACGACCTTATACCCTGTGTTACATTCCAAAAAAAAGATAATAGGTGCCTTGCATTATGATTTTAGTGTTGGGGTTTCCATCTAGCTTGATCTGCGTTAAGTTCTTTATGTCCAGTTGGTAAAGCGTCAATTCACATCTTATTCAACAAAAAGGTTTTTTTTTCAGTTTACGTGATGTTTTTTATTGATTTTATTTTTAATGTCAGTTTCAAAATAAATCACCATACTTAATTGAATACATCATATTTGACAGGCTTTCATATGCAGGTAAGAATATGCCGATTTTTCACTCATGTAAAACCATTTACTTGCTTCTTGGTTAAGATTTAGAAATAAAAAAATGATGTGACAGCAACATTTATTTCATTCATCATTATTTAATTGAATTTAAAGAAGAAGAAAAACGCAAAGAAAAAAAGCGACAAAACGATTTTTTTTTAGTAATAAAGATATTTAATCAACTAGTGTCAATATCCTTTGAGGAAAATGGGTTCGGCTCTTCTTTGTGTGTTGTTCCAAGTGCATGTAATATTATTTCATCCGGGGTAACTTCATTCAAATGGAGTTCATTGTTTTAAGGAGAACAAACTATTTTTCTTTCAATCAAATTTTCCTCCTTGAACGTTTAAACTTGTTGATTTCCTTCATTTTTCTATTGCTTATATGAAAATGGCTGCATACCACTCCGTATCAATGCGCCACCACCCAACTGAAATTTTTCAGTTTAAATTACTGAAAATAGTAGCTACATTCAAAACTGACACATTAATACATTACAGTTTAAGTATTTAAATCCTCTGATATAATTATAACAGAATTATACGCTTCCCGTTTGAATGGTTCTTATGGATATTTTCTTTTCATTGAAAATGTGATATTTTTATAATATGTACAAAGTGTAATAGTTGCTGCACACATAATAACCCAGTTCAAGTCATGTCTTTATTTTCATACCATGTGAGATGAAACAGGAAATGATAATTTTAACTAGGAACTAACAATGTAGAAGTGTTCCATTCTATTATAACTTACTAAACGAAATAATAAAGTTTTTTGTGGTCTCAGTGTCACTGTCAATCTACATAGAGATAAAATGAATATAGTCTAATCGAATTAAACACGAAATTTAAAGTACATTTTATATTTTTTCCAAGTAGCACCTGTGAAAAAGTTGATGATCAATTACATATAAAATACCTAGATTCATTATATAATTATGTAAATTAAACCAAATCAATAAAAAAACAAACAAACAAAAATGTTTTTGAATTCTTTATTTTGTTATTTGTCCCCATGGCTTAAAATATTAATCTTTGCATTTCCTTTTTCTCAGTCTGTAATTCGAGTGGTTTTAAACCAGCATGAAGTAGGATAGTATCACAGTAATATGCATATGATTTTAAATAAATAATACATGTAAACAAAACCAGGTTTGATTTGATTCGGTCACAAATTTTTCTCAACTTCTTCAGTTGTTTTATCTATTGTTTCTTGCATCATCTTCCTCACTTTGTGTACAAAGTCATTGAGGTCATTTAAGGTTAAACCTTTTGTAGGAATGGGCGGAAGACACGTCACAATAACAGTACCTGTTGATGAAAATGACGTCACAATGAGCAACAACAAAAAAACGAGTAAAAAATTTTAATTTGCAAATAAATACAATCTGATTAAAAACAGATTGCAAATAAAAACTAGATAATTACGTACCTTGTTTAAATATTTTCTTCTTTTTATCATAAAAATGGCGATAGCTAGAAGTAACCACAGGAAGTATCGGGATCTGGAAAGGAATTAAATCAGTGTAACTGAAGTCCAAAAAGTACACAGCAAAAATATGAAATTCACGAACAGAATATGCAGAGCCATTCGAGTCTCTATTGTTTTTGGTATCTGGTTAGTGGTATTACCTGCGCTTGAATTGCCATCACAAATGCACCCTTCTTGAATGGCAACATTTCTTTCCCCATGTGACGAGTTCCCTCGGGGTAAAACTGAGGTTTTAACTGTACATAAAGAAATTTGGGTTTCATTTCTCCATGAATGATACTGTATACAGTATTTTAAAGATATTTCTGACTTCGAACATTGATTTACGACGTACCTTAAAGAGCTTGAACGTTATACCTTACAGAGGCGAATTGTGAAAAAAAAAAATCAAAGAAAGAACTGTTCTAAAAGAGAAGTAATTTTGGTTCTTATTTATGAATTAATTTCACCCAATCTAATTAAAATTAGATGTTCCGAGAAGCGGTACGGATTCGGAAAATCTAATTTTAATTAGATTGAATTTCACCGTATGAACCAATGAACTAAGAGGTTTTAATGTGTCTATATCTATAAACAATTTTATTATTCATATTACTAGTATACCTTTTCTTTGACAATTCTATCCAGAGCGCTATTGAGAGACTTTTTAGCACTCTCCGGGTTGCTCCTGTCTACAAATATAGCACCAGTACAGTAGAAAGCGATACCAAGAAGACCTGAGGCATAGAGGAGGGATTTCTTCAATATAACAATGGAGCCCTTATAATTCCCAAGCTGGACCATGACTGAAAAACAGACATCACAGAAAATGAAGAAAAAGTACATTGAGTATTTCTGGAATTAAAAGAAGAAAAGACAAACCAATTTTATAAATCGAAAATATTATTAATAAGTTAATATTCAGTTGAACTGTATTTACTTACAATTTCCGTCAAGAGAGCTCTGATGGTTAGAAATGATGATACAGGCGAAGTCATCATCGACATACTTCTGACCCCTAACTATGTACTTAGTCCCAATCAGGTACTTATTGGCTAGTTTTACACCAATGCTGAAAAACCTGAAAAACAGAAAATAGTAACGTCAACAGCATATATCTCTCTCCTTCAGACATACATGTAGAAATCGTATACTTATTCGAAAACTACCCTTGTTCCATACTTTTAAGTTTCCGGGATTGTCCATTAATTGTTCTTTTTTATTTGTTGAATGGTGCTCTTGAAAATAATTACCGGTATTTATATCCGCGATGTATCTTTAATATTTGTTCTATGTTGATCTCAAGAGGGTAGGTAAACGGAAATTGTGTAAATGATCCTTGGCAGTTTGTAATTTACACATGCTAGTTAACAAATGGACTTTGGAATCATGTTATGTACGAGTGATATCGTTAAAAACATAATAAAAAACAAAAATAAACGAGATAAAAAAAAAAAAAAAAAAACAAGAATAAACAAGATGACAAAGTGACAGAAATAAGATTTAAAACATAATGCTAGAAAATAATATATACATGTACCTTCTATTTGATGGTATGCGTCCATAAAATAGCGATGAAATGATAGGAAATATTGAAAACACCTGCCAACTTAGATTTGCAATCAAATGTTTTGTATAAAATTGAACTTGATCATAAAATATCCATGTCACTATTCCAACGAGTAACGTAGCTATTATCACTGAATATGAAATCCCAAGTATCCCTTCACTTTCCATCACTTTTGGTTACCTCTCAAAAACATCACAGATCGACTCCACGTGGAATGTTTATTTTCCTTTTTAAATATAAAACTACTCGGCAAAGAAAGAATTAGTCACAGTTAAGATTAGCAGGGTACAATGTCCAAGGTATATAGTTCCTTCCACCGCGGGTTAATAAATAACGACACTTCCATTCGAAAAAAGGAGGAAGTGTTGGTTTTTTTGTGTGCGTGTATTGCCTACGGGGTATATGTATATCTAACTACAAATATACATATACATGTATTGTACATATAGATCTATGTGATAATATGTAGTCTGCCATGCTGTGAGCTTCTATTAGTATTTACTCAGTACAAACCTTTGTAATATGCGTGAGGCGTTGACCTCACATATATCTTATCAACATTTAAAATCTGAGATAAAATGTCAAGTTTGTCTAAATAGGTCAAATTTTCTGCAAAGAGTCTTATTTGTGTCAAGAGTCCGAGTTACTTACATGATATGAATACACTGCAATTCATCATGTTCAATATACCAAATATTTCATTAAATCGATTCATTTCAGGGACATAACTTAATGTTCATAAACCAGGGACCTATATACTAGTATATAGATCCCTGATTAAACATATGTACATTCCTTCAATCATAATATATATACTTAGATATTATGAACATATTTAATATGTTAATACATCCATAAGAAGGAAATAGGAAATACGAAAAATACTTCCTTATTTACTTCCGATTAATCATTAATTAACTTCCGTAAATATAACTCGGGATCGGCATTCCGAATATTAGATTGCACGTGACCCGGGAAAATGAATTGGTACGAGCTTTCATTAGTTTCAAAACTGTTTGCGATTCTTCAATATTTCTCATTCATTTGTGGACATTCCGTTCCTTATAAGGAGTTGTTTGTAGATCAGCATGTAGATCATTTCAACTTTGTGTCATTCGGGCAGCACACCTTTAAAGAAAGATATTTAGTTCAAGGTTTGTATTGTGATTCTGATGACTGTGGTAACTAGAGAATGTATTAATGTTTTCTTTTTTTACCGTTGAAAATGTAATACAATTTGAATTTTTATAATCTAATCTGTTTAAAAAATGAAACGTGAATTTTAGTCACATAAAAGAGGGCATTTGTACATCATATACAGATTTGACAGCATGATTAAACAAGTTGCCTGTCAAACCGCTATCAGTAAGTGACATATAATATCTAGTATTAATTCACCTAAGAAAGGAAATTAAGATTGTTAAAACGTCTCAAATAATATCTTAGTAATACTTATGTTAGGCCAAAAAGAAAAGATTGTAAATGGTATGCCTGCTGGGGCAAGCACAATTGTGTATTTATCAGGTCCAGTCAAAAGACTATTTCTACCTATGTAGATATTAATAGCTACCGGTACTTTTACCTACTTTTTGCTTTATTTGCGTTTCGTGGCCAAACACTGGAACGACGCAATATGGCAAGTACCAAATACAGTCACTCGAGACAAATCCTAATCACAGTTAGAATACGTCCCATTATATCGATAGTTTCTAAAAAATAACCCATATAAAGACAAATATTCAACTCATTTTCTCTTGGGTTTTTTTTTCTTGCTTGGAATTTAAATTGGTTTTGACATTAGGAACTCTCTAGATTATTCATAGTAGTGTAGATTAGAGTTATCTGCCCCTGTTTATTTTGCTGCATTGCCAGAAAGTAACTCAGTAAAGTCTCTTTGAGCTTACGATAAAAAAACAAAGTTATGGGTATAACGAAAACTCCAAAAAGCAATGGATTTTTAACGCAGAAATTAATTGGTCATACGGGCCAGTAATATAGCGAATTGCATTGGACATTTCAATTTTCTATTGATTTTGCCAGTAGGACCAATGGTTTTTGGAAACTCTGTATTACATACTGGTACCATAGCTTACGCTTTTAACTTCGATCAACCTCTTCAGTCTAACTGCACAAGACTATGTCACATGACGTCGTATATGTTATTTGCATATATAACAAGTCTAGAAAGTGCTAATTGTTAACAAAGAGCATTTATTCTACAATCTATATGTATATGCGATTTCCATTTAAATACTTTTATTTGGTTATCACAAGAATGCAACTGAATGTGGTGCAGGTTTTGTCTTAAGAGCTTGCAGTGTGAACATGCAGTGCTTTGTCCTAATATTTGTGAGTAAGAGAAGGTCATTGCAACTGCCAGTGTGGAATTTTGTGGTTTATTCAGCTATGGTTTTGGAAGGCACAATTTTTTATAGCCCATTAATGGAGAATTTAAAAAATATTATTTCTGGCTGAGCTCTGCAAAACTTAGACAAGCCCACTTCTTGATCTCAATTCAACTTTTACAAAGGAATTAATAGTGAAAAAGTGAGATCATATTATATATCATGTTATATACAGATTCCGCTATTTTAGTTAATCATTCAGGGATCAACACTAACTTTAATCCATAGTCACCCGCAGGGCTAGCAATTTCATTTCTAATTTCTACTAGCCCTGACCATGAATTAGTTGTCCAGTAGCCGATGGGGGGGCCTCCCCTGGAAAATTTAAAAAATAGAGCTTTATGCCAAATCCTGCATTCTGGCTACATTTTTTGGTAAACAATCTGATTAAAAAGTTCATAACTGGTTATTTAGTATTAAAGAAAAGTCAGGTATATGAAAAACCAGATCTACATTACAAGGCAAGTCCATCTTCGATACAGTCAAAAATGTATGAAAATAAAAATTGATATCAGAAACAAAGTATTATTATTTCGGTATATCATGAACGTACCGGCATAATTGTATAGATCTGTATGATAAAAAGATCAACACTGACCAATATATACCCGGGCTAATCTATAATAGCTGTTACTATTTCATACTTTATCTTTTATATTCCTTGCATTTAAAGAAAGCTGTATATGTTACAAAAATATCTGACATATTCAGCAAGTGTGCAGCATGTGCAATTTGTTCAGTTGCAGTCATGTACACATGTGATTCGAAATAACCCAAACCGTAGGGGACTACAAATGCAGTAATTATTATTTTTTTTATTTTGAGGTGTTGTCAAAAACAATAAATGCTCATGGAAGCTTTTAAAATTGCTATTCTATCAATCTGTCAATTTCTTATGCATCGTGTTTCACCCACCAACAATGCTGCGACATGGATGAGGAAAACCATGCAATGTTTTCAACACGAATATTTCTTCAATAAGGATAATTCAATCAATTAAATTGCTAATTTTTTATTTAACACATGATGTTTATCTCTTTGATTTTTTTTTTGTATCTGATAAGTCTTTTGATAACTGGTTGGTTGTCACACATGTGGATGTGTCATGCAATGTAAAGCGATAAGGTAAGTTACCGAGAATCGCGAAACACAGGGTGATTCTGAAAGTAACAAAATCGGGACTTGTGCGTTTTTAAATTAATTTTTAAATGCTCCGAGTGCGTGTTTGATAATAATTTGCAGTAGTCCTGCAGGAAAAGCTCGAAGACATGTTTAGTAGCCCGACCTCAATTTTCAGGCGTCCCGGCTAGCGGGCTACCGTTAGTGTCGAACCCTGAATCATATTATATATACAGTTTCCACTCCATGGCCATAGGAACCTGACATCCCCCCCCCCAATAATTTCGTTGACATATAGAAGTGTACTATAGAAAACATTATTTTATGCTTGTGCCCCCTCAGTAATAACATCTGATGACTTTTTTTTTTTTTTTTTTGCTTTTTTGCTTGTCAAGAAATTTTGGAAGTTGATAGTCCCCCCCCCCCCCCAATATTTTCTTCTTTTTATCATAAAAATGGCGATAGCTAGAAGTAACCACAGGAAGTATCGGGATCTGGAAAGGAATTAAATCAGTGTAACTGAAGTCCAAAAAGTACACAGCAAAAATATGAAATTCACGAACAGAATATGCAGAGCCATTCGAGTCTCTATTGTTTTTGGTATCTGGTTAGTGGTATTACCTGCGCTTGAATTGCCATCACAAATGCACCCTTCTTGAATGGCAACATTTCTTTCCCCATGTGACGAGTTCCCTCGGGGTAAAACTGAGGTTTTAACTGTACATAAAGAAATTTGGGTTTCATTTCTCCATGAATGATACTGTATACAGTATTTTAAAGATATTTCTGACTTCGAACATTGATTTACGACGTACCTTAAAGAGCTTGAACGTTATACCTTACAGAGGCGAATTGTGAAAAAAAAAAATCAAAGAAAGAACTGTTCTAAAAGAGAAGTAATTTTGGTTCTTATTTATGAATTAATTTCACCCAATCTAATTAAAATTAGATGTTCCGAGAAGCGGTACGGATTCGGAAAATCTAATTTTAATTAGATTGAATTTCACCGTATGAACCAATGAACTAAGAGGTTTTAATGTGTCTATATCTATAAACAATTTTATTATTCATATTACTAGTATACCTTTTCTTTGACAATTCTATCCAGAGCGCTATTGAGAGACTTTTTAGCACTCTCCGGGTTGCTCCTGTCTACAAATATAGCACCAGTACAGTAGAAAGCGATACCAAGAAGACCTGAGGCATAGAGGAGGGATTTCTTCAATATAACAATGGAGCCCTTATAATTCCCAAGCTGGACCATGACTGAAAAACAGACATCACAGAAAATGAAGAAAAAGTACATTGAGTATTTCTGGAATTAAAAGAAGAAAAGACAAACCAATTTTATAAATCGAAAATATTATTAATAAGTTAATATTCAGTTGAACTGTATTTACTTACAATTTCCGTCAAGAGAGCTCTGATGGTTAGAAATGATGATACAGGCGAAGTCATCATCGACATACTTCTGACCCCTAACTATGTACTTAGTCCCAATCAGGTACTTATTGGCTAGTTTTACACCAATGCTGAAAAACCTGAAAAACAGAAAATAGTAACGTCAACAGCATATATCTCTCTCCTTCAGACATACATGTAGAAATCGTATACTTATTCGAAAACTACCCTTGTTCCATACTTTTAAGTTTCCGGGATTGTCCATTAATTGTTCTTTTTTATTTGTTGAATGGTGCTCTTGAAAATAATTACCGGTATTTATATCCGCGATGTATCTTTAATATTTGTTCTATGTTGATCTCAAGAGGGTAGGTAAACGGAAATTGTGTAAATGATCCTTGGCAGTTTGTAATTTACACATGCTAGTTAACAAATGGACTTTGGAATCATGTTATGTACGAGTGATATCGTTAAAAACATAATAAAAAACAAAAATAAACGAGATAAAAAAAAAAAAAAAAAAACAAGAATAAACAAGATGACAAAGTGACAGAAATAAGATTTAAAACATAATGCTAGAAAATAATATATACATGTACCTTCTATTTGATGGTATGCGTCCATAAAATAGCGATGAAATGATAGGAAATATTGAAAACACCTGCCAACTTAGATTTGCAATCAAATGTTTTGTATAAAATTGAACTTGATCATAAAATATCCATGTCACTATTCCAACGAGTAACGTAGCTATTATCACTGAATATGAAATCCCAAGTATCCCTTCACTTTCCATCACTTTTGGTTACCTCTCAAAAACATCACAGATCGACTCCACGTGGAATGTTTATTTTCCTTTTTAAATATAAAACTACTCGGCAAAGAAAGAATTAGTCACAGTTAAGATTAGCAGGGTACAATGTCCAAGGTATATAGTTCCTTCCACCGCGGGTTAATAAATAACGACACTTCCATTCGAAAAAAGGAGGAAGTGTTGGTTTTTTTGTGTGCGTGTATTGCCTACGGGGTATATGTATATCTAACTACAAATATACATATACATGTATTGTACATATAGATCTATGTGATAATATGTAGTCTGCCATGCTGTGAGCTTCTATTAGTATTTACTCAGTACAAACCTTTGTAATATGCGTGAGGCGTTGACCTCACATATATCTTATCAACATTTAAAATCTGAGATAAAATGTCAAGTTTGTCTAAATAGGTCAAATTTTCTGCAAAGAGTCTTATTTGTGTCAAGAGTCCGAGTTACTTACATGATATGAATACACTGCAATTCATCATGTTCAATATACCAAATATTTCATTAAATCGATTCATTTCAGGGACATAACTTAATGTTCATAAACCAGGGACCTATATACTAGTATATAGATCCCTGATTAAACATATGTACATTCCTTCAATCATAATATATATACTTAGATATTATGAACATATTTAATATGTTAATACATCCATAAGAAGGAAATAGGAAATACGAAAAATACTTCCTTATTTACTTCCGATTAATCATTAATTAACTTCCGTAAATATAACTCGGGATCGGCATTCCGAATATTAGATTGCACGTGACCCGGGAAAATGAATTGGTACGAGCTTTCATTAGTTTCAAAACTGTTTGCGATTCTTCAATATTTCTCATTCATTTGTGGACATTCCGTTCCTTATAAGGAGTTGTTTGTAGATCAGCATGTAGATCATTTCAACTTTGTGTCATTCGGGCAGCACACCTTTAAAGAAAGATATTTAGTTCAAGGTTTGTATTGTGATTCTGATGACTGTGGTAACTAGAGAATGTATTAATGTTTTCTTTTTTTACCGTTGAAAATGTAATACAATTTGAATTTTTATAATCTAATCTGTTTAAAAAATGAAACGTGAATTTTAGTCACATAAAAGAGGGCATTTGTACATCATATACAGATTTGACAGCATGATTAAACAAGTTGCCTGTCAAACCGCTATCAGTAAGTGACATATAATATCTAGTATTAATTCACCTAAGAAAGGAAATTAAGATTGTTAAAACGTCTCAAATAATATCTTAGTAATACTTATGTTAGGCCAAAAAGAAAAGATTGTAAATGGTATGCCTGCTGGGGCAAGCACAATTGTGTATTTATCAGGTCCAGTCAAAAGACTATTTCTACCTATGTAGATATTAATAGCTACCGGTACTTTTACCTACTTTTTGCTTTATTTGCGTTTCGTGGCCAAACACTGGAACGACGCAATATGGCAAGTACCAAATACAGTCACTCGAGACAAATCCTAATCACAGTTAGAATACGTCCCATTATATCGATAGTTTCTAAAAAATAACCCATATAAAGACAAATATTCAACTCATTTTCTCTTGGGTTTTTTTTTCTTGCTTGGAATTTAAATTGGTTTTGACATTAGGAACTCTCTAGATTATTCATAGTAGTGTAGATTAGAGTTATCTGCCCCTGTTTATTTTGCTGCATTGCCAGAAAGTAACTCAGTAAAGTCTCTTTGAGCTTACGATAAAAAAACAAAGTTATGGGTATAACGAAAACTCCAAAAAGCAATGGATTTTTAACGCAGAAATTAATTGGTCATACGGGCCAGTAATATAGCGAATTGCATTGGACATTTCAATTTTCTATTGATTTTGCCAGTAGGACCAATGGTTTTTGGAAACTCTGTATTACATACTGGTACCATAGCTTACGCTTTTAACTTCGATCAACCTCTTCAGTCTAACTGCACAAGACTATGTCACATGACGTCGTATATGTTATTTGCATATATAACAAGTCTAGAAAGTGCTAATTGTTAACAAAGAGCATTTATTCTACAATCTATATGTATATGCGATTTCCATTTAAATACTTTTATTTGGTTATCACAAGAATGCAACTGAATGTGGTGCAGGTTTTGTCTTAAGAGCTTGCAGTGTGAACATGCAGTGCTTTGTCCTAATATTTGTGAGTAAGAGAAGGTCATTGCAACTGCCAGTGTGGAATTTTGTGGTTTATTCAGCTATGGTTTTGGAAGGCACAATTTTTTATAGCCCATTAATGGAGAATTTAAAAAATATTATTTCTGGCTGAGCTCTGCAAAACTTAGACAAGCCCACTTCTTGATCTCAATTCAACTTTTACAAAGGAATTAATAGTGAAAAAGTGAGATCATATTATATATCATGTTATATACAGATTCCGCTATTTTAGTTAATCATTCAGGGATCAACACTAACTTTAATCCATAGTCACCCGCAGGGCTAGCAATTTCATTTCTAATTTCTACTAGCCCTGACCATGAATTAGTTGTCCAGTAGCCGATGGGGGGGCCTCCCCTGGAAAATTTAAAAAATAGAGCTTTATGCCAAATCCTGCATTCTGGCTACATTTTTTGGTAAACAATCTGATTAAAAAGTTCATAACTGGTTATTTAGTATTAAAGAAAAGTCAGGTATATGAAAAACCAGATCTACATTACAAGGCAAGTCCATCTTCGATACAGTCAAAAATGTATGAAAATAAAAATTGATATCAGAAACAAAGTATTATTATTTCGGTATATCATGAACGTACCGGCATAATTGTATAGATCTGTATGATAAAAAGATCAACACTGACCAATATATACCCGGGCTAATCTATAATAGCTGTTACTATTTCATACTTTATCTTTTATATTCCTTGCATTTAAAGAAAGCTGTATATGTTACAAAAATATCTGACATATTCAGCAAGTGTGCAGCATGTGCAATTTGTTCAGTTGCAGTCATGTACACATGTGATTCGAAATAACCCAAACCGTAGGGGACTACAAATGCAGTAATTATTATTTTTTTTATTTTGAGGTGTTGTCAAAAACAATAAATGCTCATGGAAGCTTTTAAAATTGCTATTCTATCAATCTGTCAATTTCTTATGCATCGTGTTTCACCCACCAACAATGCTGCGACATGGATGAGGAAAACCATGCAATGTTTTCAACACGAATATTTCTTCAATAAGGATAATTCAATCAATTAAATTGCTAATTTTTTATTTAACACATGATGTTTATCTCTTTGATTTTTTTTTTGTATCTGATAAGTCTTTTGATAACTGGTTGGTTGTCACACATGTGGATGTGTCATGCAATGTAAAGCGATAAGGTAAGTTACCGAGAATCGCGAAACACAGGGTGATTCTGAAAGTAACAAAATCGGGACTTGTGCGTTTTTAAATTAATTTTTAAATGCTCCGAGTGCGTGTTTGATAATAATTTGCAGTAGTCCTGCAGGAAAAGCTCGAAGACATGTTTAGTAGCCCGACCTCAATTTTCAGGCGTCCCGGCTAGCGGGCTACCGTTAGTGTCGAACCCTGAATCATATTATATATACAGTTTCCACTCCATGGCCATAGGAACCTGACATCCCCCCCCCAATAATTTCGTTGACATATAGAAGTGTACTATAGAAAACATTATTTTATGCTTGTGCCCCCTCAGTAATAACATCTGATGACTTTTTTTTTTTTTTTTTTGCTTTTTTGCTTGTCAAGAAATTTTGGAAGTTGATAGTCCCCCCCCCCCCCCCCCAACTGAAAATGTATGACTGTGTCCTCTCAAAGTGAAATTGCTTCCTAGGGGCCTGCGCTGTCCAACTTTTGTAGGGATGTATGTATATTTAGGTTGAAATTGCATATGCAGGTATTTTACCAGAAAATACAGGTCAAGTTTGAATACAAATTTAAAACTAAATATGGCATTTGAAAATTTTGGCTGCCTGCAGAGGCATTTGTGGCATTACAACACATCTAGTCTAATCTAAAATTGATCAACAAATATATTGTAGAGAGAAAAACTATGGGTATCCGCAAGTTTTTGGAGAAAATTGTATTTTTTAAAATAACTTATGTATTTTAGTTCTTCTATTTACTTCAATTGTTATATAAAACATTGTGTTAAAAAGCTTGCGATTTCAATTCAAGACATTACAGATCGCCTAATTTCATATCATGCTAATAAGCATTGTTATGAGCTAGATTAAAGGAACTTTGTTTTCACTAAAAATGTATTTATTTTTGTACTTTTATGGGGTACAAATGTCAACTTTTTACAAGACCATCTCTAAAATTTCAAAGAATCTTGAATCATATTGAGATGCATGATATGAAAATTGCTGCACAAAAATGATTTCAGTTCCAAGCTTCATACTGAGACCTTTTTAATTTTAAATGATAAGAGTTATCCTTCATGGCTAAGGAGTGAATATTCCTATAGTAAATACCACTTATGTGAGTTATCTCTCTTGAACTTTTTGTAAGGTGCAAGATTGCTCAAAATAGTATTTTAAAGTGCTAGAACATCTAGGTATTCGTCATGGCTATTATTAGACAGTTGAATTAGAGCTCTGTATAGACTGTATAAGAATATAGGAAGTAAATAATATAACTAGAGCATATGATTTGTGTTTTTTTTTCTATACTAGATAATAGTTTTTAGTTCACCTGAGCCGAAGGCTCAAGTGAGCTTCTCTGATCAAAATTTGTCCGTTGTCTGTCGTCATCGTTGTCGTAAACTTTTTAACATTTTCATCTTCTTCTCCAGAACTACTGGGCCAATTTCAACCAGACTTGGCACAGCGTATCCTTGGGTGAATCAAATTTGTTCAAATGAAGGGCCACGCCCTCCTCCAAGTGGAGATAATTACGAAATAGGGAAAAATTAATGGCATCATTGAAAAATCTTCTTCTCAAGAACCAATGGGCCAGGAAAGATGAAACTCATATGGAATCATTGTTAGGTAGTGTAGATTCAAATTTGTTCAAATCATGACCCCCAGGGGTAGAGTGGGACCACAATGGATGATCAAAGTTTTACATAGGAATATATAGGAAAAATCTTCAAAAATCTTCTTCTCAAGAACAGCAAAGCTATGATTGGTCATATTTATATGGAAGCATCTGCAGATGGTGTAGATTCAAGTTCGTTCAAATCAATAACCCCTAGGGTAGGGTGGGGCCACAATGAAAGTTCAAACTTGTAGGGGAAAAGTCACAGTTAGTCCCAAAAAATATGTAAGCATCCTTAGTTAGTGTAGATTCAACTTTGTTCAAATTATAACACCCCCCCCCCCTCCCTTTTAGGGGTAGGTCGGGACCACTTATGCATTTAAGATTTTCAATACTAAGCTAATTTTTGCTTTTTTCGTAGCCACAGTGCTCAGGTGAGTGATGTGGCCCCTGGGCCTCTTGTTAAATAATGGACAGAAAAAATGAACTTATGTATTTTTAAGTGGATTTGTTGGATAATTTGTTAACCTTCCAGCATCTTTAAGTTGAAGAAGGATTCATAGTATCACAGGTCCTCTATTTATTGTGGCAAAAAACTTAATTTTTGTTATTTTTAACTTATTATAAAACAAATACCAAATTGCACTTTCCAGACTTGTCGAAATCCGTCGGTCCTGTCGGCAAGGCCGGTAAAAATTTGTCTGGACTGATAACTTTTAAGAAAACGTCGGTCCAAATGACCGTTTGAAAAAATCGAGCTTGACGCAAATTTAAAAAAGGTCGGGATCGAGATGCGCAACTGAAGGTCAGAAACACAGAAGAGATGGCCGTGTGCGCGGCGTAGTGACGATGGTCAATTTAAATTGTTACAGGAAAGACATAAAATATGTTATTTATGTCTCTTATTCAAGACACTCTATCCTAAGAAAAGAAACTTGTGAGATTGAAGGCTGTTGAAAATATTAAAGGGCATTTTGGTGCTGTTGTTTATTTTCCTTTCTCAGCGTCAAAATAAGGTTCATGTATCTGGTCTGACAAAACTTCGTCCGGTCCGACAGAACATTTGACTTTGTCAGACCAAATGTCTGACACTGATTTCAAAATTTCGACAAGTCTGACTTTCTGTTTTCTCATAGTACAGACAATGTTCTGTGAGTCCTTAATGACTCTTAGATATGACAGATATAGATTTTCTTCCCCGTAAATTCAACTGTAAATATTATTCAGACGTATCATAAATATTGATTTTTCTGAGGTCTCATACCTATTGAACCTTTTTGCGATCTGTTTTCATTAGATTCCAATTGATTGTTCTTCATATTTTTCATATAATTGTGGCATTTGTTTATAAATACTATCAGAAAATCTATAACATTATTTCTCCACTAAATTATTTTGTTCTATGATTCAGTAAGAACACAAAATTTTCATATATTTTTATTAGGGATGTGCAATTTTATCGGTATACCAGTATATCGTGATTTTTAATTGTGTGATACGTATCATGATACGGAGACTAAAATTGTTATGGCCAAGTTTTTCTTCACATATGTAATCTTTGTGACAAGACCTTCCTTTGGATACCAACAAATTTGACCCTTTGACCTTGACCTAGGAGTTTTACAACCTTTTGAAAAACTTTAACCTTGGCCATAACTTTTGAATGGTTGGTGCTAGAGCTTTCATTCTTCACATATTTAATCATTGTGACAAGACCTTCCATTGGATACCAACAACATTAACTCTTTGACCTTGACCTTGGAGTTTGACCTACTTTTGGAAAACTTTAACCTTGGCCATAACATTTGAACATTTGGTGCTAGGGCTTTTATTCTTCACATGTGTATTCCTTGTGACAAGACCTTACTTTGGATACTAATAACTTTGACCCTTTGACCTTGGAATTTGACCTTCTTTTGAAAAACTTTAACCTTGGCCATATCTTTTGAATGGTTGGTGCTAGGGCTTTCGTACTTCACATGTGTATTTCTTGCGACAAGACCTTCCTTTGGATACCAACAATTTTGGCCCATTGACCTTGGAGTTTTACCTACTTTTGTAAAACTTTAACCTTGGCCATAACTTTTGAGCAGTTGGTGTTAGGGCTTTCATTTTTTCACATTTGTATTCCTTGTGACAAGACCTTTCTTTGGATACCAACAATGCATGTCAGTTAAGGCTAGGTATAGGCAGTTCTATGCAAAAAGCACTAATAAGAATGCATAAGAGGTATATTTATTATTCAGAGAAAGTTTTGATTTATTTTCTTATGCATACTAAGTACCCTCGATATGTTATAGCCAATACACAATGTGATGTCATATTATGACGTCATTGTTCTTACTCGAGGTAATAAAACACATCAACAAAACAGCTTCGGCGCAAGGGATTACCCTATTTAATTTAAAAATAACAAGAGAAGCTTAAGATCTCGAGGGGTCTCTATTGAGTGGGCACAGTTATGTCACATGGAAGAGGTACAGGAAAATATCTTGACGATAAAAAACATCACAATAAATAAATCCTATATTCTCTTCAAAAAAAATATCTAGTTCTATTGAGATCGGGATTGCCCTAGCTTAAACTTTCAATACCGATATCCCCCTTATTTAAATCCTAATCCTTTGTCCCTGGGAAAGGGAGGAGGGGTCAGATACTATAAATAAGCACTGATCTACAAGATGTGTTTGTGAAACACTGATGCCCCCGTATGACAACTTATAGCAAAGGTTAAACTTTCTCAAATGCAAATCAAATATGTTGGTACCCAAAGTAAGGTCTTGTCTCGAGGAAATATGAGAGCCCTAGCAGCAACCATTGAAAAGATATGGAAAACTTTTTCAAAAGTAAGTCAAACATCAAGGTCAAGGTCAAATGGTAAAAAAATAATTGTGCCTAAGGAAAGGCCTTCTCACAAGAAATATACTGGTGAAATATGAAAGCTGAAGCACCAATCATTCAAAAGCTATTACCAAGGTTAACGTTTTCCAAAAGTACATCAAACTCCCAGGTAAAGGTCAAAGGGTCAAAGTTGTTGATATCCAAAAGAAGTTCTTGTCACAAGGATTACATATGTGAAGTATGAATGACCTAGCACCAACAGTTCACAAGTTATGGCCAAGGTTAAAGTTTTTCAAAAGTAGGTCAAACTCCAAGGTAAAGGTCAAAGGGTCAAAGTTGTTGATATCCAAAGGAAGTTCTTGTCACAAGTAGGGCTGGGACGATACAACTTGTTCTATATCGATACGTATCCCGATATTTGAGCCACGATACGATATGTATCACGATATGTTTAATTGGTTATAAATTCTTTTTTTATATTGAAATGAACAAGATATTTCTTCACAAATAAGAATAATTTATTCAAAGAAGTTGTATATCTGTTGTAAAACTTAATTATTTTGGTCTTAATTATTATGTATTTCATATTCATATTTATATAAGCATATCTATTTTACATATTAAACCCAAAATGTTAAGTTAACAAAGAAAAACATTAGTCAGAATTTTTTGGGAAATATGTCGATATTTCTTCATACGTATCGATATGTGTATCATCCTCACATTGAATCGATATTATCGATATCTCGATATATCGTCCCAGCCCTAGTCACAAGGATTACATATGTGAAGTATGAAAGACCTAGCACCAACGGTTCAAAAGTTATGGCCAAGGTTAAAGTTTTTCAAAAGTAGGTCAAACTCCCAGGTCAAGGTCAAAAGGTCAAAGTTGTTGGTATCCAAAGGAAGGTCTTGTCAAAAGGATTTTATATATGAAGTATGAAAGCCTTAGCACCAACCGTTTAAAAGTTATTGCCAAGGATAAAGGTTTTCAAAAGTAGGTCAAACTCCAAGGTCAAGACCAAAGGGTCAAAGTTGTTGGTATCCAAAGGAAGGTCTTGTCAAAAGGATTACACATGTGAAGTATGAAAGCCCTAACTCCAACTGTTTAAAAGTTATGGCCAAGGTTAAAGTTGGGTAAAATTTTGTAAAACTAGGTCAAACTCCAACGTCAAGGTCAAAAGGTCATATATGGTGGTGTCCCAAAGAAAGGTCTTGTCACAAGGAATACATATGTGAAATATGAAAGCCATAAGCTCCAACCAATCAAAAGTTATGGGCAATGTTAAAGTTTTTGCGGACAAACAGATAAACAGACAGACATTGGAGAGGACAATCTAAGTTGGTATAACTTGTGTCCAATCCCATTGATTGTGTTCAATAAAATATGTTTAAACAGACAGACAGACGGACGACCAGGACAAAAACTATATACCCCCGAATCTTCGAAACGATAAAAATTGTATAATGCTAAGAAGAATTTTCTATAGATTAGTAAAATAGCTGCACAAATCCTAGGCGTTTTCTCATTTGGTCGGAAATTGAGGAAACTGATACCGGACGGACTGTACATTTTTACCCTGATTCAACTTAAAACTTTACAAACAGAAATTATACAACTGAGGCTTACTGAGCTGTTGATATTTGTGCAGAAATACCAACAATCTTTGGAATATTTTGCCTCTAAATATACCTTGTTTCAGTTAAATAAAATAGAGCAGGCCCTTGCACCGGAGCACAATGACAATCACATCATAATATGACGTCATAATGTGTACTGGCTATCTCATGTTGTGGGTACCAAGTATGTATTAGACAATAAGTTTTAATTTTCTCTGTATAATAGATATAGACCTTAGGCATTTTAATAAGTTTATTTGCATAGAAATGCCCAATCATAGCCTTAACTCACAGGTCTGCGAATTTTGACCCTTTGACCTTGACTTTGGAGTTTGACCTACTTTTAAAAAACTTTAACCTTGGTCATAACTTCTGAACAATTGGTGCGAGGGCTTTCATACTTCACATATGTATTCCTTGTGACAAGACCTTCCTTTGGATACCAAAAATTTTGGCCCTTGACCTTGGAGTTTGACTTAGTACTTTAAAAAAAACTTTAACCTTGGCCATAACTTTTGAAAAATAAAGGCTTTCATAATTCACGTACATGTACATGTGTATCACTTGTGACAAGACCTTCACTTGGGCACCATTTGACCTTGACCTTGATGTTTTGCTTACTTTTGAAATTCTTTAACTTTTGCCATAACTTTTCAAAGGTTGGTGTTAGGGCTTTCATATTTCACAGGTATATTCCTTAAGACAAGACCTTTCTTTGGGTACCAATTTTTAACCTGAGTTTGACTTGTACTTTAGAAATTTTAACCTTTTCCATAAGCTGCCATACGGGGGCATCAGTGTTTCACAAACACATCTTGTTCCTTTATTTACCAGAAAAAGAGATAAAAATGGAATTAGCAATTTTTTCCTCCATGACACTCACACAAAAACTTTTTTAAAACGGTCTTCTCCATATATGGTCCTTTACAAAGTCCCTTTCATTCTGAAGTCCATAATTAAAAGCTGGACCCTACGAGACAGTGACCATCTCAGTGATAATTTGTTAAGTACTGTAAACAACAAGTCTCAAAAATTGATTATTAGTTATTATTGTCAATTTTCAAATCAATGTATATTTGAATGTAAAATTTATATTTGCTAATAACATATTTTTATGTTTTTATATTTCTGCATGAAAACATTAAATTAGTGCTCTGTTTGATTTGTAGATCAGTGGTGGAAACCAGGAGTTGGTCCAATCTTCTTCTACACAGGAAATGAGGGCCCAATAGACACCTTCTGGGACAACACTGGTTTTGTGTTCGATATCGCTCCCGAATTTAATGCCCTTGTGGTGTTTGCTGAACACGTACGTATATTTCAGTTCAATATTTAGCTTACCAGTGTAAGCATATTTCTCCTGATAATTCTTCATCATAGAATTTTTGGTCAAATGTATATAAATAAAACTTGCATCTGCCATCAACTGGTTGATTATACAGTGAACTGAAGTTATTTATCACACCTATAGTATATAACCATTGTACTACAGATCAACAGACTGCCACTGTAAATAACAGTCTTCCAATACATAAGGTCAGTTATGAACCACTTTTCCACATCAACTTCTCTACCCCAGACCATACTCTTTGATCCAAACACACTGTCCATATTACTAGGAGTTACACCTTATGGTAGACATTATACACACTATGTACAACTTTACCAAAGACAGTAACCCATATATACCTGTCAGTGTAAAAAAAGTCAAAAAATAAACTGAACATTCTGAATCCTAGTGAAGAATTACCATTCCAAAACCACAAGGTGAAACTATTATATTAGTGAAATTATCCACACCTATAAATCCTATTACATCACAATATCATCTCTTATTGAATGACACAGATAAACACCACACAAGCTGATCTACTTGGTCATTAACATTCAACTTTAACACAGACTCCTCACTAGATTTAATAGTAGATCACAGATAACCATGATAGACCTCCCCACACACAAAACACCACTGAACCAGTGAAAGATAATCACAAGAGATAGTCATAGTTTCTCACTTTAACCACATTAAACAACTTTTAATTTATTAATAAACATGCTACTGATGGATAACGGTAAAACTTCATTATCTCAAACAATACATGTAAGTTAAGAAAACTTAAAAATATCTGATGATTCGAGATATCAAAACTTGAACATATCCGATAGTTCAAGATATCAGAGTTACATCTTGAACATATTTAATTAGTTGAGTTATTGAAGTTAAACTTTTAATTAACATATTTGATAGATATCAGAGTTGAAACTTTAACCTATCTGATAGTTTGAGAAATCAAAACTTGAGCATATCTGATACTAGTAGTTCAAGATTGAAATTCCTAGGAAGATCAGAACTGCTGACCCATTTTGAAGTATCCCTTTTACATGTACTTGATAAAACAGCATTTGAGATAATGAACATGCTGAAGTAAATCATTTTTTCATCATCACTACCCCGCAGTTGTTCTTTTTTAGTGTTCGTAACGTTATGAAACACCTAGGATGATTCTTATTGGCTGCATTTACTGTTTCATACTGAACCTAAAAATGTACAAGTCCATGTTTGTATGATGGGAAAATCTGATCTAATAGTCCTTGTTAGTGATAGTTTTTCTCAAACTTTATCCCTTTTTTTGGGTTGAATTTTCAAGAAATCTCTTAAAGAGACACTCAACAAGCTTCGATTGTGTTGCTTAATTTTTTTAAAAAAAATTAAGGAACTATAGTTTGAGGAAAGACTGATTACTAGCTGATTTTCTCATACTGTTTATGTAACCTATAATATTTCATTGTTGTGGCACTATACATAACAAGTTATAGATCCCATTACACACATGTTATGCACTGATATACATGTACAGTCAAACCTCATTATCTTGAACTCGATGGGACTAAGAAAAGACTTCGAGATATCCGAGGATTCAAGATATCAGGGGTAAAATACTTAAAGAATAAGTGGTTAGGACTTCTAAATCACTTCAACATATCCATGGTATTCGAGATATCAGTGTTGGAGATATCAAAGTTCAACTGTATATATTTACATTTGCAAATGTTTTTTTTAATATAACACTATTGAGAGCAAAGCATATCTATATCCGTAAAAACACAGGTTCCTCACGCCATAAATGTTCGACCAAATTTCTCAGTGACCTCATAAAGGGGTGACGTGCAATCAATAGATCAAACTCATGCCGTTGAATTTGAAAAATAATACATTTTCACGCGTTAAAGATTATAATCAGGCAAATATAAAATATGAATAAGTCACAAATATAAATACATGTATAGGTAATAAGGTATCATTTTAAAACATCTATCGGGGATATAAATACGGGTTGGTACAAGATCAAAGAGCAAGAGCCACTTAGGGCCTTTTTTGGCCCTGAGAATTTCTAAAAAATCGAAACTGCTCAGTTTTGGTTGAAAATGCAGTATTTATAACTTGAACCCTTGGTGACTGTGTATCTATTGAACATGACGTAATTTTCTCTCTAGTCAATGCATTATGACGTCATAAAATGCGTCATTTTTCCCATATCCTGTAAATTTCGTTAAAAATGGCCAAAAATTGAGGTATTTTTTCATTATTCCATATAGAGCACAACCTCTGATCCAAAATATGCAAATACAGAATGAAAGATCTGTTTCTGAAGATCACAAAACATGTTTTAATTTTTGGATCGTGGGCTGTGCTCATATTTTAATTCTTTGCTGAAGGTAGACAAATATGCATGTTTTCTGCAAAATTCAAGAACATTGCATTTTCTCAAAGCCTGTTTTCCAATACATGTATTCTCAAAAAGAAATTTTGTTATAGGAAATGAAAGCACTAAGTCTCTACTTTATTTTGATATATGAAATGGGACAGAGGGTGATAGTCAATTAATTGATATAAGGACAGGGCCATTTTATGCATAAAGTGAACCTAGCTCTTTACCATAAAGCCCTTTAGGCTTTATGGAATTTGATCTCGTGACCAACCCATATTTATATCCTGATAGATGTTTAAAAATTATACCTTATTTCTTAAGTAAATACAGTTCAGCTTCTGTATAACCAGTATCTCAAACACTGATATCTCGAATACCATGGATAAAATATGTCAAAGTGAGTTGGAAGTCCTAACCACTTTTTCTATATATGTGTTTTAATCTTCAAAGTTGATATCTTGAATTCTCAGATGCCTTGAAGTTTTTTCTCGGCCCTATCCAGTTCAATGGATAGTGAGTTTTGACTGTATGTACACTACTGTACCACATGGTTTGCTTCTATTAATTAATTCTTGCACCCTTTGTGCCAAGAAGTACAATACCATATAGACACCACACACCTTTTGAATAATTGTTACCAAATACTGTATTTAGTAAAAATTATTCACATTATTTACTGAGTAACACAGTGAATCCTTTAACAAGTATATCAATTCTTACAATCACTATACTGGCTATTGCTCCTCTTTCTCCCAGAGAAAATGCTACTTATGATGTATATTATACTGTTTTATACTCTATATCACACCGATAGTGCACCACTTTATCACTGTAACAGTTACCCTGAGTCTGCGTGCACTACAGGTATTTCTGCAAATATCAGTTGTAATCTTATTTATCATAAGCATCACACATAGTAATTAAACCATATAAACACAGCCACCACAAGTAGTAAACCAAATCACCCCTATATGTAGTGAGCCACATTACCATAAACACCACATGTAGTGAACCACATTACCACAGTCTCCACATGCAGTAAACCACATTAATTTACCATATAAACACCACATGTGACCTGCATAACCACAGTTTTGTACCTAGTGAACCACATTTTAAGGGATACTAATTTTTCAATGAACCACTTTTTACCACGTGCACACCTGTAAAATTGTAGTCAGTACAATGCAACTTATTCAATCATTTCATCAGTGTTCAAATCATTTGATTACTGTCAAGTGGACAGATTGACTGGACACTGCACAACACAATTTGTGATAATAAAGGTAATCAGGTACTAAAAATGGCTAATGATTCAATGTAATAACTTAGCTCCTTAAGTGCAGGTTACTTAGATACAGTGCACTATAGTATTTAGTCATAAAACCTGAGGAGAGCATCTGCCCAGACATGATGAAGCATAATTTGTAAGACATGCAAGTCTTAGTGGTAAATAAACAAATTATGCACTAGGGCACCCTGGGACGATGTGAAGAGCTTGTTTTTCTTCTGTGTGGTCAGAATTCCCTGTTGTGCAATATTCTAGACAATTACCAGTCTGCTTCTACTGAAATGTTATTAACCTGGTCATGATTATATAACATATGTACACAATGTAAACAATTATGAATTTTTCTTTTAATTAAGTCAGTATTTTCCCAATTTTTTCCCTACTGAAGCAAGAAGCTATTATTATTATCAACTATAGATATATTATAAAAATAAATTGTGAAAATCTAATTATTACATTTTCAACAGTGAAATACTGTGATTTATTTATTGAATAAAAGTGATATTCTCTCACAGTGTGAAAGGATACCAAAATGATATTCTCTCACAGTGTGAAATATATCAAAGTTAGTAAAAAATAATTTCTGGCCTGTCATAAGATAGAGATAGTAACTAACCATCTTGATAGAGCTAAAACGGTAAATTTCTTCCCAAATATGTTGCTAAAATCCATGCTGTGTAATGTTTTCAATCACACAACTGCTAAGCTATGACGCCTCAACCGCTCAACTATGACGTCAAGCCTATGACACTGTTAAGAAAAGACAGAGGCAAAGGGAAAATCAAAGAAAATGTAATAAACAGAAAATTCAATGTTTTGTAGATGAATATGGAATTTATTTCACGAGTGGGACAGGATTTTTTGATATTTTTACGAGTGCGAAGCACGAGTGAAAATATCAAAAAATCCTGTTTCACTCGTGAGACAGGATTTTTTGATATTTTCACTCGTGCTTCGCACTCGTAAAAATATCAAAAAATCCTGTCCCACTCGTGAAATAAATTCCATATTCATCTACAAATCATTGAATATCCTCTATTTATTTTGTATAAAATACATGATATACAATGCATTTCTTCTGTAGTCCTTAAATACTAAATTACACTACACTACACATTATTACTTACACTACATATTATTATTTCATTGATCTTTTTCAAAATATGAAAATTCAAATGGATTATTATGCCATTAAAAAAAAACGAAACAAACGAAACTGTAGTTACTGTAGATTCCTTATTTTCGCAAAATGGCTCTTTCACGTCAAATTGCGAGAACAATAATTCGCGAGTGGACAGTTGATCAAGGGATCAAGGGATTTTATATTGATTTCAGCACCATAAAAATAAAAGCGAGTATTTTATTTCGCGAGTAGTGCTTCTCGCGTAATTATGCGATAATTAATTCCTCGCATATATTTAGGAATCTACAGTATACTGGTAGAACAACATACACTTTAATTGTTTATTACATGTACCAACAAAATCCAATCTGATTTCTAACATTTTTGTGTTTTATTCACTCTGAGATTAAGAAATCTGGTGTGGAAAACTTAATAGAAAAAACTTGTTTCATATATATATATATATATATATATATATATATATATATATATATATATATCTACATTGGAAGGTGAATTAAACACCTTTTTTTTAAATTATATATTATTTCTCAATATTTCACCACACTATAATATACAAAGACACACCTTGGTCCTTGTGCAAGAGATACACCTGTGCTAAGTGCATCCACTGATGCTGTTAACACTACTCACACTGGGCAACGTCTCCTCTCAATAGTTCAACATTTGCTATTGATTGGTAAATCCCACATACATCAGCAGCAGCAGAAAACTCGGTAAACACCAGGAGTATTGATAGTCAATCAACAGAATGACAAGCAACAGGCAGAATCAGGAACCAAGGCCTTGGGATATAAGTGTAACACAACCAGGTAGGAATTTTATACAACATTCAGAAAACATTTTATCATAGAGTAGGGATATTTCATCTTTTATGACTTTGAAGTAAATGTATCATATTGTTCCTCATGAAACAGAGAAAAATTAAGATTACAAGCTCATCTGCTAAGACTCTAATTAAGCTTTCATAATAAATATATATACTTAGTATATAACACAGTGTATGATACTGAATGATATACATGTGTATATACATATATATCAGATGGAGTCTGTGGTGATTGGTAATGGTAATTTCTCCATTTTCTGAAAGCAGTTTGAGTTATTTTTGTAATATGTATGGAATTTTTTTTTTTCAAAAAATAAGGAATGTTTTCAAATGATTGAAATTAGAGTTTTTATCATTGAGTAATTTAAAAAAAAAGTACTAGAAGACCTAAAATTTAATAATAATTAATAATTGCCTGTTCTATATATATATAAGTTTTCAGTATTTGGGGGACATACTTCACATGAAGGAATGTCTAAAAATTAATACCTTTGAAAATTTTAATTTTGAACATGTAAAAATTGATACACAATCAAATACATGCTGAAAGAGAACTATATAGCTCTGGATCAGATCATTTTACAAACCATGTACACAACAGTTTGATCTTAATATCAGATCGCACAGTAAAGATGTCATTTGAAAACAGAGATTATTGATTTCATTAAAGTTGTGCCTTTTTTGAGAATGTAGAATGAATAATGGATAACATTAAGTTGTTTGTCAATCTGGAATGACTCAAAACCCCAGAAGGAAGTTCCTGCTAACCGAGAAAAGCTGCACAATCAATTTAAAATACCAGTCAGATTTAGATGGAGAAAAATGAAACAACATGGCCAATGAATACTGACGTACAATGTTGGATATGGCCAATTGTATTCAAAACTATTACATTGCTAGTATGCAAAATGCATCAAATTTTTATTAAAATACAATTTTGGAAATGTATTTAATTTGCAAAGTGATACTTTAATAGCAATATTTACCCTGGTCAGAAGCTTATGATTAAATGTAAATATATAAAGGGTTTAAGGGATTAAATCACTAAATTACATTATAGTAATACATGTTGAATTTTTAATGCTTTAAAAGAATATAGAAATCTGTAAATAACAAAAATTAATTCAAAGACCAAAAAAAAAAAAAAAAAAACGGTAAAGCTTAAATTTAACAGAAATTTAATTAAGGGCATTGTTTGTATTAAAATACCTGTAAAGTACTTGTTTACAAATGATTCAGCATTTTCCCTTGGGAAATGATAGCCACTAATTACGTGTTTGGCTTCTTTATTTATTAAGAGTATACAAGAGATAGATAATTTATAATGAAAGCTAGCATCTGACAGCTATGAGTCTGGTCTGGCAATTGCAGAGTCCATCAGAGAGCTGATTTCCCTCCATAGCTCTCTATAGGTGATTGATAATTAAGGCTGATTGTTACTGCTATGAGAGGATGGTATTAAATGGAGGATGATAACATAGGTTGTCTATAATAATTTGCTAGTATAAAAATTTTCTTGGACAGCAAGTGCATACAGCTTGTGGTTTCTGCAGGTTTGGTTGAATATTTGTTACACTATATGGCCATGCAGGCTAATATCCTAGACAAAACCTTGCAGTGGAATTGTCTTTTAAGTCAAATTATCGATGATCCCTGGAGTTGGAGTTTTTAAGTAGTCTTATTCAACACCTGTGCAGTCCACTTTGAATTCCGACCCTCATTTTAAATCCCATATTTGACTGATTCCTATGTAAACTTTACAATGTGCAGTCCTACACCCTGTCTATTCTGACACTGTCTCCCAAAGCATGTCAGATAAGACAGCTAGGTTTCACTGTATTAATTAATATGTATCAATTGAAAGAGAGATTTAATATTAATATTATATAATTTCATATTATTGTTGAAAAATGTTACAGGAGGACAGGAATTTGTAGCGTCAAAATAAAATTAGAGTGTATCATCATGATCATATTGTAGAAATTGGTTTATAATTATACATTTAAAAATAAAGATTATTAGAAAACAGTATTGAGATATATAATAATGAAATGGAGACTTTTAAGATGTACAGTAAATATTAATCAGATTAAAGTATTTATTTAATAATATGTTTGTCAAATATTATCCCAACAAAAATACTATAGGATATCCTAAATTCAGGGCTTTCAAAAAGATTAGAAACAGGTGAAGGAGGAGCCTTCTTGTGGAAGGGATTTTAATCAAAAATGTTTTATTCAAATATATAAATATGTCTCCAACAAATTTTTTGGCCGGTACAATCATGATTTTAACCGGATAAAAGTATATATTGACAGATTTTGAAAGGCCTACTAAATTACAAATCATACAGGAGATTACCACAGATCTCAGTGGATTGTCTCTTTAATTCTCATATGACTTTACACTTTGGATAAAAGATGTTTATAACATTACATGCACTTTCATCAGTGAAATACTGCAATTTATTACTGGAGTAAAGGTGTAAGAAAAAAAAAATTGTATCAATGATATTTTTTCACAGTGTTAAAAATATCAAAGTGATATTTTTTAACACTGTGAAAAATTACCAAAAGTGCAGCAATTGAACTCCATAGCCTGTTATAAGGTAGCAGAAGTATAAATAAAACTATCTTGACAGAGACTTAAAAACTGCCAAAGTTTTTACAAATTTTTGCTAAAATCCATGATTACAATTTTCAATCTCACAATCACTTTTCCTTCGATGCATGTCTTCAAACAACCACTGAACAGTAGCTATGATATCACACCTATAGACACTGCATTAATGTGAAAACACAAAAGGAAAATCAAAGATGATGTAATAAACAGAAAATTCAAGGGTTTGTTATTGAATATGGAATTCATTTGTCTTGTGAGTCAGGATTTTTTTTAATATTTTCACATGTGCTTTGTACTCCTGTCCTACTCATGAAATAAGTTCTAAATCAACTACAAAACATTGAATTTCCTCTGTGTATTTTATGGGTAAACTTTTTTAGAACTTTTCCTCTCCCTCCCTAAGCAAGCACTTCGAGATTCAAGATCTTTGATAGAACAAGATTTAGCAAAGGACATATAAATTATTGTTTTCTTATTTTTGTATGAAAATTATGATGGGATGTATCATATGATTCTGAACACAAACAGGATTAATATACACAAAGTTATGAAGTATATTGCCTTGAAATAATATAGTCTTTTTTTTTAACGATGAGTGCAAAATATATAACAACTACAGTCATTTGTATAACCTTTGTTATCATATCTAATGACAAAAGATAGTCTATAGGAGATTGAACTGCTTTACCCTGGACATACTGACGTTTGACTGCTCAGGTATATTGTGGAATTTCATCAGTTTTCAGGAATTCGATCAGGAGCTTAAGGGTCTTATATAAACAAAGAATTGGTTGAACTTAGTGCAGGCACATTAGAAAAAAGAAACAATTGACTAAACTTCGGGAATTGTATGTGGTTATCACTGCGCCTGTTAGGAGTATAATCAGAGAATTTCTTTTTTCTTTTTTTTTTTTTTTTTTTGAGTGGAATAAAGTGGTCTCTTTGTGTTGCAAAGCCTTTCGGTTTATCTTTCAATTATTTAGGAATGTAAAGTGGAGTGAATGTAAAGTGGAGTGAATTTAATTTCAAAGAAACAATATATCGTACGTTACATGACTTCAGGGTAAATTAGAAACAGAATTCATTATAGAACTGTTAGATAACATGGATGATGAAGAAAACAAAATACCGGTATGATTATGGAACCTGAATGCTGCTAGCATGATTAAATGGAATGTATATTTAACCTTGACCTTATGTGAATTTAACACTGTTCAGTGTCCTGACACATCCACTGATCTGTTTCCAGGTTGAACCATTACAAGGTTATGTAATGAAATGAAGATATTACCTGTGACCTTGTCAAAATGATTTAGGTCAGGGACAGGCATTACTCTCTGATCATAATCTTTATGCCAGGTGTAAGCTTATAAATCTGAATGTCCATCATGAAGATATAAATTGCAAAAGAAATTTAATGTACTTACATTTCCTGTGACCTTGACCTTGAAGTCAGGGTTCTGTGTGATTATGATGCCTTGCCTAACTATTTTTTATTAGCTTCTAACACTTCCATATTACAAAGTAATGGACCAGCACAAGACTTTGGCATAATAATTCCAACATTAATACCAAACCTGTAATTGTGCTATATCTGAGCTTATCATGAGTACAAGTACTTCAATAGTTTTGAGTAAAGTAAAAGTTGTTGACACCCAAATATACAAAGAAATAGACTAAAAACAATACCCCCAACCCACTTACACCACTAATGGTGACAGCTCAATCACCATCAGTTCTTCAATTTAGGGGGCATGAAAAAGCAAAGAAATCTTAGATCTTATGTACTTTCAACAAAAGGTGTGAATTATTGTCACTATATGAAAGTGGGAGGTTTTCATTATGATTAGAGGAATAGACTATCCCTATAAAGTGACAAAGTTTGTTTGCCTTAAATCCAATTTACGCAGCTTACTACTTGATGCAATCAAATTTAAACAGTTTTCATCAGTGTTAAACTAATGGTATTAAGAGACCTTCTGGCATGGGCTCTCATTTGAATTCATTTACTTTAAAGTACCAGCAAATGCATTGATTTTTATAATGGAAATTTTTTGTTTGTTTTGGTGTCTTGATTTAGACTTTCTTTAATTGACGGGGATTTATTTTAGAAGTCTTGACTATTTTTTGATGCCATAAATTGATCTATAACAAAGTTTTCCCATTTAGTCTCAATAGTTTACTATCCATCTACAGAATGTATTGTGTTGGGATTATGTAGAGTCTTTATACACCACTCAATCTCTGTCAATATAGTCTCTAAATGCAGAATCAGGAATTGTTGTGTGATGCCAGAGAATAAATCTATTTTTCTAATGCAGTATTAAACAAGATTGAATGTGTACATAAATAGAAATGCAGCATTAAACCATGAGGATAAGTGGTTACAAATTGTGGTAGAGTTGTGCAATATATGGATATTCTCAGCAGGGCTTCACACAAAGGAATTGTGTGATATGTTCTTTAAGCTTAATAGATGTCTGTAATATACATCTTTAAGTTAATGACAGAGAATCAGCTAGGCTAGCTAGTTCAATAACTGTAGATTAGATTTTTGCTGCCCTATCAATTTTTAGAGATCACCTCTTGATACATTCTCTGTATAGCCTTATTTTCAAGAGGAATAAATTAGCATCTCTTATGAGAAATATGCTGATTTTTTTTTTCTAAATTAAGCCTTCCTCTTTAAACAATGCTTAACATGATTAATCTTGTATCCAAATACTAACTGAAATTGAATGTTTCTTGATGTTCAATCTTTTATGTTACATTTTCTGGTGAAATTGTCATGAATTTATAAATTTTCAATTTTCATTTACAGAATGACCCTGAGATCAAGATGGAGTGAGAGGTTGCCAGGGTGATGGAGTTCCGAGCAGAAAGCTTGGTAACGGTGTTCTTTACAGCTCTTATTGTCTGCTTCAATACCCTCACTCTTCTGGTCATTGTGTGGACAGAATCCATTCGGAACATCAACAAAATCTACTTTGCCTCTCTGACAGTGTCAGACCTTTGTGTTGGGGTGTTTATCACACCATTTGCAGTTTTCAGCTCTTTCAGCAACTCATGGATTGTCAATGATGAAAAATTCTGCCACATCGAGGCCTACCTTCTGGTAATTTTCTTCATTGCAGGTTTGTATTCCTTAGCATGGATCAACGTGGACCATTATCTTGCCATCAGAAAACCACAACGACACAAAGTTGCCATGACAACTGCCCGTTCCCTGTGCTGGATCATATTTGTATGGATTGGGGCTGTCAGTTTCTGCAGTCCCACATTGTTCTCTTTCAAGAAACAAGCAAAGTATTATGAAGAGGTTTTTCTGTGTTCCATAAATGCTGGTTCTCATAAGCCATACTTTGTAACCGCTGGTATACTGGTCATCTTGCCTGCTTTCTTTGCATTGGTGTCCACCAATGCGTACCTCTTTACAAAGTCATTCCGTAAAAAGAGACACATGTATCAAACCATTCTGATAGATACAGCCTCACGACCAAATAACTATTTCATGAACTTCATAATTTCCATGATTTTTCTGATTGCATGGATTCCATGGCTAGTACTACAGATATATGGTGAATGTATAGAAAATATTTCTGATTATCCGCATTCAGTGCATTTTTATTTGTTGTGGTTTGGAATTGGAAATTCCTTTTACAAATTTTTTGTGTATTTGGTTTGGAGTCGTGATTTTCGACGTGGTCTACGAAAACTCTGTTGTCATAATGATTGTCGGTGTCCAGAATGCTCAATGCCCCAAAGTGCAAGTTTAAACTTTGTTACAGTGACTGCAGGAAAATAATATCTATATTACGATAAAATGTAACACTGCCCTATTAGTAATACATGTCTGTTTAAAAGCAAAGCTATGTCAAACCCATAGGGAAAGATATTGCTTTGTCATTCATTTAAACTAGTTTGAAATTGTAATCAATTTTAATTTCTTGAAAGCACAATGTTTGACTTTATTGGCTTAAATGAATTTAGTTTTTGGACTCCTTGAAACATTTGGTAAAGTTTCATGTAGTTCGATAATACTTATACCTAGATAACAAAAATTGGCATTTTCCAAATTTTTGGGTTTTAATTGGTGGAATATATCATTTCAGATATATATCTCTGGAGCAATATCATAGAAGTAGTATAATACAATTAATTATTATCACTCAAAACCAGTCTAGTAAAACTTTGTTATAGGCCTTAGGTCCTCTAAAAGTAATCATATGTCCAGTAAGAAAATAATAGACTTGCGTGCCCCAACTGTAAATTCTACAGAAGTTTGTAAAATGTCAACACAAAGACTTACTATCTCCACTTAATCTTTGTCAATAGCATTTCGTGGAATTGCACTCCATTTTGTGATCATCACATCATTACCAGTTTGCAAGTCTAAAAATATTGGGTGAAGTTCATCAAGTTTGGACCAGCCATTGATTTTTATCTAATGTAAACTACTTTTTAATAGCTTGGTGATATTGGTGAGATTTTAAGAGTCATACATGTCTCTTATTTATAATTAAGTGACTATATTAATTTTAGTTCATTTTCATAAGCTTGCTGTGATGTTATAAATTTATGCTGTGATAAAAAATGGAATTCCAGAGCATCATTTTTATCCATGTATATCCAAGCATTAACCAATTTTTTTTATATATATAAAAAAGCACCATTTAAAATTGCACACTCAGTAAATTTTATAGTGCAAATTGTTACTTATGACACTTGTATGAATAAAGAGTAGTATGCAGAGGTAGCAAATCAAACACACCCATTTAAATGTAAACATCAACATCAAACACTGGTGTTTGATGTAATGTTGCGAAGAATGTTTTTGTCATTGAATTTTAAGAATTTTCATGTAAGTTCAATGAATTCTTTATTTTTGAGTTAAACTAGAAAATTAGAATTCTAAACAAAATGGCAATGGAACTGTGTCCATTTCCCTTTGAATAATATCTGTTTTATGATAGCTAAATTATTAAATCAGATATTTACAGGTACATGTTTCTGGTATAGGCTTTTTGGTTAACACAGAATACATGTAATGTATGCATTATACATCTTAGCTGGCTACTGAAATTTTTTTGAAAATATGATAAACTGATCATGGTGTTGATGCCATTTTCTTTATCTGTTGCAATTACCTATTTGTTTGTAATTGCATTGATAATTCTTGTTTATTTTAATTATTTGATATTCATGAAAATCTTTGTTCATTATATTTTATAATATTGATGTATATAAGTTGATTTTTCTATACATGTATATTGTGTATTGTTTCTCATTTGAATTTTTCGTCTCAATGAGACCGACACCATTCCAAACAATTTCAATTCCTTGCGTATAAATAAATTCCAGGGCGAGAATGGAGTACCGTATATACTCGCCTATAAGTCAGATTTTTGGGAGTTAAACTTTGGTCTAAAACTCTATGGCTGACTTATAGGCGAGTTATAAAAAGATTGGTATTTTAGAAAGTCAATCCTTCTAATATAAGCTTCAAAAATACAGCCGACTTATAGGTGGACCGACTTATAGGCGAGTATATACGGTAAGTGTACTTATGTATTTATATCATTACTGATTGGTTCCCATGTACTTATGATTAGAATTATATTTTGTCCACCATATTGTTTGAGGAAATCAAATAATGTTTATGTTGTAAGTAGTCACAATTTTTTGGCTGCAAGGAAAAGGTTCAAGAAGGTGCTGAAGTTTTTTTTTTTTTTAAAAAGAGATTGAAATAAGCTATGTTCAGTTACTCAGCTTTTGAAGTCACATGTTTTTATATTTTCCAATATGCATGGCTATATGTACCCTAATAAAAACACTCAAAGTAACTATAAAATATGGATGTAGTTGTTTTCTTTTATAGAAATATGCAATGTTGGCATGCAGTGTGTTTCAAGTGGTAGGCAATTCACTCTGTGGAATCGATACGCTTGAAATTATTTCACATTTGGTTTGTGTCAAAAAGATAGTTCTTTCATGGTTCTATTAAAACAAAATACATGTAATTCTATAGACAGAAGTGATGAATCAAAACCAAAGGTTTAGTTTTGGTGAACATGCAGTATAATAACTACATGACCATTTGTTAAGCAAACTATTATTTCCATGGCATTAAGTCTTATAAAAAAAAAAGATAAGTTGGTACAGAAGTATCATTGGCAATATATTACTTATGATTACAGCTTAATGTATGATACCATTGTGTTACTGATCTGGAATGGACAGTTTCCCCTGATAAGTTGCAACTTCATCTGGCAAGATGAGAATGTCAGCATTATCTCTTGTGAGAATTGGTATTCATCATACACTGTTCAAATGGCATACAAGCTGAAAAACAAAAGGCACATTTCTAGATTACATGTATAGTATATATGCATCTACCTGTGCAGCCAAATCTGACCTAACAATTATGAACACTCAGAAAATGTGAACACTCAGAATTGAGTAAGCCCACAGCTCCATTATAAATGTGAACACTGAGAATTGGGTATGCCCACAGCTCAATTATAAGTGTGAACACTCAGAATTGAGTAAGCCCACAGCTCCATTATAAATGTGAACACTGAGAATTGGGTATGCCCACAGCTCAATTATAAGTGTGAACACTCAGAATTGAGTATGCCCACAGCTCCATTATAAATGTGAACACTCAGAATTGAGTATGCCCACAGCTCTATTATATTAGTGTGAACACTCAGAATTGAGTATGTTCACAGCTCCATTATAAATGCTCCATCCTGCTTGTCATTATCATTAATTTGCAATGAAAATAACATAAAATTTATAAAATTGAAGATAATAAAATTTTTCTGATTTGAATTAATCTAGATAAAAATCAGATAAAAACTATTGCGATACCAATTAAAGAGGAAAAAAATTACATGTGTGTGAAACGTGTATTTTAAAAAAAAAAATATGAACCTGCTAGACTGATTTCATCTATATTTGGTAACTCTAATGGTCAGCTAGAATAAACAGCATGCTGAGGGCAGATCAGATCTCTCCACAAGTAATGTTATGGGTAACCATCTTCATGTTGATATGATTAGTCTCTATCATGACATGGTAATCTGTATGATTGTCAAAATATTGTTTCTCAATGCCTCTTGATGATTACTCTGAAATCACTCATTTTTGAGGTGATGTCATTTTTGTTGTTTTCGTGGTAAACCCCACGAATCCATGGCTTCACCAAATAATAATTAAATGTACAATATGTCCAATATTTTTTATCAAATCCCCATGAATCAATATTATTCTTTAAACCACAAAAATTTGAACTTCAAAAATAATGATTTTAACAGTATCTGATTTAAGTGGGATTTATTAATTATTATTTGTTTTTTTGTTTCTGTTTTTGTTTTTTATTTTTAATTTAGAAAATATCAATTATTTGGCAATGCTTTCAGAGCGAAAAGGTAAAAAAGTTCATGACTCTTATGGATTTTCTCACCATCACAAAAGACCTGCAGCCAAAAGTATTTGTATGGTATCCCAAGTGGCAGTGACACCTTAAAAGAATCCACTTTTTCCCGCTGAATAAGGCCAAAGCAATCAAGTACAGATAGATTCTGGCCAATCAATGGGCTGGTCATTAGAGCTATCCCAGAAGACTTAAGGTTTTCCATGATAGATGATGATTAATTTCCTCCCAAATCCTACTTGTCAAAGGGTGAAGAAAGATCATTAGAAGCAAATAACTGTTGATTATTGGATTTGGTTCCTTTTTACTGCTACAATGAATCTTCTCTGACCCCTCTCCATGTTAAAGTGGTATATCTTAGTGGTTTTTGGAGAGTTATTAATGTATTCATGGAGGCAGACATAATGTAATTTATGGTTTTTGACATATTAATGGATCCTGTTGCTTATATGGCTTGTAGATTTCATGGCTAGTTTGTTGTGATTTATTACCTTTGATCAGGCCTGATATACGGCTTAAGGATTCCATTTTATGTAACAGAGCATTTTGATATATTTTTGCCATTTGACAGCTAGCTAGTGGAAAGGACTTGTGCATCAGATTCTAAAGGTGGACTCGGTTTCATTCCAAAGTTTACTTACTTAAGGAATGAATTTAATACTGTAGCTACCCAAGTTATACTGTATAACGATTAACCTGGGTTGGGGCAGTTTACGCTTTTTAAACCGCAAAGCTGTTTATAAAAAAGCGTAAACTGTTCCAACCCATGTTATATACTGTAGATCACTAAATTTTCACGACACCTTATTTTTGCGAGATAGTCATTGACTCTTTATTTAATAGTGAGACAAAATGTTCATGAATAGTGGTATTGCTCTATATAATCTTATCAAATACTATTATATGCGAGAATGAAATTTTCGCGAGCACACTGTCTCGTGTAATTAGGCAAAAATTAAGTTCTCCCAAATAAAAAGTTATTTACAGTACCAGTATAACTTGGGTAATTATTAAATTCATTCCTTATAATTTTCCATCATTAAGTGTAGAAAATAAGATAATTTCTCCTTCAAAATGTACATAATTTAAATATAACGTCAAGCGGAATGATATGTTTTTGATGCAAGTCATTGTGAGTACTGATGTAGGAAAAACAGGTTATACAATATAAACTAATTTTTTAATCCAATAAAATGACGCATAATAACCAAAATTAAATTAATAGAACTTACCCAAAGTACAAACTAAAAGTGAAGTGGATAATCAGGAAAACCATATTTGAGTCTTCCATAAATGGCCCTGTATATTGTAGCACAAAGTAATGAGAGAGACACTGATAAAATCATTCATTTTTAACTGCAGCTGGTCACAAATTCAAAAATTGGAAAGCCTTGTCTAATGAGCCTTTTTGCTTTGGACTCAAATATTGTTTCAGCACACAGTAATGAGAGAGACACTGCTATAAATATCCATTTTGAGTTTTTAATTTAATATGATTCAAATCATCATGACTCTATACCTTCTATAGGTAAAGTTAAAATCTTGTAACTAATCATTCTCTGTTCTGTTCAATTAGCAGGTCAAATGTAAATGCAGATTCTTTTTAAAAAGTCTTTCAGTTTTCTGCTATTGAACACTTAGTATTTGTAGATTCCAATTCTGTAATGAACCTTTGCCTTTATGGGGAAGGATAATAATTGGTACATTTCATAAATAATTTATGAACAGAAAAATTAGAGGCAGAAAATATAATCATTAGATATTCATGAGATTGTCTAAATATAATGCCAAATGATATGTTGATTAATTATTCATTACTTAATGATTACGTAAGTAACTTCTGGAATTCTGATTTTATTTTTACATGAAAGAGGAACCCAGTTCTTGTATCGTGATATTCTAAAATATTCAGGCTCTGAAGCTACAAATTACTGTAAACACAAGAATGCAGACCTCTTTTGATTTTGAATCAATTTGATGCTGTGAGAGTAAAATGAATGGAGGGCATAAATCTGCGGAAATTTTGAAATAGCTCACAAATCAATTGCAGCAATTATTGCATGTGAAATTTATTCGCCTATTCTTTCAATAATACCGGGAAAATATTTATTGTTGCAAGTATAAAGATAACTTTTTAGTCTTTTTATACAGCCATGTGAAGTACTTAACTAGTTGTTCCAAGGAATGCATGTGTCTTCTTGCATAGCATCATTAAAGATGTAAATAAATCTAACAGTGGCCAGGTATTTACATTTTCATTACCTTTGGGGGGGGGGGGGGCACAACCAAATAGAAACAAGAAATTTCTTTTGAAAGGGGGATGTCATCAAATGTTATAAAAGGAGCACAATGATAAAAAAGTACAGTAAAACTCGTTTAGTACAAACATGGATATAGCGAATTTACAGATATAGCAAAGTTTTTTGCAATCCCCGGCGAAATTCTTAACAATTCCTTGTAAACTTTTATGGATATAACAAACTAGGATATAGCGAATTTACAGTTATAGCAAAATGATTTTGTGTCCCCTAGGAGTTAAATATAACGTAATTTACATTTTTTATAGATCTTTCAAATATCTTAATTTTTAAAATGTTGAACTGACAATAATTTCGTAAGTATTTATATTTGAAACTCAATTCATTCTTAAACTTTTGAACTCCAAGATAAATTTTATAATTATACTTCCCTTAATACATTTGGTAGTCACGCTTGAAGGATAAAATTGGTATAACAAATTTGCTATGCATACTTTAACAAATTCGTTATGCAGATATATTGAAGTACGGAAAAAGTGAAGTAAATTGGCAGGTCCCCAGAACTTCGCTGTATCCAAGTTTTACTGTAAATACCTTATACAGGGATATTTTCACCCCCGTTTTATTTTTCGCCCCTTTCACCCTAGTCATAAGTGTGCGAATTTTAGACAGGATGAATTCAAAAAAAAAAAGCATAATTTCTTAAACAAAACTGTGACTAGGTGAAATTAAAATGGGGCAAAATTGTTTGCAAGTGTGAAGGGGCAAAAATAACATGGGGCAAAAATAACCCTGTATACAGTATATACATGTATTGGCAAAATTATTGGGGGGAAATGGCTTTCCATTGTTCGCTATTTTTGAATGCATAAACTATTTTAATTTTAGCTCTACTGGTCAGAGACCGGAAGAGCTTTTGCGATAGTAAGGTGTCTGTCTTGTCTGTAAACAATTTATTTTCAAAAGGCTACTCCTCGTACAGTTTTGATCTGATTTCAATATAACTTAGCACACAAGTAGACTACACTAAGATACATAATTCTTTTTATCGGTTTTTGATTCGATGAACGTTGTGCCACGGTTACTAAAACTAGAAATTTCTTTGAAATACTTTCAAAACACTATACTCCTACTACAGTTTTGGTCTAATTTCAATATAACTTGGCACAAAAAGAGACGAAACCAAGGATTACTTTCCTATTGAGTTTTTATGACTGTTCCAAAGTGCTACTTTTCCTTTATTATAAATAGAAACCAATAGAGCTACAGTCTTGTCAGAGACTTCTGGTTTATATAAGCCTTGAGAAGTAAAAATTGCTTATACAAAGTAAATTGAATGGTAAAAAGCAGATCAGAGACCTTTGTGGTTTGGTCTTGTCATTACTGCGTGTAAGCAGGTGCAGTATTGTTACTGCTGAACATGGCAGAAAATGATAACTATTATTGATATTTACTCTGAAGCAAAAGCAATTGGATGTGCGTTATCAGTGTCGATTGTGTTGGTCTTGATGGGCCTTTAATAACACTCGCAGCTTAAGAAAGCAGACACCCTTGAGAGGACAATTTGCTGGGAACCTGACTGGAATATGTCAATTCCTATCTGAGGTTCAGCTGATGTTGTTGTACAGTAGGTGACAGGTTTTCATTCTCATTCAATGTTTCTTTCATGTATAGGTCCATGCAGGTCTACTGTTTCAACCCACACATCTCTGAAACAGCTTATCTGGAAGTTTCACAAATTAGAACTGTTGCATTCATTCATACATTGAATGAGGTCTATATATCTGCTATCAATTTTTTGTAGACTCAATTAAAAGTGTGCATTTGTAGTTATATTTTTGGTGTTTATTACAAAGATGCTGACACAACAGTATGCACAGTAAACAAGATGATATTTTGAAAGTGAATATTATTTAAGGTCATAAATTTCAAACGTATTTGACCTTTAATTAAGTTGTGCATAATGAATGGGACTGACAGAAACTGGATTTTTTTTTAACAAAAAAGTAGCTTAGAACTATATGAAAGCCATTTGGTGCCAGATAGAAAAAATATTTTATCTGGCAGTCTCCAGAAATGTTTCTGGCGGCTGCCAAATAATTAACCAAAAACCCCAAAAAGTGACAAAAAGAGCAAGGGCCACTTAGGGCCTTTTTTGGCCCTGTGAGTTTCTGAAAAATCTAAACTGCTCAGTTTTGACAATGCAGTATTTATCACTTGGACCCTTGGTGACCGTGTATCTATTGATTCAGAACATGACGTAATTTAATCCATTAATAAGTCAATGCATTATGTCGTCATGAAATGCATCATTTTTACCATATCCTGTAAATTCCTTTAAAAATGGTCAAAAGTTGGAGTATTTTTTCAATATTTTATATAGAGCATAACCTCTGATCCAAAATATGCAATTACATAATGAAAGGTCTGTTTCTTAAGATCATGGAACAGGTTTTAATTTTTGGATCGAGGGCTGTGCTCATATTTTAATTCTTTGCTGAATGTAGTCAAATATGCCTGTTTTCTGCAAAATTCCAAAACATTGCATTTTCACAAAGCCTGTTTTCTAATACCTGAATTCTCAAAAAGAAATTTTGTTATAGGAAATGAGAGCGCTTAAAGTCTCTACTTCATTTTTAGCTCACCTCAACGAAGTTGGGGGAGCTTATGTAATACCGTCGGCGTCCCAGGTTAAGGTTTTTGGAGCAGTTTTCTTTTCAAGTACTTCTATGCCCTATATTAGTCAGAGATGCATGGAGGATGCTTCTAGTGTGTTTCATTGTACCAGTCAAGGTTTCAGATGCTGCAATTTCAGCTAAAGAATGACCAGGTTAATGTTTCTGGAGCAGGTTAAAGTTTTTGGAGCAGGTCTCATTTCCAAGTAACTATAAGCCCTATATTGACCAAACTTGCATGGATGATACATCTAAGGATGCACACTACTGGACTTGCTTCGGATGCTGGATCTGACCTATATTTTCTGGATGAGTGACCAGGTTAAGGTTTTTGGAGTAGATCTCATTTCCAAGTAACTAAAAGCCCTATATTGACCAAACTTGCATGGATGATACATCTAAGGATGCACACTACTGGACTTGCTTCGGATGCTGGATCTGACCTACATTTTCCGGATGAGTAACCAGATTAAAGTTTTTGGAGCAGATCTCATTTCCAAGTAACTATAAGGCCTATCTGAACCAAACTTGCATGGATGATGCATCAAGGGACGAACAATCTCAAAACTTGCTTCGGATGCTGGATTTGACTTACATTTTCTGGATGAGTGACTAGTTTTAAGTTTTCAGATAAGTCTATTCCCAAGTAACTGCAAGCCCTATCAGACCAAAATTGCATAAATGTTGCATCTAGGGATGCACACTCCTAGATTATTAGTTTAGTGTGGGTCACTTTGCCTTACTTAAAGACAACATTCGTTGAGGTGAGCTCTGTAATCTCTGATTACGTATGTTGATATATGAAATGGGACATAAGGTGATAGTCAATTAATCGATACAAGAACAGGGCCATTTTATGCATAAAGTGAACCTAGCTCTTTCTACTTTGACCCAATTAAATCTTTTAAAAAATGAAGGACAATAAAATGTCTATGCCATAACTTCTTGACTGAACCCTTGACTGAAGAATTTCAAATGTGGGAAATAGAACAGCTTTATTACTTAAGGTAGATGCAATGCACCGTAAAGCCCCTGTCATGAGTTAGAGCTATTTCAAATAAAAAAAAAATGCAGGAAGTCAGGGTTCATTCATTCATTTATAAGTCATAGGATATCATCTTAATTCATGTTTATCGGCAATTGTTTTGAGCATCACAACAATCATGGCTGCAGAACAATATTCAATTATTCATGGACCGTCATACAAAACACTTGCACTGCTTTTGTTTATTCATGTTAAATCATCAAATTTTGTGTTTTGTAGGACATGTACTTGAGACACTGTGAGTGTTCTAAGTTAATGCTGTGTCCTTCAATAAAATTCCTACAACTTACCATGAATTTTATTTGAATCAATAGGGAAGTTGTACAGGTTTGCAACATTACAGAAAAAAATACAAAAACTGAATAAATTTGAAATACGTAATTTTTCCTGCAAGATTGCAACTGTTATATCCCATAAAATACAACAAAGACATTTTATTGCTTATATTGCTTATATTTATATCTTTTGTTGAATTATTTTTAACCATTAATCTTCCATATTTGGAGAAATAGATGACTTAAAAAGAACTAGTCCTACCCACAGGTATAGATTTAGAAGTCATTTGTTTTTTTCTCTAGATAACAGCCATGAGATTTTTGTAAGAAAATCAATGGATGCATTGCAGATGAAAACAAAATACTCATAAAGAAGGACAAAAATTGCAATGTAGGACATTTTAGTCTTGCAGAAGAATTCAAAATGCTGAAACCTATTAATATTAACAGATTATGTCTCTCTAATGAGCTATATCAAAACAGATTAGGTGGAAGTTACATCATGTCACATCTAGACAATTTACCAAAATTGCCAGCTTTACACATTGTTTAGTATGGTAGACACATGACAAATGATGATATGTTCTTGGACTTTCATTTTCAGCGTTTCTATGGGAAATCATTACCCTTTGGGAACCAGAGTTTTTCTCATCCATATATTGGGTTGCTGAGCATTGAACAGGCCCTCGGGGATTATGCAGTTTTGTTGACCACCCTGACACAGGAACTGAATGCTACTTCCTGTCCAGTTATCACCTTTGGTGGAAGGTTTGACAATATTTTTTTTTTTGGAGTTGTTGCCTTCACAGTTTGAAAAGATTTAAATAAGATATAATGAAGTGAAACACCCATTTATAATTGTTATAAAAATTATTTTATTCCTGGTATTATGTGCATACAAAAGTATGTTTGCAATTATTGGAAAAACAATTAAGCTCATTCTACATGTTTGTTGATATTTATTGATATGATTAAAAAAAATGACTGGCTGAAGTGAAGATGCCAAGATAATAATATATCATCACAATACTGATTTGACAAATCCTAGTTCTGCTTCATAACTTTCTGAATAAAAAAAAAATAGTTAACCAAACTGTTGATGAAGGCAATGTCATGACATTTGATATATTTTTTTTTTGTTATTATTTTTTTTTTTAGCTATGGGGGGATGTTAAGTGCCTATATAAGATTCAAGTATCCAAATCTGGTAGCAGGAAGCATTGCAGCAAGTGCCCCCATTTATCTCCTGGCCGCGGACTCGAAGAGGGATTTTTTCTGGGAGGATGTAACTAAGGTAATATTGTTTAATGCAGTAGTTATGATCATTATATTAAGGTTAAATATATTGAAAACAACTTTGTATGGTTATATTGTCATGGCTGGAATCTCAAGAATTGTTATTGTTATAGTCACATAAAAATATGTCTTCACAATATAATTTTCTAAGGCTAATGTTTTTTATGGCAACTGTCTAGATTAATTTCCCTTGAATGTGCTCTTTTTTGTGGAAGTTTGATATAGCTAGTCCAAATTTCTTCAGAGAATTTTGGGTATAATTTCAGAGAGTAGACAAATAATTGCCACCTCATAAACATAACTAATCTTTTTTTTGTCAACAGGATTAACACCCCATTTTTTGTAATCATTCTCTCAACTTTTTACCAACAAAGAACTACGCACGCTAACTCCAATTCCTGCCTACATTTTAAACCCATTTAATTCTATACTAATGGCAATTTGCTCATAAAATCTTTGTTTAATGCAAAGAAGAGTTCAATGGTAATTGATTAATAATTTTGATACAAGTGTTAATAGTTAATTTAAGTCTTCATTTCAGATCATTTTATAAGGGGGTAGACGATGTTTTCCATTGAAATCAGGCAGGAGTTGTTAAAAATATTTTCCGTTTTCAGTTAATTTCTATGGTGAAAGACACAGGTGTTACCAAGATTATAAAGTTATCTCTTTTTGTTTTCCCAAAAAAGTAACGTTTTATGAAAATTAATATAAATATCTATATATAAATATGAAAAATCATTAAAATATGTTAACTCTTGAAAATTGACTTGGAGGTAGGTGGGAGAACAATACTATCGTTAGCAGTTCTTTATTGTGCTATAATGTGCATTTATCATCACGTCATTGTCCCCACCTATAGGTTGAATGGTTCTATAAAAACCAAGGAGTTCCCATAAAAGACAGATTTGGATTGATAGATCAGAATACAGTTAAAAAAGTTTTTTATGCCCTGCCATGAATGGCCAGGGCATATAGTGTTTGTCATGTCTATCTTCCATCCTTCTGTCTGTCCATCCCTCCATCTGTCCTTCCACCACACTTTGTGTTTTAACCTGTTTCAAAGAAACTATTCAATATATTTTTATAAAACTTTATATGCTGATGCATATTATTGAGAGCTTTTCAATGTCATTAAAATTTTTGTACTTGACCTTCACTTTGACCTTGATCTTGCTTTTCTTAGTAAGTATTCAGCTCAGTTTCAAAGAAAGTATTTAAGATATTTTCTATTAAAACTTGTATGTTGATACATACTGATGAGAACTATTTTACTTTAACAACATAGTTTGACCTTGACCTTTCCTTTTGACCTTGACTTCACTTTCCTAAAATTTGTGTTTAGTTAAGTTTCAAAGAAATTATTCCAAGATATTTTTATCAAACCTTATATGCTGATACATACTGATGAGAACTATTGAACTCCAGCAACATTTTTGGCCTTGACCCTTCCTTTGACCTGGACTTCACTTTTCTTAAATTTGTTTCAAAGAAATTATTCAAGATATTTCTGTTCACTGTATCAACATTTTTTAACCTTTTCCTGTCACCTTGACCTCACCTTTTCTTAAAATAATGTTAAGCTCAGTTTCAATGAAACTATATAAAGATATTTTAATCAAATCTAATATGCTGATACATATTGGTAAGAGCTATTCAACTACATTAACATTTTTTACCTTGATCTTTCCTTTGACCTTGGCTTCAAAAATGTATTCAGCTTAATTTCAAACATTCTCACAATGTCAAGGTTCTGTGATTTCGGAACTCTATTTAAAAGTTATTTAAAAGTTGGGCTAGAAAGCTACTATTTCATTTGTTCCTAGTCTAGCCTTGAGCTGCTTAGGGAGGCATCAATGTTTCACAAACACATCTTGTTTTAGTGTAGCTTTATATAGGAAACAATTTTAAAAGGTATAACAATAACAAATTTAACACAGCTTAGACCAAGAAATATTAAATGGTATTTAATCAGTGTTTAAAATTTTAAAATGAAGCAAAGTCTCAGAATTTTGTCTTTCTTTGATCTATGTAATGATTTCTTAATATTGCTAAATTTGGTTGATTATTTTTGTAGGATTTTAATGCAGTTTCTCCAAAATGTGTTGACATAATAAAAAAAGCATTTGTACAAATGGATGTGACTTCCACCAAACCTGGAGGTAAATGTTTGATAAATCTTTCATGCTGCCTAGTACATGTTTTGAATGCCATTCATCTAGGGCAATGACATCAAATCCTTTGAATCATAGATAATTGGTATACTTCAGTTCATTGTTCTATTGATTATTCCATATAAAGCAGTCAGAATATTTTTGTTAGATAGATAATTATGTAACATTATATGCAGGTTCCTGGCCTGTAGTCAACATCTTTGTTCCTGAATTATAAATGAATCACTGCAGGCAGACATGTAGGCCCATCTACAGTGCACATGTTAAAATGTCAGAGAGTCTAATATATAGTTATTTAGACACACCCCTTCATTTTATGATATAATCTGTTTTAATATGCTTCAGAAAATATTCACAGTAAGGCCAATTTTAAAATAATGTTTGTTTGCCTTATCCCGACTTAAGATGATAAAATTGGGTCGATAGGTAGGTGAAAAAAAAATTTCCAAGAAAATTTCAAGATCAATGCTAAATTTTTAAATTCTGTTATTTGGAATGCATTAAAAAAAATAATTGCTTCCTGGAGGTTAAAAGAAGCTTTGAGTCAGGCCATTTTTAGCCAGTCGGTAAGATGGGGCAACCAGACTTTTTTTTAAAGATGGCCTAGAATACTTGTATTGCATTGATTTATTATTATTTGTGCTTAGAATTTTAAAATCTCTGCATGGAGTCAAATTAGATAAGATATTGGGAAAACAGTCCAAGTTTTTCAATAATCACCAAGTACTTCTCATTAATTTGAAGTTTTTATGTGGACATTAAGTCTATATTTGTATCCCTAGTGCAACAATAGAATCTTCATGTGATTTAGATTTACTTCAGTCGTGTATTGACAACAGAAATTGGTACCTAATTACTGGGCTGCTGTTAGAGAACGATTAAAAAAAATGAACATGATTTAAAATAACTGTTAAGAATGAAACGGAACAGTAGCTGACAACACTCAGTACAAATCTAATTTGGTATATATAGATGTTCTGTCACATGCAACTTATAGTAGATTGTGTTAGGTCTACTTAATGTATGAAATTGCAAGGAGTGTTGACACATATCAGTATTTTACTTACATTTTAAAGACATAAAAAGCATGTAAAAAAAAATATAGGATGCAGTTCCAGAAGAAGAAAATCAAATAAGCACTCTTCTGGTAAATGCACACCATTTTCAAAAATAAAATTGCAAGAAGTGCAACAGAGTGTGTGAGATTTGAAACTTCCAAGCATGCAAGGCTGGATTTTTAGGTGTGGTTTGTGATTACTATGCTATGACAAGCTAGACCTTTGTGCTTGATGAGCTTACGCGATGGTAAAGTGTCCATTGTCTATCTGTCTGTAAACAATTTTTAGGTAATTACATGCATACAGATATTTAATTAAAAAACAACATTGTAGGTCTGAAACAGTTGTCCACTACATTTGGCCTTTGTAAGCCGATGACCTCTAACACCGACTACCGTCACTTTCTGGGATGGATAAGAAATGCCTTTACCTACCTAGCCATGATGGATTATCCATATCCGACATCCTTCATGGGTAATCTTCCAGGATACCCTGTAAAGGTAGACAATAGCATTGTTCTTCCTAATTTCTTCCAAACAATTTTACACCTTTCCATTTCTTTGTCTGCATGATGTTCATCTTTTGTATCTTTGTTTGTTTTGTACATATTTTATTGACAATGTGTCAAAGGGATTGGACACAAGTTCTAAAAACTTAGATATTCCTCTCCCATTTTGTATCTTTAGGTGACCTATCACTGTTTGTTTGGTCAGTTGTCATGCAGTGACCCTCGTTTGCATTCCCCCTAAAAGTTGATAACATTTTCAGCCTAATCTCAAATTGAAATTACCATATAGCAAGAATTCTTAGCGGGGTGCTAAATTTGGCTTATTTTAGTGATTTTGAAGTAGTCCACTAAAACTTTAATTGCTAAATTTGCATCTTTGCATACAAATACTGAATACAAGAAAAATAACTTTGATCAGTCCATTGTAAAACAATGTAGCTTTCATCTGGTGTTGGTTTTCACTCAAACTCTTGCCTTAATCAGTAATCAAATGTATATTAAATGTACTGAAACTCATCTACACTGTGAATTAACATCCTCTCTTTTGCAACATCATGGGACTGTGTGTCTGCCAAAAAAAGTTCCACCAAAATTATTGGCATACCTTTGAGCAAGAAAATGCCAAATTTTATGCCTACTGTATGGTATATCTTCTAAAATCATGGCTCCTGATCATTTAGCAAACATTTTACATGTTCGTATTCACACTCTTGAAATATAAGCCCCCTACAGAGATGAAAAAAATTCTGTCTCTTCAGGTCCAGGTTTTAAGCTTTAAAAGTGTGACATATATATAGGTTAGTTAATCATATTTGGAAACACATACTCTGGTGAGCATCAAGGCCCGTGAACCTATTGATTTGTTTTGCAGTCTTTATATGTCATGAGTACCTGTGTCAGGGATGGGGTTATTGAAAAAAGTGACTGTAATTGACTGTAATTAATGACATTTTTCTAAGTCAATTTATGTAATTTGTAATTGATTTTTTTTCAGTTACAAGACTTATAATTAGTTATTGTAAGTTAAGTGACAAAAAGTAGGAAAAGTATCAATTGTAATTTAATTAATCATTTTCCAATGTTATTTACCCCATCCCTGATGTGTGTCGAAATGATTGATTCTATCGACTTACTTTACCCCATAGAAAAAATCTTTCAATGATAATTGCTCGTGGAAATGTATGTCCTTAAGCAGCACAGTTTATGTATCTGTTTCATTTCATATTCTTTGAAAATATGAATATTTCCACTTGAATAAAAGTGCATGTCTAGTTTTAATAAAGCTTAGCTTCAGCAGAATGGCATTTGAATGTAGTAGATCTGAAATTACATGTTACCAGTTATAGTTTCAAGAGAGCACATGATTTTGCTTGATTTTCAAACAGAGCTTCGACATCTTTAAATTGTTCTCAGATGAATGAGTAAGATTAAGAATAATGAAACTCAAATGTTCAGGATTTATAGTTGTTGTTACAGTAAAGCCAACTAATTCTCTTTGAAATATACACCACATTGATACAACTTTCATGAATATGCATTTAAATCTCTTAAGGTTTGAGAACAAATCTAAAAGTGAAATTAGCTTTTTACACATTAACCAACATAAAGACAAAGGCAGTTGGGAAAAATATAAATTTAGGTGACAAAAAATGAAAACTGCGCTTTCCTTGATAATGAAAACAATGCCTGCTTCCAGAAGAAATAGATTTCTATCCAGTGGTATGGAGAAAAAACTAGAAAACATTATTCTCAAGGAAAAACAATTAAATTTCTAATCAGTTTCTAACAAAAGTCATTTGGTTTGAAGACATTCCAATTTTCCATCTTTACATTAAATTCATTCTAGTTAGCCTGATCCTGAAGCAGCAGATTACGCCAGAAGTCAAATTAGAAGTGGGAAGGCACCGTTCTTAACAGTCAGTGATTGATTTATGCTTACAATGTACATCAGGAAGGTTTTAGGGGAGCGTCGATTGTCAGGAAATTAACTGTTTATCTTCTAATGTATTTCCTCCAATTTTCTGAATATATATATAAGATATACTAGCCGTTGATACAGTAGGGGTTTTATATGTGTGAGCCTTAGACTGGTTAAGGTACCAGTCACACATTTTAGCAATCATTGACCAAAAAATTCCAGAAATTTTAATAAATACATGTAATATATACAGTTTGAAGATAAACAGATAATGTTTATCATAAAGAAATTTATCCTGTTTATGTTTTTTCACAATGAAATATACTGTATGGAGATAACGAACAGTATTCAAGCTCAAAAGTCCATTCAAACAACACAAAGCAGGAGCAGAGCAAACACGGACCTCTTAAACATCATAGGTGGGATCGGGTGCCATGGAGGAGTGAGCATCCCCTGCCAATTATGGTTTATTATTGAAGATATATAATTACAGTTACACCTCATTATCTCAATCTCTCAATGGGACAAATAAAATTCCAGGAAATCCAAGGGTTTGAGAACATTGGGGTTAAAATATGTTAAAAAAGTGGTTGGAACCTCCAACTACTTCAACATATCCATAGTACGCAGCACAGTTAAGGCTACAAAAAGGGGGTGGAGTCTAATTTGTACGGGAAATTTTAACTATGACATCATACAAAACCAACAATTCTTAAAAATATTACAAAATGAAATGATTTGCTATTTTAAACAATAGGAAACCATCAAACTACATCTAAACTTACTATAACAAGCTGTTACATCTTTAGTTAAATTCCACATAGCAAGGTATAAACAAGTCACTGATCGCGATGCACTTGTCGATATGACGTCATTTCGTAAAACTTGACGCAGTTTGTATGCAGTGAGAGGCGGATCAAGAAATATTTTCACAACGAAAAATGTATTCTATAATTAAATAATTATTTTTTAAAGATATTTGAGAGGTCATTAACTTGGATGCAATGTCTTCTTAATGATTTTATTCATATATATTCCGTATATTTCCTATTTAATTGATACTGCCGTATATTTGTATGCAAGTACATCGGAGGGTAATGTAAGGGTCTTAATAAATCGATCTAGTGCAAGGGCATGCACTCAATGGATCACAATAAGCTTTTACAAATAAACTCTAGAAGTATTAAGGTATCTGAAAAGTGCTGCGATCCTGGTGAAATCTTGAAAATGAATTAATTATATCTATATTTAATGCCGTTGACCAGCAAAAAATACAGAAATACAGAATGCGGTCATATAAATTCGATTTTAACAATGGAATAGCAGAATCTGTAGAGGATTGCAGCACTTTTCAGAAACTATGATGCGTGTTGAAAATATTTATACTCTAAATTTAGAATTTTAACTTGATTATGCCCTTGCACTAGTGAAATTTATAGTTGACCTCAATACTGTAAGTATATGTGCTATATCACGTGACTGCCGCATCACGTGACAAGTCTAAATATAAAATCTTATCGTCCTCAATATGTAGTTATTAACCATAATTACATTTGTCGGATATCAATAAATTACTGAAAAGAATCGCCATACTGATTAAGAATATATTTTTAATCACAAAAATTGCTGATATTTCCATTGCACACCTTAACTGTACTGCGTATTCTAATTCAAGATATCAATGTTTAGCATACAAAAGTTCAACTATACAAGGATGGACATAGACTCTAAGATAGTTTGATAGAATACAGGTTATGATTTAATCTACCTGGAGTACAAGTTTGTAGTCTAGTTAGGATGAATAAATATTAGGGATGTCTACGATATTATCCCTAATATTAGGGATGAATAAATATTAGGGATGTCTACGAAGATTGAAGTATTCTCTCAGTTTAATAGTTAAGACTCCAACGGATAATGCGAATACTTTATTCCAAGGCAATTAATGACCTATCATTTGGTCTCACTATTGACAAAGTATTTTTTCTTGGTTACTTTAAATTCAAGGTAATAAATTATTAATTTCTAAAACCATCATGTGTATTGGTGGCTCACAACCATTCAGTTGACATAACACATTATAGTAATAAGAGCAGAATTTTAAGTTAATAAAAACCAACATGTAAGTATACATGCATGAGATCATTGATCAAGTGACCCATAGCAGTAATTATCAATCTGCTGATAAATGCTATTCAAAATTTTGATGAACTGTCAACTTGAAAATTAACATAAAAATGCCTATGTCTTTTCTAAAGTATAAATAGCCTTAACTGTATCTATTCTTCCCATTTTTAGAAGTAATTTTAAAATTAAATGATTTCATCATTTTGATTTAACAGCAATTGATGACTTTAAAGTTAAAATTTTATAGGAAAAAAATCAGAATGTGAGCAATTGTGTTTTTGGTCTGGATTATAATATTATATTATAATTGTAGCGTTTTCACCTGTCTGAGTTTGAAGGATAGGATAAATTATTTTACTAGGTCGTATCTTTAACATGAAATGTACATATTGAAGCCTCATAATTGCAGAGTTACTTTTCCCCAATCTAATTCAAGTCTGAATACATTTTTAACAAAAAGCTTATAAATTAAAACAATATAGGCTGTCTATAGCGGTAATTTTCTTTAAATCATTAAAAGGGATGCTAAAACATATTAATAAATTGACACAAAATAAAAAAAAATTTAGTGTATTTGTCCTAATTTAATGAGGCCGAGTCTATTTCCAGTGCGCATGACTTTGCGCAGCTTTTTAGTTTCATGCAGGCGTATCTGCAACATAACACCTATCCAAGTTTTGTAATTGTAACACAAAATGAACATTATCTGTAATGTTTATGGGTCTTAAAATGTCCTTTTAAGACAATATTTAGGAATAAATGCTGAAACGGCTTTCACGACATCACTGTTTTCCGATTCTGTAAGCAATGCATGATGCTAAAGAATGATCCTTGACTCGCTTGAGTATTCAAGATGTCTATATATGGACATTTTATTAAACACTGTTGACAGAACATCAAAAGAAACATACCAGCAATCTAAATGTTGTTATAATTTTTACCAAAATAATTCATCTGCGCCAATATATACAAAATGCATGCTGCAATATGGCAAATTTAGAGGAATTGGGCATTGGGAAAAAATAAACTTTGTAATATAATTCCTAGACCAAACCAGATGGTCAACTTTTTTGAAATTTCACAATTTGCTGACTTTTTACAATAACTTTCATATATTTGACTGAAAACAAAATCCCTAGGCTAGAAGTACAAAAAATATGGGGAAAATGGGATAATTTGGCACTTTTCCAACAAATTCCCATAGGGTCCAATAGTAAAATTTGACAACTTTTAAGATGGCCCTCTCAAAAATCGGGATGGTAAACATTTGATATTTTTATCTTAAAATAATTAATATAATAGTAAAAATACATTAAAGAAAATTTATCAAAATATCTAGGGTAGAAATAATTAGACTCAGCCACGTTAAGTCAAAGTCTTAAACATGGTTATGGCAATTTAAATGAAAGAAATTGCAAATGCAAAAAGACAGTATTTCTTTCTGATGTAATCAGAGATCTTTATGTGTCCCCTGGGTCAAACACTCGGAGACTGCATGTGCAGCTTAAGAGAGATGTTATTGTAGTAAAAAGATATCGGTTAAAATGTGGATCGACCTACGATAAAACTAATAGATTCAGCAAAATAAAAGAATAGAGAGAAGCAAATGCCAGATTTAACAAAAACAAAGCATGTTATAATGGAGATGAGTATGCATGATCATTGGACCAAGTTAAAATTTCCACATGAAAAATCAGCTATGACATTACATAATTCCACTTTGTGATATCTTGTGAAACATGATCAAAGCTGTTCGAAAGATTATTAAGTGAAAAATAAACTTTTAAAAGGCAACTTTAACTGCAGAGTATGAAAATTTTTGCACTTCAATGTATAGAAAACTCTTTTTCAACATCATGTAATAAATTCCCATACCAAACCATTCTCACAATTTGCTCATGAGCAGTTCAAGTGAGGACTAACCAGATTTGCTCACGTGAGTTGCTCATGTGAGTCTCATGTGCAATTTAACATGCAAATTAGGTGAAATGCTCACGTGAGCAAGATTCTGCACATGAACATTTTTTGCTCATGTGAGGAATCATTTTGCTCACCTAGAATATTGCTCACATGAGGCTCATTAGTCTCATGTGCAACAATTGCTCACTTGAACAAACAACAATAGAATAAAATTTAGATTACAAACATAATATATAAATGTTTGTTTAAAATATGATTCGTCAATAATATTGAACATTTTAAATATTCTTGAGCAACATGTAAATACATGCATAAATGTTCAGTGAACTTCATTTTTCAAACTTAAAATGAAATAAAAATCAAAATTAAATTAAATGAACAACTGATATATACTACATTAAACACATTTCTCTGTATTAATCTTAATTTATGTACAAAACACATTATTGTATAAATTATCAAAAAGTTAGATTTCCAGTAGTTTTCCACTAGAACATCCAATGTAAATGTCCATTCAACAGTTAATTTTGGACTGCACTAGATGGATTAAAGTTGTCTCTGATATGTCAGGATATGTAGATTTTTTTCCAATTCCTGAATGCGTGGCAATCATACTTGGGTGTGAAATAAATATTCCTGCAGTCATAAGAATCATAATCATTTCATCAAGTTCCTTTTCCTTGCGAGTGCCAACTTCAGAACTCCATGTATATGTAAGGGGCCGGGGTTAATCTGCAGATCCCTCAATCAGCAACTTTTATCTGCCAAAAATTTGAATTTATAGTTATTATATTTTTCATGGTTCAATTGGTCATGAAAGGCCAGTCAATAAAAATCATATGCATCAATATTAAGCAACTTCTCTTATCATATATAAATTATAGATTACTGCACTGAGCTGTTATGTACACTTTGACCTAATCTAACTTACCATATTTACAGTTCTTAAAAGAATCTATAGAGAATTAATTTGCAATACATAAAGGATTTTATGTTTGATCCTATATTCAGAACTATAATTATATAAACATTAATTACATTCTGTAATGACGTAAATTCATGTTCATATATTAAACTTTGATTACTGATAACATCTAAATTAAGTATTAATTAATAATTAACACACAAACATATTATGTTTTAAAATTAGTATTTATCTGAAATGAGAGGGGGATTATAATTAGCCTGTGCACTTACCCTTTTCTCAGTGTACTTTAGTACCCTTTTCTCAGTATACTTTAGTACACGTACCAGCAAATCTTTGAAATTTTCCTATATATATATCACAGTAATTTTTCATTGTGGCTGCATGGTCATTCGTAATTGATCTTTAATATTTCCTCATCTCATGGACATAAGATACATTTGTAACTTTTAAAATGTTGACATCCAGTTCAATATGGTGATGACGTGTATTTCCCAAAGCATATTTCACTTCTTTACTGTATAATTCTACCGGTATATACTTTCATGTCCCTCACAAACATTTTGGATTGAAATTTTGAACTGGTCTGAAAGTGCGCACAAATCCTGACTGGCTCCCCTCATTGGATACTGCCCTGGTTTTAAGCAACTGTGGGGGACACAACAGGTTGTTTAGGTAGAGGAAAGCATTTGCAAATTGATGGAATGAAGATTAGAAGCTCAAGAAATTAAGAAATTCCTGCCTCAGGCCCCCAATTATTTGTGATGCTATCATCAGGAAGCATTAATAGTTAACACATGGGCAATTGTAATGAAGGCTTGTAAAAGCTTGGACCACACAGAGTGACAAAGTATTGTATTTCCTTACGTGAGCATTTGAAATGCTCACATGAGGAAATGAGACTTGTAATTCTTTGGTTTTGGTTCTACCTGTAATACTGAATTTTGACTATGTCCAATTTCCTAACCTCTTGCTCATGTGAGAAAACTGAACTTAGAAAAATTACTACCAATGCTATATCTTTATATTAAAGGCTATTCATACGTGAGCAAATGAATAGACTTTTGCTCATGAGCATCCAAGTGAGCATTATTTTGCACATGTGCATTTTGGTTAGTATTTTCCTCCCTAACAGAGACTAACAATCTGCAAATGAGCAAAATCCAATTCTACCTAATTTGCATACATTTCTTACTAGATTCTCATGTGAGTCTCATGAGCTGCTCATGAGCATTTGTTAGAATGTTTGGTACGGGTTGGAACATGCATGCATGTCTCAAATTAAATGTATTCAAAAATTCTTGTTTAGCAAGTAAAGCAAATGATATAAAAAAAAATAAAGGAATCTACTTTCCAAACAAAACAGCGTACACTGCAAGCAAAACAGTCTATTTCATCCTGCGTGCTCAAATAATTATTCTAACCTTGCTTTATACAGTCAAGTCCATGACGGAAAACCGTCCGATCTAAAAGTTACAAGTATTGGATGGAAAATCCGTCCTAAAGAAAAGGATGGTTTTCCATCCTTCAAATGAAATGGATGGAATTCCATCCAAAATTATTAAAATATCCCTGATAGGATGGCAATTCCATCCATACTTCATCATATTTTAAACAAAACAAACATATTAAAATTTCAAAAGCTATTATCACTAATTATTGTAATCACTGGTCAAATTATGGAAGTTTCATTTCGAAGACGCCAAAGATGGCGTAAGAAAGTTCAAAGATTAAGAAGAGAAAGGGGATGGGACAACGTATCGGACAAAGTTATCCTCTTCTTCTCAACAATTAATGGGTAAATAAGTTTTACATGTTGTACCATGTTTACATGTTTTAACAATGATTAACTTGTTAACCGTACACATAGTAAGCTTTATGCATTTTATATGATTGGTTTCTTCAGCTTTTCAAACAATTGTGAAGTGTATATTGGTAAAAGTAAATCTTAAATATTATATTTTAGTTCTAAGTTTTGAAAGTAGTACTCTAGCCTTAACCATGTTAACACAAGATATATAAACAAGATATTTTGCCCTTTTAGATACCATCACTTCAGAATCATGCCAACGCAGTTTAGCTGGAATCATCCATATATGATGGAATGCATTCCCGAGCCTACAAACAGAAGGGACCCTCTAGCTGTCTTAGTGAAAGAAATGGGGGTAAACATAACAATTGGACGGGTTCCAAAGGACATATGCAATGTCATTTCCCTTGAGATGAGAGTGACACAGAAGCTTAGGAGGACATTTTGTCTGTATATTGGGACACACCATAATGAAGGCCCAGTACCAAGTGGGGGACTGAAACTCCATTGTGTTTATGTGTTGGAGTTTAGCAATGACACATCTTACAGACGACTTGGGGAAGTTGCCAGTTTTTTGAGGAGACATGTACCATCTTCATACATATATCTGTGACAGTTAAGAGACTTGTTGGCATAAGTATTATGATCACTTTCATTTCATAAGCATGATAAGCATAATCATCGCTGTTGTTATTATCATATTCTACATCATGTACATAATTTTGAATGAAAAACATTTGACATGTTTGAATGCTTTATTCATTTTGTTTAATCAAACAGAAGTAATTTCTTCAGAAACCACATTCAGTAAACCATCTGACACAGACAAGAGGGTCAACTGTTCACATAAAATGTTACCATGGTTACTTTATTTTGTGTTATAAAGTAATGCTACAGTGAATCCAGGAGGAAAAAAACCAAATTGACAAATATACTACAAATGATGTGTGAAATAAAGTCATGTAAATGAACAATTTAAAACCACTATTTGATTGATCAAATTTTAAAAAAGTGCAGATCATCAGAGGAAGGTTCTAGTTCCTATATTATCACAATTATTTATTTGGTATTAATCATGTTTATAAACATTGTTGAATAGGAAAAGTTGAAATTATATAGGATAAACATGACAAAAACACTGTTGGCAGGTAAATTCAATATTTCAAACAAAATTCAAACATTCCTTTACCAAAAGTTCAACAAAGATCACCCTAACTTGCAACATAAAAAAAAACTAAATCATCCAAAATACTAGTGCACATGAAATGAAAACAAAATCTTTCCATTCTAACATTGGTTTTAACATTGTTGTACACTTCAAAGTAAGTCTACTGCTTCTTGCTTCTTCCTCTGCCTCTTCCCCTGCCTCTTCCTCTTCCTCTTCCCTGCTTTTTTCCCGATTCCTCCACTGATGACGTCTCTTCCTTACCTTTTTCTAATTCTTCTAATCTTCTTTTCACCGGCTTTCTTTTCTCTCTCAGGAAAATCCTGGATTTCAAATTTATTACAGTGTCTTTTGAGATTGCCAGTAAGTCTTCTCCACCTGTAGGAATCATGCTTGTCAGTTCCAAATGTTGTTGCTCTTTGACAGGCATTTGAGAAAACCCTGGGAGGAAACCCAAACCTGTGCCATGTGTTGCTTTGTATGGCGATGGCTGCACAACGTTTTGTTTAATTTTAGCTTTGTTTATTTTTTTTAGAATGGATTCTTCTCTTGTTTCAATCATCGAGTCCTTGAAATCAATAATGTTTTTGTTTTCTTTAAAGTTCCTAACGAAGTCTTCACTTCCTGAGAAATGCACCTCTGCACCTTTTTGGATAAGTGCAAAATACCTCACGTCTTGATTGTCGTTGGCAAACGCAGCCATTTTCTCAAAAACTTTCAGTCCCCTACTCAATCTCTTTCTCTCCAAATCTTTCTTCCTTCTCTGCATGTCTGTGGGTGTCCCTGTTTTCTTTGTGACAAATTTCCCACTTTCTTTGTCTCTTATTTTTTCTACAACAAAATTTGAATATCAGATGCTGCCAATAATGTCAATATTTAAACACACCCTTTACCAAAATAATAAGCATCTTCTGAATTATTATCAGTTCACTGTTGATGATTTGTCATTTTTCTAGGAAAAATCATGTTAAGGACAAAAAAAATGAATCTACATGTATAATAAACTACTTATTTTGATAATTTAGATGTCAGACTTACTAGCTGCAGGAGTTGCAACAGTGAATGTCTCATCATCTTCTTCAGTTTGTTGTGGTTGTGGAATATTATCTAAATTTTTTAATTTAAAATACTCATATTAATTCATTTAGAATTGTGTAGCAAAACACAATAAAATAGGTGTCACAATGTTAAATTTATTTTTATTGTTAATAAATAACCTTTTTTTTAAAGCAAACCAAGAATGAATAAATAATATACCAGTGCTCTGCATGGTAACAGTCAGCAAACTCTCTTCCTCACCATCAAATGTTATATCTGGATCTAAAAAATAGGGAAAAAAACAAATAATACCTTAGATAAAACAAGGTTTTACAAGATACATTTGCTTGACATTTAAAACCGACATATGATATAAAAAAGATTAATGATTTAAAATTATTTGAAAAAAAAAACTAACCAGGGGCTGAACACTTATGCAAATAGAGCTCTGTGCTTATGGTTGGAATCAAGGGTGCATCTGTGCTTATGGTTGGAATCAAGGGTGCATCTGTGCTTATGGTTGGAATCAAGGGTGCAGCTGTGCTTATGGTTGGAATCAAGGGTGCAGCTGTGCTTATGGTTGGAATCAAGGGTGCAGCTGTGCTTATGATTGGAATCAAGGGTGCATCTGTGCTTACGGTTGGAATCAAGGGTATACCTGAAGTATAAAGAGTTTAAATTAAATAGAAGAAAACATGCATATTTTTAAGGATGTCAAATAATAACAATTATTATGAAATACATAAGGATACCGTGATTAATTGCCGGGGCTTCATCATGCTCATTTTCCTCTGTGAGTGATTCTGTTAATATAAAATAAATTAAGATTTGTTTAAAGTAATATAAAAAATACAAAGCAATTAAAAGAAATTTACATTTTTTTTTACCAAACTGAAGAAAGATGTAAAACATGTATAAAGAAAAACAAAACAACATACCCATACTCTGCATGTTCCATGTTATAACCGGTGACAGTCTATCTTCTTCATCAAGACCAGTACCAGATGCTAAAGGTAATTCTTGGAAGATAAGACAAATATTAAACCTTTTCTTGCTAATTGTAGATTTTTCACAAAGATTTTGAAACATCTTAGATTTATATTACCTGTAAATATTTAAAGTATAGAATGTGAAATTGGAATTGAAAAGAATTTACATAATAAAATTACCTTGCATATGACAAGATGATGATTCTTGTTGAGGAAAATGACCATCACCATGATCCCTCTCACCTCCAAGGATCAGATCTTGTAGCACTTGAAGATTGTCATTCTGACTGGTTAGATCATACTCATCCAATAACTTGTCTATGAATAAGCAATAAGGTAATAAGTATATCTGAAAATTCAAATCTGTATAGTAAAATATGTTACTTTTTTCCAAACTGAAAATATTGTTAAAGTTATTGAAACACCAAGGCAAGGAACTGTTAAATTAAATATACTACATTCTACACTGACTACAATCTGAATATACCTGCTTTAAACAAATCTAGTCCTGCTCCATGTCTGGTTCATTATGAAATGGAACATGCTCTTCGTTGATGGTTGGCAATTGTTGGGCTACCGCCTGTGATACTTCTTCCAAAAATATTAAATGTTGCTCTTTTAAATTTGATTTAACTTTTATAAGTCTGTCAAATAGCTTCATAAAGTCTTTTTTAGAGTTTTCATGTAGCAGTTCAATGATATCCAATATTTTGTTGTCAATTTCTTGAACAGAGAGTGCCGAATCGGCTGAAAATTTGTCTCTTTCATCCACAGTGATGTACACCGGGTGATGCAAAGTTGGATCATTCGGGGGAGTTTGATGAAGTATCATATCCAATATTCTATAGGATCTCTTTCGATTTGCTTCTGACGTAAAATTCACCAGTTCCTGACATAACACATGTCCACTTAGGGATGTAAGTACTGGTCCATGGCAGTCCGATTCAATATACTTTGATTCCCTCAAATGACATCTCCATTCCTTGATTGCACTTTCAATTTTCAATTCTCTATCATTACATTCGAGTGATTCTACACCAGCCTGAGCTAAAACATTTTTCTTCAAGCTTTTTAGCGATTGATGATTCCGACAAGTAGCTAACCACGATTCATCACTTGGAACTCCTCTTTTCAGCCATCCTTTCACATTCTTGTTTTCTTCCTCAAGCAGAAAATCTAAGCCTTGACCTTTGCTTTTGTTCCCAGACTTTGACAAACTGCAAAATTGTTCAAAAAACTGTTTCATAACATCGGGCAAAATTCGACGAATAAAAGTTTCGTAGATTTCTATTTCTTGGTACTTAGGATGATTCCTCCCATGAAAGAGTTCTTTTGTCATCCATTTTGCTGACATCAACAACTGAGGATTATTTCGCCTTACAGCAGCACGTAAATTTATTATCCCTTGTGAGTACTTGCAAACCATCTCAAATAAATACATAAAATTTACATTACATTGAGTCTTGTCATATTGTTTCACAAATGAAATGAAACCATGAGCAGTACAGTCAAGACTCTTTTCAAAACAGTCTATGACATAAGGCCGGACCAGTTCCATCATTGAGCCAAAGTGAAATGCATTTATGAGCTGCCATGTTTTGTGGTTATCAGTACATTGTTGAGCACAATGCAATGCCTTTTCTGATTTCCAACCCATTAACTCAACAAACTGTTTCATGAAGACAGACCAGTTAAGTTCCATAAAGCTTTTCATCAGGTTCATCTCATAATGTCCTTCGCCAGTTAACAAAAATACCCAGTCAAATTCTTTACTGAAGTAGGGAATTGTTCCAGGATGTTTCTTTTTAGCATGGTTTTGAGCTTCTTCGATTCCAAGATATCCCTCTTTACATAGAGAACATATGAAATACTCTTCCACTAAACGCCTTACAAGGGAATGTGGAAGTCCATCACAGCAAACAAAAGTCCATGATCGTATGTATACATCCTCCTCCTGCTCTTCTGATATGTACTTTCTTATGTTTGCTTTCTTTCCTATGAATCTTAAGATGAGAATCATACTTTCTATTGAATTAGGATTGACAAAAACAGGATCTAGCAAAGTAACTTCCACAGGATTACCAGAGTGAAATGATTGAACATGAGCATACTGCTGATCAGGCTCCACACTTTCCTTTTTACTACCAGCATGTTTTTCAACATTTGACAATCCATGATGTCTACAATAGCTCGTTACATTTTTTACTTTTTCCTGGCCCAGCAAAGTATTTTTGGCATTGTTGGACTTCTTTTGAATGGATTGACTGTTCTTAGTTGTTTTCTCCTGACAGTTTGGACATTTTCTTGCTCTTTTCCCAAACTTTGTGTGACATTTTTGGCAAGTTTGATTACAGAGATTTTCCATTTTCTTTGATATTTCAAGGTCAAGTGCATCCTGCCACTTTCCTGACTCATCATTTTGATGCAGTTCTTCTTTCACGTGTCCTATTACATTGTGCAAATGATGATACAGCTCTTCATAATGAGTATCAATCAATAGTTTGTTAAATGTGTTTCTATCATCCTCTGGATTTTCACACATTTCCTTGACTACTTCATCATTTTTCTCAGAAGTTAACCATAATTTTGGACTATACTCTGGCATTTCTTGAAGAGGGGAAATTGTTGGAATTTGTACAACTGCTACATTTGTGATCACAGACATTTTGACTTTGTTTTGAGCATTTATGTTCCATGTTTTTCCAATTACTTGTTCGTTGTCAAATATAAAAGCAACATCACCTTTTGGACACGGTGATTCAGTATTTTTTTCTGTTGAGTTTAGATATGATGAAATGTATGAGTATTTCCCTCCTGGAATGGCTGTACCAAGAATGTTACAGGCTTGTCTACTCTTTGTGCAGGAAAATGTCACTAAATTTTGCATAAACGACCATATTCCTATGAAATCTTTCTCAATCAATCGGTAAATTGATTCTATAAGGGGGATTATCGTTTGGATTTGTACAGTATCTTTGGTTTGTCTTGTTATTGATAGCAAAATATGGAGAAGACGAGAATCTAAAGCAGAAAGATATTCATGGGGGTAAAAATTGTTCAAGCTTTCAATGTTTCCATGTGGATATTGACAGCTGACTGTGGCAATTTGTTCTTTTAATAAAGAAAGAGGCATATATGACTTCAAAATTTTTTCGACACAAATATTTTTTTCCTCCATATCCAACTGTTCAAACTGTTGAATTATCTGCTGTATCTTGAATTCGGAACAAGTTTTGTCTTGGCTTCCTGATGCCTCATTCTTATCTAATGTGTCTAATGTGCATATTTCACAATTTTTCTCATGCTGAATAAACAGTCGGGGTGTTTTCTTTTTCTTCTTATCCAATTGTGGAGTTATTCGTGGCTTTTTGGACTTCTGCTGTCGAGTATCTGATTTACTTCTATATAAATGACACCGACAAGGCTGACACACGAATTCTGGATGAACAGATGGTATATCTCTAAAAACATCTATGTCATATAACTGAAGAAGTTCCATGGAGAAGTTTGTTTTACTAGTACGTTCATTGGATTTTGTTGAATTTCCACATAATCTGCATAATTTCTGTAAGTTGTTAACATGCTCTACAAGAATGAAAAGTGAAATAGAAACATTTTTTTTAATCAAAACTGGTGTGTATTAGTCTCTAATCTAATGGTTGCATTGTCACATGTGATTTTTTCATTTATATTGAGAGTGTAAAAATAAAATAGCCACTGAAAATATTTAAATGGCCAGAGTTTTATATAGTTAAACATTTAAACTTTTAAATGATTTTTTAACAAAAAAAAAAAATAAATAAATAAATAAAAAATACACATTGACAGTATCCTTAATATACTAAGTGATAACCAACATGCAGATCTACATGAACTTCCATGCTTAATACCATGCTTAATACATATGTATAAACATGATAAATGAATCTAACCATGCATCAAGCTGACATTTTAGGTTTTTAATACATGTTGTCAATCACATCAACACATATCCATTTGTGTTTTAATAATGGTAATCTGACTGCCTGGTAACCAAAATATCCTATGTATCTGAGTATGATACTGAGCTGGTGATATCTGCCACATGAACATAATGAAGTGAGGCTTAATGGTAACACATATCATGCACATACATGGTATAAAAAATCCAAACATTTGCTGCCGTTTTGTTATTTGACCATCAAATAGTTTGTTAAATGTGTTTCGATGTATATTGCCTTTCACTGTCCCTGATTCAAGAGACTTTTTCTAATGTATTTCCAGAGATAACAATTTTTTTAACAAATAAGATACATGAAGTAGAATGACGATAAATTTTTAATACATGACTTATTTAACATATGACTTACCAATTTAATGGATAGGTGTATATTGCCTAAACATCACATACATCAAAGAATTACCCTCTTTAAGTAATAATTAGGGAATTAATTTTTTTTTTCGATAAACATAAGTACATCTAAGTTTTACATGTTTTTGAAAACAAACACATGTATATATCAGGATTTGTTTTTGTTTGGTTCTTTGAATCTTTCCGACAAAAACTTGTTCTCGTTTCAGAGGGAATACCTGACATTGATAATGTAGACTGAGCATGCCAATGTTCAGCGATGAAATCTAACAAATAGTAAAATATGTACATGACTTATGCAGATTAAACTGTGTAATCATGGTAATTGGTAATGTTACGATGAAGTGAGTTTTGTTAAAATCTGCACTTGGTCCAACAGTCACACTGTTTACATATCATTACATATCATGCATATTATTAATAATTCATATTGATTTTTTTTTGCTAAGCATGCTGACATGAACATAATGAACATGGCTAAGACATGTAAGAGGTCAAGAGCATGAACCAATGTGAACATGATGAAGAAGGTAGTTGAGGCATTATCATGATTATGTATCAATATAAAGCATGTAAATGATAAACAAATGTATAAGCCTAAATGCAGGAACGTTTTAAGTTTCTAGACACATCATAAAACATAACAGTTTTTACAATCACAATGTTCACATGGTTTTCATTGTTTCACAGTTGCAAAACAACGTTGGGATGGTTTTTCCGTCCTTAAATTAGTTTAACATTAATGGACGGTTTTATCGTCCAACTAATTTAAATAATTTATTAGACGGGTTAACCGTCCAAACGTCAAAAAAAAGGGCTCTGACCTATATAAATCGCCATCCGATCGGTGTCCGATCAAGTACTTTCTTATTTACTATAAATCATTTAAGTAAGATATCTTAAATTCTAAATCAGTAAAGATTCTGGTTATTCAAAATTTACAACTTTTTATATGATACAAACTACATAAAACATCGTTAAACTTACCCACTATCGCTCTGTCGTGCTCTTGTTGTTCATCCATTTTGAAGCTATCACGTGACCGGCTAGGGCTTTGTAAAACTCAGAGCAAGTGCGGTTGTACTTTATTCATAAAGATTTTCCGGAATTCTTACGACTCATCCTTACACAGCATTGTTTTTATAATAAAAACCGCGATTTAATGAACTTGAATGATAGGACGGGAATTCCGTCCATTTCAATTGGACGGTTTTCCGTCATGGACTTGACTGTTATATGCCTCAGAAGGAATCAACCAATCACAAAAATACCTCAGTATATAATAGTTCAAAATTCCTTACAAAAAAGCTTTAAGGAACATAACGCATTAGTTTATATATTTATAATTGTATAATCTACCAAAAGTAAAAATTGTGATTGCATAAAATATTGTAACTCTACTCTGACCACTATATTGTTGGTAATCAGGCTCCTTCCATTATGAATATGACAGCAGCTGACATATTAGCAAAACTCAGCTTGGCAAACTATACACGATGAAACTGGATTGTCTATAAAATATATGACTTTCTTTGACTGCCAAATGTGAAGTGCAATGTCATATGAACCTTAATGAAAAGCAATATGATGAGTTATTACCAGTTGATAATAAAACACCGATTAATGCTAGCCCTTATGATGAGGATTTATGGGTAATAATGGAGTATCAACATATCGAATGAACTCAATGACTATATTCTCCTAGAAAATCTTTACCTAACTGAAGGGTGCTCATTGTTGAAGCATAGATCTAATTTGCCATTGACTCTCAGCAGTATAATGTCTTTTTCATTAGCCTGTGTATCAAAATCTATTCAATTATGAAAGTTATTTGTAGACATGATAAAAATTGGAAATGTGTTGTTATTGAAACCACAATCCTTTTGTAAAGAAAGTATATGCAGGCATAAATAAATATGATAGGAACAACAGGGTCTTACATTGTAATTATTGTGGGATTTAGGTCATTTTTCATCCTCCATCATATCAATTACCCTTTATATGTCATAATAGATGTACCTTTAAACCTTATACTTTTTTATACTTGCCTATATTTAACTCGAGCAGTTCAATTCAGAGATCAAAAATTGTTGGTCACTGGGTTATGTCAAGATTTTTAGTACCTGTATACTGATAAAAGCATAATGTGGCATGCCTTTCCTTTGACAGAATTCTAGGTCTTTCTAAAGGACTATGAAGTAATTAAATTCTTGGATTAAACAGAGAACCATTAAGGAAATTGACTTGATCATGCACAGTTTCCCAGTTCAGTAACTGTATTTGCCCCAATAAGCAACCAAGGTACTTGGAGAACTGAATGAGAATTTGGGATATCTTCACTTATTAAGTTAATAATGTAACAAAATGATAGGAGTAAAATAGAAAAATGCATAAAAAATGATAAATGATTATTATGCCCTCCTCCCTTTGCAAAAAGGGTGGCCTATTGATTTCCACCTTTTGGTCTGTGAGTTGGTAGGCCAAGTGTTGTCCATCTATAGATATCTTGAAAACCCTTTGTTCAACTGAATTTGGAACATTTTTACCCCTGAAGAATAGATGACCTCTATTGATTTTGAGGTCACAAGATCAAAGATCAAAGGTCAACTACTCAAGACAGAGAAAAATAATTATCTTCTCAATATCTACAAAAATCAGACTTGGTATATTAGTTCCCCTCAAGGAGTAGATGAGCCGTTTTGATTTTGAGGTCACAAGCTTAAGGTGAAAATTGAAGGGCAAGACTGAACATAGGAAGATATTGACCTCTCAAGAAGCTTGACTGACTTTTAACTTGGTACACTGGTTCTCAAGGAATAGATAACCCTTATGAATCGGTCAAACTGGTCATAGGAAGATGTTCACCTCTGAATATCTTGAGAACACTTTGCTTGACATTTAACTAACTACTCTTGTTTCCTCAAGGAGTAGATGTTCCTCTTGATATTGAGGTCACAAGGTCTAAGGTCAAGGGTCAAACTCAACATTGAAAGATATTGACTAGATCTACTCAGTTTGTGTAATGTATCTAAAAGAGGACATTTAATTTCATGATCCCAGAGGAGATACCATGTCTCTATGATGTAACCTAGACTACGGTAAAACATCTACCCTATTCACTCCAATAAGAGCCCACATGCCTCTTAAAGCAGCCCAATTGTGAATAATAAGGGCTCCTTCTGAACCACCAACAGTTGCAGACTTTTTCAATCTTTTTTTTTATCAATACTGAGAATAATATAATTGTGATGTGTAGATCTGTAAGTGATAAAGCAGCTTTTTACTTGCTCTTAAATTAAGATATGATGTCAACTTTGCTAGTTGCTTATTTTTTTTAATTTATATTTTCTTCAGGTAGCTTGTGGTATGATCCTGAACACTACAGATGCACTACATGGATTAGCCCAGGCTTCAGGTAAATCTGAAAGTGTGACTCAGTCCTTAAGGTATAATGAATTGACTGATTCTTTCCACTTGACATTTGATTTAATTGGGGGGGGGGGGGGGGGGTGGTATGTCACTCAAAGTGATTCTGTCCGTGCTCCTGTCTGTTTAAAAATATATTCTGTGGACAAATATTATATGCATAATTTTAGCATGTACTAGCTCATTCATCAAGAAAAAAAAATTAAACTATGGTTTAATTCTATTGACCAAATTAAGTAAGGGGTTATTAATTTGTGTCTAATACCATGAAACTTCAAGGGAGTTTTTCATTTCATGAATGATTTGACAAGAATGTTTTATATTATTGAATACTGTGGATCAAAGGCTAAGGCACATACACGCAGATTATTAAACTCTAATCTGTTAACACAAACTCTGAACTTTTAATTGATAATATCGTTCATGAAGAAAAATATTCAAACTTCAAGTTCAAAGTCAACAGAAATTGTCAAATTTCCTGAAAGGCTTTGCAGAGAACAAAAACTTTATTTTATTGTACCAGGAAATATGGTACCACAGAAATTGGCCAACCAAAGTCTTACATGTAGTATAAGTAGGACATATTGCTAATCTTTTGGGGACAAAAAAAACTATATGCATTGTTAAATTTATGAATTTGTCTATTTCAGCTATATTTTACAATGGGACAAGTCATCCTTGTTTCGACATCTGGAGTGATTTTATCGAGTGTGCAGATCCCACAGGGTGTGGACTTGGATTTGACAGTATGGCTTGGGATTTTCAGGTGAATTCACATAAATTACTGTGGAACAAACAATCTTCTCAATGGTGCACATCAACATGGCTATTTGTTGGAGTGTATAAATGTCATTTTCAAAATGTTACTCCTGTAAGTTTAGTCTGATGTCAATGTTCTGTGAATCAGTTTTGGATTTCCATGAATGATGTTGCCATGATTACTACGAAAAACAAAATTATGTGAAGCTCCTTTAAAACACCACTTCTTCATCTGATTTGATTTGAACCAAAACTTAAACAAGTTAATCAAAAAAAAAAAATCAGGCTAAATAATTCTGTAAATGTAAAACTAAAACAAGATGTGTTTGTGAAACACTGATGCTCCCGTATGGCAACTTATAGCAAAGGTTACACTTTCTCAAACGCAATTCAAATATGTTTGTACCCAAAATAAGGTCTTGTCTCGAAGAATAAACCTGTGAAATGTGAAAGCCCTAGCACCAACCATTGAATAGATATGGAAAAGGTTAAAGTTTTTTCAAAAGTATGTCAAACATCAAGGTCAAATGGTCAAAATTAATGGTTCCCAAGGAAAGGCCTTCTCCCAAGAAATATACAGGTGAAATATGAAAGCCAAAGCACCACTCATTCAAAAGTTTTGACCTGGTCAAATATTGACAATTTTTGGCATGAAATGCAGTCTGTGGTTGATATCTGTACTCAGAAGCCAAGATTTCACATATTAGCAAAATTATCAAAGACTCTTCTTGTGCTGCCAAACAGTAATGCTGATTCAGAAAGAGCTTTCAGCATTATTAAAAAACTTCATACTGAATTTCGCTCGGAACTCGACAATGAAACCTTAAATGCACTACTCTCTTGTAAATTTAACCAGTCTGTGGCTTGCTTTGATTATTCACCCACATCAGAAATATTAAGAAATTCAAAATCAGCAACTGTTAGTTACAATGCTTCTTTGCAATAAAATATAACACACATTTCTGTTGTATGTGCCTTTGAAATACATGGTAAATATGTCGTGAATGTCGTTACGCGTTATGACCAGATTTTTTACTTTCCAAATCTGGTCATGACCAGATTTTTAGATGTTGGAGGTTGGCAAGTATGTTTGACCAAGGTTAAAGATTTCCAAAAGGAGGTCAAAATCCAAGGTCAAGGTCAAAGGGTCAAAGTTTTTGTATCCAAAGAAAGGTCTTATCACAAGGATTACATATGTAAAGTATGAAAGCCCTAACACCAACCTTTCAAAAGTTATGGCCAAGGTTAAAGTTTTCTAAAAGTAGGTCAAACTCCAAGATCAAAGGGACAAAGTTGTTGGTATCCAAAGGAAAGTCTTGTCACAAGGATTACATATGTGAAATATGAAAGCCCTAGCACCAACCACTCAAAAGTTATGGCTAAGGTTATGGTTTTCAAAAGTAGGTCAAACTCCAAGGTCAAAAGGTCAAATATGGTGGTACCCAAAGAGAGGTCTTATCACAAGGAATACACGTGAAATATGAAAGCCATAGCTCCAACCAATCAAAAGTCATGGGCAAGGTTAAAGTTTTTGCGGACAAACAGACAGCTAGACAGACAGACAGACGGAGAGGGCAAAAACTATATACCCCTGAATCTTCGATACAGGGGGCATAAAAAAGGTTTTTCAAGACCAGGTTTTTGTTTTCTCTTCTTTTATTGTATCCAACCAAGTTTTGTTTTTGTTTTTTTGTTTTTTTGCAGGGGTTATACAGTAATCACCTTATGTCTGTCTAGCTCTCTCTCCATCAATCTGTCTCTATATGCCCGCAGATGAAGTTATATAGGAATCATCTTGTCCATCTGTCTAGCAGTCCATTGTGTGTCTGGCTGGCTGCCTGTGCAATCTTGTCCAGGCTGTAACTTTGTAATGAAGAATCATTAGAAACTCATGCTGGGTACAAAGATAAGCTATGATCTGAGGGTGGATCTTGACCTTGACCCAAGGTCACACTGGCAAGTTCAAGATCACTGGAAGAAAAAGTATAAAATTTGTGTCAGGTCTACATTTTCCTAACAGAGAAACATTGGAAGTTCATATATCAAAGATTGCTCATGACCTGAGGGTGTGTGTTGATCTTAACTTAGATCATTTGATCAAGTTTCAGTCACTTTAGAAAAATGTTTTTAATTCTTATCTTGACCCTATCTTGTAATAGAGAACATTAGAGACTCATACTTATCAATATTGCAGTAAGAGATTATTACTGACCTTGACCCAAGGTCATTCCATCACTTTCAAGACCACTGGCAGAAAAGTTGTATCTTATATGTCTCGTCTATAACTCAAGTGGACGTTAATTTGAATATAATACTTGACACAAAGATTGCTTATGACTAAAGGGTATTTTGTGATCTTACCTAAGGTCATTTTTTCTAGTTCAATTAAGGTGTTATTAAATTTTGGCAATTTAAAGTGTTTAGTTTGTGTGTGACCTTTAACTTCTAATGGAAAAAACATTTGAAGTTTATACTTCACACAAATATTACATGTACTTTGTCTTGTGTCATGACCTTCACTCAGGATCATTTTGCCAAGTTCAACAAAGTAATAAAAAATTTGTCTCCAGTTCATAACTCTCTAATTACGGATAAGTATTGGAAGTTCAAACTTCAAACAAAGATTATATGTGAACTGAAGGTCATACCGTAAATCTGGAAATTTTTACGTCGATTTATTTTTGCGAATCTGGGTCAAAAAGGTGTTATTTAATTTTTATGTTTTAAAATTTTGCAAATTGTCTTCGGTGCTAAAAATAAAAAGCGCTTAAAATTTTTATAACAGTTTATAAGTTACACATGTGCAATGAATTTTGCATGTACATGCAATCTCCTTTCTTTCGTCGGGTTTCATTATACAAGACTTAGATCTCCGGTAAGATTCTGTCATGCTAGGTTTTCGTTGTTAGATAAAACAACTGGCCTTTCTTTCTTGCAGAAATAATTTTAAAAAGACACACTGCTTGTCAAACTATCCGACGATATTGAATGTAGTTAAGGCACGAATTATCACGGGTAATTAGCTTGTAGTATAAACAGACATCTTTAAATGACCACTGCTTACGAACACCTGTTCATTGGGTTAAAAAAAGACATCAGCTGTCAGCAAAAATTTTATTCATAGTTTTTGTTGTTGATTTATTTTTAAGAAAAATGTTTTTGCAAATGCAATGCACACGCAAATTTGCTAATAATTTATCTACAGTAAAAATTTCCAGATTTACGGTATCCTTGACCTAACGTCAGTGGCAAATTCAAAATCAGTTTAAAATTTATGTTAGGTCCATAATTTTTTTAGTAGAAAAACATTCAATGTCCATTTCACTGAAGGATAATATGACCAGAGGATGTATCTTTTTTTTAACCAAGGTCATTTTGGTTAGGTCAAGGTCACATTTTTAGAAATGTATATGGCACATTTAAAAAAAAAATGCCATTGGGGGTATACTTTTGTGAGCTGGCTCATAATAGCTCTAGTTACAAATCAGTGAAGCTATGGTTTCATCAGAGCCTTCTGATTACTAAATACATCTTATAAGATAATTGATATATATTTGAACATATTAAAGATTGTGAAATACTAGACTAAGGTTGGATCCAATTTATGTATGTCTTTAAATTATTGATGAAAGTGTTATGTTACATGTAGCGGTAAATATTAAATCATGTTGCAATTATGTAACAATTGATTTTACAATTCTGATTAATTTTACTGCAGGCATGTACTGAGGTTCACCTGCCAGCAGGGAGTAACAATCTAACAGACATGTTTCCTGTGCTTCCATTCACTGATGAGATCAGAAACCAGTACTGTCAGAAGAAGTGGGGTGTGGCACCACGAGATTTGTGGAGTCAGGCACAGTATTGGGCCAATAGTAAGTCACTTCCTATAACATGAAGTACAGATAACAGCCAATATTAAATCACTTCCTGTAGCAGTGGAGTATAGATACCAACCAATAGTAAGTCACTTCCTATAGTAGTGAAGTATAGATAACAGCCAATAGTAAGTCACTTCCTATAGCAGTGGAGTATAGATACCAGTGAAAGTAAGTCACTTCCTATAGTAGTGAAGTATAGATAACAGCCAATAGTAAGTCACTTTCTATAGCAGTGGAGTATAGATACCAACCAATAGTAAGTCACTTCCTATAGTAGTGAAGTATAGATAACAGCCAATAGTAAGTCACTTCCTATAGCAAGGGAGTATAGATACCAGCAATAGTAAGTCACTTCCTATAGCAAGGGAGTATAGATACCAGCAATAGTAAGTCACTTCCTACAGCAGTGGAGTATAGATAACAGCCAATATTAAATCACTTCCTGTAGCAGTAGAGTATATAGATAACAGCCAATAGATAGTTTTCAGTAGGCCCAAATTAGCAAGAGTTATTTCCCGTCTTTCGTAATTTTTATTTCATAAAGATTTTCCCCCAAATATTTCTGGTACACCCTCTTAGATTTGGTAAGACAAATAGGAAAAATTACCAGGTTGACCACCAAGATGGCAGCCAAGGGAAAATACGTCATATGAAAACTATCTATTGTAAGTCACTTCCTATAGCAATGGAGTATAGATTAGATAACAGCCAATAGTAAATCACATCCTCTAGCATTGCTGCAGAACTGTATGGTTTTATATATTAGTCTTTGACCATAACGCTACAGATCCCGTCATGCAAATATTGTGCAATTTACGGTGCAAGATTTTCTGTGCACGGGGAGAATTTCTCCACTTTCCAGCACTGGTCAATCAACTACCTTTCATTCCCTAATTTAAGACATATTTTTTAATGAACCTGTATGTTTTATCCACCTTCTAACCCTAAATAGTTGTCTCTACATCCTAATTAACTAGCTTGTTTTGAATTTTTATCGGATGGCAGAAAATTCAAAACAAGCATGTTTATTGGTCTGTAGAGACAACTATAAAGGTTTAGAAGATGGATTAAATATACAGGTTCGTAAAAAAAAATATGTTATATATAATGTGATATTGCTGGTATTATTGCCTTTTTACATGCACTACTGTTGAAATACAATATACCTCAATATAAAAACAACAATAAAATTGACTTTCCATTCCTTAAATTTTTGATATGTTAAAACATTTTACATTCCCTACTGAGCTTAGCAGAATATTATTAAAAGTGATTTTTATAAAAATGGAGCAATTGACTGACTCTCCTGGAAACATATTACATAAGAGCAAATCCAATTAAGACTCTATAGATTTTTCATTCTGTTGACGGATGTTTTGCACAAGCAGTTAATGTTTTATGACATTGTCATTGAACTTGTGATATTTTTTTTCCACTAGGTTATACAGTGAATGATTTCGACAGAAATGTTTACTTAGTGCATATAAGCTAGTGCATTATGTATATTGTTTTAGTTATGTCACTTCAAGAATGTTTAAATTCTCATACAAAGAGTGGCTGTTTGTACAAATTATGTGATATATACATTCCATTTTCTTTGTTATGCATTTACCACGGTATATCTCCTCAAAACAACTTGCATTTCATGTATCTTTGCAATACAAATGCAAATTCACAGAGATAATTTCTTTGTTTGAGAAAAGTGATTTTAAAAAAAAGAACTTGAGCATCAAGTGGTAATAGATGTAAATGTGATTATTAGTTAATTGATTACCTTTTGCATTTCACTAAGTCATAAAACACACAAGTGCACATACAAATTTTCTTAGAGCATGTAAAATGCTAATAAAAGCATTTTATGATTTGCGTGCATGTGTCATATGCTTTACAAATATTACTTTTCGCAGTGTGACAGCTTTTGTCAGGATGCTGACAGATGATTATTAATTATAAACACTTTGATAATCACTAATTTAATGTCTAACTTACTGTAGATATCAAGTCAGCCAGTAATATAGTTTTCTCCAATGGTGAACTTGACCCTTGGCATAGAGGAGGGGTAAGTTTGACCTTGAATAATTATGATCAAGAAATTATATATGGCACACAATCACTATCAATTAACACACCTTCATCATTATCAGCCTATCTATTTGTGGTTGTGTTAGAATATTGCACACATGGGCAAATGTTATGTTATTATTTCATTGCTTCGATGGAATAATTCCTTATTGTTATACCTTTAAAAATTTGTTCCTATATAAATCAATACTTATAAAAGTCTAACATTTCCAATGTTTTACTGAGCGGACATAGAAAAAATCGATGTTTGACCGTGGAGCGAGATATTGGACCTTTCGATGAGATGTTGGATGGCTTACGTCACATAATGGGCGGGGTCAGCTAAATCTCATTTGCATTCATTGGTGTTTGACATACATGTATGTCCAAAAAAAAAAAGATAAAATATATGAATAAAAGGTATAACAAAACATTTATTACCGGTAATTGACTGTGTTCTTGGGCAAAATGCGTTTTGTCGACCCCTCGATCCAAACTGTTTGCCTTCGGCCTAAAGGCCTCAGGCAAACAGTTGGTTCTTGGGTCCAACAAAACGCATGTTGCCCTCAAACCCAGTCAATATAAAATGTATATTGATAACATGCATAGAAGTTATGTATTAAAGCATACTAGTATTAAAAAATTGCTGAATTCTAAGTCTAAATGGTTGATATTATGTTTCAATTTGTTTTTCATTTCTCATCAGATATTTATTAATCTATGATTTTATAAAAAGTTGTTACATGAATTGCTTCCCAACATTGGAAGACATAAGATATACAAAAACAAAATGTATTAAGTTTCTGAATATGAATAAAAGTGCCTAAAAAATTAATATATTGTAAAAAATTAAAGGAAAAGTGTATTTTATTTTTAATACACTATGGTTGCAAAAGATGCAATGATTTTTTTTTATGCAACTTCACATTGCAATTTTTTTTATACATTTTTTTCTATTTTTAGGTCATAAAGCCACCCAACCCCTCAGTAGGGGTGATAATGATAGAGGGAGGGGCTCATCACTTAGATTTAAGGTTAATATATTGATTTTTTTCATCATCATCCTAGTCCCTGTGCGATTGGATATTCTGTCATTTAAAGATGCACTAAAGAGTTTTTTAAACTACATTCAAATACAGTGAATAATACATGTTTGTAAGACTCCAAAGTCTGATGGTCAGACCAAAGTCCGATGGTCTTGCCAAACCCCAAGGTCTGCGCCAAACCCTGATGGTTTGATGTCGATACGGACTCCAAAGTCCGATGGTCATGCCAAAGTCCTATGGTCCATTTCCTATGAGATGTGTTGCGCTAATGTGCGATGGTCTGATACGCCAAGGTCCAATGGTGCAGAGAAACAATCAACGTTTGTGGCATCACAATAGTCCGATATCAATCCCTGATGCCTTTGTCCTGCATTCAAAAGCCATCAATTTAGTATTCATCCTTGCATCCAATTTTACTGATTTTGCTTCTTGCATGCACCCACCAGAGAAATTAAGATTAGTCCTCACACACCACTCAACTGATAAGGGTTAGTCCTTGCACACTATTTGAGTAACAATGAGTTACATCAAACCCACCTGAGATATACGGTAAGTCCTCGCTTTTATTAGACTGATTAGGGTTAGTTTAGCACCCACCCAAGATATGTAGGAGTGTTACACACTTTTCTACTGATTAGGATGAGTCTCGCACCTATCCAAAAGATTGGGTAAGTCCTTGCATTTAATATTTATTTATAATTATTTAAAAAAAAACAATCGGACCTTGGCATGGCACAACATTACATTGAAAATAACTTGAGAATATTTAATTTAAGTGTGACACTTTAAGCTGAAAGCAATTTGAAAAATCACACAAGACTTTACAGTGTAATTGCAGACTTTCGCGGGAAGCATTTCATTTTCATTTCCTGATGAAACTTGACAATGATGCAGAAGAATGAGAAGTTTGTCCTCTATTATAGAAAAAGAGTAAAGAATTATCTGGATTAATGTTACTGTGTTATGCAACTATTATGTAATCATATTGCTTCTCTGTGCCTGGACACTAAATTTGAGTAGTTAATGAGAATTCTATTGCAAATCAATCTTTGCAAATGGCGATTGTGTCTTCTTTTCTTCCATGAATAACTTGTCTAGGACTGATTTGTAAGAATTGCAAGAAATTACAAACTAACAAAGATTTAGTTTGCACTACAATACACAGAATTAAAAAAAAAAATGGTGACTTGATTTATCCAATTGCATTGTTTCACAAAGACCCAAGAGCCTTATATATCACATGAAAGTCTTAAAAATGTATTCCTCTCCAAAGCAAAACTTGGTGATAAATGTTTATTTATTTCCTAGTCATTAAATTAAAAAATGCACCATTAAATTAGTTTAAAACACTTTATTTGTGGAAATATTTAGAGAAATATCAAAGCTTAAGTTAACAACAACAGTTGATTGGAGTTTCTTTAGAGATAGAAATGTGTTCTGAGACATCAGAGTCATGCTAATCATTGCTGGTGTTGGCATTGTGTAAAAATAAGACCTAATTTGCAATGTCGCCTTGCAAAACAGCAGACAGTGTTGCTGTGCTGGACGGTTGATGACTTGATCTTCGGATAATGTCCTCTAGGATTTTTTTTTTCTAGTTGTTGATTCTGTCACATAGAGGCTGCAATCAGATGCAGCAATTTTGTTAAGTTATAGTGGACTCTTGGAACACATGGCCTACAATGATCAGATACAAGCTGACCTTGACCTTTGAGTTTGACCTATTTTTGTAAAAAAGAACAATTTTAACCTTAGCCACAACTTATGAATGGAAGCCCCTTTTGTTTGGGTACCATTATTTTTGACCTACTGATCTTGACTTCGACTTTGACCTACTTTTGAAAAACTTTAACCTTGCCCATCACTGATGAATTTTTGGTGCTTGTGCTTTCATATTTCATATGACTTTGTGTATTCCTCATAACAAGACCTTTCTTTGAGTACCATTATTTATTACCTCATGACCTTGAAATTTGACCTACTTTTGAAAAACTTTCACCTTGGCCATGAGCTGCCATATAAGGGCATCAGTGTTTCACAAACACATCTATTTTGATTTGTGGAAAAATGAAAAAAAAAAAAAACATTTTCATGCAGAATTTAACTACCACTTGTGAAGTTTTAAAGATATTTCAGTAATGATACCATTTTTCTTGCTTTATCATTTGAGACAAACCATATACTGCAGAATTGACAGAACAATTTCTGCTATTGTTTGCAATTACTGCCTTTTCATCTGCTGTTATAACAAAGCTTGATGCATGACATATTGATTTTTTGACTACAGGGGTAAAAACAAAGACGACCCATCCTCAGTCATTGCAGCACGAGACCAAGAAAAGGCCTTTATAAAGAAGTGGATATCGGAATACAGAGCTTCAACATAATTATGCTTCAAAGACATCAGTATCTATCAATCTGTAGCGTGTGTGCAATATAATTACTGTGATTATGAGTTAAAATGGGCAATTTTGTCAATTACTTAGATTTCTGGCAATGATCTTAATTAATTATTATTAATTTTAACAAGACTTCAGAATGATTTATTCTGTCTCATATTACAATTGTATGTTGATATTTACTTTTGATGCCATGCTGTGATTTGAGATGTCATTATATATGGATTATTTTCATACATTTTTATTAAATATATTAAACTTAAACCTCCATTACATTTGAGGCCTGTTGAAATGCCAATGAAAATGAGTCTGCCTTGACTCTCAACTTATTATCAATTTTCAGGACATACAGGATCCAAACTGTAAAGTTGTTTGCTTAAAATTAACCTATCACTTCTGTTAAATGATTTCAAAAGATTTTCTTATAAATTAAAATGTAGTTTCATAAGCCTTATTCATGGCATATAAACATGAAGAAGCATAGAGACATATATAACCCATAAGTTTTGATTTTATTCATGTTTTTTCATCACGTTTTATTGACAAAAATGATATTGGATCTTCTGTCTTCAGACATTACATATGCCATTGACTCAGATTACTAGATAGGTGTGACTGGAACAAGTCAGGGTCAAGTTTTCTTACTGCAATATTGATTTCATTGTCTGTCATACTGGGAGAGTGGAAAATTCTAACTGCAATTTATTTTTGCATTTCTGCATTTCTCGTGTATTTATTATGGCTGCATCTTCCACAAAAGGTCACTTGCTGGCACAAACAGATCTGAAGCCATTTCAAATTAAAGTGTTCGAGATGCTGTTGGAGTTAGTTTTTTTCCCTGGGGCTACAAAATAATCCTGGCTGAAACTTCTCATTTATTTTTACAAATCATTTAGTTTCAATCTACACCCAACTGGAAGAAGAGGTTTTAAATGGCAATGTTTTGTCTCAATTTATAAATTGAAATTGTCTTCCAAGCAAGATTCAGCAACTTCTAGGCGTCGTATAGCTTTCTTATTCTAATCACAATTTGTCCAGGAATTAGTGTATTACTCGAAGCCATTCTCTGGAACAATAAAATCAGTTCTATTTCTCTGATTGCAAATGAAGAATTCAATCGTGATTTCCAGTTTACAATCTGGCAAAGAAGTGTTCCCATTTTATTTCCCTCCACAAACAGTAAATCATATTGTATACTAAAGGATATTTGTAATGCGTGTAAATTTATCATTGAAGTACTGTAAAGTTTAAACAATAGATGGTAATAGATTGTAGTGGAACCACATTAAGTTGCTTCATATTAACTAATATCAGAGACACTCCTGACATTTCAATCACATAATGGTTTTTATCAATTTATTAATTCCAGGGGAGCAGAATTATGCTTTACATTTGTGTTTGTCAAATTGAAGGTTTCGGTGCATCCAACAAAGTTGAAATATTTTACTTACATGTACGAGCATGTTTGTTTTTCACTGGTTAGCTAAGTAAATTTTGAATACATAGGCCTATAGTGTTGTAATGCAGTGAAAAGTTTTCTTATATTTATCATGTACTATAAACTACACAAACTGTGGAGAGATATGTAGAAATTCTCAAAAAGTCATTTACCCCATAATTATGCAAAAAAAAAAAAAAAAAAAAAAAAAAAAAAAAATCAAATGTGTTATTACATGTACATGCCATTACTTTGTGTATGTGTGTGTTTAAAAAAAACTGTTTTAAAGAGATATCAGCGTGAGTGAGTTTGTATATCTAATATCTCTAGGTATAATTATAAGTCTATACTCTGAGGTAATTGTGAGCATTATAAAATATCTTGATTATCAGATGAACTTCTAATCTCAATTACTTGAATGCCCTAATTATTTTTGCAAGATCAATATGCTTCTTTATAGGTCACTTTTATCACTCAGGTGACTCACTGCTATAGGGTCTTGTCTATCATTTTGCATCATTCATAACCTTTTCAGCTTTATCTTATATGAAGCAGTTTCAAGCACTTTTAGTATGTAGCATCTATGGACAAAAATTTTAAGATTCATGGACCCAGCTCCCTTTACCTTTATTAAAGTGAGAAATTTGTGTTCCCAGGTTGGAGCTAAGTATATTCATTGGAAAATACCAATATTTGTTATCTGCAGAGTTTTATTGTATTCTATTGCATCCCCTACCGACTGGTCACACCCGCCATGTGCTCCTTGTCATGATCGGGAAGTAACGGAAAAACCTGTCGACAATTCAGTGTGTAAATAATGGCCTAACAATTAGTATGAAAAATGTCAGTCAGCATTTGACTTAATGATAGATTGTATTTGCTGACAAGGTCATTGTATAGACCATAAAACTTCTGTAGTGATGACTTCAAACGAGACTGTTGATATCTTTGTTTCCTCAACTTGTTTGTCAATAGCTTGCCTCATTTTAGAAATTGTTCATTAGTAAAGCATGCTCTTGCGTATCGAATCACCTGGGAGACAAAACCCCCATATGCAGGTGATAAGGGTATACTGCTGCATAAGTAAGGGAAGTTGACGATTGAAAAATTGAAGTCGTCACGTTTATCATCAAGCTTTGATGTTTTTTCTAGTAAAATATCCAAATATGAAACAAATGTCTCAGACTCTGTGGTATCTTTTATTTCAAGCTCACTTGGATATATCGAGTCGACATATAGATAGATTGATTGATTGTATGTTGTTTTACGTCCCATTTGAGAATTTTTCACTCGTATAGAGACGTCACCATATACCACTGAAGGGCTTCAAATTTTGACCTTTACTCGGCACTCAGGGCCATTAAGCAGTGAGGGTTCTTTATCGTGCCAACGCCTGCCGTGACACAGGGCCTTGGTTTTTAAGGTCTCATCCGAAGGACCAGCAACTTTCACTTCAAAGTGCCGAGCGCATGACGAAGGAACAGTTGCTACCCATTTTTTATCGACTTAGGTCAGTCACGGCCGAGATTCGAACTCACGACCTCCCAATCACAGAGATGTATGAATGAAAGTAACTATTGTTAATTGATAATATGTCTTAGATTAAATGTCAAGTTGAAGGCCACAGCAAGTGTTTTCTTCTTCTCAGGTAGAAGTTTTTGAATAAATTCTGCTTCATATGAATACAAAACAATGAAACAAGAAGTCTGTGAGCCAATGCTCACTAGTAATACCCCCACTCTGATGTGAATATACACTCTAAGCACGTATAAACAGGAAGTTGACATCAGATTCATACAAAAATGAATTCCACCATATGGCATGTCTAAACAATGAGTGTGCTAAAATTTCAAGCATCTGCGATGAGCAGTTGCTGAGAAAACTGTGACGAAAATTTGTGATGTATGGTACAGACAGATGCATGGATAAACAGGAAGTTGACCAAGGATTCGCACAAAAATGAATCCCACCATATGGCATGCCTAAACAAAGAGTGTTTTAAAATTTCAAGGATCTGTGATGAGTAGTTGCTTAGAAAACTGTGACGAAAATTTGTTATGTATGGTACAGACAGACGCACGGATAAACAGGAAGTTGACCATGGATTCTTACAAAAATGAATCCCACCATATGGCATGCCTAAACAAAGAGTGTGTTAAAATTTCAAGCATCTGCGTTGAGTAGTTGCTGAGAAAACTGTGAGGAAAATTTGTGATGTATGGTACAGACAGACGCATAGATAAACAGGAAGTTGACCAAGGATTCGGACAAAAATCAATCCCACCATATGGCATGCCTAAACAAAGAGTGTGCTAAAATTTCAAGCATCTGTAATGAGTAATTGCTGAGAAAACTGTAACAAAAAAATTTGTTAGACAGACACACACACACACAGACACACAAGGGTACAACAGTATACCTCCCTCTCCTTCGGAGCAGGGGTATAATGAAATAGATGTTATTCCCTATCTGTGTATGGCTTAAATTGTATATAAATCTAAGACACAGAGAGTTTTATATCAATTTAATAGCAAAATAAAAAGTTAAATATTTTTTATGACAAAAGTAACAAATCACAACTTTAGCTTTGAAAGTCACAGAAATATGGCAGCTTATCTAGACAATGTCTAATTGTTTTACGGGAATTTATTATTATTGCAGACATCACATCCCAAACAATTCTATCCAAGAGATGTAGAGTTCACCTTTCACATTACTTATATTTAATCTGACAGCACATGATAGACTTGTTACAATGTACTACCTGCATAATCAATTCTTGACACTTTTTAAAACTTTACTGTATGTTCCAATATATACTTTTCTACATATAGATAATACTGTAGAAGAATATCTGATTACTACGAAGTAATTCATTTTCTGAAGGATCTTGTTTCATTAATTTCACACATTTTTTTTTAAACCAATATTATTTTTGGCAGATATTGCTCATGTTATTAAATTCAAGACAAAATCATGGTAGTCAAAAATTCATATGAATGTTAATATTGTTTTAATACAAGAGAAAATAGGTGTGATTCTTCTTCTTACGGCAATCCTCTTTTACCAAACCTTTATTCATAAAGCCTAAAGGACACATCGCTTACAAATATGCTGTATTGCATAGAATACCCTGTTGGTTTTATTTATTTATTTTTTTCTTGTCATTTATCTGTATCCCAGTTAATGATATGAATGAAATTGACTAGATATATTAGAGATTCTTTCAAGCTTATTGTATATCCTGGTATATGATGACAAACCAATCCCTTTCACAACCTTTGTATTCTCTGTTCAATTACTCTCCCCCTTACTCGGGGGGTGGTGACACACTGGTGTAAATGAGGAAATCCCACGTGTCCCTCCACATCAGACCTACAATCTCCTCAGCTGTCAAACTAGTGATTCCATAAGAAAATGGTGACAATTTATAGAAAGCCCACAACATGCAGGTGATTAGTCCAAGCATGAACATTGTAAACATAGTTGGAATGTATGACACCCTGTAAAAAAAAAAAAAGGGTCCTAAAGTTAGACTATAAATACTACTACAGTGATAATGTAAATGTCATTGTCTATTTATGTACATGTAAGCAGCAAAACAATTTTCAAATAATAACAAAACCATGAATCAATAATGAAGTACATGTACTTCATTTAGATATTTAATAATAATACATTATTCATTTTTCAGATTAATTTGATTAAACCACCTCATTAGAACTAAAGTATGAAGACTATAACTTTTCTAGTAAATTTACCTGTTTATATAGAAATAAATATGATCAATAAAAGCTGCCATTGCCAGTACTTTATATATCACACAAGGGAGATAACTGTGTAGGAACAAAGTGCGTTCTGTCAGGAAGAAGGGGAGATAATGCAGTAAATACCCTCCCACTAAAAGTTCTCCCACAAACACAAAGTGACTCCAGTCCCCTGAAATAAAGAGAAAACAAAATATTTTCTTAAACAAATAGTACATAATATATTATGTAATTTTTGACAGAAATTGCATGTTCTGAAACAGCACTGAACTGATGAGAACACCCATTTTTCTAAAATTGCTTTGTGTTGCTGGATCTGCATAAACAATATGCTCGGAAGATTAATTTAGAGTCATCAAAGGAAAAAGATATGAGTTTGCAATCTATAACACACACAGCAATGTATTTTATATATAAAAAAAGTACATAGACCAAGAGACAGATTAGGAGATAGAACTACATATCAGAATGCATTGAAATCCTTCTGCTCATTAATATATTATTACATAGAATAATTCTGCAAACAGAAGTTACTACCTTCACTAAGATCAAAGCAGCCTCGTCTCCTCCTCATTAAATACAGGATAAACAGTCCTAGATACCCTGCCACCGACAGACAGGCTGAATACCAGATAACGGGATTCCCAATTAAATGGATCTGTGCCTAAAGGTGAAGTAATAAAATGGGTACATTTTTATTATTCTCTTCTTTCAAATGGACAGCAAAAATCAGCCCTCAGAGGCTCTGTCGTCCACACAATGTATTAACTGTACAGACTCTTAATAGCATTTTAGGAATACATATTTTTAACATATTTTATGGACAAAATGATATTTGAATTTTAATCTCTTTAACCACATGAAAATGCACCACAAAAATCTGCCCTCAAAGGCTCTGCCATCTACATAATGTATTATTCAAAAGGTTTCATTTTATTTAGATGAGTAGTTTATGAGAACTACCTAAACTATACTGGAGGAACATTAGGAATTATGATTAAAACAGCTTGGATTTGATGCAACAAAAATTTTACATCTCCAAACTGTATACTATAGGTGTATTTGTGTGTCTTTGATCGGACTTGGGGTCAATTACTTTGAAATGTAATGCATTAAATTACAATTACTTTGGAATTTTTACCATTACAAATAACCATTACCATTACTCTCATTCAGAAAAGTAATCAGTTAAATTACAATTACTTTGTTAAAGTAATGAATTACAGTACACATTACATTTTATAAGAAAAAACCACAAATTCTATGACCACACAACTTATCTATAAATTAACTTTCTCACACTTTGTGCTCGGTCAATATGCTTTCCCTCAGGTCTATAAGTCAGAGTGGTATTTGGTATTGTGGATTCATTTATCATGTTTATGTATTTTACCAATCTACAGTTAACAAAGAAAGTGGATAGGAACACTTTCAATGTTGACAGGTCTGTTTTTGATTCATTCTTGTCTTTACTACAGTCTACTAATTGATATGTTAACTTACATTACTATTTGGACTCATCCAGTAAGCCATATTCTTGGAGAGGAATGGCCACTGTATTGGTTCTGAGCTGTACTTGTGTTCCATTTCTACATCACCTTTAGCCATGAACATCTTGTACTGGAGTTCCAGGAACTTGGTCCAGAAGGACAGGTGGGTGGGCTCTGTGGGGATCATCTCAGACTGAGCCATGTCCCTCGTCTGACTCTCCTTATCCTGACCTAACACAACAAGGTTTGTCTTCTATAGTAAAGTTATGAAGCAAGGGCAATATATACACATTTCTAACATCAAGTTTCATCCTCCCATATAAGGTTCTCTTTTAATAAATTATTGTCATTGAATTTTGTTCTTGCATTGGCTTTGTTCCTATAATTGCAGATACTGAGCTGAATTTGAGTGTTCGTGTTTCAATTGTGTTAAAAACCAGGCTTGAGAGACTCAACGCAAATGACCTACTTTTTACAGAATTATGTCCCCTGAACATTGAAACATTTTTACTATGCCTATAGATATTCCTGGAACTGAAATCTGGTGTGTAGTTGTATGATGGTGTCACATCACAGGTTAAAACTGAATTCCAATCTTGTGGCCCAAATTTAAGGAAAACTCAGCCCTAAGAATTCAAATTCTTCCCTACCTGGCTTAGGTACTTGTGTCACTGTGACACATCTAGTTTAATGTGAAAGAAACATACCATGACTGAAGCACCACATTATTTAAGGTACACACATATATATATAATGTTAAGACCTACTTTTGGTGTATCTGTGTTCCTCTACATTCCACACTGTGGCTGGTTGGTCTGTCACTCTGTCTGTGGTCACCTCCAGTTGGAAGAAACCCCAGTCCGGTAGCTGTTTACCTGTGGACTAAATATCAAATGTACAAAATAAAATAATAGTTGCAATGTCCTCTAGAGGTAATTCACTTAAGAAGGTAGTAGTTTCTGAATTTTTATTATTGTATATATGACCTGAATTCATACCTTCAGAGCCTGTAGTGTCCCCACGTGATGTAGGCGGATATGGCTGTTTATGGTCTGCCAGGCCTCATCATCAGATTTCCTGTTCACAATCTCCTGCAAAACCAGTTGTATACTTTTTAAAAGGATTTTAAACAGATTTGAAGATAGCAAACATTTTCATATTGGCACGATGTACATCTAAATTTACACAGGGTTGGAAAGTGTTTTGTGACATGCTTTTGTGACTATTGAGTCAATATAGGAATCTATAAGTTTACACTTACAACTTTCCACAAGTTTTGAGCAGGCATTGAGATGTTATAGTCAATATAACAGGTGACTTCCTGGTTCTGGGGAGTGAGGGGAGCAGCCACATCATGACTAAAAAAACCCAAATATTTCAATATCAGAAAGTCAGTTTGCATCCACAGAATGTACAAATGAAAAATTTGTAGAAGTACTTTTATCTGGTTGGGGTTAATTTACACTATGTACGCAGTAAAATTTTCCGAGGTGATTTGTTCCAGCATACTCTTATTACATTTAAGGTATATGAGGACAATCAAAGAAATCCGTGTAATTTTCTACCAATGGACTGAACAGAAATTGTGATTCCACAGAATTACAACCTTGTGGAAAAAAGTACATTTACAGTAATCTTTATTCTTTTGCTTGTTAAATAGAAAAACAGAATTTTTCTTGTGCTGCAAATTCTGCTATAACCCTCACAATGTATTACTATATTGCATCAACACATTACATTTCATTCATCTTAAAAGATCTAGCTACCTATTGAGGGCACGACTGGTTATACCATGAACAAGTTGAATCACATCTCCGTGTTTGACAGGTTTGGGTGGCTCATCAACAACCAATAAATTACTGGTAAAAAGAAAACGACACACTTTAATCCTATTGCAACAAGTACATTGCAATCTAAGGGGAATAATTCTTAAACAGCTTAGAAAATCTTTACCTATCTGGATCTTTAATGATCCACCAGTTGTTTATATCTTTAAACACATAACATGTGACTTGTTGTTGATGACTGCTGCCCCGCCCATCAGGGTACCTGACAGGATAAACATGAGCGTGGGAGTGGAGCCAGCATGGTTTCCCGGGAGACAGAGAGTGGGTGTGTCTCAGGGTAATCTGAGAGCCAAAGGCCACATTGAGGGGTTGTCCTTTAGTTAGGGTAGCTAAACCTCCCTGTTAGAAAATAATTTTGATATATTCAAAAAATAAACTGAACAGTTTATTACATGTAGCTGAAATATTTATCGAGACATTTTTCCTCGAACATGAAATTCTCGTACATCGACACAGAATATATTCTTCATCACTTTTCCAATAATCAAAGACATTCAACAGTGTATTTAATTGAGCAGGATTTTCATATTTTGACACTTTAACACACTTGTTAGTGTACTAATTAACAAGCATCCAGAAAAAAAGTGTCCTCTGTGTTTGAAAAAAATATCCATTAACAATGTTAATACTAAATCATAATTGCATCACAGTGCTTATAATACTTGTATACATGGATATGTCAATTCAAAAAAGTTTTACACAAGTACAAATACATCATCTTCATTGAAATCCTCTGAATCTCAATAAAAAGATTACACATTATACATTTTACATGTATGCTTATCTATATACCTCTAAGCTAGCTTGGAAGGCACTTGTCATGATGTTGTCGTGTGGCCCAGCCTTGATGAGGAGGGAGAGATGGACGTAGAAGACCAGTATATAACAGAGGATTGGGACAGTTAGCAGGAGTAGAGTTCTGACTAACAGGTGCTTCACAAGGCAAAGCTGAAATACAGGATAAAAAGAAACCTTAGGAGTCACAACACTCACTGAAAGATTTGGCAGCTTTTATATATAAAGTTCATTTGAGCATTGTTTATTAATTTAGGAATGACTCTAATTCTTGGCCAAATTATTCGAGTATAACCTGGTTTGGGTCAGTTTACGCTTTATAATCCGCGAAGCGGATTATAAAACAGCGTAAACTGACCCAAACCAGGTTATACTCGAATAATTTGGCCAAGAATTAGAGTCATTCCTTATAATTTAATTTTAAAATCATTAAACAACTGTGGTTGTAAAATTTCGTTGCTTTTTATTAATTCAAATTTGCCGCTCAATAATACAACCGTAGTAACGGAAGTGATGGGAAGCGAGGGGAGGTAAAAACTGATACATAGTCCTAGCAGCCATGTTGTTTGATTACATGCGGTAAGATCCGAGTTACTGTTCGATGTAAAAGGTGCATTTATTAAATCTGGAATTTTCCATGAATCCCGAGGACTAGAAATGAGATGATTGCATGGATACAGACAATTCAGCTGGTTGTCAGGGGGGTGTTTCCCCATACCAAACCAGGTTATACAGAAATAATTTGTGTTCCTTTTTGGATATTAACCAATCAGAGGCTAGAATACAAACAAAATTAAATTATTAAGGCATAAACAGGTCATTACTCTGGAGATTGAAAATTTACTGCTAGGGAGATGATAAGAAAGGTGGAGGATCAACAAATATTGACAAGAGTTCACAAACATGATATAAAAATCTTCACAAAATCCTTTATAGATTTGACAAGTTTAACATCTTGAGAAAGCTATTGTAGCATGAAAATATTTTTGTTTTATATACAGTACATGTATTTGATATTTTTTTGATTTTATTTTCAACATTGAGTCTTACATCTGATTTGCTAACATCAGCTAACATGTTCCAGTAATCCCTAGTTGCATGCAGTAATATCAAAACGGCAGTGAAGAAACCAACGTACTTTATACTGAAAAGACAAAACAGCAGAAAAATGTATACATTGATAGCAATTTGTGTATAATTTCTGTTGGATGAATTTGCAGATACATGTAATATCATACCTCAGAGCACAAGCAAAACACACTCCAGTAAGACTGAGCCAGAAAAACCACTGCACAGAAAATTCTCTATTGGAAAACAACAAAATATTATTAATATCTGTTGCATGCATGGCATCTCATAAACCTAACAAATATGAATAAATCTGAACTTGATATGTAAAATTTTATAAAGCAAAATTTACATATATACCTGTGAGATAAATTCCTAAACTTTAGGTAGCTGTAGATAGATAGGCACATGAAAAACAACAGCATTCCTTCCATTAACATGAAACGTGACTGCACTAAAATGGCATTATCTGGAAGAAATATTACATAAAAAAATAGATATAAGCAACTGTATTTTTTCATATTTTTTTTAAAGACACTAAATCATCCATTTGTCTGTAGAGAATAATGTTATTCCAACTTTATTTTTACAAATTCTCTCCTCGTAAAAATCTACAGTAAAACACACTTATAACAAATTGCCAGGGATGGATCATTTTGCTTCGTTATAAGCATAATTATTTGTTATATCCGTTAAGTTTACAATATATTTCAAAGTCACAGAGAATGAGAATCACTTTGCTGTAAGCATCAATTCATTATAAGCGTGTTTGCTATAAGCATGTTTTACTGTAAATACTGTGTTTCCTATGGATATCTATATGTTTTATCTTCTGTATATAATAATATATTAATAAACAAAAGGTCAAATGGCCCCAATGTTCATCTGAGTCACATTTCCCTTTCTGATAAAAAAAAATGAACCCCTTCTTCTGGCCCTAAACTAAATACAGTTTGAATCAAGTTTAGAATACAGTACATAATACGATACAAATTGCTATCAATAACACAAATCTTAGCTTTGTTCTTACTGAAAAATTTCTGTATTACATTACACTTTTTAAGACATTACCCTAAGAGTGTGGCCCCACTCAATAAAACTGGGGGTCATTAAATGAAAAAGTGTATATTAAAATGTGTACTACAATGTATATTACATGCTTGCTTTTCAATTAACCTAGGTCCTGCTGTTCTTGAAGATATTTTTGTTTCTATGTAAAAATCTGACCCCTATTTAAATTATCCTAATTATCAATTACCTCCCCCCCCCCCCCCCCCCCCCCCCCGGTGAGGAACACAATCCTTCATTTGAACAAACACAAACATAAATTCCCTTTTCCCAAGGATGCATTGTGCATATTTTGCATATTTTTTTCAATTGACCCAAAAATTCAAAGGATGAACTTGAAAATCAGAAATTTGAACCAAGAGAATAAAACACACAAAATAGAAAAATTTCAGTCAGAAATTCTCCATTGAGCTTGGGCTCAGGTGAACTTATAAATAAATTAATACAATAAAACATTTCTTTAAACTTTATTAGAGGATTTTACTTAGGGTAGTACTGCTTACCAAAAACTATACAAAGCCCTGCCAGCAGGGCAGCCCATCTAGAGAGGTGCAGTTCTACTGCAATCTGATACACAAGTGGAACTACCAGACTCCCCAGCATAGCAGGAAGTAGTCGCATTGTGTACACGGGGAATGATGAGGAATACCCTACATTAGAATAAACAGGTAATAAGTTCATGAAGATTATACATGTCTTCTGTGCTAAAATAGAATAAGAGAGTTTAGATATTTTACCTGCTCCAATATGATCAAAATCTGCATTATCCCCCAAACCACTAAATCCTCCTGGAATAAAACAAAATCTGTATAAATTACTGTACGTTTTTTACATACTTATGCATGTTCTAATGTATCAATTCATTTAATTGATTTTGACAAACACTGCACATTGTAATTATATGGAATGCATGTACATTTCTTCATTATCATAATTTTGTAAATTTTCTTTCTTGAAAGTTACAATGCTTAGCAGCTTATGTACCTTATCATCAGATCTATATAAGCTTATTATAAAATAACACTCAGTTTACAACAAACCTGCTAATGCTAACAAGAGTTTGCCTAATGGTGGATGAACATCAAAGAAAAATATCCTCTTCATATACAGGGATGCAAACTTGGCAAAATGTAATTCATCAAATCTACAATGGAGTAATACAATGCAAAATTATGTTGACCTAAGTCAGCATCTAGCTGCAGAAAATTTTTTAAATTACTAAATATAATTGAGATCAAAACTTGATCCAATACAGAAAAATATTTTCAAAATGCTTGAATGGCTCCAGTTCCTCTATAGACCTAATATCAGAACCCTTCCATATTTTCTAATTTTACTGTCATTAAAAGAAATATTTTTTAAACAAATCTTATCAAATACTGTAACCCATACACCACAGCTCTGGGGTGACCCAGCATCCATAGTCTAGTAGCTAGTGCTGTCACAAATAAGAGGATCTGTACAATGTCCACTTCAAACCGTACAGAGAATGGTTTAGCTGATTCTGTTCTGGATCTTCTGTAGGTTTCCTGCAGGTTTCCTGGCATTGGGGAACCATCTCCCTGTACAAAAGATAGGATCTTACAAATATCTAAGTGTTTAAAATAGTTAACTTCATATTTATGTGGGAAATTCCATAGAATATTCCTCATTTTATTGATTTAATTTCCCTTATGTGTTAAATTTCACAATTTTTCTAAAAGATGCTTCTAGCAATTACTAGCATACTGCACCTTCACACTTAAGACATTTACTTTTTTACAACAAAAATTCATCCCATTGCAAGTATACTTGTAAGTATTCCATATTACATACTTAAAGAGTTACATATAGTACCTCAACCCTTTGTGGTTCGGGCAAAAGTCGCCGATGAATATCATCTTGTGGATAAGACGTTGACAAAGTTCTCTCCCCTGACTGCTCCTCAGCAGGTGGGGTTGAGCTCTCAATCTCCATGATTATTTTAGCTTGATAAAATCTGTTCAAAAATAATATTCATTTTGGAAAACTCTTAAAAATGAATAACAGATATAATACAGATAATCTCAGATGCAGTGATTATGGTCTGTTTGCATTAAATAGGAAAAATAGGTAATCAAACATTATGAAGATCACCTAAACAAATGTTATCTATAAGTAAGCAAAGTCTTACCCCCAAATAGATGGCCATATATGCAAATCCATGCAAGTTTGGTTAGGGTAGGGATAATAATTACTGGGAATGGACAAAAATCTTTCACAATTTAATCAGCCAGAAAATTTAGGACAGATGCAACACTTGAATCAGGTCTCTGTCTGGTAGTGTATCATCCCTGCAAGTTTGGTCCAGATAAGTTTATAGATACTTTGTAATGGACCTGCTCCCAAAAAATAACCTGTTCAATCACCTTGTCTATGTTGGTTTTTTTTTTTTTACATATGCTGAGTGTCAAGCAGATTTGAAAGTATGCATTCCTGAATACACATCCATACAAGTTTGAACCAAAGCTTATACATACCACTTAATATAAATGACCAATGTCTAAAGAGTATATTCCTAGGGCAAATCCATGCCAGCTGGGTCCAAGTACAATTTATTGTATTCAATTTATTGAAGCTAACGCGCTTCATGAAATATGCCAGCGTGAAGCGTCGTAGTTCATGTCCTCATGAATCTTCAAAAATTAAATTCATTTCTTATATTTACACTATTTTTCTGATTAGGTGCAACAATTCAACCGTCATTTTTAAAGCATAGTTTTGACGTCAAGTATGGTATTATGACGTAACAATGGAGATATTCATGCTCATCCATGGTAGTTCATGAGAAAATGAACAATACTCTAATTTGCAAAGAATCCTAAGGAAACATATTTGGAAATGTAAATATATATTTATATTTTTTACATGAGAATGGACATTTTCCAAGAATTCTAACCTAACCAGTAGTCACTTATCCAGTTATAAGTTAACATGGGGAATAGTTGTGAAAAGTGCTGAAAAGTCATACATTTTGATATTAGTGATTTTGGTAAAATTTTATGATTTCAAATTTTCTAAAAGACCTTAGGAGTTTGCAAGTATTTACACCAATTCTTAAATATATTTTTGTACAGTACTCCTGAAGTTTCTCCTTCACTGCTGTTAATATCAAGCATTGCTTTTTGAGCTATAAAGACAATGCCTGGGTGAAGAGAAAATTCGGACTTTGCACATTGATCCAAATGATTTTTTTTCCACAGTAACATCTGGACCCAAAATCCTTTATGAGTTGCATCTCACCACAAACTACGTTCTCATGGTAGCAACAAAAGTTCACCAAAAATAAACTTACATGTACCTTGATATAATGGATCTTCCAGATAAATAGTAGCTTAACGTTCTTTTGTTAAAATTTGCAATTTTCAGACTTTTGGTAATGCAACTAGAATATTACAACGTCATGTGACGTTCTAGACGTTCCAAATGTTACACGCTGTTTACGAGGCACATCTAAATTAAAACTGAATAGGTATCTGCTCTTGCCCTAACGGCATTATGGGCTAACGGTCGCACCGTCAACGTATTATTTTAGTGAGGAGTAAAAAAAGCTTAGGTTTGGTTAGATAGAACATTCTATCGTTAAAATGATATTGTCCTACGGATCCGGTTTAGCGATAGAATTCGTTCCATATATTGGCAATGTTGCAAAATAAACATGGGCAATAACTCGAACTCTGTGCATTTTCTATGAACAATCCAGAGAGTTCCGAATGTCAACATGGCATTAAATTTGAAGCAAGGAAAAAACGTTGAGAAAATGAGTTGAATTTTCGTATTTATATGGATTATTCTTTGGGTTAATAGGCATATACAATCTCAAAAAGGTTTGTTATGATTAATTTAGTAGTTATTTTCAGTGCAACTCCTTTTGTATTCTTCAAAATCATTTCGGAGTTGATCCACTCCGATTTGCTACATTGCAAGTATATGGGACATATTCTAACTGTGGTGAGGGCTTGTCCCGAGACACAGTTAGATTATTCTAACTAAGGTTTGGTGAGAACATTTACTGGAATCTGCTATGTATCTTTGTAAGAATTTTATGTACTTAGGAATCCATTATAGGTATGGTAATTCAAATTCAATTTGACTGTTAGCAATATTAACAATATTTAAAACTGACATATGATTTTGAAGAATTATAAGTGATCAGTGATAAATTTATACACAACTGCGCTCGATCCAACGGTCGCACTTAATATATCATCAGGTTGAGTTTTTTTCTTATGGGGGACAGGGGTAACGCTAGTTGTTTAAAAACTGCGAATTAGTAGTTATTAGGGACATATGGTATACGTCCCTCCAGTTATCAAGAAACAACGAGACAGAGGTAATACTCGGTAACCTACTGAGTATTACCTCTGTCTCGTTGTGAGTAAGTAAGTAAGTAAGTAACTGTACTGGGGATATATCTAACCCAAAACCCCTATCCCCCATAAAAAAGGAGGAATACATTTAATATTACCATTTAAACTGAGGCGTCGCCGTCATCGGAGAAAATAATTCTTCAATCTCTCAAAATTCAAAACCGGAAATCTTCAGAAAGAAACTAAAGTAAAAACCAATATCTGAACGTTTGAAAATCCGAGATTAGAGCATTAAAGAATAAGTTTTGCGACACAACATAAGTTTAACTAATTACTTTGTACTTCCAAATAATATATCCAATTTCAGAACTTGCTTTTGAAATTGGAGTACTTTGATTTCTTTGTTGAATGCAATCACAGAAAATGCTAATTTACACAGGGCTTGAAACGTTCCCATCAGTAACGTTTCTAAATTGTTACGTCACAATTGCTTCTAATGTGAAAATGTGAAGACTTGCGATTTATGAACAGCTAAGCTTGAAAGTTAATGTAAAAAAATGGTAAGTTTAATATCACCAATATTTAGTTAAATGTAACGAAAATATTGATTAAAAAAAATTATAATAGCTGTGATTATAATTTTCGATCAAACTATTTTGATGTGCACAAAAGTGGTGGTGGTGGTGGTGGTGGGGGGGGGGGGGATAAATTGTCATTTTTTCATAAATTGTATTCAGTATTCATGAAGGCCTATAACTTTGGCCTCTTTATATACCCCCCCCCCCTTCAAAAATTAATTTAAAAAAAACAAAAACAAAAAAACTAATCGGGCGTGGTTCAGGGAAAGGCGTTTCTATGATGGAGTTTTTCCTACTAAGACGTCATAATTACTTTAATGTTAGATTGCAACTAGTAACGTGCAACATAGCAGCTCTATAACTTCAACAAAATTAAAAACATGGTAATTTTTTGTAAAATATTATTTATCTTTTAAAAAACGTTGACATTTTTCTATAAAATTTAATGTCATGATATGCCTTTCCAATTCTGCAGGATGCGGACGAGAAAATAGAATTCAGAAATGGTAGAGAATTTCTGATGAGCGTGAACGACAGGCTGAACCAGATGAAAGTAAGTCAACGATTTTACGATGTCTTTCATTCTTACGAGAGAAAATTTTACTCCTACTTACCATTGTCCTTTGAATTTAGGCTGCCGTTCAAAATGATATGACTGAATTCAAAAAAGAACTAGAGCTTAAGGAAGAGGATAGATACACGGTAGTAAATATTATTCCCTTTCAAATAATTTTGTATGACTATATGAATTTAATTTTACAAATTTAGCATAATATTGGGAGTCACCGTAAAAGCTTTTCTTTTTTAGGAAACTAAGAAAGAAATTGCAAATCTTTCCCAGAACTGCTTGAGAGAAGACAATTTCACAGATATACCTGGGAATATTTTACAGGTAATTTTTACACTTTCATTATTTCATAGTGTATGATTTATTGTTATCGTTAATTTTATATGAAAGCAAGTAACATTTAAAGTTTATTGTTCATGATTAATAGTTTCGGTGATGTTACAGATTTATCTTCCCGATGATGCAACCATAGCAAGAGAGCTGTGGAGGATCAAAGAATACGCAGATGAATTGGAAACAATTAAGGTATACGAAAAATGAAATACCAGTTTCGGGATTTTTTCATTCAGGGGTGATCATTTCACTTTATTATAGTTACTTTTTTATTCACTGCCGAAATATTTATCAGGAAAATATTCTACTGTGTATGGCGATATTCATTTGCGCAAAATTACATACATGTGTATTAACCCCCCCCCCCCCAAATAATAATAATAATAATAATAATAATAATAATAATAATAATAATAATAATTAAAAAAAAAACACAAAAAAAACAACAAAACAAAACCAAAAAAAAAGACACATTTTTATATACTTTGTAAATTACTTTTTATTATACAAGAATTTTCAAACAAGACAACACTGTATAAATTTATTTTAACTGACGGTTTATCGTTTTCAAGGAGGAAACAGAGGAAGAATTGTACAAAGGAAACACTGGAGAAGACATAAAACCAAAATTTGCCAGCGGAGCAGAATATCTGGACTGGTTAGATCGACAACTCCCTTACCTAGAAGTAAGTAAATTAGATAAAGAAATCACCTGATTAAAAATTCAGTAGACACATGTTTCGAAATGAATATTTGTATTTAAGATGGTAAACTATGAATGTAGTGTGTATTATAATTCCAAAAGCAATAAATTAATTAAAATTACAAAATAGCAAATTAGCAATCATTTTCCAGGGCTCGTAGAAAATTATCATTTTAGATATTCTTCAATGGACATATTTCAGTATTTTCTTCCATTTTTAGCCATTTTTACCAGAAAACGCAGATCATGTCTATTTCTTTCGTCGATGGAGTCGGGAGGATTTCAGATATAGCCCTTGGCTTGAGACACTCTTTGTAAGTCACTTTCCATTAATATTATTCAGCTTATTTAATTGAAAATAGTTCTTTCAATCCCAATAGCAATTTACTTTTAATTGTATGTGTATTCATATTTATTCATTTAAAATAACACTGCTGTCAAATTAATTAACTAAACCTTCGAATTCTGTAATTTCTTCCAGGAAGAAGAGCCCAGGAAATTAACAACAGAAAATAACGAGGATGACATTGAACCAGAATTTGCTAGCGGAGAAGAGTACCTTGGTTGGTTAGGTCGACAACTACCATGCCTTGAGGTAAATATAGTTTTTCCCTCTCTCACACTTTGTCATTACAATAAGGTAATTTTAAATCTAAGTAACAAATTTTAAAACATAATCAGAAATTAGTATGATACTAATTTGAAATGTAAGTTTTACTTGTAATTAAGAAAATGTATCATTTTCTTAATTACAAGTATAACTTACATTTCAGCCATTTGTGAATGATGACACTATTCACGCATGTTACGAATTTGAGTGGCGAAAGAGAAATGATTACGCCCCAAGACTCAACACAGTGATCGTAAGTTACATGACTTACTTTTTCAATATATCAGTAAATGTTTCATAGTGTTTATAATTCCGATTGTTGCAAGTTTCCCTCTGTATGATAGATAAATTGTAGGGACTAAGGCCTGATTTAGAAATATCAGTTTCGCGATTATCTGTCTAGCTGTTTTTCCTATTCGTCGATATTATTGTCACCAAATTTTCATTTTATTTTCATTCTTCTATATTGGTCAATATTCAGTTGCGCCAAAATTACGTACACGCATAAACAAGCAAACTTTGCGCAGTGATATATCTTTAATAAACTTTGCAATTACTTTTCAGCACAAAAGAACCTTCAAACAGAACAAACCTGATATTAATTTATCTTAAGTTATTGATAATATTTTTTTAAAGGAGGAAACAGAGGAAGAATTGAACGAAAAAATAATTGATGAAGACATAAAACCAGAATTTGCCAGCGGAGCAGAATATCTAGCATGGTTAGATCGACAACTCCCTTACCTTGAAGTAGGTTATAAAGATAGAAATAATAGAATTTAAAATTCTGCAAATAAATGCCTAAATGAAATTAAAATGAATGATAACTGTGCTTATGGTTTAAATGCACTATCATAATTAATACATGTAAAAATTGCAATATATGGCATAATTTCATCATTTGAAATATGCTTTCAATGGAAGATTTGAATGTTATCTATCTTCCTTTTTTTCAGCCTTTCTTACCAGAAAACGCAGATCATTTCTATTTCTTCCGTCGATGGAGTCGGGATGATTTCAAATACACACCCAGGCTTGAGACACATTTTGTAAGCCACTTTTCATTACATACATGTATATGAAGCTCCTACAAATTATAAAATATTACTATCAAGACACTCTTTTGTTGTTAGTTTAATTCAACTTTCAAAACAAGAATACTGTTTTAATCAATTTTACTTAGGTTCGTAATTTCTTCCAGGAAGAAGAACCCGGGGGAAAATTGACAGCAGAAAATAACAAGGAAGACATTGAACCAGAATTTGCTAGTGGGGAAGAGTACCTTGGTTGGCTGGGTCGACAGCTGCTATGCCTGGAAGTAAGTGTCTATCCCCCCCCCCCCTTTTACAGCTTGACATTACAGAAGGATAATTTTAAATCTAAGACTTCCATAAACTGATAATTAAAGAAATATGCAAGAATGAAGAGTGTTGTATTCATAATTTATTTTATATTTCAGCCATTTGTGGGTGATGACACTATACACGCAAGTTACGAATTTGAGTGGCAAAAGAGAAATGATTACACCCCAAGGCTAAACACGGTGATCGTAAGTTACCATACTCCTTCCAATGAATTTTCATTTCTCAATCATCACTAAATGCTATAATTTGTGATTATACTCATACAGAGATTTACTAGTTATATTTAAAAAACTAATTTCCAACTGTAAGTTTAAAAGATACACAGCCAAGAGTCTGAATACCTATTTAGAAATAATTGTCTTATTCAGTTCATCTCTTTAAATTTCTATTTTATTTTTATTTTTTGTGTTAGGAAGAGAATGTAAACGAAGAACAGAAAAAATACAGAGTCTGTTCTAGCAAGAAAGACACCAGGGAGTTAGAAGTGAGTAGATGTTCGGAACAGTTTTCTATCATGATACTATAAATGGAGAAAAAAAAACAGCAAAGATGTAATAAGGCATTGAAATCAAAAGTGATAGAATTTTAGAAATATTAGGATGAAATTTTTCTTTTATAGGACGAGGATGTGAATCCATACATAAAACTGATGTTACAACCCACTGTGTTCTGTATGGAGGTCTTAACGACACAGGTTTGTGATTATTTTTGCATTTCTTCTCATTAAACCAAATTTTTGTACACAAATAAACAAGTGCGAATGAGAATGTAAGTTACAAGATATATAAAATGATTTGTTACTTTTAGGACCCGTTGTCATTGGCTGATATTTGCACCCAGATGATCCCTACTGAGCAGACTACAGATACAGGTCACCCTGAATATGAGACAAACCTCACAGATACAGAAAAACAAACCGAACAGGTATTTCTTAAGTACTTTATATCATAGAACTTAACTCATTAATAAATGGTTTCAGTAAAGGCGTGCTTTATATTTTATAAAATTTCATAATTCTTTTAAATTTCAGCAAATTATTCTTTCTCACCCAATTTCCCCTTTGAGTAGAGCAATTAATAACAGTTTATAATTTATTTAGAAACAGTTATTACATATGTGATTTATGAATTTGTTTCTGCAGGTATGCCAGAAAGCAAGTAAATGGAATTTGTCTTTCAAGTTCTTATGCAGAAATGTAAGTAAATTCAATGTTTCTATAACCATTTTGTACCAGATGAATTGACATATTACCAGTATAAGAAATACCCATCCATTACTAATATTAATTTTTCCTTATTTCATTTTTTAGAAGAATATCAAAGAAAGAAAGAAGAGAGCTCTTGGTTTCTTTTCCCGATTCTTCCACTAAGTTTAGGATCAACCAAGTTCATCCAAGGTCTTCCACCAATCTTCTCCAAGTTCTTCCAATAAACTATGTTTACATATGATACCATAATGGACTGCATTTTGTGCTTATTGAAAACTTTTCCCACCTGATCAGCTATTAATTTAATTATATTTTAGTCTAAATAAATTCTTTATATGAAATTTTACTTGCCTTTGGGTTTGTCTGTAAATGAACAAAGTGAGGATAACTAAAGGATAAATCCTCATAGCAATACTTTAAATCGAAAAAGGCACAAGAACTTGGACGCCTGGGATTAGGTACCATGAAGGAGTAATCATTCCCTGTCAACCGGTCACGTCGTGAGCCCTTTGTATTGAGGAGATGGAGTAATCCTTACGTAGTTAAAGTTTGAATGCAGTGGCCTAACAAATATAAGTTTCAGCGTAACTGTCAAAGAGCTGATGTGTTGAAAGTGGCTCTGCCCCTTGCACCCTCTGCATGATTTTTCTTTGTCACCAATCCTTTCTTTTGTGTGTAGGTAGGCATGCTCATCTTTTTTTTGACTGTTCTGCAAATAACTGCAACATATACCCCCCCCCCCCTTCCCCAACTAAATATTTCAAAAGAATATACAGGTACCAGAATATGTTTATACATGTATATGTATTTTTTATCCTCATAGCCAGTCATTCAGCAGCAGAGAGTAATGTGCGCACACTGATATCTTAGGGACTTTTAATAAATCCCCTCTCCTCCCAAAAAAGGTCGCATAAATTCAATTTGAATTTCATTTCTTTTTTACTTACTGATGGAGCAATTATAAGTCTATCAGATAGCTTTCATAATCCATTTACCACCTTCCTGACCCTGTCTGAGAGGGTCTCACACTTTACATCCACAAGACAACCTCTCTATGAATCATCACATTATTTTTATGATAATACAATGTATTGTATTCATACCTGCTGCCAACTGCATCAATTTCAGAGAAAACATGACAGTTATGTAACTTGAGTAAGGCTTTAATAATTCAACATTTTTGGTCCAAATCAAGATAATCTAGACAAAATGTAAAAATACTCTTTGTTCTTATATCAATAATCTGTCAAGGGAAACAACTACAATGTACATGTATTATTTCTAATATTTTAAGCACAGATAAAAATGTCAATCTTTTTGAAAACTTTTCTTTGAATTGATCCCAATCTTATTATGGTGAATTAAAATCCACTGTCCATAGAGGATCTATAATTAGAAATCAATATTTCTCCCCATTCAGTCTACACATACATTCCATTTCATAAGCTCTTCTGACTATTGTCTGGTTGGCTTAAGAAATTTAACTTCATCATCTGGTAGGTTCCCTACAACAAGGGGGAAAAAAGTTAAAACAATTATAATACAAAATTGAAAAAAAAAATGTTTCAAATATTAAACCTCTATACCATATAGAAGCTGCAAAATAACATAAGTACAAAACAATATTACAGTACATCCAGAATAGGGTTTTTGTTTATTTAATCTTATTAATATCATATGTTAAGATAAATTAAAACAAAAAATATACAAGAAAATTATTTTTTTTTCATGGAACCTACAGTATCTCTGTTTACAGATCCATACTCCATAAGTACGGCTATCAACTTTGTTGTATCCAGCACCTCAGCATAGACCTACAAAGTCATTAAACAAGATTGAATAACACTGTGTGGGTAGCAATGGTCTGGATCAAATCAAAAACTGTACCGATATGCTTGGTTGCAATTCAATAAAAGTAGGTTTTGTTATTCACAAACCTTTAAACTTATTAACAAATATACTAAATGATTTTCTTTTGCATACACAACAAGTATTCTTCCATAGTTCTGTAAGTTTGTGCAAAGGCAAATTATTTGTTGTTTTTTTTTTTTTAAATCTCTTTCTATAAGAAAAATTGAATTCTCTTTGTATCATCTTACTCACCATTTGAAGTCTGGTTGCCTCAAATTCTTTGTTTCCTACAGTTCGTATAGCCAATCTTCTGCTTATGTAGTCCCCTAGTACAGAAATTGATGCCACCTAGTAGAAAAAGTTGTAATTGTTATACAGTTTAGATAAATAGTAAAAATATACAATCAAACTTGTTTAGTACATGGATATAGTAAAAATAAGGATAAAGTGAAATTTTCTGGATCCCCAGCAAAATTCTAAACAATTCCTTCTAAATTTTTACGGTTATAATGAACTGAGACAGCAAATTTATGAATATAGAAAATTGACTAGTCCCCATGACTTTGCTTTAAATGTGTTTTTCCGTAACTGAATTACTATAGCATATTTTATCATCCTGATCCTTTCTGCTATTTAGAACAAAGAATGGAAACCTAAAAAGAAAATATTTCTCAGATAATTACTGCACAGAGCTCAACATTAACTAACATGGCCATAGGAACCGGGGGGGGGGGGGGGGGGGGGGGGTGCCCAATAATTTGGCCGATATATAGATTACTATAGTAAACATAGATACTATATGCTTGTGCCCCCCTCAATAATAATGTCTGATGACCTTTTTCTTTTTTTGCTTGTCAAAGAATTTTTGGTAGTTGAGGACCATTTTTTTTTTTTTTTTTTTTTGCTTGTCAGGAAATTTTTGGTAGTGCCCCCTCAACTGTCAACTGAAAATTGTATGGCTGTGCCCCCCCCCCCCCCCTCCCCCAACTGAAATTGCTTCCTAAGGGCCTGAATAAAATATCCATTTGTCCATTGGAAAAGTTGCCAACAGATGTTACTTGTCCAAATACATTTCCTACTTACAACTCTGAACAGATAGAAAGAAAACTGTAGAATTTTATTCACTGTTATTATTAAGAACTGAAGACTACTGACTTATAACAATTTGTTTATTAATGAAAATAAAAACATGACTGATATCATGCTCGTCTGTTAATTAGCAATATTTTGGTGGGGCTTAACTGAGTTGAATTGATTAAAAATTTGCTATTTTATGAAAAAAAAAAAAAATCACAGCATTGTATGGACTATGTGGGGATTTATTCACACTATTCCTTAATAAAATAAAGTTTATTTGTCAAATCAAGTGTTTGTGGAGAATTGACGTCCAATCGCTAAATGAACTCGACACAAACAGTCTGACATATTTCACGGGTAACTCACATTTTCAGAAAATTCATTGAATTGATATGTTGACACAGTTACTGTTCAAGTGTATATAAATTTGTGGGTAGGGGTAAACTACAAAATCTACAAACATTTGTTCCCCACGAACAATGATGATTCTGCAGTATGAACCCTGCTATAATTAGAACACAGTAGATAAAAGCTTCTATTCATGGATTTTGCTAGAAAACATGTGTTCAAACATGAAACTTTTGACAAAAAGAGATTTACTGATAAGTAATCTTGCAAACTTGGTGTCCACATCTGTAATTCTGCCCTGATCTCCTCAGACAACTTCAGCTTATGAGCAGGAACTAACACTAACCTGAAAACCAACAGAATTCTTATTCTAGTAAATTTCTGATGAGATGTTCCTACACTAAAACATTCATGATAAAATTGTTTATGAAACTGCTTCCCGTCTCCCAGAGTAAATTGAAATTTTTAATCTCTTTGGTAACATGAGATGATTGGGAAAAAAAATCAGCATTTGAAATACTTAAATTTTAATATCTGTGATTCCTAAAGACAGTCAAATGTCTCTTACAAATAATTCTTCTAAAGAAATTTAAACTGACCTGATTGGAATATTGAAGTTCCTATACACATGAAATAAAAGTTGTTGTAACTCTTTAAACTTTTCATAGCACTCTGGCAATGTGGAGTAAACTCCTAACAAATTAGTCTGTGAATTAAAAGAGAGCAAATTTATACCACAGTATTTAAAGACTTAATCTTAAATTTAACATGTCCTTGTTTGATACATTTGTATCCTCACTCATCTGCACGATTAAATTTCTACATTTACAATCTGCAGGCTTAATATCCAAGGGATTTTAATTCAAATTGAGACCAAGATGCAAATTTGAAACTTGGTTGATTTTTTTACTTACTTTTGAGGTTTGTGTTGCAGAAAATAATCCTGGATATTTTGGGTCACATACTGAAATCAAGAAACCCCATCAAATTATTTTCAAGGTACTGTGGTGTGTAAAATTGAAATGACATATATTGTGCAAACTTTCAAAGATTTGTATGGTACAGTTTGGAATGATGCCACAATACTTTATTGACACTTTTTACTTTATGATGCAACATTACTTTATCAAAGCACAGACACTAATCTTAATTCAAAAGTTAAAAGTATTTATAATTAAATATCTTTCACAGTACAATAGTCATCTTAAACAAAATTACCTGAATTGTAACTTGGACCAGTAGACACTAGTTGTAAAGGAAGTACTTTCTTAGTAATGTTCATTTTTGTTAAATATGCTACAAATAGACAAAATAATTTAAAATTACACAGTCATGTACATTTGAAAATAATCAAACATTGTTACAATAATTATATTTAAAACTACTACATGTGTATTACTAAATTAATTTCTACGAACCTGCAAATGATGCTTCAGAAGCACCCAAAACACTATACTGTACTCCTTTATCAACATAGGGCTGCTGCAATTTATATGTCTACAAGTAAAAAGATTTATAAATTAAAAATGTTCATGAGAAAATATTTTCAATGTCAACAATAATAGATGTATAAAACTAATGAGTCTAAAATACTAGTAAATATTATGCATCACAATATTTTGATACAAAGACAAAAATATAACCTCAATAAGAGTTATTTCCCTTAAAATGCAATTTCCTCCACTACTAAAAATAATTAAATTTCTATAAATTGTATGAATGTTCAAAAGAATGGAAGTATTCAACTGCTAATATTTTATTAAATTTGGCTTAGAAAAAAGGGTGACCTTTTCAAAATTTATTTGATTTATTGTAGATGCTGGTGATATGAGAAATTGAAAGTATGACAGTGTATAATGCCAATTACCAAGTCTCTCCTTATCCCACAGCCTTCCTGAAAGTAAACAAAACTCTAATTTTATTAACATTTACAGAAATTTAAATGATTGGAAGATCTTAGTAAGACTTATACCACAAAATAACAACCCTCACAGTAACAAAGTCTTTGCAGAAATCTGGTGCAGTCATTAAAATGAATCCTTGTTCAGTTATCATTGTGGAGAAATATGACAGCAGCTCTTGTTGAATTTCAGCTAGTTCCCCAACAAAATAAAAGGCTCCATTTCCAACTGAACTGAAACAAATAAACATTATAATACATCCAGTTACATGTTATCTATATTTAACATTTGACACACATGCATAAGGCATATATTATAGGGAGAGAGAGAGGGAGAGAGAGAGAGAGAGAGCAAGATTTTACCCCTTTTGAAATTCTTGCATAGCTATAGCAATGTCCTGGTTACTAATAAACAAGAGACCCATGGGCCACAAAGCTCACTAAAGTAACTCTGGCTCTGCTGTTTTTCACCAGATTTCCCCCCTTGTAATACTTACTGTGGCCCCACCATATCCCTGGGGTAATGATTTGAACAATTTAGAATCTACACTACCCCAGGAGGCTTCCATATAAGTTTCAGCTTTTCTAGCCCAGTGGTTCTTGAGAAGATTTTTTTTAATGACCCCACCCTATTTTTGTTTTTTGTTGATTATCTCCCCTTTGAAGGGGTCTTGGCCCTTTATTTTTAAAATTTATACTCCCCTTCACCCAAGGATGCTTTGTACTAATTTTGGTTAAAATTGGCCCAGTAGTTCTTGAGAAGAAGTTGAAAATATGAAAAGTTTACAGATGGACGGACAGACGAACAGCTAGACAGGCAGACGGACCACGGACAACAGCTGATCAGAAAGTTCACTTGATCTTTCAGCTCAGGTGAGCTAAAAAAAAAAGCTTCTTACCTGAATTTTATCATATCAGTTTTCTCAGCAAGCTCTATGTGAGAAATCATATCTCTCCCCTTCAGCATTTCTACAGAAAATTTATAAATTCAGCCTCCATAGTGATTTTTTTTCTGTAGTTTTAGCAAAAAGACATTTAATAAATTCAAAATGTAGTTATCAAAGTGAAGAATCATAACTTCATGTATACACAATCTGAACACTACATAAACTTACCAGAAGATCCAGATGTCTCTAGAAGAACTTCATTATCTACAGGCTAAAAAAATCATAAAGTTTATAGGGCACAAAAGAACTTGTTTACTTAACTTTCAAACATTTCACTGACACTGATTTGTATACGTACAGTTTCCTTGTTCAGCGTGTTTGGGAGTCCAAAAGCCAAAAGCTTGACTTCATGCTGAATATCTTGTAAGGATTTCTGTTCAGACAAAAATGATAAAAAAAATACATAATATGTACTCGTATAATCATTAAACAGAGTTTATAATATCCAGCAGTATTATTTATTTTTAATTGTCAAGTAAAAAATGAGGAGAAGAAAAGGGTGAGAGTGAAAGTGTGAAATGTTATTTAATTAATACCAGAACTGCTATCTCTAAAGACGTAGTTCTAAAAATTTAAAGAAAAAAAAACTACAAGTAAAAGAATATTTGGTATAAAAATAGCATATCAAGAGAATTGAATGCTATTAATGACATCTGAAAATATACTTGATAAAAAGTTTATAGCATTTTTCTGTTCATCAGCAAAAAAAATCAGATCTTTTTTAAAATAAATCTTTAGTCATAATGTATTAGTCAAAGCTGTTGTAAATGCCTTCTGAGACTATCATAATTGACAGTTCTTCACAACTTACCACTGCTGTGTCATGTTTATCTCTCAACTCTCTTGCTGCTTCCTTCACTCTCATAATTTCTTCCTCTTGTTTCTAGATAAATATATATGTATAACATCATATCAGGAGGTCCTGGGCTTAATAATAATGTCCCACAGAAACCAGCAATCATAATGAACTGACATGAATCTACACTACACATGCATGCTTACATACCAATGTTACAATATGTAGCCTTGAAGTTATTAATGAAGAAATAAGATTTTTACTGAATGCAAATGTACTTGACAGTACATGTATTTCAAGAAGATACAATGAAATTTCACATAGCTGGGTAATACATGTGTATATTGATCTCTCTCTATTTAAAAGTACCTTTTCTTTCATCAGATTTTGTATTGTCATAGAAAAAGTTTTCCTCCTTTCATCCAAATCCTGTTTTTCCTCCAATATCTTCATCATTCTACCATACTTTATTGCCTGAAAAATAAAAGCATTTTGGAAACAACTTTGACAGACACACACTATAGATAGATTATGGACATTTGGCTCTCTAGAGCCTCTGGCTCAGGTTAGTATTTACCAGTCTTTGAATACTGATGTTCTGTAATTTCCTTGACTGTATGTTTTTCTGAAGTTCCAGTGGATTTGAAAGTCTATCACCGACATCTAAATCTGGGTCAATCTGTGATATATCTGACAGGACACTGCTCCCAAAGTTTGGAAGGTTGCCTGTGAGATAAAAATACATAAATGTTACACTTTAAACGATGTAATTATTCTTTGTGAGTCTTGGACAACGAAGTATGCTAAGAGTGCATTAGCTCTCCAGACTAGAGTAAATGTACAGAGAAAAAAAAAATGAGTCTGTATCCTGCTCACACTTTATGAAAATGTTTGCCATACAGTATCAGAAATTTCCTTGAAAATAATGGTCAATTACCCTGGTATTAGATCATTAATTGTGAGGAGCTCAAACTTGAAGAATTTTTAAGCTTTTACAACAATGCTTGGGCAAAGGGAAATTCAGAGTACTGCACATTGATCAAAAAAAAAAAATTTTCCACTGTAAATCTCAATATCCATAATACACTATTTTTCCATTATTGCAGCACTGCTCTTTGGCTCAGGTTCTAACAATAACCTAGAAAAGTTCACAGATATGTAACTCTTCTTTCTTAATGAAAATTGCAGAGGGATAGTAGATTAAACGCTGTTTGTTTAATATTTTATCTTTTTTTTTAGACTTCATTATGGAATTGCAACTGTAACATCAGAGGAGCAAAAAATGCAACGGACCATACTGGGATTTGAACCTTGGCCCCCTGAATTTTTGGTCAGGTGCTCTACCAACTGAGCTATCTGGCCACCAATTGAATCAGACTGACCACCACACCACATTCACATCATGTGATGTCACAGGTATACTAGACCTTCCAAATGTCTTGTGCAGTTTGAAGTGGTGACATACATGTTAACCTACTGTGATGAAAAAGAGGGAGATTTAGATCTCAAAAGAGGTAGCATTGCACGCAGAGTTTTACGCTTCGAGTTTGAGATATTTATGTAAATGTTGCCTCGAATGACCACTGCAGTTATTTATATTAAAATGTCAAGAGCAATGAAGTGGACAAAAGCACTGTTTACATAAATTATGCAAATAAATATTTTTAATGCTCATAAATAACTTAAGCTTTGAGTCAGTGGATGCCTTAGCCTTTTGAAGAGTGATTTTTGTCGGTGTATCATACATAATTTTTTTTAAAACCATTATTGAAGTATATATTCTCTAACATTGCAGACTCCCCATGCATCTGGATCAAAATTCTAACTTCTCGGATATTTCTGACAAAATCGGAAATACACAAGTAGTTGAAGTGACGAAAATATGACATCACATACAAAGTGGTGTGTACCAATGACGTTAATGATAGTTTTGTGGGCAATTGGCATGGAAATTGAATTAAATCGTTGTTTATTATTCTTATCAAGTAAGTTGTTGCTATGCTTAAGCCACCATGTTGCTATGCACCGCAAAGGATTATTGGGAGTATGGAATATTTTCACATGGGACGATAAAAATTTCTTTGAACGTGCAGATTTCAACCCGAATTTCTTCCGTTCGTACACGTTGTCTATGGAGCTCGCTACGCGAGCGGCGCTTCACTGCGCTCGTTATTACTCATGTAGTGGTCCTGCTATCTCACAAACGGTAGCACCGTCAACATATAAGCACTAACCTTCTTGACAACATCTAGTCTGAAAACTTGATATCTGCCAAAATCCGCATAACTTTTGAAGTTTCTGCTTTCTAATTCTACAGTAGGATAATGCTTTTGCCATGACCACAAGACAAAAGCTGTATTTTAATAACAAAGAAATCTATTTAATGAAAATAGTATATCGTACTTAAATTCTTAAAAATCTACTATCACATTTAAATTCGTTGCAAAGAAATCTACATAAAACAGCAGAGAATCGAGAATCAGAATTCACTGAACACATGGGCGCAGCCATGTTTTCTGGAGAAAGAGTTTTATTAACTTGATCGTAATAATTTCGAAATAGTTTAAATATAAGTTGGACAATGAAGATTTATGTCGTTATTGTTGTTATTTTGAAACTTCGAAAAAAAAAGGTTTTTTTATAAGAAAAGTAGGAATTTTCTCCGTGTGTTTAATCAGACTTAGTCTTTAAATGCTTACATGTAATCAGACTAAGTCTAAGAACAAACTATTTAATATTACATTTAAACAAAGAAGACATTCACGCGCTAAACTTTGAAGTAAATAAAGTTGTCAACCTTTCAAAACTGTTGGTAAGTGCATAATGATTATCAGAATAGAAAATGTTTAATAAATTATTTGCAAAGATTATCTAGCTTATGCATTTATAAAAGCACTTTGCATACTTGTTGTCTGAGTGGTCGTTTGATCATTAGTGTCAGATCAAAGATTGAGGAATCGTCTATTGTGTATGTATTGCTAGTCCTTCTGACAAATATTCTCGACTTTTTACCTTTTTTTTTTTTTACAGCGAATTACAAAATACCGGTAAAGTTTTCAATAGCTTTCTAGATAGTTCAATAGGATATACAATTTGGTCTAACAAGTATCACAAATTTGAATCTAGGTCACGAAGTTACTCAGGTGTATCATTAGATTTTACAGGTAAATGTGAGTAGATTTCAATGTTGTATGAAGCCACATGTATGTGCCAAGGTGTTCTGCAATAAATTAATGCAATATTTTTCTTTACTTACAAATATTTTTTTCAGAAAAATTGTATGCTAGCTCTTTCAGTAATGCATAGATCTTCTGCATACTATTCTCTCTAATTGCTTCAAAGTCTTGTCACTTCTGACATAAAACCCTATTGTAATCTATTTTCATGACCTACAAGCAATTTCAAATTATAAGAGAGGGTAAAAGGGTAGCCCCCCCCCCCCCCCCCCCCCCCCCGTGCTTTAGATTAAACTGCTTAACATTGCTCAATCCAGCATCTCAATATGTCCAATACTGTCAAAATCTCATCACCCATGACAATATGGTTAGATTTTATAATCTTGTTAGATTAATTAAGATTTTAAAAAAAAAATAAATAAATATTAAACACAAGGGGAAGTATGGGGGAGGTTGATGACGGAGGGATCAACTCTGCTAATGCCAGCACTTGCAAATTTGAACTTTTGAGCCCATTTTATAAAAGAAAATACGACTAAGTATAAGAAATTTTAACATAGTTCTTAACTCTCATAGCTGAATAATTTTGTGAGATTTTGCTTTTATAAAATTACCTCACTATTTTTTTCACATAAGAAATAAAATTACAATTTAATCAATGTAAAGAATAAAATAAAATAAATTGCAAAAGTGCTTAGGTGTAGCCATAAGCTGATAAGCTCTTTTGTAAAGCAAGCCCTTAAACCAAATTTCAGACTTTTCAAAGAGTTACAGAAAAAGAAATTTGTTTGGTGTAGAGATGTTGATCATAAATTCATATAATTTATATGTCTTATTTATATTATTATTAATATATTGTTATATTATATTTATGTGTTTACAGGGATCGACATTAACGGTTGTCCGATTGCCCGGGACAAGTAAATTCTCAGTTCGGGCAAGTGAAATTGTCGACATACTTGTCCGATCGGGCAAGTGAATTTTTCTCATACAAATGTACATATTTATTTAGTTTACATTAATTTATAAATAAAACAATAAATTGAACACTTGATTTCCGCCACGCACCTGACTGACAATGTTTTGCATTCGAAATTCCTTGGTAGCGTTTCTGGATTATACCGTTCATTTAAAAATCAAGTTCGTTGTTTTCTTTCGCTCTACGTCTAACAAAATTTTGTGAACTTCTTATTAGGAAATTAGATTATTTATTCACGCACAGAATATAAGTACAATGTAACACGTTGTAAGATGTATGTTTCGTAGCAACTATTTTCCTTAAGCGTTGCTTCACAGTTATCGCTGAAAATCACGAATCACAAAATGATCCTACCGCAATTAATTTTCAAAAATATGATTTTTTTTTGTAAAGGAAACGGAGGGTTATTGCTGCATGGCAGTGTATGTTAACAGGTTAAATTTACAAGTACAGCGGTATACATTTATGTACAAATGCAGGATCGAATTTTTTTCAGGTACCCGGTAGCTCAACTTGCCAAATTGACAGTAGTGTATTTCGTCACATTTTTTCTTTTCAAAACGTTTGCAGTAATTAATAATTTTCGTCTTAAGATCCATCCTAATTTTGGGCAACCAAGTTTTGCATTCGGACAAGTCAAAGTTTGAGATCACTTGCCCGAAGGGCAAGTGAATCTGAAAGTTAATGTCTATCCCTGGTTTATCAATAAGATGAGAAAAAATGGAGTGGTGACTAACTTCTTAACTTTCTTAAACAATACCTTTTGCAAGAATGGAAAGGGGGTGTCATTCATTAATGCTGCAAATTTATGGGGGAAAAATATTTGCAATTAAAGAAAAATATTGCATTTATTTACAGCAGAACACCTTGGCACATACATGTGGCTTCATACAACATTGAAATCAACTCACATTTACCTGTAAAATCTAATGATACACCTGAGTAACCTCATGACCTAGATTCAATCCTAATGTGATACTTTTTAGACCAAATTGAAAGTGCATGTGTACTTTTAGCAAGTAAATCTGTGTATCTAATTTGTCAGCAATGTAACTTGATCTTGTTCATTCAAACATTGTAAATTTGTATTGAATTTATTTGTAGCTTGTATTTGTATATTTATATTTGTTTATTATAGCTTTTAATCACTCAACTCACAACAGTTACAACAATAACATCACCTACTGTACAGTATATCATCACCTATTGTAAACAGGGACACCTGCACATATTAGGATCCATGCCCCTATGTGTACTAGTAACTGGTTAACTGACTGTAATCTGTATTCACATGTTTTAATTAAAAATGACATGGAAGCAGTACAACTAGTTTTATTTAAACTTATGGCATTATTAAAACTTGCATCACAGGGTCAAAGGGAATATAAAGGATCAGCCTCAAGGGAGATACTTTTCAGAATAAAATATGGATAGGTTATTTTATAAACATCACCTTGCTTACGCCCTAGGAGATGAAGATTTTTTTTTAACAAAGTGAGACAATTAAAGCCCAAGATTTTAAGCACTATCTGTAGATTTTATCATGCAGACTAAATTTTTAACTTATGCTACTTGTCATTCAAGAACAGAATAGCATACCAAATCCGGGCCCAGATGGGCAGTTCAAATAATTAGACTAGATGTGATTGATAAGTTTGAATGAAGGAGCAAACATATAACTGACCAAGACTTTACTCCTATTAATCTCTGACACATCTTGAACCGAATGACTGGTCAAAGAAAGGGTTACAATATTCCTTCTTGCTGATTTTTCCATAAAGGTTAAGGAATCTGGATCATGCATGTGAGTTAGGTTCTAGTGTTAGAACTTATATATGTATAGCATATTTATATATATATATATATATATATATATATATATATATATATATATATATATATATATATATATATATATATATATATATATATATATATATATATTGTAAAAGTATATGGTTTGAAAGCTTGTTAAACTTAATATTTTAAAACACTTTATCTTCATTTTTGGTCACTTATAAAAATATACTCAAAATTTACGTTAATTAAAGTATATAAATTTTTAATGCATGCATCGAATGTTTTTGCATATTTAGAAAAGTGGACTTTTTGCCTCAACATGCTCAGTGTAATATATAATGGTTGAAAATATAAACAGTATCTGATTTTGATAAATCTTTTAATTTAAAAGTTACACTCATTTGAACTTCAACATTTTCAAGGTTATTTATTTTTTAGCCTTAGTGAACATATCCTTTAATATATTCTCTTTGAATAAACAAGATATCAAAAATCTGAGATACAGCTCTGAGGGAGCTGAATCCACCAAAAGCAATATCTATTTAAGCAGCAATGAAATCTGCCAAAGCTAGAGACATATGATACCTCAGAGATTTAAAGCAAATGCCTGTCATTTCACTATATATTTCCTACACGTATTCACAAGAAAGGAAGGTTCTATTCTGTATTTAAATGCATTAAATTAACAAAACCAACTGATGGCCATAAAATAGGAGGTGGAGCTAATAACTCTGTCTGTGCCATTTTTTCTGGAAATCTTTCCAAAATAACCCAATATATTAGATCTCCCTATCTAAATCCAGAGTCACTGTAGCTGATAACATCTGTGTGGCTACTGGCTAGTGAAGAATTCTGAGAGTTGTCAAAGTGATTTATTGCATCTTTAGTTAGCAGGCAGTCACAAACCAATTAAAAGCTTCCATTAATTGAACATTCACATGTGGTAGTGTCTATGTTTCATTTTATGTTAAGTAATTAGAAAGCCATTTCACAATGGTATTAAAAAGTCTTTTGGTGCATCTTTAAAACTATATAGATAGAGTGTTTCTGTGCATATGAGCTAAACACATAGGAGAATTAGCTTTTATACAGAAAAGATTTAAAATCGCTTACTTAGTACCCATGACATGTTATTGTCAACATATGAGATCATAGTATATAATGCCACTTTTCTTAGTACTGCTGGTAATAAAGCACATCAACAAAACAGCTTAGGCACAAGGGCATATCCTAGTTAATTTTACAGAAAGATTGTATATATAATGATAAAAAAATATTACGAAGATTAATGAAACTGCTCCACAAATATGATGCATTATGTTATTTTATCTCGTTTGAGAGAGAGTGAGTTTTAACCTATGTGTTATGGACACATGCACCGATCCAAGAATTTTGTCCAGGGGTTGGGGTTAGGGGGAGGTGGGGGGGGGGGTTCCACACCAATTTAAATATTCTGGTTTAATTTATGCAGTTAAGACTTCAATGAAAAAGAGTGGCTTTAATTAATAAAAATCTTTAACAAACTGTCGGACTCAGATTTTTTTTTGACAAGCTCCTTACCATATTTCAAGGCTTCCTTGGAAAGGGGAGGATTCCAAGGTCATTTTTTCTTTACCAGTAGTTTAAATAGAAATTTAATAACTCTGAAAATCCCAGGGGAGTCCAGACCCCAACCCCTCTCTAGATTCAGATATGAGGCATACCTCTTATGTATTCTGGTTAGCTTAGTAACTGTTATGTATATAGAAATACCCATACCTAACGTTAACTCACTTGGGTACCGACCTGGTGACTTTGATTTACTTTTCAAAATACACCATACCGTACACAGTGCTGATGTACACATATTCTTTGACCTTTGAAAGCCAAGTCTGTGCTATTTAGCATGTGCTCTGCTTGTAGTAAGACATTTTTAGAAAAATATCAGCATTACAATTCATTTGACTTTGACATACATTAAACTGTTCATATAACTTACTGGGTGTGTCTTTTGAATTTTCAGAGACAGTAACATAACTAGCATTATATATATTACATGTTTATGACCTCATGACATTTTACTTTCAAACTGTATGATATACATTTATCACACAGTTGCATAAAATAGTGACTTAGTTTTGTAAAAAATTAGGTGGACAATTTTGGGGAAGAATATGCTATACATTTATTGATCGTGAGGAAATATGAAGATTTATTCAGCCAAGAAAAATCATATTCCCTGAGGGCTTCTCCTGAGGGGAATACCGGTATGATATTTCTTGGCTGAGGCAAGATAAATAAATAGTGTGTTTCCTATTCCAACCTGAGAAAAAATAGGGTAGGTAAGGTAGGTAAGGTAGGTAGGGAAAACATTTTATTTTAATATTTTATTGGCAAGCACGCCACCATTTTCCCCCAGAGAAATCACTGAAATCACATTTCTGTTTAATGTGTATAGGATATGGATTTTCTGAAACACAGAAGTGATCGAGTGAGATTAGGATTTCTAATAGTGAAACTGGAATAGTTTACTCCTGGAAAGATATCTGCAGATAGATTTTTTAGGGTCATCTCGTATATTTTAGGGTCATTTATCTAGGCCTGAATAAATCTACATGTTTCCGGAACATTCATGCAATAAATTGTTTATTATACCGAAACAAGCAATAACTTTAAAAATAAAACTTTCAAATTTGGCACACTCTTAAATTCACTTTCAATTTTAACGTAGTTTTACTGAAACAATTTACAGAGTCCATCAGCAATTTTGCGACGTGAACCAGGCTATTGTGATGTCTAAGTACTCTCAGGAGTTCTCGTTCAACAAACGATAACTATTGCTGGAAAATGCACTTAGTCTCCAAAGAGGTTGAATATGATGAAAAGCATAACGACGACAGGGAAATATGAAGATTTATGGCCCTTTCACGTGATAATCTAAAACTAATCAGATAACGCGTTGTATAGAATAATTATAATAATAGCATATAGATTACATGTTTTGACTACCTGATATTTTACTTTCAAACTGAGTGATATGTATACATTAATCACACAAACTGAAATTAAAATGAATTCCTTTAGGTGTATGAGAGGGATTGGTATACCAACTTGGTTTTATATATGGGCTTTTGGAAGATAAACGTATATATTTATGGAAAAAAAAAATTGGAATTTTTTTTTTTTTAATAATTTCAATTTAAGTATTCTCTTTATAAACTTTTGAGGATCTTATTCCCCTGTCAATGCCTCGTTGTACACGTTTTAAACAGTGAAAATATGAAATTAAAATAGTAATTTATTATTGTAAGTATCAAAAAAGATGATAATTTATCATTTATTTTAAATATATCAGCACTCAAAATGATTTATTTTCAAAGTTTTATGGAACTATTTTGCAAAGTAAAAATTCAAAACTTAGCAAAAAAAATCTTTTAAGGAGCATTATATTAAAATAAATCTTATTTGCTAATAAGAAATATAATTAAAAAACAATCTTTAATACAATTTTTCATCATTTACAAATTTTCCAAGATTAGCATTGACAGAGGTGTATGTGGGAGCGTAGTGGAATGACAACTCTGGATAGTGAATGTTATCTGTGGATGTTTCTCTGCACATCAACTATAACGTTAATTTGTAAATTTAAAAAATGCACCCATTTTAGAAAACTGCACACCATTAAGCTTAATTCTATCTATGTATTATATTTATGTCTTTAATGATGCTTAGTTAATAGCAGGCAACGTGTGTTAGTTTTCCAAAACAGCTTCCTCTATATTTCGAAGTTTGTAATGTTTAATGATTCTGTAGTACATGTAATTCTAAAATGTTATGGTTGATAACAGTACTTCATTTTACTGCTAGCTAGAAACTGAATGTTTTGTCAAACAAAGAATATGAAAGGCATATTGAAAACTTTTCTGAAAAGAATATTAATAATTCACTTGCAGTATTGTTTTATATAATAATTATAAAAGTCCACTGTTCTAGTTTGAATTGTTCACAAAAATGTCTTTCATAGATATTTTATTACTCTTACATACTTCTTAAGTATATATTACTTAATGATAATATGGCAATGAATATCATATTGATTTTTTTAATTTCAGCTTTGGTTAACAGTTCACAGGGCTCATTGCAGATGTGGGGATAGTGAGACAGTTCAATGAAAAGTGACAATTTACCTTTCAATTTTGAACATGATGTTTTGCCCAGATAATTGGAGAGTTCGACAAGAAGTGACCCCTTCAAAAGACAACAGTGTTATTGATATAGATGATAGTACTGATTATGATAGCGAGGATTCTGTTTATGTGTCTTGCGTCAATGATAACCAAAACTGTTCTAATGTACAGAAGCTGAGCAGAAATGAAATCTTTATTGACAATTTGAGGAATGCTGACCAAGAGGAACCGGATCATCCTTCAATGGATAGAAACTGCAGAGCCAGAGAACAACCAACAATACCAGTAGAAATCCCATCACTCTCTCAAGAAACAAACCAAAGAGTGGGTCATAATACCAGGACATCAGACATGTGTATGAATACCTGTAAATCTTGTGCTTCAAAAGTTTTTTCACAATATGACTCAGAATACAAGACCAACCCTTATGCAGCAAGTGCATGCAGCAGTTCTTTAGATAGCATCATTGAATCTGCGAGGAATCATTTTGCCCATTTTTATGATGCCTCCAATGACAACTGGACACTGCGTGAAGCCAACTTCTTTAAAAAGAGCTTAAAAGATATATCTGAAGTAGTTGATAAAATAGACCACTTCAACCTGAAGTATCAGACATTTGTGATGAACTTTAACACTCATATGATCAATATTCTCATGCTGAATGTTGAAAGTCTTTTATCAAACATGGCAGCCTTTATTTTGTGCTCTAGTAGTATTCAGAAAAGCAGTGGGGGTATTGCTTTATATCCTGAGGACTTAATCCAGACTATGAAAGTTTTAATTGAACAATCAATAAAGACTGTCAACAATACATGGATGACTTTTCTGCAGTCCACGAATAGTCAGATAGAAGGCATAACTATCATCCAAGAAAGACCACTGAGCAATTCTTCACCAAAACCCAGAGATTGTGAAGATTTTATACAGGGGCCCATCAACAGCCAGAAAGAAGAAGTAACTATCAACGGAGAAAAACCACTGAGCCATTCTTCACCAAATCCCAGAGATTGTGAAGCCTTTATACAGGAGTCCGTCTACAGCCAGAAAGAAGTAACTATCAACGGAGGAAAACCAATGAGTCATTCTTCACCAAAACCCAGAGATTGCCAAGCTTTTCATCATTCAATACCAAGTAAACCTTGTCCAGTTGAGCAAAATATAAATGAAAGAGTTTATTCATCTAATGTCTGTGTGAATAAACATTTTGAACCAACACCAGAAAAAACATATGCAACAGAATCTGAAGAAAAAATGGCAGATAATCAAAATATGCTGAAACAAGTCAGAGAACCTCAAGGACAGGAGACAGAAACAGGTTATTCTTCTAGGAGTACTCCATGTATCTCGCCTTGCCAGCAAGGTGCAAGCTTTCCAAGTGACCTAGATATATCTGGGATAAAGGAATGTGTTATACCTCTCCAGAGAATTGATGACAGCCTTAGTCATGCACGGCCCAACAAAAGACAAATTGAACGGAACAGGCAGTCAGAACACAGAAAACATAGTAAAAACCGAGAAGCACAGGGAAACTCTTCAGAAAAAGGGACCCTGATATTGAGTACAAGCAAAGGGACTCAAACACCTGGTAAACTCCAGTCTTTTCATATTAAACATATCTCAGACTTCAACAAAACTTCTCGAGTTCGGCACAAAGATTCTGCAAAGTTCAATAGTCAATTGGACAGAGAAATAAAAAAAACAATGTCTTCTTATTCTTGTGACACAGTACACCAAGGAAGGAAAGAGTTTGATTCTTCATTGGCAAATATACCAGACAGAAGTAAAGAGGAAAGGAATTCCTGCAAAAGTAGGAAGAAACTTCTGTCTGATTTCAACAATAATGCTAACTTGTCAGGTGAGAAAAGAACATCAAACTCAACAAATGATCAGTCATTGACAACATTTGTTTCATTTGTTAGGTCATATGTGTGCAGCCCTTCATCTTTTAATGTATCACTCCAAGTGTCCTGTGTAGAAAGAAATGTATTGGCTAGAAAACTCAGCATACAGGACACAGTGAAACGAAACAAAAATAAGAAGACCGAACATCGGTCAAGAAAGAGATCTCTGAACATGAATAAATGTGACAGAGTTAACACAGGCCCTCAGATGATTAAACAGAGGAGCTCAGGGGAAGAAAAGTCTTCTCTAACATCAACCCCAAGAAAGCGCATCAAAAGTGATGAGGAGCTCTCAAAAGTCAAGAAAATAAATGATGATAAAATTAAATACTCAAGGTCTGAGTCTCAGAGTGCTATCAATGAAACACATTTAGTTGAAAAAGATAACAATAATAACTTCACTAGACGAGAAGTTCAGAATGAGAACAGCATGGATTCTGTAAAAAATGATACACTCCAGAATGAACCAGAGAAGATGAACAATGTGCATGTGAACAAGAACAAGGGTAGAGAAGAAACACAGAATGGAAACAATTCATGTTCACAGGGATTGAAACTTTTGGAAGATGAAAGTCAGTTCTTCCTCAACAAACAAGCAGAATTAACTGCTAAAATCAAAAACAATAGAAAAGTGAAGGCAAGCAAATGTACCAAGTCTGTCTCCCCTTCCAAACTGAAATCCTCTAAAGACGAAGTTGGAAACAAGACATGATTTCCTTACAGTTCATTTGATACTTTTTTTTCTTGTTTGCCTTTCCAAATTCAAGTACTGTTACATGTTATAATGATGTTGAGTAATCACGGTTTAGTTTGGAAATCAAAGTGCTTTTCCTATTTCTGTCCAAGTTGTACAAATTATCAATTTGAAAGTAATTTGAATTCACAAATGTACAAATTATGTTTAAAACATCTACTCTTACATTATTTGCTAAAAGAGAAAGGTGTCCAGAATTTCTTCTGTTGTTTCTCCCACATTAAGTGGTGGGTTTAGTGTAGGTAGACATGTTTGTTTACATATTAAAGGCGGATCAGCTAGTTAACATTTACCGGTATATTCTTCTTGTACTCTGTAAATGTGTATCAAATTTTTTGGAACAATCTAAATAAATTTGGTATATACTAACTGTCTTTGTTGATGTGAATAGATTACTGTTCTTTGGAATTTTTGGAAGATGATACTGTAAAGGTCAATATTTTGGGGGGGATAAATTTTGCCAGAGGGATTTACTATACCTTTTGCATGATTAAGGATCCTTTTTGCAGAAATAAAGAATTATTAATAAGCATGCATCATTATACAGTTATTTCTGTTTTTTTGAGGTCAGTTATGATTCAGGAGTGCATTTTTCACCAAGCCTGAAGAGCAAATATTATACTTCAAGGTTTTTTTTATACACCCTGCAAACGAAGTATGAGGGGTATAAAGGAATCACCTTGTCCATCTAGCTGTGTCAGTTTGTCCATGCAACTGTCCGAACTCTAACTTTGAAATTGAGAATCATTGTACAGAGATTGCTTATGACCCAAGGATGTGTCTTGATCCAAAGAAATTTGGCAAGTTCAAGGTCACCGGCAGAAAAAAGTATAAAATTCTTGTCTGGGCTCTAACTTTGTAAGGGAGAAGCTCATTCTTGGTACACTAATTATTTATGACCTGAGGATATGTTGTGACCTTGATCCAGTTTTTCTTGCAAGTTCAAGGTCACAGGCAGAAAAAGTATAAAATTCTTGTCCAGACATTACTTTGTAATGGAGAATCAATGGAAGTTCATACTAATTGGCACAAAGATTGTTTTAGACCTGAGGTTGTGTCATAACCTGAAGTTCAACTGTATCTCCTACTGATTTTTGAGATCACAAGGTTATGAGACAAACTTCTCTAACATAAAATATGTTATTTCAGCTCATTATCTATAAGCACAAGCATGGCAAAAAAAGTCTAGAAAACAATGTAAATGTTCAGAGTGAAAGGGCAGTAATTTTCATGAAAATGGTTCAAACAATGTGAAACTTGAACTTGATCAAATTAAAAGACATACCAAAAAAGCTCATCTACAAGCATTGCAAATAAAAAAGAACCCAGCCCCCTGAATCTCCAGTCGTGCTCTACCAACTGAGCTATCTGGCCACCAGCAATCAAACCCATTTTACCACCAAAGAGATTAAATCTCTCTCTTAGACGGAACCAGTGTACCAAATTTGGTGTCTGTAAAGCAAACTGGTTCTCAAAATACTGAGCTGAAAATATCTCTGTAAGTCTAATGTTTCGGTAGTTTGACTCTTGGCCTTGAGACTGCAAAATCAATATGGGTCATACACTCTTTAAAGGAAACCAGTGTACCAAATTATATGTCTGTTAAGGAAAGGATGCAGTCAATACCTTCCTATGTCCAGTTTGACCATGTGATCTCAAAATCAATGGGGGTAATCTACTTTTCAGGGGGTACCAGTGTGCCAAGTTTCATGTCTATCAAGCCAAGGGTTCTCAAGATGGTGAGTGGACAACACTTCGTCTACCATCTAACCGACACAAAGAAATATGCCTCCCCCTTCTCTTTCCATGGTTGATCTGATTCAAGTCATCTTAAACTTCATTATTAATGGAAAAATTAGGAAATATTCACTATTCAAAGCTCAACTGGTGGTATGTTTTATAAGATTCAGTATCTTTTAGTGCAAAATCATTGGGAATGTCATGCTGCTGTCACAGCCGTAATTTATTTGTTACTCCTTTTTAATAATAACAATGAAAACAGCTGTTGGGTTCGATTTATATATTTTTCAATTTCATGGTAAGACTAAAAAGGTGACCTGTAACAATAACAGTAATGAAAGTAAATGAATACACTCTCATACCTATACATTCACACATTAAATTACTTTAATATATTTTAACTTTTCCAATGTAATTATCTTTAAGTAGATAATTATTTGATAAGATATTTAATTTATTCAAAGCAACAGTGGTAAAAGTTCTTATCGAATAGGCAGTTAAATTGTCCACATTATAAAATGATAGACTTTGTGGAGTAGGAGAGGAATTCTTCCTTACTCCTGGCTGTCCTAGGGTGGAGTGAATTAGTTGGGGTATTTGGCGCCAAGCATGCGCACCTAATACCAAACTAGTAAAACCACTCACACACTTCTCACTCTAAAATATCAACCAATCATACAACTCCAAGCCTCACCCATTCTGACACAAACACCTATGACCTTTCACACTCCTAAATCCACCAATGGGCATTCAACCCCATGAATATAAATGAGATATTTTATGAATGAAGTTCAACACATAGAAAATTCCAGAGGATTGTAATTTACTATGCTTTATAGATGAAAATGATGATGAAGATAATGAAATGATGATTAGTGATTAGGTCATTAAATATTCAATCATACATATAATATTTATTAGAATAATAATTTATTCACCCTGTGACATTCTCCCCCTCCTAGAGAAAAATGTCTCCTGACATTTCAAATATGAAAATTCACATCTGAAATTAAAATATTCAGTTAATTTAAATTAATAACTCATAGTACTTGACACTTGATCATTGTAGATGTCTTCTCCTGTAAACAAGAAGATTTGTAATGCATCAACATGAGTTGTAATGCTTATGATCAATCAAAAGAACAAGTATAGTCCAAGTAAAAATCATAATATATACTATTTTCAAAAACAGTACGATAAGTCTCATAATATACTATTCTGAAACACAATACATGATTAGTATCATAAAAAAACTTAAGTAACTACCCTTAGCTACTCACTAAATTCAGTCATAAAACTATACTATACACCTACTGACCTGCATATCAAATCTCAGATCATCTAATATAAAATTAATTTAGTAACTCTTCTTAGCAAATTACTAAATTTAAGATCATAAAACTATAATACATATTTCATAACCCTGTGACATTCTCCCCCTATACATACCAAACCTGAGCACACTGTTCCCCAACTACCCATTCACCATATCTATCTGGTACATTTCGTACTCGAGTAGAGCGTCTCGGTTGTGCAGTAGATGGACTCGTTTCACGTTCTCGTGGCTGAGTTTGATTAACATTTGTATAATCTAAGCCCGAAATTGTGTTTGAGTTCTCATCTTGAATATATGATTCAGGATCAACAGAAGAAAATGAATCTAACTGCTGAATAGGTCTACTGACATTATTACTGATATTGAAAGTATTTTGATATGGTCTACTGATGTTATTGCTATCATATGTCACCGGGTTCACAGGTGCGTGAAAGTCAGTCAATATATCGGGTCTCAGTAGCTCAGTGGTTAGAGCGCTGGCACGGTACGCCAGAGGCCCTGGGTTCGAGTCCCGGTTGAGACTTGATTTTTCACCACCTGTGACACTGCTAAAAAATAATTCATTAATAGAGAAATTAGCAACTAAATATGTAACAAATAATGGTCCCTGTACTAATTTTTTGGGGATAGTTCTATCATTCTGGTTCAACTTGCCTTAATGATGTATTGGAATGCATACTACATGTATAATGCTTATTATGTCTACTTGTATCAGTTTTGATAAAGTTCTTGAAGATTTGTAGACTGAAATATCAGACAGTCCTAATTTGATGCATATTCAGTAAACAGCTTCTAATTTGTTGATGTCAAAGCTGAACACAACTCATAAAACAAGCCTCTGACTTCTGCATGCTTTGAAGTATTTTGATGACTTGTACAGATCTCACTTCTACATCTTATTGTTAAGTGGTCATGATAAAATTATACAAGAGGCCCAAGGGCCTTAATTGTCACCTGAGTATAATACAACACTGTAAAGGATCCACAGAGGTATAAAATAAAAATACAAAAGGCCCAGAAGAGGAACATTTGCTTATCATAACTGCTTTTAGTTGTAGAATTTCGAAGAATTCATTTTTTTACTATATAAGCAATAGAGCCTCACCCTAACACTCCCTGAACAGGACCCTTGAAATTCACAATTTTGGAAAAGGCACCCTTGCTCATATGCTTAGTTTGTTAACTTAAAACCCAAGAGCAGATTATCAAAGAAATAATGCATTTTCACTATATAATCAATAAAACCCCCTTCCCACAGGAACCCCTGACCCTGAGGCCACATATTTCAAACTTTGAAAGAGGCACTCTTGCTCATCATAACTATGCACTTGATTTATCTGCTGAATACCCAGGAACAAAAGAAGACTTTAAAAGAATTGATGCATTTTCACTATATAATAAAAAAAGCCCCACCCTAATGTCAGAACCTCTGACCAAGGGGCCAGGAAATTCACAATTTTGGAAGGGACACCCTTGCTCATCATAACTACGCATTTAATTTGTTTGCTTTATACCCAGGAACAAAGTAGAAGATTTTCAAAAAAAAATAATACATTTTCACTATATAATTAATAGAGCCCCATCCTTACAAACCTCTGACCCTTGGGGTATGAAATTCACAATTATGGAAGAGGCACTCTAGCTCATCATAACTGTGCATTTAGTTTGGTTGCTGAATATCCAGGAGCAGAGAAGAGAAGATTTTCAAAGCATTAATCCATTTTCATAAAATAATAAATAGACCCCACCCCCTGAATCCCTGACCCTGGGGCCACACATTTCACATTTTGGAAGAGGCACACTTGCTCATCATAACCCTGCATTCAGTTCATCAGCTTAATACACAGGACCAAGGAAGATTTTCAAAGAATTAATGCATTTTCACTATAAAATTAATAGCCCCTCCCACAGGCACTTGTTTCTGTAATAATTTTTTTTAATCCGAATTCAACCATGAAATGGTATGTGCTAATCCCGGACAGAGAGCAAAATTAAAAAAGGAGTGGGTTTAAAAATTCAATTCCAGTGTTTAAATATTGACGTGAATAAAAAGAATTTGTTTAAGTCTGATTTTTCCTGCAAACATTACAATGTTTATCCAATGTAATTTTAGAAACAGATTATTAGCCAATCAAAATCTCTGCCCGGGATTAGCACATACCATTTCATGGTTGAATTCAACTTTTCCACTCAGCAAGCAGAGTTTTGACGCTGTTTACGGAGATTAAAGAAAATAAAGACAAGCATGCCATATATGGTTGTATAGATAAATTATCTTAGAAGACATAGGTATAAACAGTTAGCCAGTGCATTGCCTCTGAAAGTGTAAATGAATGCAATTCTGGGGGAGGGGGGTACTCCATGTAATTCTGAGTTGGATACCTTGTGTTTTTATTATGCTATGTGTTAAAAATTTATTATTGAAACAAGTGCCTGTGACCCCTCCCCCTTTGAATCCCTGACCCCAGGGCCATATGTTTCATTATTTTGGAAGAGGCACCTAAAATTGCTCATCATTACTGTGACTCAGTTCATCAGCTTAATACCCAGGAGCAGAGTAGATTTTCAAGGAATTAATGCATTTTCACTATATTATCAATAGAGCCCCACCCTAACAGCAGAATCCCTAACCCAGGGACTATGAAACTCACAATTTGGAATAAGCACCCTTTGTCATCATAATTGTGCATTTACTGTAGTTTGTTTGCTGGATACCCAGGAGCAGAGGAGATTTTCAAAGCATTAATAAATTTTCACTATATGTATAAAATCAATTAAGCCCACCCCCACTGAACCCCTGACCCTGGAACCAAGGAATTCACAATTTTGGAAGAGGCACCCTAGCTCATCATTACAGTGATTCAGTTCATCAGCTTAATACCCAGGAGCAGAGAAGATAATAAATGCATTTTCACTAACACCAGAATCCCTTACCCTGCAGCCATGAGTTTATAAATTTTGATAGAGGGCTCAATGATTATAAAAATCATGTCAACAGTTTGACTGCTTGATGTCCAGGAGTAAAGAAGATTTTTAAAGATTGTATTAATTTTAATGATTTTAGTTCCTACCCTCAGACCCCCGAGAAGCAGGGGTTATGAATTTCACAATTTTTGTATCCCTTCACAAATAGATGCTATATGCCAAAATTGGTTGAAATTGGTTCACTGGCTCCAGAGAAGAAGGTGAAAATGTTCAAAAGTTTAGGACCGACGCATGTCGCACAATGACAGACAAAATCAGATAGCAATAGGTCACCTGAGTGACTCAGGTGACCTAAAAATGTGTGCAACTATACCATGTCAGGAGAAAAAGTAACATCAACTGCACAGGTCAATGCATGGAAAGCAAATGCACATAAAACAAAGACATAAAATGTAAGCAGTTAGCTAAACAACATAGGAAATGATACACATCGGCCATGGTTTTCAGGTGTGCAATGTGCTGTAATGTATGCAAATGGTATATATACCCTAGTGCTGATATTAGAGATAGGAAAACTGATATGGCATATGTAGGGCTGTCACGAGTACCCGAAATAACCGAGAACCGCAGTCCAAGTTGTTCGGTTCGGTTCCATTTTGGTTCGGGTCTGGTTTATATATTAGAGTCTGTTCAATACAAAAAATGGCGTCGAAATCAAAGGAATGATGACGATAACAGTGATAAATAAACATCACAACTAATGCCCTGTTCACACGAAGAGTTTAATTCGCAGTAAATTAATGCGAAGTAAAATGATGCGAATTAAACTAATGCGAATTAAATTGCGTTCACACGACAGCTAATGCGAAGTAAACTAATGCGAATTATAATTTTATTTCTACAACAAGACTATTCAGTGAGGCTATTATGACGTCATTTACAAATCACGTCATATTGTGCAGAGCAGATATACATTTGACATAATGTCATAGTGTCTGTACACATTTTAGTGATTAACATAATTTTCCTTTGTTTTCCACTCAAAAATAGCACAAGTACCTATATTTGACCATCGACATGTGGCCTGTGACTTAATTCTGCCCATACGCATGCGTCAAAATTTAATTCGAATTAGCTTCGCTTAGCGTTCACACGGAGCTAATGCGAAGTAATTTAATGCGCAGTAAACTAATTCGAATTAAACTAATTCGCATTAAATTCTCCGTGTGAACGCGGATCAAATTTAATTCGCAGTAACTTACGTTTAATTCGAATTAAACTCTCCGTGTGAACAGGGCATGAAATCTACTTCATTCCATGACAAAACACTTGTCACTGAAGTATAAGATAATTATCAAAATGAGCAGGAATGGTCAGATTGTGGCTAATAGTAGGCCAAGTCACCGATGTCTAGATGTTCGCATGGTTAAGACTTGTTTTCAATGTAAACTTAATGTAACAAATAAAGATTTTTCAAGTTAAATTCATGAAATTAAGGTTTAAAATAGATAAATTCATGAAATTAAGGTTTAAAACACACACAAGATTCCATCTTCCAAATTCTGTCCTCAACAAAACACAAGCAGATAACAGAAAAGTTAATTGTAACAATTTTATTTGTAATAAATGGACTTTGTACATTGGACAATGTATAGTGTAATAACAAATTTGTAACATTTCCCTTTTTGGGGTTTTAAAAACTAAAGCACCATAAGGTTCTAGTCAATGATGGATTATAAAAGGGACTATATAAAAGAAATAACTCAACAAGATTATTAACATGATAATCTTCTCATGTGCCTAGACACATTTATAAAATACTTGGGTAGGGGGAGATGAATTCTAATTTCTACATTTGGAACCCCTCCATACATTTTAACACAATTTTTCTAATGGAAAGACACATAAAAGACTTAAAAAGAAATTCAGGTATAATCAGGATACAAGTATCAACGAGCAGGTTACAGATTGCAGTTAAAGCTTTGAACACATGTACAGTGGTTGAAACAAAAATGCTTTTTGTATAGTTGATATTTTTTAACTATTCTCCACTTGGATTTTGTTTAGGAATGTTAGGTACTCCGCGACCCATTCCAGGATGAGTCTGGGATGAAGTCCAATCCTGTTCGAGATTCAGACTCTCCAAAAGTGGCATAAGTCCTGGTAACAATAAATTCCCCCAACGGGTATTCATGGGAGGCATTCCTCTACCAAGACCCAGAATGTTCCCTGGGGCTGCCCCAGCTGCCCCAACAGCAGATGTGGAGGGTACTTGCTGCGAGGGGTCAGTTCCCAGAGGAAAACTTGCAGCAGATTGGGCATACTGATTTAGTAATAATGTCTGGAACATGTTGAGTTGCTGCTGTTGTTGGTTGATTTGTTGTAGGAGACTTGCTGTATTTAACTGTGAAATGGATGGATTCTCAGTAGCTACAGACGATTCTGATACCTGGGGTTTTGGCTGTGGCATACTTGCAACTGTGGCTACCGGCTAAAAAAATTAAAAGCAATTTGACCAGAGGAAATGAACAAATAAATAGTGTACACATTTTCAAACTAACACAAGCACTGATTTTCTTCCTTACAGCAAATTTGTAATTCCAACAAAGCCTTTTTTTTAAAAATATTTTACACTTGAGCATATAAACCACTTTTTATATATACATACAGAGTAAAACTTACTGTAATAATATTTTTGGTTTGGTTGGTTGGTTTGTTTGTTGTTTTTTTTTTTTTTGGTGCAAATTTTTAAAGTAAGGTTCTAACCTTAAAAGATGTATCAGTTCCAAACACAATTTTCTGTGGAGACACTGGCAAAGACTTTCTCTCTTCCTTTGTTACATCCTCAAATTGTCTTGGATCCACTCCCTTACTCTCAGTCCCTCTGATAGAAGCCTCAGTTTCTCTACTGACAGCACCTGAAAAATAAAATTAGAAAACTAATTGGTATTCCTGACAATTAATGAAAAGTTTCTCCTTGGTTGTACAGATATTGTTTATATGTACATTAATGTATTTCACAGATTTTACCTGTCAGTTACCATTTAGTAGGACGGTCATTAAAACCATTTGATTATCAAATTCCGACCTGAATACTTATCATACCTTGTTTGTTTTTCAGCAAACTTTCAAAACTTTTGATCTTCATCTCTACATCATTAAGATTATTAACAATTTCTTCAGTATTTTCAGTATTGTTGAGCATTGACTGCAGTACCCTCTTCCTACAACATAACATTTCATGCATGATAAACTTTTTGCATTTCTTCTATCCAAAGTTTTCTTTCAAGATACAAAAAATGTACTCTTTGTTCATGACAACAACCTTTCATGATTCCTAGGGCTGGGATGATATATAGAGATATCGATAATATTGATTCTGTGTGAGGATGATACGCATATCGATATGTATGAAGAACTATCAAAATATCGCAAAAAAAGAAAAATTCTGACTTATGTTTTCTTTGTTTACTTAATATTTTGGGTTCAATATATAAAATAGATATGATGAAGATAAATATAAATATGAAATACAAAATAACTAACATCACTTGTGTAAAATAATTTTGTTTTTCAACAGATATACAACTTCTTTGAATAAATTATTCTTATTTGTGAAGAAATGTTTTGTTCATTTCAATACAAAAAAAAGAAGATTTTATAACCAATTCAACATATCGTGATACATATCGTATCGTGGCTCAAATATCATGATATGTATCGATGTAGAAAAAGTTGTATTGTCCCAGCCCTAATGATTCCATGAGAAAATCACAATCAGATGACATTTGGTTTAAAATATAAGGTATAGAGATCAACACTCCAAGAGATGTGCTTCAGTGTTATTAACCTTCTGAATTGTAGAATCTGCAGTGTCTCTTCTATCTGATCTGTGCTTAACTGTTCAACGTCACTGTCCCCAGCTTCAAAATCTTCACCCTGAATCAAAATTTAAAGTAAAAACTACAATATAAAGTGTATAGATATTCAGCATTATTTTGTAAAGAATTTTGAAAATATAGATCCCAAGTGAAGGTGAACAAAGAACATGAGTACTACCAGAATAAAGACCAAAGCAAACTAGCCATCACTGTTCAGTTGCCTGACCAGGGCACATTCATTATGTCTATCTTACCTTCCAATATGGATCCTCAGGATCAAAGCTCTCAATGAGTTGAGACACATTCTGCTCGAGTTCCTCTGACTCGCATCTGAACAGCTTGAGTATGCCAGGAACACCATTGAGTTCATAAAGGGTCAGTACCTTCTGCTTGACACTTTTTACTCCATAACTGAAAAACATATCAATATCACTTATGATACAAAAAAATTTCATGTTTTCTGATACCTTGATATACTGCCTCAGTATAGTTCTAGCCAAATTCATACCCATTATGTCAAGGACTTCCACCAATCTGTATGAAAACAGCTGGTTTAACACTCTCCTTTTATTCAAAATCTTGATTTGACCTTTGTACAATAATTTGAGGTTTGATCTTAACAGAAACTCTGCCCAAATGTCTCACTTTTAACCTCTTTGTCTAGAGCCACCTAGTGTCCCTAAATCCTAAATATCTGATTCTTGGAAAAAATACTGACATGCACCTCATACTCTTTAGTAACTTACTGATAAAGTTCACAGAACAACGCAGGGTACTCCTCCACAGTGACTTTGGTCTTATTTACATGTGCTTTCTTCTGGAATAACTGAAATAAACACAACTCATTGTCAAACTCAATGGAAAATTCATCATTCTTCTTTGTTGAGCAGTCATATGGCCTCAAAAACAAGTCTTAGACAATTACAAAATAAGATAAACAATATTTGTGATTCATACAATGTCAACTCCTTTTAAAGGTAAAATATAAAACATCTAGCTTCATATACTGAACTTTTCAAACAATGCGAGTCTGAATACTTAACAATCACTAAAGAGACAGGAAATTTCAAACAGGCAAGCTGATCAGTAATTTGTGAGATAAGGGCAATAACTCTAAGAACTGTAAACAGTTTTATTGGTGCAGTAAGGTTTAAGAGTACTACTTACCATGGAGGTTAAGACATCATCTTCCCAGAAGAAGGAAGAGACATCAGAAGACAGAAGATAGGCCACACCATCCAAGTTAATCAGATGGACCACGACCTCAGAGGTCAACTGGAGCCTGCAGTCAGAAAAATGTCAATCTATATTTACTGATCATTGCTACATGATCGAATTATTACACGGATCACAACTTCCATGTCCGTAAAAAAATTGTCCCTAAACTGACAGTTTTTGTTTGCAATTTATTTGACCCTGGCTTTATACCAAGCCTTGACCACAACTGAAATTCCCCACATTCAGTATCTACAGGTATTAAAATTATAGCTGTTGACAGACAACAGACCATGTGCCTTATTATGCTCCAAATCTACATGAACAAGGCATACAAACTCTTTATCAGTTCTCCCAGTTCTAAACATTTTTACTGAGACAAATTGTAGAATGTTATTGCGGTTACTTACTGTAGAACATAATGTATACTCTGGATCTCTGAGGAGCTCTGTGCAGCCAAATTTTCAAAAAAGGTGGAATCTGAGAATGTGCTCGCTGTTTCAGATTCACTGGAGAAGGGGAAGTCGGCAATCTACAGAATACAGAAAATTAAAACCATGCAGACTTTAACAAAATGTCTCTCACATTGGCCTCACTTGGCCTTTGGAGAACATTTAAAAAGATAAGTTATTTTTGTTTCATTTTTATTCATCCATTATTTCCAACTCTACCTGATTATTAAAACTATGAGAGTACTTTTTGTATTATACAATAAATGTTCTTGCATAGTTCTCTTATTCTATTAACCTTTCAAATACATTATCTACAATGATTAATTATCAAACTTAAGGTGAATGGCAAAGGGGAATAACTTCACTCAGTAGAATACAAATTAATAGAGCCCTGGTCAGGACGAGAACACTTGACTAAATGGTCCAGATGTTCAAAATTCTGGTAAAAATACCTTGCTTATTAAAACTTTTACTCTGTTTGCTTCCAATATGCCCAGGAGCAGAGGAGATTTTCAGAGAAATAATGCATTTTCACTATTCAACACAGCCCTACCCTACACCAGAACCCATGACCTAGGGTCATAAAAATTTACAAATTTGGAAGAGGTACCCTGATCATCATAACTATGCAATTAGTTGAAGATTTCACACATTTTCACTATATAATTAAATAGAGCCCCCCCCCCCCCCCCCCCCCCCCCCCCCCCCCCGAAACAACAGAACCCCTGGGACCACCAGTTTTAAAAATTTTGTAAAAACATACTTGCTCATCATAACCATACACTTGTTTCTTTGCTTTATAACCAGGAGTAGAAAAAAATATTTTGAAAGAAATTATGAATTTTCACTATATAATCAATAGAGTCCCCCCCTTTCACCAGAACCCCTGACCCAGGGGCCATGAAATTCAAAATTTGGAAAGAGGCAGCCAGGCTCATCATAACTATGTACTTAGTATATTTCATACCCAGGAGCAGAGAAGAAGATTTTCCAAAGAAATACATGTAATGCATTTTCACTGTATAATCAATAGAGCCTCACCCTAACACCAGAACCCCTGACCCAGGGGCCATGAAATTCACAATTTTGGAAGAGGCAGCCATGCTCATTATAACTATGTACTTAGTTTATTTCATACCCAGGAGCAGAGAAGAAGATTTTTAAAGATTTAATGCATTTTCACTATATAATCAATAGAGCCCCATCTTAACATCAGAAATCTGACCCTGGGGCCATGAAATTCACAATTTCAGTAGAGGAACTCTTGCTCATCATAACTATGTATACTTACTAGTTAGTTTATTTCATGCTCAGGAGCAGAGAAGACGATTTTCAAAGATTTAATGCCTTTTCATTATATAATCAATAGAGCCCCCCCCTAACACCAGAACACCTGACCCAGGGGCCATGAAATTCACAATTTTGGAAGAGGCAGTCTTGCTCAACATAACTATGTACTTAGTTTATTTAATACCCAGGAGCAGAGAAGAAGATTTTCACTATATGATGTAATAGCTCCACCCTAGCACCACAACCCCTGACCCTGGGGCCATGAATTTCACAATTTTGGTAGAGGGCTCAATCCTTATTACAATCATGCCAACAGTTTGACTGCTTCATGTCCAGGAGTAAAGAAGAAGATTTTTAAAGATTGCATTAATTTTGGTGGTTTTAGCCCCACCCCTCAGGCCCCAGGGGGGCAGGGACCATGAAATTCACAATTTTTGTTCCCCTTCACCCATAGGTGCTATATGCCAAAATTGGTTGAGCGGTTTCAGAGAAGAAGCTAAAAATGTTCAAACTGAGTGACTCAGGTAACCTAAAAATTCAAAGCTGTCAAACTCCATATTTAACATATAATATGATCAATACTGCATTTTGACCATACTGATTTCAATGCTATTTTAAAAAACTAATACTCTGATGCTGATTTTAAGGCTGCCTATCAAAGCTAATGCTCTCATGGCAGGTTTAGTCAAATGAGAACATTTAAAATAGCTAGGCCATCCACCAAAGACAACAAAATATATAGTTTAATAATATATAGTCCAAAATCAAGGCAAAAGGTCAAGGATGAGGTCAACTACAATGGTACTGTGGTTGGTGAAACAATTCATCTGATTTACCTACTAGTATGCATGAAATTTGATGACCAGAAGAGGTCATTCTAATAAACATGTTCACTATTCATTAATTTCAAAGGTCATTGCCATCTCTGAGGGCCATATTTGAAAAGTGAAGAGTTTAAAGATTACATAATAAACAAAATCACCTACAAGAGCCTAATACAAAAGGTTGAATTATCAAAATGTACTTGAATGTATTTATAATATACATGATAAATAATTTTTAAAAATTTACAAATCAATGCAAGTCTGGTGACTTTAACACAAATTTGTAATCATTGTAATAAAATGCAATACTTGAACCATGGGCTTTTAAATCGTATAAATGTACAGTAGGATTTCCTTACCCTCAAAATATTTACATTAATATGTAAGGCCTATGTTTCTACCCATTAAAATACTTTTACTTCCCATCTCGACAATATTTAAATTTCTGTCTTTGAAGTAAATTGAAATGAAAACAATATGTCACCCAAGTACTTTCAAAATCAAAGTATTTGACAAACTCTATCAAGGTGACCTACGTCACGTAGTTAATGAATTTATTTGCCAACAAGATTGTTACCATGAATATAATTACAGATAACCCTTCACCAAACAAAATGATTTTTCGCCTTTGTCAAAGTTTATTTCTCCTTGGTTTTCTTTACACGACAAGAACGCATTAAGATTAATATCAAAATTCAACATGTCACAGTATCCCTTTTTCTATTTACTCTGTCTCACTGAGACACAATTTAAGTACTTTAAAAATGTTTTGTCAAGGACAAGAAAAACAATAGATATAATCCTATTGTCTGTGCACTGCACATTGTGTACCCTTAATTCAAAAGTGACACCAAATATTATGATATCATACTTTTTTTGTAAACCAACCTTGTCAATATTTAAACAGCTCCCACAAACAGGGCTCAATAGTCTACTAATGCAAGATAAAATGACTATATTTTCTAACCAAATCTTTCACTTTGAAAAATGAATCTGGCATCTGTTCAAAAATTTGAACATTTATAGGTAAAGTGGGGAAATTTAACAGTGCGTCTCTGAAAAGGTCTTCCCACTTTTTTTATTTAAAGTGTGCCGCCAATATCTCGATCACACACCCACATATTCTTATTTGGATAGTAAACCTTTCGCTACAACATGTTGTGAATTAAGGAGTAACTTAATTTGACAAAATATACTATAAAAATGTCTGCAGATATATCTGAGGACCCTAACTGGGCAGTCCAGCAGCTGAAAGTAGAATTCCGTTTTAGGAGGAATTCTGCATTGGTAAGTTATTAGTTTAAAACTTGTTTTCTTTCTCCTTCTAAAATTAAGAATTATAAAATGAATTATAAAATGACAAAATCATGCACACTTTCTGCATTTGGTATATGTAAATATAAAATTAACAATCCATGTGAGGTTGAAGGTTAAGCATTTCACACAGAGCTTTTGAACTTTTAACATTTCCTTCAATTTTTCCAAAGTTGAGTAGATATTTAGCCCCCCCCCCCTTTTTTTTTGCAAAGATATATATAATATAGGTATTGAACATTGGGGTGTAGTTCCTAAACATTTTTTTTTTTTTGGCTTGTCAAGTTTTTTTTTCAGGTTTGAATTTTTTTCTCTTCAATCAGCCCCCCCCCCCCTTTCAATTTGCTTCCAACACCTGTGTAAATTATTTTCAACTTAATGCATACTTCATTCCAAACATGTGGCCAAAATTTCACATACTTGGTACCACTTATGGAACTATAAATCAAAGTTCACAAAAATTTCAAAATTATTTATCATCCACTAAAGACAATGAATTAAATCCCTTTTTGCAAAGATTTAAGCTTCAAAAAGTAACATGACTTTCAACATCAAAGACTTAAAAACAATCTGACTTAATAGCATCATTTCATTAGGATAACAGTTCATCATCAATTACATAAAATGACACACCTCAGAATCTTAGATCAGGTAGCAGGTGATTACAGTTACCTACATAGAACATTGCAGGTGAAATAGATTCTGAATGATCACTGTAATGAGGAGATCTATATTGATTTCTTTAAGATGAATTCATACGAAATCCTTCTTCCCAACGTTACAGTGTACACTTCTACCAGGATATGACCTCAGCTTTGTTTTAGATATGCATGAACACTTGATTTGGTGATCAAAATTAATTTTTAATAGATTAACTCCCATTACTATTTCAAAGCACTTCTATGAGTATAGTTTTCTTTAACATACATCTTTGTGTCAGCCTCGCATTAACTTACTTTTGATAATGCATGGATTCCCTAGTTTTTTGAAATATATAAATATTTAAGAATTATTTGTACTCCATGTTTAAAAATATAATATCCTCTTTTTAATGAATGCAATTTAAGCTGGTTGTTTTATGACAATTTGCTTCAAGATAGCCATCATTTTAGTGAGCATGTGTTCAATTAATGCACGGCCTACAAACAATTATAATTCAGAGACACATATAATAAAGAAATAAATAAATAGATAAAGAGACTTTTTTTTATATTAATTAGTAAGTCACAATAACATCTTTTTCATAAAGAATCCGAGGAGAACTGGAGCTTGATTCTTTATGACATATTTTAGAGGTGTATGTGCAGTACAATTTGTTATTTTTACATTGTAATATTATGTACAATTTTCAGACCTAACACTGCAAGAAACTTAAAAATGTTACTAAAAGTTATCTGTACTATCACAAATATTAGTTGCCTATTTGAGTATTGGTACTGTACCGTCTGAGACATTGATTATGAGTCAGTATGCTAAGATACATGTATAATGTTACCTGTAAATACTCTATTCAAATATGTATCAATGCATTGTCTTATGTATCATTTCACAGAGACTTCAAATCTCACTTACTGGTAGTTGTTATTGGAATGTTCAACTCACTAATCTAGTAATAAACATCTTGACTGACAAATCCCTCAATAGCTTAGAGAGATAATTTCAAAGTAAAAAATCATTACACCTTTCTTACACCTTTCTTTACGCCAATCTAGCCATTTCTTATCTTTGCAGAGTACATAAAAAGTAATTCATGATACTCAATCAATGGGAGAACAATTTTTTTTTTATATAATTTTATGATGATAATTTTCATTTATGTCTCTGTGTATTTTAAATGTTAGATAAAAGAAAAGATGGATATCTTCCCAAGTTCAAACCAAAAGATGTGAAAAGGGCATTAACTCATATCACTCTGAAAAGAACTTGGCAGTTAACAAAGGCCACATTTCTTTGGGTGACAGCTAGACAATGGGCTTCTTAAACATTTTAGAATCTTCGATAAAAATGCAAATGTTGAAGTCTGCAGAATAATGTGCATCAGTAGAAGAAATGTGTACTGGCAAAGTCCTCCATTTAAAATCCTCCTCAAAAATGGGGAGCAATGTTGACAATAAAATTTAAATCTCCAGACCAATATATACGTGTAATGACTGTTTAAATTTTATGAAATAACAGCGTATATACCTATAGGCATTGAATACCATGTATGCATTTGGGTCATGACCCCGTAAAATGTCCATGTAAAGAAACTTGCAGGAATTACGTCAATTTCCATGACCCTTATCCGGACTATGTGCAAATCGGATGATAGGTGTAAACTGGTGCCACAGAAGTTTGCTAAGGAGAGGGTGAATGTAAATATTTACAAACACTTACTTAGAGTTCAGCGGAGATTAAGACAATAGAGTTTGAAAACTGTTGCCCGGTTTGTGGTACTTCCAAGGGAACAATCACGGTGTAATCATGTTTACTTGGTAGGTATACCACATATATAACAACAAAAAATAAATAATCAATTATGTAAATATCTCTGCTGGTATTAACAACTGCTGTCATTTTTACAACTAACAAATACTTTCAACATGGTTTGGATGAAAAAGGTAAATTTCTTGGCTACTCACTTTATCATTTATAGACATCATTGACATTCATGTACACAGCTTAATAAACTCACCTGCACATCTCATAAGAAACATTCACATTTTTCATTATGTAGTGAACATATCGGAATGAGATATCTTTACTTACTTTACAGTTCAACCTGAAATTATACACCTGGATTTCTGAAGTCCATTTAGAAATTTTAGATTTATATAGGAAACTAAAAACTTACACAATATTAGGAAGTGGTCCTTAAGTCAGATTGAATTTTTTTTTTTTTTTAGATATTTATTTCTACTAGTACATGGGTCAAAAGAGAGTGCATGGTCTGATAAAATATTTGAACTGGATTACATTGAATTTTGCTGTCAAATGTATAACTGTAAAAAGTTTATATGTCCCTAACACAGAATTTACTACTGGTTAATTTTGATGAACTGTTAATTATGTCATTTGGTTCTCAATTGTGCATTTATTTCAACATTGGTCAGTAGATTCTGATTGTAATATTCCGTAATCTGCACTGCAGGTTTTATCATGCAAATCAACATTTTCCAATATCGCTGCAAGCATCAAGTTGTTTTGGTTCTTAATGGAATGATTCTGTACATAAGAATGGACACATGCACACACTATGAAAATTAATAATAGACCAAGTTAACATGTGGGTTGGCCTTAAGAGGTTAATCAGAAGCTTAGTGGTCCTCCATGATCTTTTATATTTGTCGATGAAATTAATCACCCAGAGTCCATTCATCTGCTAATCCTCTTAACCTTTAGGTAACATGGCCACCAACGATTGATAAAAAATTCCAATATCGAAACTTTCCTTTCCTACATCTTAATGAAATTTTCGTGCAGTGTGATACAAGAATCTCAATAAACCACATATTGTAGGATTACAGAAATTTATGAAACTTAATATTCAGATGTCAAGGCTTTCCTTAATCAGTCTTGTATCGTTAGGACATTAATGAAATTACATTTGACATTTTCTTTGATAAATGACTTACTGGTATATACTCAAGAAAATTCATAACAAAATCTCTATAATCAATGTATTCTAACTACCCGATAAAAATTCCTGTCAATAGTTCTTCAACTTTGTTGCAGATTTAAATATTTATTTCAAACTATCTTTCGTTAGGCCATTTATAAAGAATTATTATATTTATCCAACAGTTACAATCCACTAACAAATTTTCCTTAAAAGTAAATTTACACTTTATAAATCAATACAATGGAAAATTAATTACAGAAAAGTCTAAATCAGATATATACCTCAAATTAAATGAATCCATACTAATATGCTTAATTACATAATACTTAAACCTTCTTTAAAACTTCAAAGAAAATGATACTTTAAAGTATGTTTTGTTTCACATATCCAATTACTAAAGGTCATATACAATAACTTAAATTGGTTTCCAATAATGCATATTACATGTACCTATATGGACATGCACTCATTCAAGATTTTGTTTTCAAATTTTCAGAGCAATTCACAATTGAAAGGCTACAACTTTGAACAAAAGGATAAGATGTATATCCAATATACCTGGGTCACATAAACCACACATATGGTTTTGCTAAACAAGCGAATCCAGGCCCCTATAATTACCTGTACACCCATACAAAAACCCACACAGGTGGGAATTTATTGCCAATCTAATACCTGCAAAACTGAAAAGCACCCAGAAACCCTATAACATTATTGAATAGAATGGATAGATCTCTAAAAGATTCTGCATTTTAATGTTCTCATATACTCCATACACAGATCGATTTATTGAATCTGATTATTGACAATTCCTTTGACGATCTCTCCATGTTTTGTCAACTGGCAGAATATCTATCAAGGGTTATGTGAAAGAATTCCTCTCATTCCATATTGACGCCATCTGCAGGTAGGGTATGAACTAGGAAAACCTCTTTAACTATAATTATTCTGGTTTTAGCAGTGCTGAATATAGAATTAATCTGAAGGGACATAACAAAGTCCTATTGATTTATTGGCGATGTGTTAATATGAATACATTCTGACTTCTACAGTTATTATACACTATGGACTAAGGAGTATAATTAATTTAACCTCTTTTCATTCCATTTCTCATTTTAATGAAATTGAATTCAGAACAATAGACTGTTTCAATACGGTATGCCCCTGCTATGTATCAGAATACATACTGTATTATTCTCTGTAGTTCCGTTCTTACTACTGAACCATATATTCCTCCTAATAAGCACACATGAAGAGTGCTCGATATTAGTAAATAAATATTTCCAACAGGGAATATTTACGTTTTGCAAATTAGTTCAGAAACAAAGTATTTTTTCTTGCTGATTTGTAATTCTATCTGAAGAATTTTCAAGTGATTCTTTTTTCACTCAAAGAATGTGGGGGGATTTTTTTTTTCAGACCGAAAATTGAATTGTGGGACCTTACTTATATATAGGACACTGTTTGGAATCATACTGGTACATGCAATAGTGACCTTGCAATATCTTTCAATGTAAATATTTTATTAGCATCATGTGGGAAAAATTTTAACATGTACATTTAATATTACCGGGTATATTGAATTAAATATTCATGTTTTTCCAGTATGAATTTCCAAAATTAGGAAGTTTTCAAGGATTCTTCATTAATTATCTCACATATATGCACCACTACTGCAAATATTTTTCTTGAATATTTCACATTTCCATGATTAGGCAAATATTTATTCATACAAAGTAATGACAGGACAATTAATCTTTTTTGTCATATGCAAACATCATTTCAACATGCTTTCCATATATAAACATTCAAGTACATCTGCAGATACTTGTTCAAAAAGATGAGTTCTAAAATACAGCTACGGCAATAGATACAAAGCAAAGCAAAATTCAGTTACTAGAAATAGGCAAAATCGTTTACTAGGAACAAAAAAATTAACCTCCATATATTTTTTGAACGAGAGAAGATCGACACATCTAATGCTAGGATTGCTGATTAAGGACAATATAACCATGCAAACATCTAAAACTTAATTAATTCAATTATTTTTCTGCTTCCATGAAACCAGACGAAACTCACTAAATTGATAGCCCTGAAAACTTAAATACAGGTAAACTTCGGTATCTCGACATCGGATATGTCGACAACCTGGGATATGTCGACGTCCGTCCGCGGTCCCGGCAGTATTTACTATATAAATGATTTGCAAAAACTCTGATATGTCGACCTCGGTAATCTCGACAACCCTGGTTATCTCGACGTATATTCACAGTCCCAAGAGCAAAATTTACCTGGTATATGTCGACATCGGCAATTTTCTGCTCCACTGAACCTAACTGTTTGTCAGATAGGGTCGCTCGTCACGCACGGACGGCTCCGGGTATCTCGACGTCGTCAAAAATTCACACCTTTCACACCCATGTTATGACTGCACGCTGCTTAATTAATTCTATAGACTGTGTTTGTAGGTGAATCCAAAGCCCCCTCGGCGTCTTTGAGACGTTAATTGCTTAATGTTCAGTTTGGGTAATATCATTGATAAATCTACACGATTCTGCTTAAATTTACAGGTGTTTATTTATGTCGAAACCTAACATAACTTTTAAAATTGAAAAGATAACTAAATTACAAAGAATAATAAAGAAATTGAATAAATTCAAACTAAAGAATTAAACGATGTTCTAATAATATTTTGTAGTTAAAATGCATTCAACAGGAAATAATCCGATTAACGACACGATTAACCGAATCATCCGTAATCCATGCATCTGTAATATCACTACGTTAGTTTAGATACACAAATCTCTTAAAAAATTAATATTAATGCACATTCTTCCTGAATGAAATAAGAAGAAAAAAAAATAATTACGCATTTAATATGTTTTCGTATCTCGGATGTCGACTTTATCATGTTTATACGGTTCAGTTCGAAGTTTATAGAGCGCATTTCGTATCCTGTTCGGACAAAAAAGCAAGTAGCACGCGAATGCTGGATGGAAAACTACAAAAATTTAGAACGATTTCGATAAAGAGAAAGAACAGGCTTTATAAATAAGATTTTTAAAAATAACTTCTTATTTTTTTTTAATAAAAATAGAGGGATTGCTGAAATAAGTTGACCTTCTATATTGAAGTCATGTACGTATAATAAGCTTATACACATGTATGTGTTTGGTTATGCAGTGAAATCTTGGACGTCAAGTCTCAACTCTGATATCTCGACACCTCGGATATCTCGACATTTTCCGATGGTCCCGTCGATGTCGAGATAACGAAGTTTACCTGTACACCTTTTCTCTAATAATGGATAAGATTAATTAAGTTAATGGACAGAAGACAAAGTTAGATACCGAAACATTGATCTTTTATACCAACCTGAGATCCATAGCTCGGGTGAGCTATTAAATTATGGAACATTACCTAGGACTGATCATGATACAGATTTAGTGGCATCACCCAATGTCTATAAAGGGCCCTTATCTTACCCTGTCATAGCCATCCAGAATTGATTCTAAATCTAATATATACACTAAGCTGATTGATCAAATAGGAATAGTTTTCCTGCCATACCTTTTGATTGAATGTGAAAATCAATGACAGTGTTTACTATAACTTACTTGCTTAGGCAACATTAGGTGGAAGGTGTAAAAATAACTGACTGAAGCTGTATCACATTTTAAAAAAAACTGTTCTTCTTCTTCAGTTGTTTCTTTACTTATTTGCATTTACATTTACAAAGCACAACAGTGAACATTCAAGTGAAAGATACCTGCTGCCTTGAAAAAAAGATAAATTCTGTTTGTCAAAAATCATACAGAAAAAAATCATCAATGAAGGCTTACATTCAACTGTACTTAAGGATCAACAAAAATTGATCTCTCTTAATTGTTAGCTTTTAAAAGACTGTTTATTTTGGAGTTTAAGGTCTGATCAACTTTTGAAGACCTTCACGGTTTGCAAATATCCAGTTTAATTTTTTTCTTTTCAAGGTTCAAGTAGTAGAGTTACAATGCTAACATAATTCAAGGCCACCATTACAATTTGTTTACCTGTTAAATCCAAAAAAAAAAAAAAAGTGATTGGGCATCGATTATTCAGTGACAATGAACTTCAATATACCCGTCATTAGTGCTCTGCATAGAGTCGAGAAAATTACGGTACATCCTGAGAAATGCCAAATGGAAAACTGTTTCTAATTCTGTCCACATTATGCCTTCCAGTCTTGCTTTGTGATTGACATTATAGATTCTGATTGGGTGAACTTCATTCCTGCGGACAGATCTGGGCTCAAAGGAATATATTTAATACATTTTCATTAAATTTCTTCTACGCAGGGCAATATTGAATATTTTTTTTTTCTATAAAAGAAATGGATTAAAAACCATTAGCTGCAAATTGTGTTTGAGGATGCATAGTGCATTTCATTACATTGATTCATGTACTATTCTGTGATGATGGAGGAATTTCTTTGTCAAGATTAAAGATACTTTTATTTGTCTCTATCTAAATTCAAAATTTGTGAAACATGGAGTTTGCTGGGAAATTTGCCCGTTTATGGGCTGAAAAAGTCAAATCAGTAAGTCATACATTTCCTTGATGTTTATGTGCACTGTACTAAATGCATTGCAAATGATCAAAGTAGAAGTCAATTGCTTTTAAAAAAAAATGTTTGCAACCTTGCAGCCATCTAGAAAGATTTGTAATGATTTGACTATATAGTTTTGAGTGATCTGCATTACTGAAATGACATTTTAAATGTAACACAAAAAGCTGAACAACTCTAATTTATACAAGGTCTTACATGAAATTGATATATTTAAAAGAGGATAACTCTTCATAATCAACAGACTTCACACAGCTAGGATATATTCAATAAATGCATTGTCTTGATGTAGATTTGTGTGTTATATGATGGTAGTAATTCTAATCACAAGAAGTTACATGTTTTATTTTTTTCATGAAGCTACTTGTGCTTTTAAACTTACAACTGGTTACACAATAGGATTAACACGTTACACTATATAAAGAATATCTTCAGACAGCTGCCTTGAGCCATGTTCAAAGTCTGTGTAGTATTCCAACTCCCTCTCAGTGTCAGTATTAAAAATAATGAAACAAAAATCTGTAAAAGGAATAATGAGAGTCCTATTTAATAAAAAGGTAAGATAATGAATGTTACCTTCAGTCATTTATCTATTCTATTTTTTATTAACATCTATGTAATTTATTTCATTCAGCATTCTGGTACACCTTCCCTCTTGCAATGTGTAATTAATATGTCTACACCCACAATCTTGCGGATAATCTTCATAATTTGACTCATTATCACATCCAAATGTCACTGTAGTACCTTACCATGTCATTTTCATTATATGCTATTTATAATCAATAAAAATACCGGAAATATAGCTAAAACTGCCAATAATGATGTGCTATTTCCTACCATTTTCACATTGACCATTATCATATAATTGACTCTAAACTTCAATTTACAAGATCCAACGTTTCTCTGTATCTCACACCCGAACCTAATTTGTTCTCTGTATATTTCCAGAGAGGTGCCAGTATGGAGACGGAACAGTCAGAGCTGGTGATTCCACGACAACTTCTCTGCTGTAAGCTCTGTGATGAAGAATTCACGGAACCCTGTTATCTTCCGTGTCTGCACACATTCTGTCAGAACTGTATAGACAAGCACCGACTTAACAGCACAGACAATGACGGATACTTCCCATGCCCGACGTGCATGACAGAGGTCAGCCCAGAGGAGGAGGATGGGGCCACGGCTCTTCCGATAAACATTCTGGCTCGACGACTCTCTGTCCCCGTCATCGATCCTATCAAAAGAGAGACTCTATGTTTTTATTGCAAGAATGCAGGAAACTTTGTGGAAGGTAAAACTCACTGTACAGACTGCGATGAATTTCTTTGCAAGTTGTGTGCTGATTCACATACCAGCCAAGAGGAGTTTTCTGACCACCAGCTACAAAGTGAAGAAGATTACAATGCAGACTTGGAGAAGTCTTCCTCCACAACTGTTCAAGGACAAGTTATTCCCGTGTGTTGTGATGCCTACGATCCTCTAGATATCGGTGCCATGTTCTGTGTAGGCTGTGACATTGCAGTGTGTGCTGATTGTCATGTGAACAAACATGGTGAACACAGATGTGCTGAACTTACTGCCATAGCTCAACACTTTGAAAGGAAAATTAAAGAACCTCTCAAAGAACTTGACAATGACTCTGAGGAAATAAATGCATTTCTAGCTGACTTAGATGTTAAAGAGCAGACAATACTTGAACAGAAAGATGCTCTGAAACAACATGTTCAAGACAGAACAAAACAGCTTTGCAGTCTCATTAAAGATTACGAAAAACTTCTTCTGGATGATATTGAGAGGAGATTTGATGACCAGATCGAGGATATCAAGGCAAGAAGACTAGACCTTGAAATGCATTTAGAAGCCATCAAAGGGGTGAAAGATTTCACTGAAAACCTGCTCACTTACGGCTCCTACGAGGAGAAAGTGTGCCTCAGAAAAAAGGTTGGGTACAGAATTCGGGAACTGTGTGAGGAGTCTCTTGGCACAGATCCAATTGAGGTCCATTCTGTGAAACTCATGGAACCCAATGTAACTGGTGATACAATCTGTGATATGTTTGGCACAATTGAGACAGAAAATCAGTCTGCTAACAAAGAAAGTGAGCACATCCAAGAAAGCCTTCCTTCCAGTGAGCACTTCCAGAGGTATCACAGCTTTGGGGATTCTGGACACGGAAGCGATTCTATGGATCAGGTAGAAAATGAGCCAGAACTTGTAGAGATCTTTGAGAAAGGTGAACTCCAAAGACAAGACAGCAAACAGGAGAGTTCAGACACTGACATGCTGAGCTCCAGCAACTCTAGTGACAAAATGAAGAATGTCAAGTTCAGAGAACAAGTCGACCGAAATGAATTTGACATTGAAAACATTTTCCACTTGGAGAATCCAAAACGAGAAGTTAACCTTCCTGCTCCTATTCAGAAAGAATGCATTAAAGGCATTGGAATAAATGAAAAGGGGGACATCATTGTAGGCACAAGCACCACAGTCCATGTACTAGAAAAAAGAGGGATCGTTAGAGGGCAAATCCCACTGGAAAATGGTTGGAACATTCATTCAGTGTCTAGTGATGGCAAAGTGTCTATGACAGTGCCTAGAGGTGATAACAGATTCAAAGTGAGGGTCTTGAAAAACGACGGCACAGGGCATATCTTGTCAGATTTCCATGTGGAAAGTTTTGGGCTAAATTTTGTTACTGCTGACCAGTCTGGAACACTCATCATAACCTCAAACCGCTATGCTCAGATTCACAAAAGTCACGGCAAAGCAGCAAAGTCAGGTGGAAACATCGCCTTCTACGGATCTGATGGACATCTGATTCGCCGAATTACAAATGACAATTTCCCGGCTAACTTCTTGGAGAAACCCCAAATGGTGGTAATGGACCAGAAACGCAACAGAACATATGTAGCAGACCCCGGCAGCCACAGGGTCGTAGCTCTTAACGCCAATGGGGAGCTGGTCTTTGAGTATGGAAACAAAGAAGGTGAGGAGGAAATATACCAAGGTCCAGATCTCATCTCTATTGACAAATACGGAAACCTAATTGTTACTGACAAAAGAGAGGGCCGCATTGATATTTTGAGTACCAAAGGAAACCTGAAAAAGTCGTTTTTCACTGATGACATTCCTCGCTTTGTTGGTGCCACACCTGACAAACTTTTGGTTACAGCCATGCCAGATGGAACCATGAAGTTCTATGAATACCTTACCTAACTTTATCTTATGGAAAAGGCAAACACTTTTTGTTTTGTTAAGATTCAAGTGTGCAGCTAGATACTGAATTTTTGTTATGCTTTTTCATTGCTAGATAAAACCCTCCTCTTGCGGACAAGGCATTATAATCAGTGAATTCTTATCAATCTATGGATGCCATGGACAGTGATACTATTTACTTGTTTGATAGGATCACTTTCAGTCCTGGAGAAGTTATTTCTGAACCTTTAATATATCATGAATATCTTATTGAGTTGTGTGTTAAAATGGGTTTTAACATGCTTACAATGTTTACTTTAGGCATTACACTTATAAATATGCTATTCATATACAAAACCTCAGCTAAACACTTCAAATTAGAAGTACATGTATTCCACATATATTCAAAACAAGAACAGAAAGCTTCAAATAGTACCCCATTGTCTTTCTAGTTCTAATTAGAATACAGCACTACTCAATTTTTACCTTCACCTAACTCATTCCATGCTTTAAGCATGCAATTCTCATGATAAAATATTGCTGTTTGTTTTATCCTATTTCTGTTTATAAATTATTGATGATCAATTGATCCCCTGTATTCTATGTTATTTTGCTCCCCATTATGACATACAACTCCTCTCTGGTATCAAATTCATTTTAAATTTTTGATTTTTTTTAAAGGCTTCAGCTCTTGGCAACTTTCCAAGGACAAAACTTCCAATTTAAGACTCTTATAGTTTACAAAAAAGAAAACACTGTTAATGGAAAATTATCTTCTGTAAAATAGAAACAATTTAACAGACCCCAAATGCAAAGAATTTTGAATTTTACCCCTTAAAGGCATTTACCCAATCTATTCACAAAAACTAAAACTCAATTTTTTAAAAAACACAAACCTTAATGGTCAAATTTCTTTGATTTTTGCCAACTGCTTTTAGTCTGTGAGTCAGCATGTGTATTATTTCAACCTACATGTTTGTCAGTGTTGATAGTCAGAACAGCACAGGCCTTACTGATATATCAGTGTTGATAGAACAGCACAGGTCTTACTGATATATCAGTGCTGATAGTCAGAACAGCACAGGTCTTACTGATATATCATGATATTATTTGCATTTAAATGACAAAGCTAGATACTAACAGTAGTGCTTCTGTGAAACTCATGAAAGATTGGTCCCCTTTTTATGTGATATTTGTTTTTATCTTGTAATAGTTATTTTCAGAATTGTTTTCAATAAAATATTTACAAAGAATAGTTTGAAATTTATGCATCACAATAATAATTTGCAATCAATTTCATAAACTTCATTGTTCAAATTTAAATTATTAGTCAGGATAGAGATAATTAAAAATGCATGAACCTCTGAATTAATCATAATAACTATGACTGTAACATTGGTTCTCCTACTTCAGAGCCATGACATTTAAACAGTTTTGTAAACCCATTTAACTTATATTAACTGATATGAAAAGGGAAACAACTCTTATACAGCCTAGTGCAATATACAGAAAAGAGAGTATAGAATCAACTGTAATGCAATACAAACATACATAATCAGAGATTAAGAGCTCACCTCAACAAATGTCGTCTTTAAGCAAGTCAAAGTCTCACACTAAACTAATAATCTAGTAGTGTGCATCCCTTGATGCAACATTTAAGCAATTTTGGTCTGATAGGGCTTGCAGTTACTTGGGAATGGACTTATCTAAAAACTATAAGCTAGTCACTCATCCAGAAAATGTATGTCAAATCCAGCATCTGAAGCAAGTTTGAGAGTGTTCATCCCTTGGTGCATCATCCATACAAGTTTGGTTCAGATAGGCCTTATAGTTTCTTGGTAATGGGACCTTCTCCAAAAACTTTAACCTGGTCACTCATCTAGAAAAAGTAGGTCAGATCCAGCATCTGAAGCAAGCCCAGTGTTTCCGAAAACCATCGGTCCTACCGGCAAAACTGATAGAAAATTGAAATGTCCGATGCAATTCGCTCTATCACCGGTCTGCTTGACCGGTGGCTTGTCTTGAGATGCAGTTAGATTATTCTAATTAATTGTACTCGGATCTATTGCGATGTCTCCAGGGGTGTGCAATTAGCATCGCTCGACACCTGGGGCTACCATTTTTTGGGGTTGGGCTAGTAGTTTTCTGCAAGGAGATAGCCCCTTGGGCTAGTAAAAGTAAAAACTACCAATGTGATACACGAAAAGCACTACTGGTATTTTCACTCATTCTTTGCTATTAAATTCCCAATAAAAGAAAAAATTTCAGGCAGCGTGCTCCTATTGTTCATAAATCTCCATAATCTTATCCATTTTGCAATACTAGCTAACTTATTTACTTCCAAAAACAATTGTTTTTTTCTAATCTGAATTTCCTCCTTTCCTCTGTTTATGGTAAACACATGAAGATATCTCGTTAAATTATTTACGATCACTCAATGAACTGAAAAACGAGTCTTATGTGATTTACATAAAATATAGCTCCAATGTATTTAATGATTAAAGATGAAAAAATAAAGGATTTTCGCTTCAGTTTAGATTAGTGCAATGCCCAGAAAAAGGGAAGATAATTTATTTGAATTCATTTTTCTATCATAATTATTAATTTATATTTGATTCAATTTTACAAGTGAGAAATAAACTTTTAATTTTAAAAAGAATAACCTGGTCTTCAGACCCTGAATTTTTCAACAATAAACTATATTTTTTCATATTTGTTGTTACCCCCCCCCCCCCCCAACTTAGGCTAGCAACTTTTTACTTGGGGCTAGCGAATTTATTGCTGCCACTAGCCCTTGGGCTAGTACTTCAACTTTTTATTGCATACATGTGGTCTCACAATCGGTGTTGTAATGATCTGCAGAAAGATTTACAGACTCAATTTGAGTACTATAAACCAATGCCATTTTCTTTTGAATTACATCATGAAATATACTAAAATTTATTCGGACTGATAGAATTTGCTTCGAACTGGTAGAACACATTAAGTCATCAGTCCGAATGACTGATAGAAATATTTGGTTTTCGGAAACTCTGCAAGTCTGGCAGTGTGCATTCTTAGATGTACATGTATCATCATTGCAAGTTTTGTCAAAAAAACTTTAACCTGATCCAAAAACATTAAACTGGTCATTCTTTAGCTGAAATTGAAGCATCTGAAACCTTGACTGGTACAATGAAACACGGTAGAAGCATCCATGCATCTCTGATTAATTCAGGGCATAGAAGTACTTGAAAAGAAATCTGCTCCAAAAACTAAAAGCTAAAAACCACTAAGAAAATAGTACTGTGTAAGCAGAAATGTTAGCAAGGATTCAATTTTGGCATTTTTAGCAAGGGTGTTGTGATCACTAAAATTTATAATATTGCTAATAATTTATTTCACATAAGAGGTTACGGTTTTCTTTCTATGCACCATAAAATCGCATCAGTTACTTCTCGCTAAAATAAAATACTGATTTTTAAGGACAAATTGCTAAATTTTCATCTCGCTAAAAATTCCACTTATACAGTATTTGAGCTATCTCACTATAATTTATTTAGAGACAAATTTGAGGGGAAATTATGATTGACCACAACAGAACTACAAAGAAAGAACAGCCAGATCATTGTTGTGAACAGACAAACTGAGATTGATTCCTAGTCCAAGATTTGATTTAAAATTAAGCCATCAATCATAAAAATGTCCTACTTAAATTCTAAACTATTTCACTACCTGACTTACCACTTTAGGGTCCTCAGAATAGACTAGGTCAGGGTTATCGATGACAAAGCAGGCATGGCCCTGCTGTATCAGAACGTCATTAATATGAATGTCCTCTTTTCCTGAAGTGTCGCTACAGCAGAGAGACATCACACGATTCTAAACAAATAAATATAATAAAAACTAGACTCTTGTTGCCATGGCAACAAAAAAGTCTTCCGTTCTTCTAAATCTGTAAGAATTTGCTTTTTTTCTGTGTAAAAAACATACATATCATATTTACTGTGAAAGAAAAAAATAACTGGAAAAAAGTCCTTTCAGTACTTAAGGTACTTCGATTTTCATTATCAATCTTGTATAATACATTTGGCACCTATAAGAGATAAACGTATATCATTAGCAATTTAAAAAAAAATTGTTTGCAATCATTTCTAAGACAAACAAACAGACGAACGAACACCGTACTATCATAAACTTCATTGTGTGTATATTTTGGCATAATTGTGATGGTGTTATAAAAAAGTTAGTATCACACTAAACGTAAAGTCACTGAGTTTTGTAAAGTTATAATATCAAGATTTGACAGCATACCTATAAGACAGATTATTCAATTACAGTAATTCTTCAGCAATCGATTGATTGATTGATTGATTATACGTATGTTGTTTAACGTCCCTCTCCAGAATTTTTCACTCACATGGAGACGCCACCACTCGCTGGTGGAGACTGCAAATTTTTGTCCTATACTTTGGCACTTATCGCAATTGAGCAGTGGGGAATCTTTTTTATGCCAGCACCTTCTGCGACAAGGGACCTCGATTTATACGATCTCATCCAAAGGACCGGTCTCCACGTCCCACAATCGAAGTTCATAATACCGAGATATTTTATTTTTTATTTTATTCTATTTTTTCACAAGTTTGTTGCATCAGATTTACTTAAAGATCATACTTCAAGATCATTTCGAACTCAGGCTACTTAATTGCAGTGCATACAGCGTCAAGGGATTTTGATTGACAGGTCAACACACGTGCACTTCGTGTGATACTTTTTAAGCTGAAAAATATACAGGATGTGACCATGACTGACTATGAAATCAGAAAACATTTAATAAAGAATGGGTGTGACCGATATAGAACTAATTTTTGGTCTATGTAAATGGATAGGAGGATCGGGATTAAGAGGGAATCTCTCTCTCCCTCTCTCTCTTTCTCTCTCTCTCAGACGTAAATTGAACATTTCATAATGACAAATCTACCATTATAGAATATGAAATTCTGTATACATGTAAATGGTAATTATATTCACATGTTCCAGATTTAAATCTAAAACGAATATATAATTCAAATGCCTAGCTGCACGAACGTCTCCAAATAATCAAGACGGGGGAGGGGGGGGGGGAGGCTTCAAAGGAATTAGATAGTTTTATGTTTTATGAATTATAAGGAAAAGTACGGACGTCAGTTGCATATACATAATTATATAAAATTGTGTTCATTCAGGTATACTTATCCCACATATCAAGAGACCTGTGCAATTTTTTTTATCATGGTTTTTTTTTTTTGTTTTTTTTTCAAAAGAAACATATAGCGTACCATTATTTCACACAGAATCGCGTTTTCACATATTTTTTTTAACTCTTTGAGTATTTCACAAGAATCCAAGAATCGTCTTTTCAAATCTTTTATAATTCCTTGGGTATATAGAGTATAGATCATGTGTCATAAATAATTTAACTTTTTATCAAATATACATGTAATAACCAAATCTAATCTATAGATTGATTTTCTTTCTTTTAAGTGGCAGATATCAATTTATTTATAAAGGCTTTAAAACAGTACTGTATTACAATTTTCTATCGCTCAATTCCTTTTTGAGTGTATGTAATATTTTTTAATATCGAAAATAAAACTCGGAAATCGGGATAATTTCGCATTCAAATCATAGAGAATAATTAATCGTCTACATTATAGAAGGCTTATAACTATCGTATTCTGAACTTACTATACGAGATGGATAAAATTGCATGCCTGTCCATCACTGTAAATGTATATTCAGTGCTTATAATATATTGACTTGAGTTAGGTACCTAGCATATATAATTTTTTTTTTAGATATATTCATGTGTAAATCAATTAACTGTCAATACAGACTTACACTACACTGGCAACTTTAAACTATACATGTACTGGAAGCGGTAACCAACGTACCCTTACATTTAGAAGAGTGCATATGGAACGTCTAAATATTGTATATGTCTCTGACGTCATCGATACTATTTCCGCCTTTATCTCGAAAGTTCTATTCTCACTTACAAGTCAGAGTTATCTTTCTTTGCCCATTGTATACACACTAGGTAAATGGGGAAAATAACGGTACCAAAAATCTAGAAAATGCGCAATCCAATTTTAAAACAAATTATATATTTAGTATTTGTAGAATAACCTCTGTTATACATAATAATATCTTGAAAAAATATTAAAAAACAAAAAAGTTGAAAATTGACCAAACACAAGTTCACTTCCTGTTCGGACAGGAAGTACCGGAAACACACGAAAACAACTTCGAAACAAAGAGAATGTCATGATTTAATATTCCTGTAAATTTCACATCTTTACCTCAAACCGCTTTTGAGAAAAACACCGGACAAAAGTCCATTTAAAAATTGGAAATTCAGCCGTAACTTCGGACCGGAAGTGAATTTTTCAAAAAACGGAATTTTATATAAACTTCATATATCAGCCTACTATCATGTGAAAAATTGTGAAAATCTATCCAACCATCTCTGAGTAATCGAGCTCACAAAATTTGGGAGGAATAATAATAATAATAATAAAAAGAAACAATACAAACACTATAAGTCTTCCGTTGTGAACGGAAGACTTAATTCCTGTCAATGACCTTGAAATTCACCATTCAAGATTTTGTCTGGTGTTGTGGTCATGAAAGTAATGCTTTGGGTAACAGATTACAAACTTACAGATTGACTGCACAATAAAATTGACTTTCCAAAATAATACATGGTAAAAAAAAAATCTTTGGCTTCTTTAAGGCACTAATACAGAGAGTAAACTTCACAAATCATATTCATTAAAAATTTCTAATACCAGTACTGTTAAGACAAAAAAAAAATAATTCTTAGTTTCTCGGCCAAAAATTTCGAAATTCAATGCGGCAGACATGCCTTTGTTTGTTTGTTGTTTTTTTTTTTTTTTTGGAAGCAGGTGTTTCTTTTTTCTAGTCAGTCAATAAAATAATATCAACTGATTCTTACCTTTTTTGTTCTCCTATTTTTATTATAATAAGTACTCAACTCCAAATAATGTTATTCCAAACATTTTTTTTTAACAAGTTAATTCATAAAGTACCCTTTTCAAGAAAAGTATAGAGTATCTATAAGCATATATGAAAAGGGTCATAACTCAATCTTCTTTTTCAAGTGTGAAAATTAGAAAATCGAGTTATTTCCCTTATCAATTATCAATGTCACAGTGTTTGACCTGACGGGGCGGTGCCTGAGAAACTTTCAATTATTAAATATTATTTGGACTAACCATTATTTACAGAAATTTATTCACAATATATCATGTTAAAATCCCTCCCTAACTAGTAATTTTCAAGACTACGGAAACACTCTATATTAATACACATTTAAATCTGTATGTATATATATCACATTAAGAAATATTCTCCAGTAAATGAAGATAGTGAAACTCACTAATATTTCTCAAATGGGAATAAAAGTTGGTTTACAATTTATTCTACCCTAATCACTAATAGTAATAGTAAGATTGTAAGAAAGGCTCATATTCCTAAAACAGACTTTATAATTACAAATGATGAATGTTTTCCTATATCCTGACCTTTTCTGATGTTGCTATGGCTACCAGAGGTCGACAACTGACCAGCCTCAGCATGCAGGACTGAGATTCCACACTCCACTCCTGTAAATCAAGTGATTCATACAACACTTAAGAATTGATGAGAATAGTTCAATACATGGAAAAATTACAAGCTGTATGCAACCTGTTTTTCCAATGGTATATCAAAATGAAGAAGTTCCTGCCTCAAGACCTACTAGTATACTGAACTATACATACATGCAAATGTACATTCCATATGTCAAAATTTTTTATTATCAAACCTGCAATTTTTGATAGTAAACCTTTCATTCAGACAATTCAAATAAAAATTTCATTTTTTATCAGATAAAATAAATTTAAAAGTTTCAACCCAATGCTTTTAATGCTACCACTTCCAAATCTTACTGAAATATACATGTACAGTTACAACAATGTACCTACCTCCCCTACTGGTTGAATGTTTGAAAGTCTCCCCAAGATACCTTGTGCTGGCAGTTTCAAAAACTTTGATCTGAAATCCATATCAAATTCATCAAACTTTTTATATATTTTTTTTAAACTAAAGGGTATTACAAATGTAACATTTTCAAATCTCAGTACTTGGAAGTCAATTTTAAAAGAATTGGTTGACAAACCTTAAGAAGCGGATATTATTGCGATGAACATCACAGGTATTCCCATAATCCACAAAGTACACCTACAATACCAGGGATAAATCATAATAAAGTTTTTTTTGGTCATATTGTTCCTTCCTTAATTTTTTGTTTACAACTATTAATTTTAACATAAACAGAACCAGCAATTCTTAATGTTTGATACTCTACATATGTACGATTTCTAAAACGAGATAAATTATTAACAAACAAGTTGATGAAACAAGAATATCAGCAGTCTCGTTTAAAGTCATCATTTTGTAAGTTCTATGGTTGATACAATGACCTTGTCAGCAAATACAATTTATCATTGAGTCAAATGCTTACTGACATGAGTCAAATGCTGACTGACATTTTTCATACTAATTGTTAGGCCATTATTTACACAATGAATTGTCAACAGATTTTTCCGTTATTTCCCAATCATGAAAAGGAGCACACGGCGGGTGTGACTGGTCGGCAGGGGTTGCTCACTCCTCCATGGCACCTGATTCTACTTCTGATGTTTTGGAGGTCCGTGTTTGCTCTGCTCCTATTTTATAATGTTTAATGGACTTTTGAGCTTGAATACTGTTCGTTATCTCCATATATTTCATTGTATGTAAGAGACTAATATGTCAGGAAAACAGGATTTTGATAATGAACAATATGTTTTGAGAGGATTGCAGAAAATACTGTAAAAGTATTACATTTAGCTGTGTATTGTTTTAACTGCCTTTGGCAGAAAGCAATTTCCACTAATTCAAGTAAATTGCTATATGCCTCTAAGAACACTTAGAAATGCGCTAAATCAAATGTACGCTAACTTGTTCAAACACCAATTTCTGCCAAATATCATACATGCTAAATATAATATACAGTAGCCCGATGCCTGAGGCTAGTCATTTTAAGACTCGGGCTAGCTAATTTAAATGTATCGTTAGTCCGTTGGACTAGCAGAACAGAAAAAAAAAATTCTCGTTGGTTACTTTGGCTTTTCTATGTAGATTGAATTCTTTTGACTAACAACTAATTTAATTTGTTTCTGTCACCAAAGCATTTGAAACTTTAATTTGTGATGTTTTCATTTTGCATAAAAAATAGTTGGGCTAGTTAGTTTGAGGTTTGGGCTAGTAATTTTTTACTGATCAGTAGCCCCTGGGCTAGTGGGTTTTCCAGGAAAATTTCAACCCCTGATTTACAGTAATCTTACAGTATACAGTTTCTTGATATAAAAATAGCAAAAACAGCTACATGTACATGTACAATATCAACGTTTCCATAAAATTTTGCTGGAGCCCATGGCTGGCAAATGTTTTTAAGAACTTGGAGAATAAAAAATATTTTGCTGGAATCCACTAAATCCATATTGAGCAAATTTTCCTATTACAATAAACAAAGCAATACTTTTACGATATAAACCATCTGCCCCACCTCTACATAGTTTCCTGGACACATGCCCGTTATTACACAGCGGTGCCAGTTATCATCCTCTGGGAACACGGCAGCCACAATAAGCCCCACTGCTACCATTTCACTGGGAATAAGGTACATCATGCCAGCTTCTCCAGAATAGGATTCCCTGTATATAAACAATAATTTCATCATACAAATTTCCTATAAATCTATAATACAAATTCCCTATGAATCTATAAATAAGGAAATGGACAATACAAAACAGTATATAACTTGGCATTTCACTGACTCTAACTGGTTCATCAGCTTTTCTAGGGCTAGTGAGGTCTTGGGTCCTCGGAGCTGAAACCAGAACTGTCCTGGTGATGCGACATTGGAGACGTAAATCTCTATCCATGTGTTACAGGAAGGAAGGTCTATCTGGGTGTAACTACAGCCAGGTCCAATAGCATCTGAAGGGACATTACTGTCTAAGGGCACATGTACTTCTGGTGCAACAGAGGTCTACAAAGACATACAAAAATAACTTAAACTTTTAATGGTAAGCTCTTATAAGACTACTAACACTGGAAGCAGTCACTAGAGAGACATGAAACAAAATCATTTTAATAACTCTATATCCAAACAAACAAAATGGTTCTGTATCAACAAATCTTCAGCCATGAATGTCAATATGTACCATGGATATACAAAAGTAAGAATACAGTATTTAACATGGGCATGATGTGGGCCAACTATGTTAGGTCAATTATGGTTTAAGCTGTATAACAGCTAACTTAAACTAGCAAATGATGCACAGAGATAAAGACAGATAGACAAAAGAAGTCAATGAGTCAACTGCTCTATTGTGGACACTTTTAATAACTTACTAAAATAGCAGGTGGTTGATTTCTAGCCCCTTTAGGTAAAAGAAGATCTGTCCTGGGAGGAGACTGGTCATCAACAGCATACAAATAAATGGAATCTGTATAAAATAATGCACAGATTGACAGTCCCATGTTTACCAATATCATCAAACTTTAATCTTTCCAAAAATAAATAAGCCCTAATTTTGATGCACATTGAGATACATGCAATTTGCAAGCATGCTGGTACAAGGACGCTTGTTATGATACTATTTTTGGTCATATAAAATTGTGTTATGATAGTAGCTGACAATCAAAAAATCGTCTCTGAAGGCAACATGTCGGCGATAATCGATAGAAAATTTTAAAATCCATAGTCGCTAATTTTTTTTCAAAATATATTTTTTAACAGAATGGTTTATCTTTAAACATTATCAATGGACTTCCCTCTATTTTTCTTGCGAATGGCGGACAAATTGTCCCACTTCGCATAAATTGAAGTTGGTCTCACAGATTTGTATTGAAATGTCATTTTCATTTCAGAGCAAATCTGAATATTTTATAGTTATTTTATTCTTTAAATTAAACTATTGATCATATAATCGATTGTATGCTACCAATTCAATTTGATAATTGATAGTAAATTTGGTCCGATTTTGCACACTACCTTGTTTTTATTTTTTTTTTTTATCCCATTCATCTGTTATTGATGTTTGTCCTCATGTTCATACATTTTGTTTTCATATACAGTAAACTTCTTTTATAACGTACTCGGTTATAAAGTATCTCCAGATGTAAAGTAGCCATTCCGAAGTCCCGGCAAAGTGTCTACATATTTCATTGGAAAAAACACCGCTTACAACGTATTTGTATTTATCCCATGTTTACCCCTTTATCCCGTGGATATGACTCATTGGATAATTTTTTCATAATCCACAGTTGTGACGTCACAATGGTTTTTGCGTTAGCGCGATGAAGTGAAATAAAGTGGAGTCCTATATAAAACAGTGTAAAACATTGGTTGTGAAGTATTAAACATGGGATAAAAAGAATCTCCCATGATTTGTAGTTGGATATGACTTTTATCCAACTCGTTGTGTGTTTTTATCCCCTCGCCAAGGCTCGGGGATAAAAAACACACAACTGGTTGGATAAAAATCATATCCAACTACAAATCATGGGAGATCCTATATATATAATATAATATCGCTTATAAAGTATTAGAAAGTTGTTCCCATTTAAATAATTACACCTATTATAACGTATTCTGACACCTGGTTTCACACCTTTTCCATGCGGATTAGTCACGGTTTGTTGACTTCATAGCTTCTCCAAAATGGGTGTTTTTCTAACAAGGTTTCTTTGTTGTTTTATGTAGATGTATTTATAATAAATTGTTTAAATAAAGTTCATCTTTGAGTTAGTAAAATTAATTTAAAATAGTGTAACGGGATGGCACTCAATCACTGGGGTGTATTAACTGATTAACGGTACTTTGAACACCCAGAAATTTACTAACTTTAAACCAATTTATTTTTAAATTAAATGATGGACTCCAGTAAATAATTAAAATAAGATTTAAATAGCTTGAGATGATGGTTTATTCTGGCTTAATCTCAATTAACAAATTAAATAAAATTTAATCAATGATAAAAATTCAATTAAGAAAAATACAATAAAAAAAAAATAATGGCTGCAGTCGTCTTAACCCCAAATTCCCAAAAATATTAAATTTCCCTAAGACATATTAATTAATATTGTGAAACGGCTCTAATAAATAAATAGGCCTAGCTAAATTTCTTCAAATTACTGAGTTACTAATAGAAATAAAGAAAAATTCCCCAAAAGTTCTTAAAATTTCACCTACATCTTATCCTAAAAGCCCAAAAATCTGGAGTCCCCGTTGTACAACGGGTGCTCACTTATATACCCTCGGGGAACGGTATCCGTTCCAAAACAACACGGAATCCGTTGGAAAGCAACGGAATCCGATAGAAAAATACAACGGAAAATAGTTCCCATCTATAAAAAATTACTTTAACAAGTTTAAAATACGAATAAAATATAACTCTAATTCATTAATATATTATGCAACATAATTAATTACCTTAAAGCTCATTTTTCTAATTAATAGAAAAATCTGTCAGCGCATAAATATCTGGGGTGCGCGGATCAAAGAAGTAAACGAAAATTCACCCATAATGCATTGCGCCGAAATGTAAATAGAAAACTAAGACTGTCTGCAGCTTACAACACGTGTTTGCACAATACAGGTAAAATACCAGTAAAAAACGTAATTTTCTTAAAACATTTAGTAGATCATGCTCTAGTTACAGCATTTATGCAATTATTTCAACAAGGACATCGTTAAATATGAAAGGATATGCATATATTACATGTGTTCGTTCTACTTTCACTTTACATACGATGACATGAAAAGTTGTGAATCCAAATTTAGAACATTAAGTAATAAACATACAATACATATGATCAAAATACTCAAATTATGAATCATTTATAGAGGTAGATTAATATGACAAGATTTGTATTTTAAATACAAATAAAATATGGAAACTTGAAATGATCAAACTTTACAATAGCAATATGACCAAAAATGATATAATTAAACAAGTGAAAGAAAAATACAGTGATTCAATATTAGTAGACCGCGATGACAGCGAGGACGACGAGGTTGTGCCCGACACGTGCATAACATCTACCCAGGCGATCAAAAGGCATGTCCGAAATTAAAACTTGTAAACTCGTTTGAAGGTGTGGAAGATAGTGTTTTCTCCATTCTTGGAAAATTTTGTAAATAAATGTCATCAGGCCAAACAGACAAACATTACGAACTTTTTTAAATGATCTGATGATCATCGAGATTGTACAGCACTCAGTGATTTTGAAATAATTTAAAGTTTGTGAAAATAAAATGTTACTGAATATTAATCTTTCTTAATATAAGAAATGAAACCAAATAACCTGTTAATCATTTATTTACATACTCTACATATTTTAAAATATTGAATAACACACTAGCAGTTTGAAATATGTTTACAGTAAAGGTGTACTGAGTGCTTCCGGTCTCTGTTTATAACTTACACCCATTATAATGTAGGATTTATCACAGTCCCCTGAGATGCGTTATAAAAGATGTTTACTATATATGTTAGAGCTGTCAAGGGCCCCAAACTGCATTTTATTTTAATTAATTTTCCTTTTTTTCGCCCATGAAGTAAGAAGTTTAAAATTGCAATTTTCAGAATTACCACTAATTTGTCTAATAAGGAAAACTAAACATATGAGCAGAGCATTTATCCCTATTCAAACATATGCAAAATTACTCATCACATTACTTTTAATTAAAAATTACAAATATATGCATGAAAATTAATATATTTTTTTTTTGAACTGACACCAAAAAATGAACTAAAAGAATTTTTTCATTAACTACATGTATTTAACTTACTGTTGCCTCTATACTCAAACTTCAACACTGAGTCTGCCAGGGATAATGCAAAAGCCTCCACTCTTGTAAAGCCTAACTTCTCCCACTCTAGACACCTGCCAGTTTCATCCTAGATACCAATGAAATTCCAGTGTAAGTTCAGAACACCCAAATTGCACTTACAATGATGAAAATGTAATTTTAAATGAAATAGCAAATTTGACCAAACTTTTGAATTATTTATGTATAATAGAACACTTACATAGTAAAAAGCAAATCAAAATTTAGGAATTGAATTTTTATCAAATGAACTTTGGATTAACTGTGCTGAGAGTCTAAGACTCACCTGAAATACTTCAGTAAGATCCTGTAATCTTATTCCCTCGGGATGAGCCTGTAACACCTGCCGTATTGTCTCCTTGAGAGTACTGTCTGCACACAACTCACTACCATGCCTCTTGCGAACTGAGGCCTCTTCACTAGCTGACTTATCTGTTAATTAATATCAAAGATTTAACTTAACAGTAAAATATCTGTATCCAAAAGAAAAAATACAGTACTTAAAGACCCAATTTTTTTACCGTACGGTTACCTGAGGAGGGGGAGTGGTCTTGGTAGTAATGGTGTTATTTACCTGGAGAGCCCCAATACTTGAGATGTCAAAAATCCCTATACACACTGCATTACACAGGAAGTCCGGCTTTTGGTAATCAGGGTCAACATTACGCGTTTTGTGCATAATTTTGAGTGAAAATACTTAAAATAAATTAAGTACTGAAATATAAAATTTGTAGACCTAGCGTTCTCGTCGATATCTTTTGAAGAAAAAAAATTAAAAAGACATATCTTTTTTAAAATCGTAAAATAAAAAAAAAAAAATGGGCGAAAACTACAAAGCAATCATATCAATATTTTAATCGCCAATAAAAGAAATTATTATAAAATATTAAGTATGAATATTGAAAAAAAAAAATCCACTTATTGCGTGGACATTTACCATGATCGGAATATTATTTACTTTTCTGGCGAACAATGGTGTCCAAATATTCGCCATATCCGAGGGTTCCGTGTTCTTATGCCCTGTTTACAGATTTGGATATAAAAAGAATCTTTCGAAATTCATGGCGTCAGATACAAGATACTTTATTTATATTAGTATAGATACCTTTTCTTATTTAATCCATATTGCTAACAAGTACAAAACAGCAGTGGAGATTGAAAAAAAATCACGCAGTCACTGATTAATTATCTACTCTCAATTTACTTATTCTTTTAAAATTATCAACCAATATAACAGTGACATGATTTTTTTAAACCAGAGTGTATACAAAGCGACCTTTCACGCGGTACATGAAAGCCTTTGACGCATGACCAGGTAATTGTTTTCAAAGTGAGAACCACCACAAAAATAATAAATAAATTAATCAAAAATAAAATAATACAAAAAGTAGAGGCCCACGGGCCACACAGCTCACCTGAATAACTATGGCCCTTTTTGTACTTCATTAGCAGATTCTTTTTCCTATATATTCCTATGTAAAAATTTGATTGCCTATTATAGCCCCAACCTTAAAAAAATCCACATTATGTCAGAAGGCTTTCTTAAATGTTTCATCTTTTCTGGCCCAGTGGTTCTTGAGAAGAAGAAAACTAAATGACCACATTCAATTTTTACTATTTCTGAATTATCTCCCCTTGGAAGAGGTTGTGTCCCTTCATTTTAAAAACTTGAATCCCTTTAAGCCAAGGATACTCTGTGTCAAGTTTGGTTGAAATTGGCCCAGTGGTTCTGGAGAAGAAGATGACATTGTAAAAAGTATATGACGAAGACGTCAACAACAAGGACAACAATGACGACGACAGATAAGGGACAAATTTCGATCAGAAGAGCTCACTTGAGCCTTTGGCTCAGGTAAGCTAGAAAAGTTTTTAAAAAATATCTTAGGTATTCATTCACAAATTAAAATAAATTCTTTGATTGAATCTACTTACTTCCTAAAAACTTTAGAGATCTAAATCATTTTTTACCAGGCTTTGGAGAAGGTAATCTCTTGTCAAACAATTTCCAGTCTCCCTTGCAATGTGGTCTTTCCATCCTGATTACTTGTGGCAATGCTGAACATAACTCTATCACACTGGTGTAACCATGGTCCATTGGTTTTAACTCTTTGTTAAAAGTTTCCTTCAAACAATTTACAAAAAGTGTTCAATGGTAAGAAATACTACATTTTTAGTCAAATCAGAACTTCTACTTCAACAATTGTGGATGTGCAAACTAGATCTTTTGAATTGAATTTTATCTTATCCATTACTTTTTGCAAATTCAGTCATAAAAATTTATCCTCAGTCTTTAACTTTCATGTGTATTAAACATGAGCTAAGACCTGCAAATTACAAATTAAAAACCTGTTTCACGAAGAGTAAATTTATGTTTTTAGTACCTTGTATGCTGTTAGTAATTTTGTTGCCCACAATCCCTCTGGCTTTGAGCTAAGGAGCTGCAGGTGTATTTACATAAATTAACATTTGAAAAGAATGAAATACAAATACATGTACATCACAAAAACATAGGTAATCAAAGATTACGAAGCTCACCTCGACGAATGTTATCTACATGTAAGGCAAATTTCACATATTTTTTTTCTAGTTAGGTTACATCCCAAGATCAATATCCATGCAAGTTTGATTTAATTATAGACCTGCTCAAAAAACTTTTGACCTGTTTAGTAATCAAGAAAATTTTGGTCAGTTCCAACATCCAAAGCAAGTCTGGAAGTTTTCATCCTTAGATGCACCATCTATGCAACTTTAATCATAACAGGCCATAATATTATATAGCTACTCCAAAAAAATTACCCTGGTCACTCATCTGGAAAATGTACGTCAGATTCAGAATCCAAGGCAAGTCTGGAAGTGTCCATCCCTAGATACATCATCCATGCTAATTTGGTTAAAATATGGCTAAAATTCACTCATGTGGAAAATCTAGGTCAGATCCAGCATTCGAAGCAGGTTGGTTAGTGTACATCCCTAGATGCATCATCCATGAAAGTTTGGTCCAGGTAGGGCTTATAGTTACTTGGGAATGGACCTGCTTCTCAAACTTTAACCTGGTCACTCATCTGGAAAATCTAGGTCAGATCCAGCATCTGAAGCAAGCATGGTAGTGTCCATCCCTAGATGCATCATCCATGCAAGTTTGGTCCAGGTAGGGCTTATAGTTACTTGGGAATGGACCTGCTCCTAAAACTTTAACCTGGCCACTCATCCGGAAAATCAAGGTCAGATCCAGCATCCGAAGTCAGTGTGGCCATGTCCATCCCTAGATGCATCATCCATGCAAGTTTTGTCAAGGTAGGGCTTATAGTTACTTGGGAATGGACCTGCTCCTCAAACTTAAACATGGTCACTCATCCGGAAAATCTAGGTCAGATCCAGCATCCGAAGCAAGTGTGGTAGTGTCCATCCCTAGATGCATCATCCATGCAAGTTTGATCCAGGTAGGGCTTATAGTTACTTAGGAATGGACCTGCTCCTAAAACTTTTACCTGGTCACTCATCTGGAAAATCTAGGTCAGATCCAGCATCCGAAGCAAGTTTGGTAGTGTCCATCCCTAGATGCATCATCCATGCAAGTTTGGTCCAGGTAGGGCTTATAGTTACTTGGGAATGGGACTTGCTCCTAAAACTTTAACCTGGGATGCCGACGCTAACGCCGACACCGACGCCGGGGGTATAGCATAAGCTCATCTCGACTTCGTCGAGGTGAGCTAAAAAAATGTATTTATTATTTTTAATGATTCTGTTTGGGGTTTTTTTTTTTAATAATACTGACACTTCACTCTTTTTTAAAAATTATATTTGAAAATTACTAATTCTTTGTGTATCAGTTGACATGTTTGACAGCAACTTACACATATACCAACATATTTAAAATCTTTTTGTTCAACTGAAGAAAAAACCACATACCTGTTGAAGTTCAAAATGCAGCTGATGGCTGATTGTACTTTCAAAATCCACACTCTGATCAGATGAGGAGTAAGTTCCAGAGCTTTCCTCACTTTCGTATCGACGTCGCCATGTTCCAGGCCCATTATTTTCTTTATTTATACAACTCTTCTTCTTCCCTAAAATTCATTTTGTTTACTAATTTACAAAGGTTATAAAATGTCATCGAATAACATTTAAATATACAAGGCAGGTATTCGATGTCAATTTTTCTCTTAATACATTTCTGACTCTATAACCTTTTCATGGGGAGCAATCTTTTCTTTACACAAGAGGCCAAAAAGTAAACAACACTCCCCTAAGCCACCTTGACCCTGCTGTTCTAAAGACCAATAAACTTGCTCGTTTTAAAATTTTTGTCGCAGACAATTCAAAACAAGCAATTCTTATTGGTCTGTAGAGACGACTGTAAAGGGTTAGGAAGTGGAGAAAATATATAGTTGGTTAAAGAATATTTCTAGAACTAGGGAGTGAAAGGTAGTTGATTGACCAATGCTGGAAAGTGGTGAAATTCTCCCCAACCATGCACAGAAAATCTTGCACTGTAAATTGCACCATATTTGCATTACAGGCTCTGTAGCATTATTGTCAAAGACTAAAATATAAAAACCATAACACTACAGTTCTGCAGCTAACCTTACCCCAGTAGATAATGATTTAAACAATCTAAAATCTGCACTCCTTGAGGATACTTGCATATTAATATGATTAATCATGGCATTGATGTACTGGGCTCATCGATTCAGAGATGTCAGGAATGTGCATAGTTTATTAATAGAGGAACAGACAGAATAATAGATGGTCAGACAGATTCACCATATTAAATGCATAAAAAAAATGGCTATTAAACATGATGGACATTGTGACACAGAGTACACAATGATGACTTGCACCAATAGCACTAAATCCAATGACTGTTTTTGTAAAACTATTTTACATCTAATTTATCCCTATACACTATTTCACAGCAATACAGTGAGGCTACCTCTTCCAGCAGACTGTGCTGGTGTTTTTGTTTGTCCATTTTCCCATTGGTTTGTTGCTCCTGTTGAAAATGGTGAATTTGTATAAGAATTTGTAGCTTGTGTGTTGGTTTTATTTTCTGCAGACCTCTGCCTTTCTAGTCTTGGTGGTAAATTTTGTTGATATGACTTGTGAAATGGATGTTCTCTGGGCTGCTGTGATTGTTTATCTGTAAATAACAAATTTGAGAGTAAAGTATTTATAAAACCTCTCGTATCCAATTTACTAATATTCTAAGCTGTCATTTGGACTTACGTAATTTCCTATCAATTCCATTTTACAAGGAAAAGAATTAAAGACCAATATATTAGTCTACTGATCCAATTGGCTTCAGATTCTGAACCAAAGTGCATTAAGTTTAAATTTTAATAAAGCTCCATCATATTTTGTTAATCCCTCTGCTCCCAAAATGAGAGTAAACCATTTTTAGACTTACAGGCGCCACTAGAAGCTGGACTCACACGCACTTCTCCATTTTGTAATTCTTTTACTTCCAGTATATCAGGAACAGTCTTCAGAAGTTCTTTAAGAGAAGAAAACCCGAGTCTTATCGGGTCAATCTGAATGTTAAACCGTTTAGAGAATGCAGCATCAAAATGTGTAAACGGTAAACCATCAGGATATGCTTTAAACAGCTGTGATAAGTAATTCCTTATGAACGGTGGAACAGTTGGAAGAGGTCGAGGCTGCTGGCTTCTATGTCTCTGTGGTGGGGGACCCCCCTTTCTGAGAGTAGCCCACTTGTTTTTGTTTGAAACCTTCTGCCTGGAGACAAGTTTTTGGATATGAGCAGTATTAGAATCTGCAATACCAGCAACACACATCACACCTTTCTTCCATGTGATGTGCAGGGCATCTGACATGTCTTTGAGAAGATCTTCAAGATTGACGTAGCCAAGTGCCCTATACGGAATAGGTTCCATAATAAAGTCATGGTAGTCGCGTTTTAGTTCATCAATAGTCAGTGCAGCTGGTGCAGAGAGAAGCAATGACCTTAGATTCTTTTTCACATCTTCTTTCTTCTGTGCTTTGCTACTCATGTTTGCAGCATTCAAAAGTACAATATTTGTCCTTAATTAAAATTGTAATACATCTAAAATTTTGCTTTCAATGAATTTCATGCATTTCGCGCTATTTGTCGTTACATCAAATACAATATTATACATGTGCTGATGTATCTAGGTCTAATTCGAAACTACTACAAAAACTTGTGTAAAAAAATCATGGATTGCTAAATTTTCCTGAATATTTTTGTGAACATGCATACCAATTACTAACCTCTACACGCACTTTTAACGGAATTGTTTAATTTTTAATTAAATACGAAACGGTGCGTTGTTAGCCGTAATGGCTTTGCAATTCCGATTCCGCAATACGAGTGTGACTAAAATGGGTAGTAAAACCCGGGCCGGGCCGAGAATTTTGAAACTGAAAACCGGGTTTTTGCTAATAACTGAAAAAATACTTAATTATTTGTCATGAAACTTACAGATTAATTACATACAACACAATATGCCTTCGCTGAGAGTTTCAACTCCAAATATTACTTTTTTCAATGATTATCGACGATTGTCATTTTCCCGGTGACTAAAATGGGTAGTAAACCGGTTTACATATTTTGGTGTTTTTTACTTAATATTATTGAAATAATTGCTGTTTTTTGTATTGGAAAGATCGAAATGAACTTAAACTCCAAAAAATTATAACCATTTTATAAATATACTCCGATTGTAGAAAGTAAATGCATTTTTTGAATACCCGGGACCGACCAAAACCGGACACGTTTACCCGGGACGAACCTTAAATTTCCGAGATAATGATGAGAGTAGTAAATATCCTGAACCAAGCCAGCTGCGTAGATTTTATCAAATTTACTGGCATTATCTTCATAATCTTAATTTAACATGTTCCAAGCTAGCTCTGCCGACATATACATATAATTTCAGGGAAATGATTACCTGAATACGAATCTAGCTGTAGCCTACAGTCTTTTTCTTGTCAAATCGTCAAGATACATAACTCCATTAGTATTTAAAAAAAAAAAAAGAATTGTCGGGATTTTTGTGTATATTTCATTTATTTTCTCCATTTGTTGATTTATCTATTTTTTTTTGGGGGGGGGGGGGGTAGGTTACTTTTTAAAATAAATTCTACATTATTCTCTGCACCGGTTATCTGATGGCAATTTTCGGAATATTCCAGTTTGTCCCGGGCAAAACGCGTCCGGTTTTGCATGTTTTGGACTGTCCCAGGAATCAAAAATCGGCGATTATTTTAATTATCGAGATTAATTTTTGCAATTGTTGTAATATTTAAGTTCTTAAAGTTAATAAACATCGATAAAACACAAAGAAATCCCATTTTTTGAGTGTAATTAGCTTTAAATCACCAAATTGATTAAACCGGGCTTACTACCCATTTTAGTCACCGGGAAAATGACAATCCTTAATAGTAATTGAAAAACATAATATTTGGTGGTAAAACTCACAGCGAAGACACATTCTGTTGTATTAAATTACATCTGTAAGTTTCGTGATGAAGAATTCAGTATTTTTTCATTAATTAGCGAAAACTCGGTTTTCAGTTTCAAAATTCCCGGCCCGGCCCGGGTTTTGGGTACTACTAAACAGAGAACCCTAGAGAACTCTAAAGAACCCTAGAGAACCCTACTGATTTTTAATTATTTATTGTTTGTAAATGAAATATTTATGTTTTAAATAACCAATATATCATACAAAAACAAAATAAGATTTAAAAAAGAATATTATGTCAGGTGTTATGCTTATTTTCAATGGAATACTAATGTATGAAGACTTCATCATACTTTGTGTTATTTTAATTATTTTTCCAAATAAGTTTACGCCAGAGTTAATGACTAAGAGTTCTATTTAACTTAAAAAATAAAATTATATAAAAAAAAATAATGTGAAAAAAGAATTGTAAAATTATGTGGTAAAATTATTTGAGATTCAGTCGGGATCGGGATGACATAAAATATTACATTAATCTATGTTACGTTTTCAACTTTTTTCGAGGGAAAACATCCATAAAAAATTCATGTTATTTATTTTATAGATAGAATATGAGTTATAAAGTAAAAATAAACTAAATTATACATAAAATTTATTTGAATTGACCAAATAAACCTTGAGTTTTCTAGGGTTCTCTAGGGTTCTCTGTTTAGTAGGACCGCCGGGTTATACTACCCATTTTAGTCACACTCCCGCAATACTCTATACTTACTGTTATGCGGTAAAGACGCCGCGCCTAGAACAAAAATCTAACGTTATGTATTGAACCATAATGAAATGGGTAGTCGCACTGCCTTTCGACATAGGTATTATAGGTAAATATTATTTTTTGAATTCTATTTTTTTAAAAAAAGAAATAACATTTAAAAAAAATTATTTCGGAAACGCCGTGTCTTTACCATATCTTACCTCTCTATTATTTTCGAAATAAAAGAAAAAAGCAGCTTGTAGTTGTAGAAATCCCGAATTAGAATTAGTCATAATGTCATTTCGAGCATTAAAAGTAACATTTGGATGTTTGCTGAAATTACCACGTACACTACAGTCCCTGCAATTGAAATCTGCTAAACTTCCACGTTTCAATTATTCTGTATTGGATTCAACTTTTATTCGACAGCGTGTGAAAAATGTCTCCGAAAGGTAACCTACTAGACGTATTATTTCGAATTTCCTCGGTGTGTTACGCAAACACGAATAACCTCAATGTTATACGAAACAAAGTTCTTTTCATATATAATATAAACGATCAATTTTAAAAGTAAAAGTTTGAACGGTAACCTCTCTATCTCTAAATAGAAAAATGTGTATATGCATATCTTCTGTAAAATATTTGTTGTAGCAGATTTATATATCGTCGAGGGTCCTAAATCGGTGGGGTTCCTAAATCGGTGGTATTTCCCGTTGGGCACGCGCGTTTTCTTATAGTGCGAGATCTGACGTCATCGATTTTTGCGTAGTGTTTGTAAACACGGAAGCTTATGACTCAGTGAAAAAAAACTCGAAATGTCAGAGAAAAGTGTAAGTAAATAGCTGTTATTGTCATATCTACATAAAATACCATATTTTCTTAATGCTAAAAATATCCAAATGTAATTGCCTTCTAAATATAGACTTTTAAGAAATATTTTATGAAAATACGAACTCCAGACGCAGCTTACCGTCTGCGCTTTCAAGTCACGTGACTGTCATGTGGTTATTATAATTAAGTAGAAATACAGGGTACGTCCAAAAGTCAGTGTCTGTTATATGTTTTTGAGTGTTTTGACAAAGATATGGTTTATATTATGTTGTTGGTAAATAGTTAGTAATTAAACAATTACATAGAAATTAGTTCTGAAATCTAAAGAAAACTATTAAAAGTATATAGTATCATATAGATAAAATAAAATAAATAAATAAATACTAGTAAATAAATAAATAATAAATAATAAAAAAAAATTTAACAGTAAATAAATAATTTTTTTATAGGTTGCATCAGATAAAATAACAAGAAAGTACAGACCATACTCCCCTACATCCATGACAAATGCTTATCATGCTATTAAGGAGCATCGGATGTCTGTATGGAAAGCAGCTAGGGTTTACTGTGTTCCGGAAACCACACTTCGACAAAGAGCATTGGGGAGAGTTGACCCTGAGAAACTAACGTCTGGAGTTTCTCCTGTTCTTTCACTAGAGGAAGAAGCTGCATTTGTTGACCATTTAAAGGTTATGGCTAGTTGTGGCTATGGCTACACTAGATCAGAAGTAGTAAACATGGCCTCAGAATATGCCTGCAGTTTGCAGAAACGTGACAGAAATCATCCATTTTCAATGAAGTGGTTCAAAGGCTTTATGATGCGGTGGCCAGAACTGAATGTTTCAAAGCCTCGCGCGTTGTCAGCTGCCAGGGCAAAGTCAACCTCTGAAGAAGTAGTGTCAAATTACTATCGAGAATTAGACACCATTCTTAAGAAGTACGACCTAGTCGATAAACCTCAGTGCATATACAACATTGATGAAAAGGGGTTACAAACAGAACACAGACCACCCTGCATTGTGGGTTCTAAGATGTCAACAACACCTGCTATAACATCTGCCAGATCTTCTACAGTAACTGTCATAGGTTGTGGCAATGCTTTAGGTACACAGATGCCTCCGTATTTCGTTTTCCAAGGGGCTCGAATGAGACAGGAATTGATGGTAGGTGCATCGGAGGGTGCTCAAGGCACAGTAACAGACAGTGGTTGGTCGAACTCTGAAGTCTTTCAGACTTATTTATCTGAACATTTTCTTAAATATGTCCAAAGACCGAATGAAAACCAACCTATCCTAATTCTTTACGACGGACACAAATCACACATTAACCTCACGCTTGTTGACTGGGCAAAGCAACATAATATTGTTTTATTTGTTCTGCCTGCCCATACAAGCCATGTTCTTCAACCTCTAGACCTTGGATGTTTTGGCCCATTTCAAAAAATCTATAATGCCGAGTGCCATAAATTTTTACGTGAAAATCCATCTTCAAAAATTACAAGATATAATATTTGCTCATTAGCTTGTAAAGCGTATGCACATGCTCTTTCACAAGGAAATTTGCAGTCCTCATTTCGACGCGCTGGAATTTTCCCATTCGATAAAAATGCAGTGGACCCTTCCATTTTTGCTCCTTCTGTAGTTTTTTCCGCAGCAGAACAATGTTCAGACCAAGATGCAAGTTCTTCAACTCAAGCAATTCCAAGCACCCCTGATCCCAAATCCTTCTTTAAACTACATACAAACCCAATTTTCAACAAAACAAAATCTGTTCTAACTGAAAAAAGAAACATTAGCAAAGTTGTAAGTGGTAAACCAATTACAGAGGACAGTGTTTTGCAAGAAATAAAAAATTATTCTACAACAAAACAAACATCAAAAAGAAAAGAAAAAACGACTTCTACATGTAAGGATTTATGCAGAAAGAAAAGAAAACAGGGTGTGTCTGAACAGCCTGAATCCTCTGATGCCGATGACACAGAAGATGAAAAAGAGAAGTGCTGTGTTTGTAAACACTTTTGGCCAGAGGAGATAAAGGACTGCGACTTAGTTGTTTTTGTGAAGTGGGCTCAGTGTAGCTTTGAAAAATGCGACCACTGGACCCACTTGCAGTTTTGCTGCGCAACTAAAGTAATTAGACGGGGTGACGAATTTATCTGTCCCTGCCATAATAATAAATAAAACTTTATAAAATTGTAATTTATCCCTTTGTTCATTTATACAAATTAATATTCGTTATACATAAATTTATGCCTTTGGTTGGTGTTATTAGGGTAAAAACTTTTGACAAGTACCATACCACCGATTTAGGTACCTCAACATTTCTGCTTACGTAAACGGCAAGGAATAAAGAAATCGCGAGAAAAAAATAATTCAGTTTTTTTATTAGATAATATGGATATAATTTGATCAAATAAAGAGTCCTTCAGAGGTAGGTCACATTTATTTTATTTTAATCGATCTCGTTAAGATTATTTTATCACGTAGTTTGCTAATACCACCGAAATAGGTTCCTCGAGGATACATAATAATTATCCTAGAGTACCCATAAATCGTCCCCTTACGGCATTCAACGTCATAGTAACGGCGAGCGCGTGCAAATTGATAAACAAACTTCAGTGCTAGCTATAGAACGGAAATGCTGATTAAATGTTAAAAGTCATTTTTTCATGTCACTCTTGACAAGATTTTTAGAGCTCTTCTACAAAATCAAACTTTACACTTTATAAAAATGGCACATAAAAATATGATAATTTATTGACGGTGCGACCGTTAGGGCGAGCGCAGATACGTGTACCTTTCAGTTTTCATTACTTAGATCGGGCTCGTCAAACCGCACGTGACATTTGCTTACGTCTAGTTTCTGACGTCATATGACGTCTTATGTATGTTGCATTAGCTTACCAAAACGAAGTGTGAACAGTGCTAATTTAAATCAAGAACGTTTATTCTACTATTTGTCTGCTATATATCCATTAAATCAAGGTGATTTTATATTTTGTTGAATTTTATTGCTACCGCGAGAACGTAGTTTGCGACGAGATGCAATTCGCTAAGCATTATGGGACCACAGGTAACTGCGGAAATAAACTTATTTGGATCAATGTGCAAAGTCCGAATTTTCTCTTCGCCCAGGCGTTGCTTTAAGAGCTCACAGTGAAGAGCGGCGCTTCGTGCTGCTCGCTGCGCTCGCTATAATAACAGTTGTATATAAGTTAGTTGGCCCTATATAAGCGGAGTCAAATTAGGCCTTTGCAATTTTTTTAACAAAAAGCATTGTAGAGTAGATGCAATTATTTTTTGTTTTAAATTGTTAAGCTCTCTGCAATCCTAAAACATGATAATTGCGGGCCTGTTATATTCGCCATTATTGCATGGAATCCTGGTAGCAAAGGAATTCTGGGAAGGTTTCACAGAAAAATTTCCTTGATGAATATACAGATTTTAGTTTGAATTTTCTGTTTTCACATGTTAGGCTATTGAGCTTGCTTTGCGAGCAACGCCTAACACTGCTGGCTGCACTCGCTAGATAAAGCGAAAACCACTGGGCAAAATTGTAATCAGGATGTACTCATCACTTTTACTTGGAAAGGGGAGGGAGATTACTCAGATTAGTTTCAAAATCAAATACAAACTCTTTGATCTCCTTTCATTATGTTTCAAATACCCATAAGGCCAAATAAAAAAATATGTGTGGTTCCGGTTACCCGACCTTCCGTACTTTATACCCCGACCCTAAACTTTTTGGGGGGCAATTTTCATAATTTTCCGGAATTTTCCCCGATTTCCATCAATGGCTATGGTTAAAAATTTAGTTTCAGCAATGACGGCCTCCTTGCAAAACATAGTGCAAGTGTTTAATAGTATTAAGTCCAAAGCAATCTAGCATGTAGGTGTCCCCTACCAATATTGACTAGTATATTATCACACCACATCTAAATGCCATTTGCAAAGCAGTGATAGATATTATTGAGAAAAATTAAGAAAATCAATTTGTTAAAAAAAAAAAAAAAAAAAAAAAAATTCCCTACCTACCTTTCCTAATTTTTTTGGAAGTGTAACCGGAACCACACATATTTTTTTGTTTGGCCTAATTACTTAGAAAAACATGCAGGCATCAATTTATGTAATGGAGAAGAGGGAGATTTTTTCTAATCCTTGTTTATAATTTCAAATGTTTAAAAAGTAAGGAAAAAACGAAAGAGTAAAGAAAGAGAAATTTGAATTTTTGCTCCCCCTTTTCAGTATTCCAAGGTGAAAATACATGGTTCAGATGGTTGAATTTTAAAAGAGTTCATTCAAATATTCATAGAACTATATATAGAACCATCAATCACTTCTCAGACTTTTTTTGTAACTGAAAAATATGTTTATTAAATATATAGATATGTATCTGTTAGTGTTATAGTACCATCAATAAGTGTCATACACTGATTAAATTCTTTGTTCAAGCCAATATAATTGAAATTAAAAATACCTTCATTTTAATCAGCATGATATATACTGTTTTTTACAGTATCAAGTTTTATTTTTTCAAGGGTGGTTCCATCAAGGAAAGGCACTTGCAAATTTCTTGGAACTGTGGCAATAACAAGAGCCTTTTTGGGTTTGTTTGGCTCAAGAGAAGAAAAGGATCCAGTCAAAGAGCAGATCAGATTAGGACATATTGCTGTTGCCCGGGAAGATTATCAGGAGGCAGATAATGCCTATCACTTGGCACTACATGCAGCACAGCAACAATTCCAGGAGAGGAAGATTGACAAACGACAGCTGACATTGATCAGAATATACGTGTTTGATGCATTAGGAAATATTGCTCTAAAGAATGGAGACCTAGAGAAAGCCGAGAAGCTATATAAAGAGACACTAAAGGTAGCGATAAACAACGAGTTTTTTAAACAGACTGACAATGGAGTAGTGGAGATAAGTATGCGATTGGCAGCTATTTATGCCATGATGGGAAAAGATGAAGAAACCCATTCAGGGTACCAATTCTGTATCAAAACTCAGGAGGATAAAATTAAAGAAAACCCAGAGGAAAGTCCTAGTACATATGGCTTGCTAGGAATGTGCTTGGAAAGCTATGCCAAATATCTACTGAAATCAAAACAGTATGAAAAAGCCTTAGAATATCTCCAACGATCAGAGGAGATTGTTGTTACCTATCTAGGAAATGAACATCCACAGAGGATTGTGGCTTTGAATGACATTGCATCACTGTACATTATGAAGAATGACTTAGCAAAAGCAGAGGAAATATTGAAAAAAGCTCTGGCTATTGGACATGCTAGTAAGGACAGCACTCTGCCTGTTTTGTATTGCAACCTTGGAGCTTTATATCTAAGACAGTCTAAAATAGACAAAGCTTTAGAGAACTGTAAAATGGGTGAAAAACTTGGAGAAGAGATGCATAATCCTGAAGCTATTAGAAAGGCTAAGTTTTGCATTGGCAAATGTACTCAAAAATAAATTTGTATGTATAAATTAATTTCTAATTCAGGAGTTTCAATAATAAATAAACATTATAGTTTATTCACCCTTATTTTCCTCTTATTTGCTCATAAATATTTTTTTATGATAGAATATATTAATAATTTTAATCTTGGAAGCAGAACAATTATCTGTAATGGGAGAGGAGAAAAATGCAACAGACCAGACAGGGATTCGAATCTGGGCCCCCTGAATCTCCTGTCAGGTGCTCGTGTTCCAAAATTCTGATCGTCACTATATAATGACTGTCAGAATTCTGATCGTCACTGTATAGTGAATGTCAGAATTCTGATCGTCACTGTATAGCGACTGTCCGAATTCTGATCGTCACTGTATAGCCACTGTCCGAATTTTGGAACATTTAAAAATTCTGATTTTAATCAGATTTTGTATATCTTAATTTGGACAGCCTTTGTGCCCCATCCCTGCCCTTGGAGGATATATAAATTTTACAATTTTTGACAAAATGTCTTTTATACATTTTCTATGTAAAACTTACTACATATATAAACTTCCTCTGTAGGCTATTTCCTGCCACAGGTGCATTTTGTGAATGAACCTGCATGTAAACCTCATGATGATTCTTTTATACATGTATAAATTGACAGTTTGTAGCCTTGTAGGTACTAAGAAGATTTTTCTTACACATTTTCTGTATGTAAAATTTCGCACCCCCATAATGATATCATTCTTACCTGGGAGCTTTTGTGATCTTCATTGCACGAGGATTTAACTAGCAAATTAAATCAGCATTTATAGTGTTGTAGTTTGTGAGATTTCTATGTTTTTCATGTAATATTTTGGACATCTTTCGTTGATCCTTCCCTTCCTGTCATGGAGCATGATGTTAACAAAGAAACTGGGGGGATAAGCCGAGCCATATGCCTACATAACGATCGATAAAAAAAAATCAATAAATTCATTTTACAAAAATTTCACTTTTTGTTGAATTAATGTAATGCTTATTACCATTTGCATACAATTTTGATAAAGCCTGAATTCTGTAACAGCGAAAATGATTTTGATTAACACAACAAAATGGCATCAAGCTCAATTTTCACAAAAACTGACATAAATTGGATGATATAACTACAATTTTTAAATAGAGTGGGTCATCGTACCATTTTTTTGAGAACGATTAATGAAAGGCAGTGGAAAGATGTTGCTTTTTATGCTTACAAAAATTTGGTATGAAGACCCACTCTACATAAAAAATTAAGTTAACTTACTTAAATTTTCACCGTGGTCTTAAAAAATTCTAAGTCCAAATACGCTTGCTAAATATAGAGAATTGTATGCTATTTAAATGGGCACGAATGTGTGACTCCGTGGTCCAGTGGTTAGTGAGGAGCTCTTTAAAGGGACATTTATTGAGGAAAGTGTTCGAGTCATGCTCTGATTTTTTAAATTTTTTTTTCTTTTTGGTTTTAATTTTGTTTTACTTTATAAAAAATGTCTATAGGAATAACATATTTTTCACTGGAAATAAAATATATGTATGTAGTAATGAACTCATTTACAGTAATTCATTTAAAATGCCGGATAAAAATTATAATATATATTTGAATACTTTTATTCCCGTTTTTATTTATTTTTACTACAAGCGCTTCTAGATCACCACTATCATTATATACAACGTTAACATTTTTATAATATCTCCACAACACTCAATATTTAAAACACATTAACATTAATGTTAACACTCAATATGCAGATTAAATAATAGAAGTCCCTACCAATATTAGACACTTGTGACAGTAAATGAAAGTCAACTGCTTAGCTTGTTTTAAACAATAAAATGCTTTCTTTGGTTGTTAGTACGGGAATTAATGTCGCAGCTGTTGCAGAAAAAATACATAACCCGCGTAAGCGGGTTATGTGAATTTTTTTCTGCAATAGCTGCGACGTTAATTCCCGTACTAACAAACAAAGAAAGACATTTTATTGTTTATATTTATATCTTTATTAAAAAAACATTCAAAGTAAATTAAATACGTTAAATATTGTATTATAGATGTGTATGTAACTGTATGCATAATTGATGGAACAGCCGTTGCTTAAGAAATCTATGCAGGTGACTTAGTTAGTGCTGTTTACTCGCTGATTAACGGCAATGGTTTTTATAAGAAATAAAGGAAATAATATTCAGTGGATGTAAATATTAGAATATAAATATCATTTTGAAAACTACTATAAACATTAAAATGCTTAACTAAATTCGAGCAATTGCAGAGATTTTCTCCAATAAATGTTCTTGCATAGCCGAAAAATGGGCATGGGCACATGGCTCGTCTTATCCCCCCAGGTTCTTTGAATCTACACTACAATGCTTGAATACAAGTAAGCCAATTTGACCTTGTAGTTCTTAAAAGATTTTTTGATATAGTATATATCAATTTCATGGTCCCATCCTTCCCAAAGAGGTCATGGTTTAAACTTGAATCTACACTCCATGAAGATGCTTGCATATGTTATTAGACAATTTGTAGCCTTGTAGTTCATGAGATTTTCCCCACATTTTAATGTAAAACTGAGAACCCCTTTTGTGGCCCAATGGGCCCCGATTTGACTTTATTATAAAGGAAGCTTCCTTGATGTGACTAGCTTGATAAATGTTGAGAATATTTTTTAATTCATCACTATTTCCAAACAATCTCCCATTGGAAAGAAGCCTGACCCTTTATTTGAAAAACTTGAATCCCCATCATATGAGGGTGCTTTGCAGAAAATTTGGTTAAAATTGACCCAGTCCATCAAAGAAAGAAAATTCTATACAGATCATATGAAATCACTCCAAAGCAGACAAAAACATGCTAATAAATCATCAGAGTTACCCAGGCAACCTCAAACTATACATACAAAGAAGAACAACAACAACAAACAAACAAACAAAACATTTTGACTTGTCACCAGTTTTATTATAAACAATAATGACATTTTCTTTAACTTTCTCACATTTAAAGCATAGGAATTTTTTACCACCTTTTCATAAATACACATTTTCCATCCAATTTACTGACAATCACACTCACTTTTGCAAAAAGAAAAAAAAGATCAAATTAAACAGTTACCGGTAATGCAATGATGCTCACTAATTATTTCAATTTCACAAACTTAAACCAAAATAACACTGAGACGTAAATGTTAAGTTTTGCTTTGTTAGATATGCACAAACATACACTCACAACATGGTCAACATCTACACTTTTATCAATTTTGGTGTTGAGAAAGTACCAATGTTGCCTTCAGTATTGTTTCATGTTCCAATGAACATCTCAAAGAAGGAAATGACACCTCACTCATCCCAAAATTCCTAGAATATTTGTAGTATTCAAATACATTTGAACACATCTTCATATTTATCATCAAATTTTTATAAACAAAACACATTTTCAAATATATTTTCTATCAGATTAACACTTAACTTTTCCAATTTTGGGATGCGCAAAGTGAGAAATTTATTGAGTACATGTATTAATATGATAATATCTTTATACATGTACTAGTAATACTGGTCTTTAATGATCTCATAAAATTAGGAAACATAGTAACTACTCTGTGGCTCAATTTTTTGTGATTTTGCCCTTTCAATGTAGCTTTCAGTTTTCTGATAAATGTATATGAATATTTTGTGATTTTATTTTTGGCAATTTCATCTTAAAAAAAAATAAATAATAACAACCACTGAGTTTAATAATTAACTTTTTTTTGATAGTATATGCACATTCTCCTCAGTAATTAAAGTTAATATTGCATACTTCATTCAGCATTCATGAAATTATTTTTCTTCTAAACTGCAGAAGAAAACAAACATATTTTCTTAGAAATCTCACAACTTTAGCTTGTACTGTACTCTCAGAACATGACCTTATTGACTAGACATTGAGAAAAATACATGCAAATACAGAAAATAATTTCACCCAAGAGCACCTGCATTCATTTTATAACAATTACACTTGGACCATATAATTTATTTCATCTCTGTGCTTAAAGTTATTTCTTGGAACTATACAACAAAAAGTACATGTCATTTTGGCAGTTAACTTGTTCAAAATGTTTAAATACAGCTTATAGACATCATAGGAACTAACTGAAATTACAGCTGATATCCATAATAGAGGTAAATTAAATATTGGTATAGAATGAAACATCATGTGATAAGGAGCTGCAGTTCAATCATCCAAAATTATTGTCCATATGACTATAACTGTGAACAAAAAAAGCTGCAACTACAAATTAACTACATTTAAGCTTCAAGATATGATGGAATATCAAGTTCAAAATATAATTTAAAAAAAAAATAAATAGAAGGTAAAATGTGTATATTCTTGTTTTAAAAATTAAGTTCTGATCTTTACATCTCCATCTATTTACTCAAATTGTCCTATAACAACCATCATGTAGACCCCCACCAAGAGGGCGGCTATTTCTTTCACAGACTGTCCAAGTTTAGTGTCTGCAAGAAGCTCAGGAATGACAGAGACAGTAGCGATGTAAATAAATCCTCCAGCAGTGAAAGGGAGAATCCAAGCTGTGGCAGCATCCCCTATACCCTGGGCCATTAGGCTGCATACTGTACCCATCATAGCTCCAATGGCAGTAGTGAACTGTAGCTTCATGGCCTAAAATTCACATAGGGGGTTTAAATGATAAATGCAATTTATTGGTATTTTACCATATAATATGAAAATGTATCAATTATTCATCAAAGTTTTTTCTATCTTTAACTCCACAAAAACCTGATATAATCATGATTATACCTGGTTTACTACATAACTTAACTCCCTTATTTGCTCTACCTACTGTCAGATACATAAAGGATATTCAATGTTTTGTAGTTGGATGTGGAATTTATTTCACGAGTGGGACAGGCTTTTTTTTATAATTTCATGAGTGCGAAGCATGAGTGAAATATAAAAAAAATTTCTTTCTCAGGAGTGAAATAAATTCCATATCATAAAACATTGAATTTTCTGTTTATTACATTTTCTTTGATTTTCCCTTTGCCTCTGTCTTTTCTTAACACAGTGTCATAGGCTGTGATGTCAGAGTCGAGCGAATGAGACGACATAGCTTAGGAACTGTGAGATTGAAAACATTGTAGTTATGGATTTTAGCAACATTTCTGGGGAGAAATTGGCAGTTTTTGTCTCTATGAACCAGTTTAGTTACTATATCTTATGACAGGTGAGAAATTATTTCTTACTTTTGATATCCTTTTACACTATGAGAGAATATCACTTTCAAATTGGTATCCTTTCACACTGTGAGATAATTCCACTTTTATTCAATAAATAAATCAGTATTTCACTGTTGAAAATGTACTAAAACACCGGATTTGTTTACTTGAAACTAAATGCAGGATCATGATACATGGACCCGTTTCCAACCCTTGTTACATGCAGATTTAATCCCAGCTATTCAGTAGCATCCTTTTAACCAATTTTGAAAAATTTAGGTCATTGTATTTTGTTACCTTGCCCTTGGTACATCCAGATTGAACTAAGATAGCAAAGTCCCCAATCTCATGTGGAATCTCATGTAAGAACACTGTTGCCGTGGTGATGATACCAAGTCCTTGTCCCACAAGGAAGGAGGCACCAATGGCAAGACCATCTGTGAAATTGTGGGCAAAGTCAGCAGCTAGATTCAGGTACCCAGCTACTTTTATTTCCTCTAAAAGAGATAAAATAATCATTTTTGACAAGTGCAAGTAAATAAGATCTCATCCAATGTTGCTACAGAAATTATTAGCAATTCTTCATAATAAGACACATGAAATAAACATTATGTGTGCAACATGATAAAAATATGTACAATGACACTATCTGGAGGTATAACAAAATACATGTAGTACTTCAGTTAATAACTGTTAAACTCATTAAAGTCATGGCAACCTGTACAAATATCTTTCGATTTCAAACATTTTTTTTTTTAAATTGACCTACAAAACCATCATTTGAAAACAAAAACCCATCATATTCAATCTTGTCAATGCATCCAGTTTCTATTTCTGGAGAACTTCACAGAAAATTGATGTCTCTTATTTCAAAAACTTTCCCTTTCAGAATATTTATAGATAAATATTCTATCATGTAAATTTGACAGCTTTGAGAAACAAAGTTGAAAGAGAGAAAACATTTAATTTGGATCAGCTCATGAAAAAGTGTGTTATGTTGTAAGTTAATAGATCATATATTAAATAAAATTTTTAAGATAAAGAAGGGACTTGGATGCTTCCCTCCCTTCATCGCTTCTTAACTGCTAAAATTTTACTTAATATGATCTATAACTCATTAACTATTTATAAATTTGGATAACCATGATTAACAGTTATTTATTATATTTTTATACCCAAAAAGCCACTCTTTAATATCAGTAAACTTTTTGTACAGAATCTAATACATGTAGTATTAAATAGTAGCAATTGGCCATCAATATAGATATGTGCATCATGGAAGTGTGGGGTCTAACAGGGTTGTCCCTAAGACCCAGGGTCCAGGGAATTTACCCGCCTATAATGACTTCATCCCCCGGCTACTCTGGTATTCCCCCTCAACCCATTGTTAGGGGAAGAACCCTAGACCCCCTTCTACTTTTTTAATGTCCCCTCCTTTTTCAATTCTTTATAGGGAGAACCCTGCGTCTACCAAGTTAGTACAAACACAATATGAATAATTTGTTTAAACAAATACTTATGCTCTTCCTATATTTGTCATGCATGCTATTAATATTCTACCTTCAACAACTTCTGTTGAACTTTTATCATCCTTCTTTTCTTTGTCTTTTTTTTTACTCTCCTCTTTTTCTAAATCTGTCTTTTTCTCTTTGCTTTTCTCCTCTGAATCACTCTTCTCCTCTGACTTTGACTCTTTATCTGTCTCGTCAGTTCCTTTATCACTTTGCTCTTTTTCTGTCTTTTCTTCATCTTTTTTGTCCTTTTTGGTCTCTTCTGATTTCTTGTCATCTTTTTTATCCTCTTTCTTGGCCCCCTCACTATGACTGTGACCATGTGAATGGCTGTGACCATGCCCTCCTTTCACAATTCTCACAAACTTTTCCACACACAAGAATGCGACTATTCCAGCCAACACCCACAATCCCACAGACATATCGTGCGAATGATCATGTTCCCCATGACTGTGGCTGTGTGAATGAGAATGACTGTGCTCCTCCCCTCCGTGACTGTGAGGTGAGACTGCATGAGGAATCAGATGAAGAAATGCATCACCAAGTAGCCCCCCAGAAGCAAAACTTAACAAAATCTTTAGTAAGTCCTGATGTTTGGGGTCATTGGCATTTTCAATAGGAACGAATAGCAAGATAACGATAGGAGATACACTAATGAACAGTGTGGCTGCTAAAGCTTGAAAACACAACCATGCATCAACCTCTCTCAGTGGCGATTTGTTTGGATCTCCATGTTCCCAAACTGAGTCCATGTTGTCCACAGAGTATTCAGACTTGCCAGATGGCTGTCCATGGCTGTGAACATGACCATGGGAATGGCCATGATCATGGCCGCATCCTCCACCATGTGAGTGACCATGACCTTCGTGTGAATGACCATGCCCTCCATGAGAATGACCATGCCCCTCGTGAGAGTGCCCGTGTCCCCCATGAGCGTGACCGTGTCCCCCATGAGCGTGACCATGTCCATGTTCCTCTTTGCCAGCTGCTTCGTTTGCCTCTTTGCTATATCTGAAAGACACCGGCTCGTCGTGGCCGTGATCATGACTGTGTCCATGCCCATGTGCCAACACGATAGCAAAATAGAAGCAAAATAACCATACAGACACCATAAAAAGTCTAAAGCATCCACATCGAGAACGTGTACCGGTGGCTGCCATATTTCCAAAGGTCAAGGCCATCGAATGTTTACGTGGCCTTTCAATGATTTTGTTAGCTCGTTCCAAAACTGCTTTGTCAGAAATTTACAAAAAAAAATATCAAACACATTTTAGCAGAAATTAATTTTTTTTTTCTTTTATAATACTTTTCCCTTTTTTCGTGTAAAATCAAATCATTGTGTTTCCAAATGTTGGGGGAGGGAGGGACCTGGAGATTATTCCGGAAATATATTTTTTTCTTTTGAACAAATATTTCTTTTATAACGCACTCAAGTGCTTCCGATTTGTGATAATCGATTGGTTTTTACAACAGATCTGGAATCATCCAGGAATGTGTTAAAGAATTCATCTCTGTAAATTTAAAGATGTCTATTGAAGACCCCTTTTTTGTTGTAAAAGAGTAAGGAAACTTCTCATTCATTTTTTTTATCCTTATGCACAGGAATTCCTGCGTCAATATGGTGCCTTTTTTCATTTTAAACCATCTTGAACTGGTACTGAAAAGAAAAATAATATCCCTTTTTCTTCTTGACGCGTGGAAATCATATCAATTTTTCAGGACCTATAGGTCCCTGATTTTTTTTTTATAGGAACGTCATTGATGACAAAAAATATAGATGAACTCATTACTTTTAATTCTTGATACATAAAAATATTTAGAGCATAAGTACTCAAAGATGATCACAGCTTCATCTACAGTGCACAAAATAGGTCCAAAATAATTGCTCAGCTGAATTAGCAATAAAAATTTATTAAGCTATTCAAATTACCATGATTAAGCTGTTTCAATACAGCTTTTCACAAATATAACAAACCATACAACATGACCTCCTTTATATATATTTTTTTTTTACAAGAAGTAACTGTGCAGTCACATATCAATCATCTTCACAATGTCAAGGTTTTGTGATACATGGTCAAGGGTTTGTATAGAGGAACAATGTCACCAAACCTTGACTTTGTGAAGATGCAAATTAATCCTTTCATTGTTTATGTATCAAAAAATTTTTAGAACTTTGAGTCCAAAGTCTCTCAAGGAGATGCAGTTTGATGAGTGTTTTTTTTCACATTGTTTTCGGAGGAGTTCAAAGTTGAAAACTTTCACTGCACCTACGTGCGACTATTTGTACATGTTGAGAAAATTGCACGATCAAGAAAAAAAATGGCGAAACAGTGTGCGAAACTAAACAGGAGAATGAAATAGCCCATTGGGCTATCTCATTTTAAAGTGGGATAGACCATAGACAAATGGGACTGTCCACAAAAACACGAAAAAGTAAAGACGGAAAATGTGCACTTGTTTTTATTCATGCATATATATATTTTTTATTTTTTCGTATTCATAATATTGAAGTACATGTATCTGTTATATTTTCATTTTTACCTTGTGAAAATAAAGTATAAAATCGGTGTCTGTGCTTAATGCTTATCACAAAAATCTGTACCATGTATATATTCAGATTCGTTGTATATGAACTTCATTCTGCAGACCAGTTTATGCTTGTGAAACACACGAACTCTAAAATCATCTTCATAGCTTTCCTTTTTTTGGGGGGACTTTTTTTAAATTGATTTTTTTATTCAATTTGTGTTTAATGTCATGCTTCCAGCAACCAGCGGTCAGGATTTCCTGCATGACAGATGCACAACAGGAAGCGAGCATTGGATAAAAATAGTACACCGTACATTTGTCGAAAGATACACAATGTTCTGAATGATGAGATTTAACAATAATTCTTTTAACACAAAATATAAAAGTATAAAACTATTTCTCAGAATCATTTTGTTTTTAATTACATGTTGAAATTTTTTATTCAATCTCAATTTACCCATGGCCGAAATTGGGATAGACAATTCGGTCTATTTCAATTCGGATCGGTGTAGCCCGATTTAACTTGAGATAGATTCGGACCATCGGACAGGCGTTAATTTCGCACACTGGTGAAATCAAGCTACATGTATTTTGAATAGCTAAGTCAAGCTATATACAGATATAGCTAATTCAAACTATAGTTTATTCAAGAGATTGTGCCAGGCTTGCACAATGGAGGTATAAAAAGGAGACCTTCAAAATTATGAATCCATATGCTCTGAGTGTCCAGAAAGTGCAACTGTAAAAGTATTTTTCTGGTCCTCAGTGGTTCTGAAAGTAAGATCACACTCTTTAAAGAAAACACCATCTAAAAGCATTTTTTCTCTACAGAGAAGTACAGAAGGCAATTCACACATCCCAAAACTTGCATGACAGATGGTCAGAGTTGATAAATAACCCCAAATCTGTGTCAAAAGAAGAGCTAGAATGGACAACCAGTGAACTGAGGAATAGTCTGAGGAGCATTGAGTGGGACCTTGAGGACCTTGAGGAGACTGTAGATATCCTTTAATGATTTATATACCTGGTATATTTATCCTATATACTAATATACTACTTTATTTTAGTTAAATAAGTAAGGCTTACTAATGCTATCTCCAATGGAGACATGTGTAGCCATTTAATTATCATGTTCTATTCAGAGAGATCAGAGAATACTTAAGCTATGGTTTTTCTTACTAATACCCATTATACATAAGCAATGAAGCTATGCTGTTTAAATTTTACCCTTTAGTTGACATTTAGTGCCACAACTAAGATTGGTTTTGAATACATTTTCCACATCCCATAAAGTGCAGGGCTCAGTTTGTTTTCTTTCAATATCCACTCCCTTCAGAAACAAAACTTTTAGAATGTTTAAAATTGCATAAGCAATTTTGTTGTTGTCATTTTGAAAATGTGCCATTTTGTTGTGGTAATGTCATTCAGATATTTTATGCAGTTCAGCTTCTAACCACTAAAATTTGATTATAGATAAGTCATGAACTACATGTACATAAAGTCAAAGTATAATACGTATTATAGAATTGTACCTTGGAAAGATTTTTTTAGGCATCAGTCATAGAGCAAGGTCAGGTCTTGAAATTTTTTTTGAATAATATGAGGTCAGTGAGAGGAACTTGTATATTTAAAATTAGACATTTGAAAATTTTAGCTAGTTACAAGAAGTGGAATTTTTAATTTAAAAAATAAAGGTACATGTACATGTATTTTTTTATTTGTTTAATACATGTATTTTTATTATTTAATGCATAAATGATATATATACCTTGACTCCACAACGAATTGTCGAGAGAAACCCCAGAAAGTTCAAAATTGATCAAGATGAGCTCCAAGAAAGAAGGGCATTCATAGACAGAAGTAAAGCTATTGTTAAAGTAAGTAATTATTGACATAAATTTATTAAGTTTATACCATTATTTTTCCATCAACAATTTTAGACTGAAGACATTCTGACCAGTAAAGTTATATAGTGAGTGGTATACATGCAGCATAAAGATAATGAGAAGTTCTCATAAAAAAACATACAAAAGTACATATCTTTCTGATTTAAACATATATATGTTCAACAATGGCAGTATTATAAATGACAAAAAAATTGATTATGCTTTAGGCATGTTTTAATGAAACTTGACCTTTTTTAGAGAATGAAAGAAGATTTGGCAAGTCCTCAAGCAAAAGAAAAGGACGATGGAAATGTACGACAGGTAATACAATATCACATGTGTAATTGAAAAGGAAAAATTTTACATTGAACACAATACCTGGTACATGTATTAAGTGTATATATATCCTTAAAAGTATGATGAAATCAGAAAATATGAAATTGATATATGGCCAGTAATTTACATTATGTAGAGCTGTTTTGTAGGCTCTGTTAAATGGACAAAGTAAACAGTATGACAAATATACCAGACTGGACCAAGAAATGGAGAGATCCAACCAAAGATACTTAGAGGATAGCCACCAACAGCAACAGGTACAAATCAATGTAACAGTGAGGTCTTTACCACAAACAATTTATATAATAAAAAGAGTTTTACTGTGTACAATATGATTATATCAAAATAAATAAAGCTTGAAGTATATGAGGGGAAAAAAAAGACTAAAAAATTGTAAATTAATAGATGTTTTATATTGATTTTTTTAAAGTATTGATTCCAACCATGAAATAATTTGATGAAACTGGTATTTATAGTACATGCATTTTATAATTTGTAGACAATAATAAAGTCACAAGATGATCAGTTAGACATGATAGGGTCTAGTGTTGGAGTACTGAAGAATATGAGTCACCAAATAGGCAATGAATTGGAGGAACAAAATCTGTAAGTATATTCAAAGTGTCTCATTAAAAATGATTTCCTATTTTTATATGGCTTAAATTCAAACAACAATGAAGAGATAGACCAGATGATAGATGTTTTAATATAATACATGCATAATGAAGTTTTACATGGGAATATATAGGGAAAACAATGTAAAAAAAAAAATGCTTTTCTCAAGAATAGCAGGGCCATGATCATTAATAACAAACTGCAAACATGCCAGGCTATGCAGATTCAAGTTTATTCAAAATGACAAATTGTTGCCCTCTGTGGTAGGGTGGGAACACATATTTTCATAATTTTGTGACAGAGTTTAGCATTGGAATATGTAGGATAGATATTTTAAAATCTTCTTTTTAAGAACAACAGGACCATAATTTGTGATATTAGTTAGTAAGCACCCTAAGGTAGTGCATATTCAAGTTTGTTCAAATAATGCCCCCCCCCCCCCCCCCCCTGGGGTAGGCTGACACTACAGTAAGGGATCAAAGCTTTACATGGGAATGTATAGAGAAAATGTTATAAAATCATCTTTAGGAAGCCAATGATTGGTGATATTACCGGTAGAATGCAAGCATTCACAGTTAGTGCAAATTCCTTTGAATAAAGATGGAATTTTTTAGACATCTTAGATTGATATTAGATTCCCCAAAATGTTTATGTATGTAGAACTGTGACAATTTCTAAACAAGAGGCCCATGGGCCACATCGCTCACCTGAGCACATTAGCTAGGAAAAAAAGCAAAAATCAGTACAGTATTGAAAAGTTTGCAGGGAGGGGGTGTTGAATTTTAAACTACCTGATGATGCTTTCATATCAATATAACAAATGGCTTTGTTGTTCTTGAGCAGCAGATTTTTTTCCCATATATTCATTTGTAAAAATTTGATCCCCCATTGTGGCCTCACCCTACCCCCGGGGGCCCTCATTTGAACAAATTTCATTCTACACTACCCAAAGATGCCTCCATATCAATTTGACTAATCATGGCTTTTCTGTTCTTGAGAAAAAGACTTTTTCCTATATATTCCTCTGTAAACTTTGATCACCCATTGTGGCCCCAACCTATCCCCGGGGTAATGATTTGAACAAACTTGAATCTTCACTATCTGAGGATGCTTCCATATAAATATGACCAATCATGGCTTTACTGTTCTTAAGAAGAAGATTTTTAACGATATTTTCCTATATATTTCTATGTAAAACTTTGATCCCCAATTGTGGCCCCACCCTACCCCCGGGGGTTATTATTTGAACAAATTTGAATCTTCACTACCTGAGGATGCTTCCATATAAATATGACCAATCATTGCTTTACTGTTTTTAAGAAGAAGATTTTAGAGATATTTTCCTATATATTTCTATGTAAAACTTTGATCCCCCATTGTGGCCCCATCCTACCCCCGGGGGTCATGATTTGAACAAACTTGAATCTTCACTATCTAAGGATGCTTCCATAATAATATGACCAATCATGGCTTTGCTGTTCTAAAGAAGAAGATTTTTAAAGATATTTTCCTATATATTTCTATGTAAATCTTGGATCCCCCATTGTGGCCCCATCCTACCCCCGGGGGTCATGATTTGAACAAACTTGAATCTATACTACCTGAGGATGCTTCCATAATAATATGACCAATCATGGCTTTACTGTTCTTAAGAAGAAGATTTTTAAAGATATTTTCCTATATATTTCTATGTAAAACTTGGATCCCCCATTGTGACCCCACCCTACCCCCGGGGGTCATGATTTGAACAAACTTGAATCTACACTACCTGAGGATGCTTCCATATAAATATGACCAATCTTGGCTTTACTGTTCCTAAGAAGAAGATTTTTAAAGATATTTTCCTATATATTTCTATGTAAAACTTGGATCCACCATTGTGGCCCCACCCTACCCCCGGGGGTCATGATTTGAACAAATTTGAATCTACACTACCTGAGGATGTTTCCACATAAGTTTCATCTTTCCTGGCCCAGTGGTTCTTGAGAAGAAGATTTTTAAATGATGCCATTATTTTTTCACTAATTCCCAATTATCTCCCCTTGAAAAAGGGCTTGGCCCTTCATTTGAACAAACTTGAATCCCCTTTACCCAAGGATGCTTTGTGGCAAGTTTGGTTGAATTTGGCCCAGTGGTTCTTGAGAAGAAGATGAAAATGTGAAAAGTTTACAACAACGCCAACGACAACAACAACGCCAACGACAACAACGACGACAGACAACGGACAAATTTTGATCAGAAAAGCTCACTTGAGCCTTTGGCTCAGGTGAGCTAAAAATCAAGATTGTGTTAATCTGAATTCTATAAACTTAGCTTAGCACTTTTCAGTACTGTCAGTACTTTGATTTACATTTTGATTGGACAGGTATTTGGGGTTTTCTTTAGCAAAACCTGGACACTGTCATTTTTTCTATACCACTGGGGTACTCATCCCTTACCCGCAACTCCTCCTAAACCACTGAATAAAATGTAATGAAACTTTAACAGATTCTTTATTACTTAGTGTCATTGTGCACTGCCTATTCTATATTCTGAGCAGACTTATATTTGGGGTTTCCCATAGCAAATAATGAACTGTGCCATTATATTCATAAAGCAGTGGGGGGGGGGGGGGGAGGGGGGTGGTTATCATTTTTAGCTCACCTGAGCCAAAGGCTAAAGTGAGCTATTCTGATCAAAATTTGTCCGTTGTCTGTAGTCGTTGGCGTTGTTGTTGTTGTTGTAAACTTTTCACATTTTCATCTTCTTCTCAAGAACCACTGGGCCAAATTCAACCAAACTTGCCACAAAGCATCCTTGGGTAAAGGGGATTCAAGTTTGTTCAAATGAAGGGCCAAGCCCTCTTTCAAGGGGAGATAATTAGGAATTAGTGAAAAAATAATGGCATCATTTAAAAATCTTCTTCTCAAGAACCACTGGGCCAGGAAAGATGAAACTTATGTGGAAACATCCTCAGGTAGTGTAGATTCAAGTTTGTTCAAATCATGACCCCCGGGGGTAGGGTGGGGCCACAATGGGGCATCCAAATTTTACATAGAAATATATAGGAAAATATCTCTAAAAATCTTCTTCTCAAAAACAGTAAAGCCATGATTGGTCATATTTATATGGAAGCATCCTCAGGTAGTGAAGATTCAAATTTGTTCAAATCATAACCCCCGGGGGTAGGGTGGGGCCACAATGGGGGATCAAAGTTTTACATAGAAATATATAGGAAAATATCTCTAAAAACAGTAAAGCCATGATTGGTCATATTTATATGGAAGCATCCTCAGGTAGTGAAGATTCAAATTTGTTCAAATAATAACCCCCAGGGGTAGGGTGGGGCCACAATGGGGGATCAAAGTTTTACATAGAAATATATAGGAAAATATCGTTAAAAATCTTCTTCTTAAGAACAGTAAAGCCATGATTGGTCATATTTATATGGAAGCATCCTCAGATAGTGAAGATTCAAGTTTGTTCAAATCATTACCCCGGGGATAGGTTGGGGCCACAATGGGTGATCAAAGTTTACAGAGGAATATATAGGAAAAAGTCTTTTTCTCAAGAACAGAAAAGCCATGATTAGTCAAATTGATATGGAGGCATCTTTGGGTAGTGTAGAATGAAATTTGTTCAAATGAGGGCCCAGGGGGTAGGGTGGGGCCACAATGGGGGATCAAATTTTTACAAATGAATATATGGGAAAAAAATCTGCTGCTCAAGAACAACAAAGCCATTTGTTATATTGATATGAAAGCATCATCAGGTAGTTTAAAATTCAACACCCCCCTCCCTGTAAACTTTTCAATACTGTACTGATTTTTGCTTTTTTTCCTAGCCAATGTGCTCAGGTGAGCGATGTGGCCCATGGGCCTCTTGTTTGAGTTCTGTGCTCAAAGTACTTCTAGTTTCTTTATAACTTTTTTATGCCCCTGCCATAAAATGGCCAGGGGCATATGGTGTTACCCTGTTCAGTCATTCTTTCATTCCATCATCATTGACATTCCATTCATTATCTCAGCAACAATTGCACACAATCAACTCACATTTGACATATAGATACGTCATAGGAATACGCAGTCAAGTTAGAATTTGGTGATTGTCTGATGATTTTGACAGAGTTATTCCTCTTGAACTTGGGAAAAAAAAAAAGAAATTTTCAGTTTTTGCTCTCTAATTTTTGTAGGGATGTATGTATAAAGTTGAAATTGCATATGCAGATATTTAAAAAAAAAAAATACAGGTCAATTCAAATTTTGTTGTGGTCCGATGATTTTTGACAGAGTTATCCCTCTTGAACTTAGAAAAAAAATAAGAAATTTTCAGTTTCCGCTAATTTTTGTAGGGATGTCATCATCTCAAGCCACGGTCCGGAATCCGCATATAGCTCTCTCCTACCCGTGGCTGCTTGATTACTAAAAGGGTTGTAATCTTGAATATTTACGCCTCTGTATTGTTACGTCATGTTTAGCCAATGACAAGATTTGTTTCCATCGCAATTGAAATCAACAATTGACATCAACAGTATACAAGAAATGTTTCATATACTGTGATTGGGTATTGAAAGGTTGCGTCAAAGTTCATTATCCGACTATGCTTTACTCGCATTGGTCAATATTTTAATGAGCTACAAAATATTCTCTTCTCATTCAACCACGGCCAGATAGGAGAGGACTGTACATTTTGGCCGTGGTTTGCGACAATGCAGGGATATGTATAAGGTTGAAATTGCATATGCAGGTATTTTACCAGAAAATACAGGACAAGTTTGAATTTGGTCATGGTCTGATAATTTTTGACAGAGTTATCCTTCTTGAACTTAAGAATAAGAAATTTTCAGTTTCTCATGCTCTCTAACTCTTGTAGAGATGTATGTATAAGGTTGAAATTGCATGTGCAGGTATTTTACCAGAAAATACAGGTCAACTTTTACTAAATGCTCATCTTTTACACTTGAATAAGATGCCTCAGTTTGTTTGAAATTCTCACAATGAATTGAGTAATGTTCTGTTTCTAAAGATCTGACAATGGCGTGACTGTTTTTGCAATTCTGCATGCTGATTAAAGTATGCACAGGATTGTTTTAAAATGCTAAAATAATAAATAAAAATAATGACTGATAGAAAATCAATATAAAGGTAGCATGAAAAAAATAAAAATATGACATAAACAAGAAAGGTTTTAGAAGCAGTAATAACAGAGAGCCACCTCCCCCCCCCCCCCCCCACCCCCCACCCCCATGTAGAAATATTATTTAGTATGTCTGTAATGATTGTGAATAAATGGGTTACCTACTAGTCAGGCACAGACATAAAAAGTTTGATCTCTATCTGACCTCAACATCATTTTTATAGGGATAATTTACTTCTTAAGGGTACCAATGTACCAAGTTTGATGTCTGTCAAGCAAAGGATTTTCAAGATACTGAGCAGTCAATATTTTCATATGTCCAGTTTGACCTTGACCTTTAACCTGGTGATTTCTAAATCAGTAGAGGTCATCTACTCCTATGAGTATACAATGAGGAACAAGTATACCAAGTTTGATGCCAGTCAAGCAAAGGGCTCTCAAGATATTGAGCAGTCAATATGTTTTTATGTCCATTTTTACCATGGACCTTTGAATTTTTTGATCTCAAAACCAATAGGGGTCATTAAATTTTTAAGGGGAAGCAATAATCCAAGTTTGATATTAGTCAAGCAAAAGCATCTGTAGATCATAAAAAGTAAATAGTTACTGAGGTTATTTGATCAAGGTCTAAATTCAAAAGTCAAGAACATTGCTAAGCCTTTTTATGGCATTGTTGAGAGACCCAAATGTTTGGTCTAATGAACTTCTAAGTTACTAAAGTTGCATTTTAAAATCAAATTCTATATAACATGGATTTAGAATACTGACAGATACTTGTTTTATATATGCAATACACAATCATGTACTCAAAATAAATAATATTTAATTATTTTAGAATTTTAGATGAATTTGGTCATGAAATGGACAACACAGAATCCAGAATGGACACCACAATGAAGAAAATGGCCAAAGTGATGCACATGTCAAATGGTTGGTCTGCAATCAAAAATATTTTTTCTTTTACTGTAACTGAAAAAATCCAAGCTTCAAAGTTTATATGTTTTTTGTGAGGAAAAGTAAACATATATGAGTTAATTGAATTGTGTATAAAAATTATGCAGGTAAATGCCATGATATATAAAATTATGCAGGTAAATGACATGATATATAAAATTATACAGGTAAATGACATGATATATTCTCTCTATTTCAGACAGGAGACAATGGTGTGCTATTGGTGTTTTACTAGTCATACTGTTAATAATAATTATACTTTTCATGGTATTATGATGTAAAGACCACACATTTTGATAAGTCATAATAATTATACTATTTATGGTGTTATGATGTAAAGACCAAATATTTTGATAAATCAGTAACTTGCATCATGATGTGTTTTAAGTGTATGTGACTTACACAATGTGATGATTTCCCACCACATAACGTACTTAGTTTTCCAGCGTACCCACTGCCAAGAAATTAACAGGAAATGCCTCCTCTGTTAAATCACTATCTTTCCTTTGTTGAATTTTCTTCTCAGCATTGAGTTTTTTGAAAATTTGCTTGGTATGGTTCGCTAAATTTCTTTAAATTTTATTTTTTGTCTATCTTGTTATACAGAATTGTACAGAAAAATCCATCTTAGTTAACAGATAAAGTCTTTCCTCTGTCTTTAATCTGTGAAACTTTCAAGTAAAATAGCTTGAGTAGCCAATATTACAAAAATTTTAGATTTATATTTTTTGGCATCATAATTTTCATCTCTTCTATTTGCATGATTACTGTACAGTAAGAGAAATATGAAGATAACAAACACTCAAAGAAGAATTTTCATTGGGATGCTTTTGTACTGTACATACTTTTTACTAGATTTCCATGTTTCTTTTTTGAGAAGCTATGAGGAAGCATATGCATCTGTAGTTTATTTCTGTTTTATCATGTACCAAACATTATTTCTAGAAAGGTAATAGAAGCTTGTCTTTAGATTAAACCAGAAATATTTTTTGGGGGGAAATTCTGAGAAGGAAGTTTTTGTTTTTCTTGTGTTTGATCTGATTTTTGTTTCACTATTGTTTATAAAAGTACAGGATTAATAGATCCTATGTTTATGTCACATGACCTATGTGTACTTGTCTCTGTTTCTTGTAATTTCATTAGAAGAGATTACGAGCCTTAAATTGAATACAAATTACAATACATGTAAAGGTTCTGTTATTCAATATTTCCATGATTTCTGTGTAGGTTGTTCATATATTTTTCAATGTTTGAACATATGAATGAGGAAAATACTTAATGTTGCAGAAAATTTTAATTTGTAAATTTTTTCATCATTTTTGAGACAAACACTTCAATTACATCATATGTTTCACAAAATGTGTTTTTTCTCATAAAGTACACTGAGTGATTTTAATGAAAAAATTCAAGCACCTGTTATTAATAAATTTGTAATGTGTTGAAAATGGGAATATCAGGACATTTTTCAAAATGTTCCTATAGCATTACCTGGTATTTGGGTTTTGCTTTGTTATCATTTCAAGGTCTTTTTTTTTAAATTAATTATATACATATGCACAAAGAGACAATGGTGTTTCCCTCAACACCCTTTTAATATCTGTCATTAAGTCAGATTTTTCTTGTTATATCTGTAATTAATAACTTGACATTATTTACAAACAATTGTAACAAGGAAATTTTTAAAAAAAATTCTCTTGAATTGCTCTTGATACTTATTTCTATCAACACTTAATTGTTAGAGTGTATTGATTTCGTGTTATGATATTTAACCTTGTTATGACCCGAAAATGATTTCAGGATTAAAGTAGATTTTATAATTAGCCGAGCCTGCAATTACAATTAAGGAAATACTTATGTACTAAGACAAGATGATCTTGATAGGGTGCTGTTGTAGACAATAGGCACATACTAAACATATCATGCTTTTTTATTAAGAGTTTAGAATTGTAGAATTGTTTTTTCTTCACTTAGAAATGCTAAGTTTTTAAAATCTTTTCTGTTCTTTATGTTTTGTCATCATTGTGTTGCTTATGATGGTTGCAATAAAAGTAGTGAACAAGAATAGAGTTTCTGTAACATCTGTTTATATTTACTTGCTTATGTGATTTTCTGAATATAGGTTATATTGAAACATGTTGTTAAAAGTTTGCATGTTATTTATATGTTGTTATTTCAGATATTTTAAATCCTCCATTGAGAATCATTGTACACCGCATTTATTTTGTAGAATAAACAAGCAAAAGTGCTTTCTTTGTTATGAGCAGTTTTTGCTCATTTTTATTTCACCTTTTTTCCAGATCCACTACATTTCTTGTGGAAATCACGAATTTGGAAATGATAAGTTTTGAAACATGCTTATTTTTTTCTATGAAGTAAAAATTTGGACTTTTCTGTAGAAATCCCCATTAAATCCACAAGAATGCAAGGGGAATGCTTGATTCTCGGTGAATCAGCCATTAGCAGACCAGTCTCATATAAACCTACATGTATTTTCCATGATTTTCATACTGTCAACTTCAGTATTATGAATTTGCATAGTTTCTTTGACGTATTTTTCGAATATGTACAACTAGGGATTATTATTTTGGCTTAAATTTGCGCAAGCATTGATCAGATAATCTCTACACGTAATACTTGATGCAGAGAAATTATTATGCAACATTTGTGATTGTTCATGGAAGATTGAGATGTATAGTCAAATTCAGTGAAAATAACCATACAGTGCAGGGAACTAATTTTGTTACAGCATCAATGCTGATTTGAATGCTTCCTTTGCTTGCTGATTTGAATGCTTCCTTTGCTTGCTGATTTAATGCTAGTTATCCTTATCCTGATCCTGATCTGATCCTTATCCTGATGCTACTTTTGCTGGTTCAAAACTAGGTCAATGCTAGTAATGCTACCGGAAGTAGGATTATCCTGGCGGAAGTGGATAATTTAATTTCAGCATTGCTATTTTAAGCCATAAAAAATATTTTTTTTGTAATTTTTATTTGTATATTGTATTAAATAACTTTCTTTTATCTGTTTACATTTTTTATCGAAAGAAATTTAGCGATTTTTAACGATTTTCGCTTTGTCAAATTCCAATCGTAAAATTGAAAACAAAAATGGCGACACAGTGAAAGTTGGAAGTAAATCTTGCGAAGTTATCGTAACAGAGTTGTTTGACAAAGGCTAGCTGCCCACTGCAATCCAGATAATTCTTATGAGGTATTGCTTGCACCCAACGATGCGATGATTTTCCCATTTCCGAAGCGATTTCGGAAGAAGAGCCCCAATGTGTTCAACGTGTGAGCAAGGAAACGTGATGGACAATGAACATGATGAAGTTTATGACAAACCCAGACGAAAATTTATCATGTTTCGTGTGAATATTTCAGCAAAAATATTATGCTTTAAGTTGTAAAAGCCGTTTCCAAGGAACCATCAGATCATCAGTACACTACCATGACTCAGAGGGTATGTAAACTATGTAAACAATGTTTTTTTTTTTAATTATCAAATTATCAGATTATATAAGGATGATGTGAAACAGATTTACAAATAAATAAACACTCAAAATTCTCAGCGATTCAGGCATTTAAACCCATGTGATTTTAAAGGTCAATTTTTACAATTGAGAAAGAATTATATGTATAATTTTTTAGAGATTCAGATGCAGTCTTCTGTAGTTAATTCACATGGTATCAAGTCAGTACATAACCTGACCGACTGATAACCAAGTCCACTCAAACCTAGTATGTCAACTCTAACCAAATCTATAGACTGGTATTGCCTTTCTCTTTCGTACGTTCATGTATATTGCGCATATCAGACAGGCAAGGCCAGTCTACCAAATCTAGAAGTCAACTGTTAAACAAAAGTATGGTTACGGAATTCAATTTACCCTTGCGGTCTTAGTTTTGAGGGGAGAAGTTAGGTTGTACCTTATCATGTAACTGACCTGTGCCTGGTTTACGAGTAGATTGTACGTAAGGTTTTAAACAGATAAATTATAACAACATTTTTCAAAAGGCAGAAAAGTAACTTACAATTAAGTACCTGAATAAAATGCTACAAGAAAAAGTAAGGAAAAAAGAAAGTTGTCCCAAGTCAAATAAAACTATTTTGGGATGGGAAGGGTTCTAAGGCTGGGATGATACAATTTTTTTTATATTGATACGTACATTGATATGTATCAATCATATTTGAGCTACGATACGATATGTATCAAATATTTTGAATTGGTCATGAAATCTTATTTTTGTATTGAAAAGAACAAAACATTTCATCCCAATTATGAATGATTTATTTAAAGACATAAGCTGTATATCCGTTGTAAAACAAACTTACTTCACGCAAGTGGTGTAAATTTTTACCGGTTTGTATTTTAAATAAATATTTCTATTTAAGGACATACGCAATGTACCTTACCTACTGATAATTTTTCAAGATATTCTTAATTTAAGATTATAGTGCCATCAGAAGTTCGTAGACAAAAAATCAGCATGCATTTCCAGAGGTTTTGAAAAGATATCAATTGATGAAAATTCCTGTATAATTCATAGAGAAATATACAAAAATTACTAAGCATATATTCTAGATGTTTTGTTTATCAAAACTTGTTTTAGAAGAAGTGTACAATAGCATATATAGACATTAAATTGTAGCACACAGTTCCTTTAAGTATTGGAACTCTTCAACTCCAGGGAAAAAGACAATAATGTTCAAACTACGTTGCGTATGTCCTTCACGTCATGTTTATCATACATATATTAAACCCAAAATGTAAGTAAACAAAGAAAAACGCCTGAATTTTTTTGCAATATTTAAATATTTTTACATACATATTGATATACGTACCATCCTCACACAGAATTAATATTATCGATTAATCTTTTCAGCCCTAATGGCTCCTTTTAAATTTTACTGGAGTTAAAGAAAAAAGAAATTAAATTAATGCTTGAAACTGTGATCATTAATTTGACATTAAAAAGCAAAATTATGTTCTAAATCACTTCACCGTTCTAAGTTACTAATTGTGCCCCTATTTCATTGACGCAAGTACTTTTCAAGTTTAAGTAGTGCCAATTTATTTTCTTTTACCTGAAAAAAAAAAATACTTGCTTTAAAACTTGTCTTAATACAATTTGCTCTTCAAGTCTGTATTCTGTATATTTGTACGTGCGATGTAGACGTAATTGTATGAAGTTAACAAAACTGTAGTTAGAGCTGTATATACATTGTATTTTTAACATTTGGCATTTTTTATATTTGAATTTATAATCTTTTTACTTTTATTATTTAAGCAGTCTGTTTGAAAGTAACAATAATTCAAGGATGAGTTTCTTAATCATATGAAATTTAAAAATCTCCAACCAAAACTTATATTCAGATTCTCTTTGGAAGATTGTTTGTTAATATCCATGCAAGAAGAGAAATTAAACTAATCAACTTAATTTACATTGATAACATTTTTAAATTAAATCATGACCTAATATCTCATATTTTTCAGGCCAATGATAGTAAACACTGCAGTAAGTCCACCAGGGATTGATGGCAAAAAAAGAGAATACTTTGAAGAATGATTTGGATATGCTGGCCTCCTCTTTGGACCTAAATCCAGCTGATGAAATTCTATCTGAAAAAATAGTGAGAAGCCAAGAACTAATAATCAACTTCTGTAAATCAGACAGTGGTGTTAAAACCTGTGTGATGAAGTGTGCCAAATTCATTGATCACATACTTGTACATTTTTAAGTTATCTCCCATGTAGATCTAAAAAGTAATGTACAGAGTTTAAAGTGGACTTCAAGTGCTTTCTGTATTGTACATGATTACATTGAGATGTATGAAAATTGAAATGCATGCCTGCTCTTTTGTACAGTCTTAAAACTGTTCATATGATTGTCCACATAATTGATTTTGTCAAATAAATGAACACATATATTTTACAGTAGTGTGATGTTTTAGGTACTAATAGAGAGATACATGTATATATAAAATTTTATGTCCAAGTTGTGTTTGTAGTACACATTTTTTCAAAAAAAAAACCCAAAACAAAACATAAAAAATAATACCCCTGATATTTTTTTGTTAACACCAACATTCTAGATCTGCCTCTGAGATTATGTAGACAGGCAATATTTCTGTTACATGTAGTGTTCTTATTGAAGCATATGCAATCCTTTATTTCATGAATACTCTAAAAAAAAAAATTGAATTTTTGATCACTTACACCCCAACTTAAAAAATGAAACACTAATTCATAACTGGTTAAATATTCACTGATGTTCCTACTTTTCACTAAATTTTTTTGTTGGATATACTTGCTTACACTATACAGAGTATATATACAGCATTTGAGCTAAGAATATTGTGTACTAGGTAACTGAATGGAATATTATATATGTAATGGTTAAATACTGAGTAAAGCCAAGGTTACTGAGTTGTATAGACAAAAATAGTAATACCGGTATGTCCCCATTCATTGACATCTGAATATTTAAACTTGAAATAATAATTCTTTATTTGGATTTCATTTAAAATGTTTAATGAAAAATTCCATAATCTGCATTAAGAGACTGAATATGGGGGATAACACATTATCATGTAGGGTATTTTAGAATGAAGTAAATCATTCAAATACAGAAAAATAAGCTTACAGCTAAATGCCTGGGATAAACGGTTTTAATTTGTTATATGTTTACTTTCCAATGGGTTTGAAAACCACAGGGAATGAAAATCATTTCGCCATCAGCATGAATTCATTATAGCGTGTTCGTTATAACCATGTTTTACTGTATAGATATTTCTTCTCTTAAAGGCCATCCTTAAAAAATTGTTTGTTTTGAATTGCCGCCTGGGAGGTTTCAGACCCAGGAGGGAGGGAAATTTTTTTTTTTAACATTAAAGTTAAATAAAAAATTTATGATAAAAATCTCAATAAGCAGTGAACACATTATTTTCTGCCTTTTTGTGAAGGGTATCTCCCATCAACCAGGAACCCAGTTTTGCTTAGATCCAACACTTACATTAAGTGATTGGATGGCACATGTGATAACAGGCCAAGAATTGATTGAATAAAAAAAATCTTATTTTTGGTCAATAAAAATTTTCCAGGAGGGTCATTTCAATGAGGCGGGAGGCAATTCCAAACGAACAACAATTTTATTTTGGCCTTACATCATGGTACATTTGTAGAGATACATTTTCCTCATTGTTTAAGCCAATGGTTTAAATCATTCAC